TAAGGGGCAACTGAGCTTAGTGTGAGACCTCCCCTGAGTGTTAGGCTGTTAGCTTATTAACTGGGTACATAACATGTCCACATTAGCATTTAGCTCTGGTTAAAAGCTTCCTGCGTGCCTTTGAGCTGTTGGACTTTTGTTTGATGATGAATAAATACAGAAAGACAATTTTTCAATCTGCTATTTGCTATGTTTGAGACATTTTCATACAAATAGTTTCATGTTCAGGCTTGAAGTTTGAAAACATTTAGATTCAGAACGGAGTGTGATAATTCAAAGCCAAAATAGGAATCAAAAAGGAAAAGAGATTTTATCAAAGCCAAAAAATTAGTTACTAGAATTAATTCACACACCTGTCACCTCCCATTACGATTGCTTGTTTACTGTGTTATTGAGCGATGCCTTTTATAAAAGGATTCTAGTGCTCACTGTGTACTGGCACAAAAATTGACAACATTTGTATTTGAAAGCTTGTACTCTGTTCCAGGGTGTTTTTGTTCTCAGTTAGAACATCCTCTCCAAGAAAAAATCCAAAAAAACTGCACAAACATGATTGTTCAGACAGATCTGTAGCGATTTGTTCCCCCTTGTGGCACCTTTTATTCTTCCAGATTAAAAACAATCAAAATAGATGGAAGTCATCCAAAGCAGGACTCAGAGTCCAGTTCTTCTGTGTTTGTGTCGCATTATCTCCCTGAAATTTAGGTGTGAAATCCTGCTCATCAGTGTCATGGGAGATAATGAGACCATGTGAGATCTTATTACCTTCCAGCTCCAACAGCTTCATGCAGCAATAATTACTCCCACTGGCGGCCTGCTTATTGACGAAGCCTGCCCAAAGTATCACTCTGGGACTAATGGTTTCCCTCCTTCACAAGGCAAACAATGGAATGAACACCGCTTCAATCAACTGCGAGTGATGGATTTAATGACAAAATCATTTTTCCTCCACTTTATGGCCAAGGAGGAGTGACACATGCAGAACCAGAAAGGTCTCGGAGGGGATGTGTTTGTGCGAGAGTCGAGCTGTAAACAACAGCATTGCATTTATTTGCTGTGATTTCATTGGATTTGATGATAAGTGAATGTGACCAACCAATTGCTGTTAACTTGCAGCAAATGAAATGCATTACTATGCGCGCGTGTGGGTCCCTCATCAGTTTTCCGCGACGGAGCGATGTCTGTAGGGTCGGGGTGGAAAAATGAGCTTTATTGATTTCAGCAGGAGGAAGAAGAGGTGGAGAAAAAGAAAGAAGAGGGACTCCAACAAGCCTCAGTTGGATCATGAGTTCAACATGCAGTGACAAATGGGAGGTGGAATGAGAAAGAACACCCTGAAATCAAATTGAGTATGGATTGTTGGGGCCTGGATTTATAGCTCTGGGGTATCCCAAACCTGGAAGTCATAAATTGATGCAGTTGAAATGGGGCGTCAGCGGGGGATTGCTGCTATGATTCGTTTACTGCGCGTGTCAAAGACGGACAATACAAATGGCGGGTCGTTGTTGTCCCACAACAGGGCTCGTTAATAGAATATACACAGACAGAAGTTAAAGACCGTGACAAATCTGCCTCTGTGGACCAGGGGGTGGGAAACAGCCACATATTTGCACTGAGCAGCACTCAGGGACACACACTGACAGGGTGACAGTGCAGTGTGAGCCGAGTATGAGTCTGTTCATGGAGTATTGTGCTCTGTGTTGGTCTTTGAGGAAAATTAGGGGATTTTATTTAGTTGATTTATAATGAATCTCGTCATATCCCGGCTCAAGGGCCATGACAAATATGGGAAGGACACAGAGATACTTGTGAAAGTGGCTTGTTTATTGCAAAAAGTAAACCAGATGAATAATCAACTGCGAAACATGCAGTATGTTAGTCAGTTCAGTCAGTGGTGTGAATGTGGATGGGTGTAATGATGAAGTGTGGGGTGCGATGAAATGACAGAGAGAGTGGGCAGCAGCAGGGTTCAGCTTTTAAACCTGCCATCTTGGATTTTGATGTTGTGGTCAGTTCAGGGTTGTTGATGATCCTCTGACTTTCGGAGTCAGAAATCCGACTTCCGGCTGGCGTCCGAGATGAATTTCCAACTGGGAACTCTGAAAATTCACCTTCCCAGTACAACTGGAATGCACATTACTTCTTTACTTATTTGTTTTTTTTTTTACAATGGAGTTTCAGTTTTTTAAAAATGGTATCAAAAATATAGCCACACATTTGCTTGACTCACTTAACTCATTATTAAAATTAACAAATGCGCTTTAGCTTGAGTTAAACTGATATCGCCTCCAATAATCTGAGGAGGTTTGCAGGAGCACTATTTCTGTGTTTACATTAATCAGGATATAATCCCCAACATATTCATCATATTAACCCTAAATCCGTACATTAAGACTGGTTTTCAATCTGTTGCTGGGATCCTTTCAATGGCCAGGTTCACAGGAGTGAATTAGGGCTGGCTTTTGGCTTGATGAGCTCTCATCCTGGTTGTGTAAACTGCTATTCACCTATGGTGTGTGATGAGAAGGGTCATTTAACTACAAACACAAACAAAAAAAATGTGAATAAGGCATTCACGTTGTACAAAATTAATTATAATTCTTAGAGACAGAGGGAATTCGAAAAAGAAGCTTGCCACTAATACAAGCCTGCTTCATACAAAGGCCTGGTACATTTGGGAGTAAAAGTCTGATGGTATCCTCCCAAGAAAATGGAAACAGTAAACATGTGTTTGTAAAATGTATTGGGGAGCCTTTTGAAAATTGAATATACATTTGTGATCTGTTTTTAAGATTTATTTGTGGAGATGGTTGGAATTCGGCTTTGAGTAGAGAGCTGGGATAATCCAAATTTGGTGCATTTTTAGTTTTTGCCTTTTAAAAGTCATCTTTCTTATTATTCCAACTCAATGGTATTTTTAGTGACATGCATTATTTTATTTTTCCAGCTATAAAAAAATATTTACCAGGATGACCCATTTAAATTAAATATATCTTTTACAGGATTGTCACAGCTTTGCTTTGACTAAACAATCTAGGTGTTTGAAAATCTCTGAAAACTTTAAAATGTCTGTTTCAATCGATGATTGGATGTTAGACGTTGCCTTTTGCCAGAAAAAGAAAACTCAGATATTGTTCCTAGTTTAAGCTCTGTTTGTAGTCTTTGGCCATAAATCCAGTTGATTAGGATAACATCTTATCTTCATGCTGCAATGCTGGTGTATGAATGTGGCCAATTGGATTGAATCCAAAACACAATCAGATGGTCAGTAAGCAGATCCTCTGCTTATCCTTACTGAATTACTTGGTCAAAAACAAACATGTTCCTCTGTGTTTTAAAAGTGCAGGCACTGATAACTACAAAAATATGAATGGACAAATTTAAACCAAAGGATTTGACTTGATTTCGAAATGTGTAGGCCTACACAAAACAAAGGGTGATGATATATTGGTCTACGTCTCTGTAACAGCCAAAGGCGAGAGAAACTAGCAGATCTATTTCCATATTTAAATAGGGTGTATTCTATAGGGTTTATAAACATTTTAATGTAGTCTTTAAAGAAACTTAAGTCGTAAAACCCATTTCACCAGAACCAAAGACATCAACCAGTGTCAGACCTGCCTTAATGTGTTTTAGTGACAGTGACATAAGTAAAATCCATGATACAGTTTACAGCATCAACAAACATTTTGAGGATGCTTAGCCTCAAACATTTTTAATAAGTTAGCAAAAGTTTCAGACTAACTTTTTCACTTTGTCATTATAAGGTAAAGAATTTTGAGTTAATTATGAGTTTAATCCATTTTAAAATAAGGCTGTAACACAAGAAAATGTTGAGGGAAAATAGTTTAGGGCTGTGGATATTTTCTGGAAGCAATGTACTCTTCCTTGCATTATTCAAGGCGTCCTGATATTGTCTGTAAGGCAGCATATATTTACAGCTGAGCATCAATTGTGCCTTTCCTGATGTGGCATTGGTTGCGTTTGTCATGACAAATTCAGACTTAGACCAGGGGCTGGAAACAAGCTGGGTGGTCTCTTGTTCATGATTTCCAAGAAAATGTCAAATTGTGATTTACCCGACAGCTGGACAGTTTTCTACTTTGCCTTACTCCAGAGAATTTGACAGTGTTTCTTGATTTATGGTCTCCTTTTTGCATGGTACAGTTTTGACCTGCATGTGTGGATGCACCGATTAACTGTTCACTAAATGGTTTAGAGCCTGTGCAATGATTTCCATGACAAAGCCTTGTCTGTTTTAATGCAGGACAACCCAAGTGCCCAGATATCACTGCCATCCAGTACCGGTTTAACTAGTTTCTTTGAATCATCTACTGTAGATGACGAGGAATTTGTTCATTAATTTGCAGTTTTACCAGAACACAACTCTGAAACTGTTGAACTATTGACTAATGCAGTCTTTCACAGAATGGTGAACCTCTTCCAGTCTTACCATTTGAGAGAGTCAGCCTCTCTTTAATGACTTTTTATTTCCAGCCATGTTGCTAACTTGGTGCAAATTGCCTAATTAGTTGGGTGATGTTCCTCCAAATGATTTATTCACAACATTATCAGTGCTTTGTTGTGCTGTAGCTCAGTCGGTAGAGTCTGTCGCCTCCCAATCGGACAGTCGGGGGTTCTAGTCCAGAGCTCCCTGCCCGCCCCTGCTGGCTGTGCCCAGTGGTGTGTAAATGGAATTAGTTGAAAACTGATGGACTCTGTAGCAGCTTTTGTGTAAATGTGATTTAATGTGAAGTGCTTTGAATGGTCAGTGGAAGACAAGAAGAAGCCTTACCATTCCTGATCCCAACCAAACTTTTCTAAAAAATGTTGCTAATGCCAAATTTCAAATGAACATAGTTTTTAAAGAATTATTGATTTGCAAACCTTAAAAAAAACATGTTTTATTAACATTAAATACCGCATACCGATTTGAAATCTTGCGCATTTTACTGAATGACAAGGAGTCAGAGGCGATTTGAAGCAACACAAGGGACACACATTTATGCAAAAGGAACAATTTTATTTCAACATCATCTCTGTTATAATAATACTATGTTCTCTCTATATGTATATGTATTTATATTTTTACATGGGACACAAGCTACTAAGGAATACATAGAGTACAGTGAGCAACATAGAAAAATATTATAGTAGTATTGGCACAGATGATGTAGTATAACTGTAATTTACATGTTATACATTCAGCAAAAAGAACAGCAGAGAGAAAGAAATACATGTTCATCATCGTGAAGTCAACAATATTTTACATTCAATACAAACACATGATGGATGTTTCAGCGATGAGCAGACGAGAAAAGCCCATCTCCTTACACTCGCACACACACACACGCGCGCGCGCACACACCGCACACGAACAAGACTCTCGGTAAAGGGCAATCAAATACAAAAAGGTTCAAGTCAGCTAGTTTTGAAGGTTGACAGCACTTGCAAGGATCTATTGGATTTATGGATCACCTCTGAATTCACTTTCGGTTATTACACCAGCTTCAATGTACAGACACATTTTCTCATAAAATACACAAAAACAGGTTACAGGGTAGAGTTCAGCGTAATGTAAATACAATCCAGGTCTCATATCTGCGGTTAAAGCGATACACAACAGCCATCCATCTCATGAAACAATTTCAAACCTGCATTTGCCCTTGAAGGGGGCCAATCTCAATACCACAAACACTTTTCCCCTCCATCGATTCCTACTGACCCCTTTGGGTAAACACACATGGCCCTACACGCAAACAAGCTAAAGCCTAACAGCGTGCATTTGTGTGTGGTGGGGGGGAGGATTGGAGGTTTGAGAAATGATGCATGATGCATGGCAGCTCCAACAGATTGCTTACACAGCTTTGCTTAGTGGCTTTTTGAGAGCGATCTCTGTGTCCTGGAGGAGCCCATTTGATTAGAGTCAATCATGGCGACACTCTGCTTACAGGGCAGTGCCAAAAGAAGAGAAAAAGAGCACTTTGCGATGCCCTCTTTTGTACTCGTTGAAGACAAAACAATGCTTGAATGACTGAGATGGACAGCTGAACACAAACAGTTTCACAACAAGTGCAGAATACAACCTTCAGATCTAAAGACGCAGCGGGTGTATAAACCGAAAGAAACGATAAGAATAAAAGACAAACAATAGGAAAAATAGCTGTTTGGAGTTTGTAAAGCTAGTGGAGGTTGATTCAAGGTTTTCATTAAAGTGCACTTGCCATCAAACCAGTGCAAAGGTTAAATATAGCTCTCTCTATGTACATAACTACATATGCAGCAGACGCACATACACCACTGGATATGAGACGTCTGTGGCAACACTATGATAACAGTTCTTTAAAGTCAAAATGTAAACAGCATTTGATGGACAGCTCAGTGATGAAGAAACAGTCCTCACTGGAAAACAACATCTTGTGTCACATTTTAGTATCACACTGGAGGTTGCGGTAAGAAAATGTAAAAATCATACATATTCGATGTTGCTGATGGGATGATCGAAATGGCCTTGTATGTTTTCTAGGGAGGTGACTGCTACAGTGGTACTTACTTGCTATCATCATGCATCATGTCGAAATTGGTGTACAGAAAACGGAAATAAATATGAGTGTGTGAAGAAGAATCTTGGCAGTGAGTCCGTATGCTAAATCATCAGGTTTTACACTTCGGGGAACGGCACCCTGATGGACACCATTTAGAGGACAACAAACTCAAAGTGCCGTCTGAGCTCAATCCTTGTGTAGATAATTTTGTCATATAATTTAAAGCAGCTTATTACAAGATATGAACACTCGGCCGCAACGTCATGATGTTAGCTGGAGGCAAAACAAACAGGAAAGAGCATTGGTAGCAAAATAATCTTAAATTTTGTCTTCTTGTGTTGTTAGGTTTGAACTTTAACAAAATACCAGCAAATTAAATTTAATAAGAAGAAAGGACTGGAAGGAGGCGATTCTCAAAAATGCTAAAGTATGCAGTTCACACTTCATCTAATTGTTCTTTAAAAATAGCGATTTTATTTTGTGTGGGATAGATTGATGATATTATCCAGGGCAAGAAACTCACTGCATAGGCCGATTTGCCCAAATTAAATCGAGACGGTCTACCCTTCAGAAAATTGACTTGCTGCTTCACTACCCTAACGATAGAGTGACATAGCGCCGCTTTAGTTGCTGAACAACGGGTTACTCAGCGTTACTCGGTCGACACTATCACCAACATTTCAAAGATAGTTTCAATTTTATAACGTTTGTACAGCTTGCTACTACGTTAAAACTAAATACTGTTATTTACCAGTGATTAACCAGCAGTTTCACGGATTAGTGCGGCGGTAAAGCATGCACCTGATGCATCCCTAATGACCCGGTAAAACTAAGACAGCCTTTGTGTATTGCTGTGACACAATCAGTCTTTAAATGCAACTTTGAAGGCTGCAGCCCCTGAATTGGGACATAGCTAGTACAGTATGTGTTATAAGAGATTTCATATCCCCTAAATCCTAAACCTAGTCGGTTTAAAGAGGAATATTGGATTTCTCCATAAGTGCAATTTTCTTTAGCACATTGGCTCACAAAGCTTCTTTGCAAAACAAAACTGGGGGAAATGTTTGTCAAAATATTTGCCGTAATCAGCCATAAATATAAAGACATCTTACATGCCTTAAGTTTTTTTTTAAGTTTTTCATAATACACTTGTTTTTATTCTTTCAAGCGCATGTAAATGTCCTCTCACTCCACCTTTGGTTCTCCTGTCAAATCATCTCAGAGTGAGAGTGTTTAGGTCAGCCAGTGTTTTCTCCTTTTTCAGATTCAACTAATCCAAGAACAAAACTCTCCCTCCCCCAAACATAGGTCGCCTTGCATATTCAAAGACTCATATCTGCTATTGACAAAAACAACTAAGTCTAGTGTTAGGGTAGTGCTGCCAAACACTTATGGAGGATCATTTCACCTCCAGCTAAACCCCACCCACTGAAAAATGTCCGACTGCTTTGTACAAAGAGGGTCTACAGTCACAGACACCACATTCCATTTGTGAAAAGGGACCTGACTTGGTAAACAATTACTTCTCTATTGAAAATCCATTAAACAGCCGGACATATACATGCTGTGCAGCTTTGCTTTTCTGTATGTATCCGGCCTCATCATGAATGTCGCTGAAAATAAACCTGACAATGTACAATGTGTGTAATTGGTGTATACCTCCAGACGGCACGCCATAATATCAGACAGTATGGAATATCACTAACAGACATGGCAACACTAGTGGTTACTCTAATGCTGAGATCAAAGAAGGAAAAGTGACAGTGATGTTATGTATGCTATGTATGCTAGCACTTGCACCATCAGCCTGTCTTCAGAGCTTCCTCCCCTTTGTAATCCCCACTACTCTGTCACTCCTGCTTCAACACTGCCCCTCGTGTCTGTGTTTAACTTGCAAAGTTGACACACAAAACCAACATGTTTGGGGGGGCCTGTGGCAGCCATCATGTGTCAGCGTACACATAATGAACAGCAAATGTGTCTCCAGCTTTACAGAGTAGGAAGAGCCATTTGGCATGAAAGAACATGTATTGCTCACTTATTCTGAAGCATTATAGTTATCTGACAGAGGTCCATAAGTTAGCTCACACTGATGTTGAGTTAAATATATGAAATAGCTCACAAGATACTCCTATATACTGATCATGTGCTGCTAGGGCTAACTCTGCCTCTGTTTTATCACTTTGCTGTTCATTTGATAGACCTCATGATAACACACAAATGATCACATTAAGACGCATTTACACTGTCGACACATAAGCAGATAAAAAATAAATATTTCAAACATATTTATTTCTATATAAAGGAACGTGTATGTTTCGTACAACAAAACTACTTCATGTACAATCAAGGGAATAAATGCCGAGCATCTATTTCCTTGCTTCTATCATTGGTGTGACCCTTGACGAAGGATCAACCAGGCCCTAAATCAGCTCTAAAGGGAAAAAGTTAAATGCCTTCGACCAAAAAAAGCATCTGTTAGTGTTCTAGCTGAGAGGTTATTCATAAGGCCAAAAGAAAAACATCCGCGATCAATCCCACGATAAATGTCAGATGTTTCATTTTGCATGGCTACCCGTCAAACCCAGACTTCTGAGTTCGCATTTCAAACAGTCAAAGGACACTGATCATTTTTTTAATAACAGCTGCTAACAATCCTAACAAACGGATACACAGGTCCTGCCTCTTGGATACCAGGGATTATATATAACAACATACAGTCTATACAAAGTGAAGGCTCAGACCTTGTCCTCAGTACCAGGTTCTGTCCATTAGCCTGCTGTTGTAGCACCTTTTATTTGAAGTAGTTAAGCCCCGCCACTAAGAAGAACTTCTCCAAGAAAAGCTCAGAATCTAAGACTGCGATGTGGGCAGCGCGTCCAATCAGGGTGTTGGCTGTGTTGGGTAAAGCGTGGAAAACATTCTGGCGGATCAGTTGGCACTCTTTAGCCTCTACAAGCGGCTGCAGGAGGTTGTTAATCATTTCAGTGTATACAGGGCCTGAAGGAAACAGTGGAAAGAGAGAGCCAGAAAGAAATAAAGTTAAGGTTTGGTCAGATATGCTTTTACATTACATGCGTATTTTGTGAATTCACGTAAGGTAAAACGACTTCCCCTAACAAAACATACTGTAATGAAACGTGTCACACTATTGCAAGTTGTGAGGAATATAAAACAAATCCATTCAAGAGAATTTAAGAGAAAAAGAAAAATGAAAGTACAGTAGCAAGTTTTCTAAATTGAAAAGTGAGAAAGAAAAGTTATGTAAAATTACTTGTTATTCCCCTTTTTTCTTGTACTTGAAACTAAAACCGAAGTTCAACTCGTCATTTTAAACTCATTCTTAGCATTTCATTTTTTTCATGACAATGTGATTTGAACCAATTTAAAAGAAGATCTACATCTCAGATTTTTTTTCTTTAATGCTCAAGATGGATGCTATAAATAGCATATAGACCATTAATAAATTGTAAATTTTACAATTTAAAAAACCTAACCCTAAACTTAACTTTACATTAACATCTAAGTAATGTTTATAGATGGTTTATGGTTTATAAACCACTTATTAAACATCTACAAAGTGCTACTGACACACTTTTAAATCTAGATGTTTTACAACCAATATTTAAACCCTAGATAAACCTTTAACAAATACTCCATTAATAATTAATGAAAATGATTAATCAAAATTTCATTGCTTGTTAATGGTAAAGTAACTATTAACTTACATTAATAAACTATCAATTTACCATTTATGATTGATCTATATGCTGTTTTTAAATGATAATTAAACATTAATAAACTATCTATTTACCATTTATAAGTTACGGTTATTGTTTAGTGTTACCCATATAACTGCCATACATGAATCGGACAACACCAGTAACAATGGTAGACACATTATTAATTAATTTGTTATCACAAGAAAACAATCTTTGTTTGGTTGAGATTACGTAAATAAAATAATTCTTTATCATGGGAAAACAAACTTTGTTATATCGAGATAACGAGATAATATGTCTTGTTATAACAGTGCATAAAAAAAGAAAAATCTCATCTTCTGTAGCTGGTTGCTCTTTTGAAAATAACAAAAGCTGAGGTGGTCACACTCAATTCTTTGTAAATCACCCCTCCATTACTCATGCAAAATATTATGAAAAATGACCGGAAATTATCTTTTAGAAGAAGAAAGAAAGAAATCTTCCTTCCCATACAAAACATACATTTTAGTGAAAGGGTTAAGTTGTGGTTCTGAACAACAAACAATGAAAAAAGGAGATCAAATCCACTTCTGACCTGTGGTCCGATCTTTGAGAGCAGTTTTGCACATCTCGATTCTGGCAGAGTGGAATGGAACATAACGGTCTTGAGGAGACGCCACCAACACCACATTCTTGAAGAACTGGAGCCCTGAAAGGACACAAATGCATAAACCAGGCGTGACAGTGAGTGTTTGTGCGTGCGTATTTTTTGCGTTGTGTGTGAATGAAAGAGAAGAAGAGAGGAAGACAGACGAAAGGAGTGAATTGGTTGTAAACGCAAAGTACAATCACAAAGTACAATGACAGGCTTGATGCGATAAAACAGCATTTTTTCTCAAGTCTCCTGTCAGTGTGCTTTTAAGAGAGTGCACTGGTGGGTTCCCAATGACAGGGTTTGGATCATTTTGTCAGCCTGCCACAGGGCTGGAGGGGTAAAAAGTGTTTTCAGGCTTATCTTCTTCAAGCCTGTGTGACAAACGACTGCTTTGTTCCACTCACACAGTGGGGAGGCCTCTCACAGCTCGCTGGCAGGGCTCGCTCGCAGTTTGAGAGCTAGCGAGCTGACACACACAGAAATTTGACGAAAAAGACAAGATGACAACATTTCCATGAATATTTGAATAGCCCATCTTTCAAGGAAAATTCTGTAAAGAGAGCGAGTCAATAAAGCGCCTTTGTTTTCGAATCCATCCGCTCTCGATCAGTACCTGGTTTCTGGCTCAGGAGATAGAGGAATGTTTTCCGTGGATCAACGTGATCTCTGAAGGTGAGCTGCAGCAAGGATCCGGATTTCTTCAGCTTCTGCATTAACCACAGACCTAAAAGACACACACAAACATCTAGATTCAGACAATCAGGAGCCCTGCTTTCATACGCCCAACATTGAAGCAGTATGGATGATATTCTTAGATAAAAGACTGTCTGATGCTGCTGAGGAGCAAAAGATTGTAAGCAAGCATTGTCAATACAGCATGTCTGCAGTTTGCCTTTTCCCCGCCGCTCCACGGTGGCCTCACCTGTGCTGACCAGTGTGCTGTTGTTGTACAGCGTTCCCAAGTGTGGGCCTGACAGCGAGAGGAAAGTGTGCAGTTTGGGCAAATAGCAGCGGAAGCGAGGCCTCGTCAGCACAGAGCGGATGATGATGTTCCCCAGAGAGTGGCCGATGAAGCTGTCGGACGAAGACAAACAACTTTTAGAGAGAAAAACTGGCAACTTGAGTGGGCGGCAAGAAACACAGTGCCTCCAACGCGACTGACCCACAGTACAGGACACTGTGCAACATCTTAATTTAGCCTCCTCTGTGCAGGAAGAACTTTTAACGAAAGCTGTTTGTAGATGTGTGCGCCAACATTCGTGATCAAAGAAAATGTTCGAGCTTGTTAAATGTTTAACTTTCTCAAAGGCAATGACGTCTTAATAATGCTAACATAGAGGACATACCATGCAGATTAAAAGCATCATCCGAGCAGCAGAGGGAAATACTAGATTCATGAAGCCATGTCTGTCACTTGGTTTAATTACTGCTCTGTTACAGCTCTACCCAAAATCCCTGGTTGCCATGTCTGCTGCTTCTCATCTGTCTCCTCGCAGACTAAATATAGAAGTAATGTGGAAAGAACCAGATGCTGCTGTGGCACTCCATTGCTTTTGTCTTTGATACTTACTCTCTAGAGAATGGGAAAGAAAGTTAACAAACTTGGGTGAAAACTCTTACAGAAAAAAAAAGTAAATTGGCACATTGAGGGCAATTAAGCAGGAAGATGAATAGCTTAATTTCAGCAGAGCTCTGCAACACAGCGCTGTAAAGAGGAGTGCAGTCTATCATGTGAAAGTCAGACACTTTTTGGCACTGGATGATAAGAGCTGTTCATCCATTTGTGCCGTATATTTGTTTTCAGTCCATATATTTTCATAAAACAGTGATTCTCATAAGTGAGGGCACGTAAGAGCCATCAGTGTATCAATGTTTTTTTTTTTGTCTCTGCTGCCATCTACTGGCCACAGACAATTCAGCTCACGCCTAATTATTGCTTTTGTTTAGACTTGGCCTTGAATAATCAGTCTGAATCAATCGAAAAGCAGAGTTGTCAGTATTATGAATGATTCACAGTATTAGATCTGAGTAACTAACCTTATCCTGCCAATGGTGAGATTGTACAGCTGGATATGCTGAATGATCTCATCCAACAACCTGTCCGTCATGGTGTCAAAATCTGCAAACGTGTCAATCTGCAGGGAGAGGAGGAGGCAAAGAAAAGCGCAGCTGTCAGCGCTTCACAAATTGCTATGCGGCTTTTGTGAAAAAATGTGACTGTACATTTTTTTATCAGTGTGATCCCATCACTGTGATCTGCAAATGTGCAAATGTACCTGGTTCCTCTCAGACATGAGGAAGTCAAGCCTGGATCCTGGCAGTCCTAGCTCAATGAAAGTCTTCACCAGCCGAAGGTCTGCACTGTTTCCTGGTGGTAAAAAGGATAATATACATACGATCTCTTAAGAAGATAGCTCATTTATCATTTAAGACACATCCAGATTAAGCTTCAATGAGTTTCTACTCTAAGACTACAGGGTATGAAGAGTTTTTCTAAGTGGTTTTGGCTCTATTTTTAGAAACAGTCTTACCTCTCTAAACTGTAACTGCAACCATCACAACAGTTTAATGGTACATGAGATTTTCACAGCATGTTTAAAAGACATGTTGGAAACTCTCAATGGAAACCCACTCATTTGTAAAGCCTTGTAACTATATTTATAAGGCTTTATGATAAGAAATTACCATTAGTATTAAATACCAACTTATGGTAGTGTTTTCAAGTGTGATGAGCAGTGGACATACATTAACCATACCTTCATGGGGTATTCAAGAGAATCATCAATTTTCTCCACTTTTAAGCTAAAAAGCACTTGCTGTATATCTATAACCTTTCAAACCTGAAAGTGATAGATTACAATGATTAAAAAAGACTAAAAGAGAACCATGAAGGGGGCTGCATCAAGTTTTAAAGCTGATGTGAAGCTCAGCTTAAGTTCAAGCAGGAAGACCTTTATATTAATTTATTCTTTCACAGCAGCTCATCTCACTATATCTGTCTCGCTCTTCTATTTCTGTTTTGTCGACCCATAATCACCACCTGATTATGGGTGCTAACTCTTTCAAGTATAAACCTCCATCGACCAAACCACCTGCTGCCACCAAAAATTCTTTTCAGACATTGTTTCAGTTTCAACTTTGCAAACGTCCTCCATCTAAACTCATCAGTGTCCGGCTCCTCCTGCATACTCTCTTCACTTCTACCACCATCACTATCACTAGAGCCAATCTTTTCTTGCTCTCTACCTCACTACACTTATATGTACCTGTAGACCCTAACCCCTTTTTTATAATTCAACACATCAGAAAATTAGACACCAAAATACCATATTGTCTCAAATATAAGATTATCAATTCAGCTTAGATGCCAAACAACTGAAAAATATGGTTCCACATAGTGTAATTTAAAGATGAAAAGCAGAAAAGGGTGTTTTAGAGTGCAAATTAAAAAACAAGGAAAAAAAAGATTGAGGATTTGCTCATTACCTGGGCACTCACCCATTAAATAGACTGCAGGTTATCATCATTATCATGGGGTTTAATTATTTGTTGCTATTTGGGTGTTTCATCCACAGATCATAATTTTCTTGTTCCATTTACGTGCAACAGTTTAAGACATTGAACACATTATGCTGTTTGAAAGTGTTAAAAATACACTTAATAAGATTTATTCTATGTGTACTTAAAAATAAAATCACTTTCTCTGTTAAAAAAAAACCCCAAAAGATTCAGTCTTTGAGGAGAATTTTTCTTAAACATAAATCTTGACAAGGGTAGTAGTAGGCATGTTTCACATATCAGCAGCCCTGTATGAATATTGTTAAATTGAAATTAGTCGCGCACTTCTCTGTTCAAATCTTTGTAAAAGTCAAGATTCCTAAGCTGTATGTCGACCCACCATCGAGCCCGTGGACACAAACCACGAGGTGTATGCCGTCATCAAACTCCTCATCGTCCTCTTCTGGAGGGAAATAGGGCAGATCTGATGCCAGCAGAGGAAGGTTGCTGTACAAGCTGGCCTGAAAGCTCAACTCTTTGAACAGGTCCTCTTTGGCTTTGTAGAAACTGGAAGATAAAAAGGACATGACATTTGGAACAAAAGAAAAGAAAAAAAAACATGTTCTGCATAAGCAATAAATTAAGTGAATGCGCAGAGACTAGTATTATGTACAGTCTTAGACACCACAAAACACACACAGAGAGTTAAAATGCAAATGGCCAAAGATTCAATTCTACAGGAAAGTTTGGATATAAAAGTAAAAGTGCTTCTTGAAGAGGTAAAACCCTCACATTGGTATAAAACAGAAGCGAAACACTGCCTTGGATCTTTCAGTGTGATTCATTTTTAACTCTGAGGCTTCTAAACAAAAGTCTCCCAGACTTACAAGTCCATCATCTAAGTTTTATTACCCTGTCATCCAACCAGGTTGCATATTTTGGCAGTGCAGGAGTCAAAACAAATCCAATTCCAATTCCTGCACTCCCAGCTAATCATGATGGATTTTTCTGCTCTCTTTGATGTGATTTAATACACCCAGGAGGCATTTCACCTCATCTTGACTTCCTCGCTTGAAATTTGCCCTCACTTCATTTTGATATGCTCAGCTTTCCAAGTATGAGTTACTGCCAGCTACCACACCAGATGTCATCCCCCGTCTTCGAAACACATACAACCTCATGTTTTTGGCCTTCTTTCCTGTAGTTTTTTTTGTGGATTATAATCTCAGTCCAAGAAAGTTTCCTTGCTAGAGGGCTTGCAATTTTATGATTTATTATGTGCTCAAGCCCAAGTCCAATAGGTATTATATCTATTTGTCTGAACCAAAACATCAGATGCATTTAGTCTCAAGGTTCAAGAGAAATTACAAACGTTGCCTAATTTTTCGCTTGAAAGTGTAAATCTTAAAAAATATCAAAAATAGATGATGTCTTTGCTTTAAAATTATAGGCATCAGGCACTCTTAACCTAGATGTGTTATTTTCTTGGACTGGGTAAATGAAACTTCAGATCAGAGCTAAAGGTTAGCTTACACAGCTAAAAACAAAATTTGTCTGCAGTGACTTATTCTGACACTTACAGCTTATTTTTAGCTTTTGTAGTGCTTTTGCAGACAAGCTATCTGCTATCTCGTTTTAGTTGCCAACATCAGCACTTCTCCCCTGGCAGACATTCGATCAGTGGCTTGTCCAGCAAGCTAATGTACGATTTAAGACATGTTTCCATGATTGTAGATAAAAAGAAGACATTAGCTAGGGAGCTAGTGCGGGCTGCAGATCAAAATCGCTGGCTCTGTTTGTGATACGAAGCCAGCAGTTATCTGGATGTTAGTCAGCGCTGACAGGGATATAATGGCATTGTGCCCTTAATTTAAAATGAAAATGAATTCATTTACCCACAGCATTATCAAAATAGAGCATGATGTTGATTAAAAAAGTAGACCTGGACAATAAAGCAGTAAAATTACAAATTTTAGATGAGTTTGAAGAGGTTTTCAAACACAACATCATATTTTCATGGTGGTGATCAATCAATCAATATTTAAACTTACAAGTTTTATCCCAGGACACCGACAAATTCTATTTCCAATGACCCTATGTAAAGATAGATTGAGATTCAGCCCCATCTTGCAAGATAAGACCGATTTCTAGTCCATCCTCCATCACAAGTTTAACACTGTGCAGCACTGAGCAACTTAGAGCAAGCTTTGAACAGGCAGAAACCTTGAGCAGAACCCGACTCATATAGGACAGCCATCTGCTGCCACTACATTGGGATGGATGCTCAAATATCATTATCACGCCCTACTGTTGTGTCCTTGTTGATGGACACAACATGGCACCTGGATTGATTGGCAGCCTCAAAGACAATGATAATCTAAGGGGGCGACCAGGCCGTACTACCATTCTTACATAAGCATTAAACATTCATTCACGTCCTTATAAAGATATATCTGAAAATGGATGTGGATGAAAAATTATGTAATGGGGAAGGGGAAATGTTACTTTCAACCATCCATTCATTATCTTTACCACTTCCATGGAGGTACTGGAGCCTATCTCAGCTATTATTGTCTGAAAGGTGAATATGCCTGGACCAATCACCTGTCTAGCTAACATTACTTTTGATATCTATTTTCAAATCTCATTAAGATGCCAACGGTACAAGGTTCAAATACTATGCCTTACTTCCAACACTTTTTTTTTGTATACCAATTTTTAATTTGTTGAAAACAGCTGTTAGTATAAAGTTAAAGTTGTTCATTCTCTGCCAGATTAAGGCTCATATGCCTGATAATGAAGGTAAGACCACCTTTGCATCAGTTTCAGTGGTTGGTAGTCTCAAAACCTTCCTCTTTCGGAAAGCCTACCCGGACTAATTTTATCTGATTTAATCTGCTATCTGATTTAATCTGCTGACTGTTTTTTTATTGTTTTGCCCTGTTGCTTGGTTTTTACTGTTATTGTTGTCTTGTTGTGCACTTTGAGATTTGTTTTTAAATGTAAAGTGCGTAAGACCACCTTTGTATCAGTTTCAGTGGTTGGTAGACTGTTTTTGTAACGAACTGAGAGTCACCAACTTAGTCCAAACAAATACTTACTTCAGCATGCGCTCATTGGTCTCGTCATCCATGTTCAGAGGACTGAGTGATGATGAGGAGATGATACCGAAAGAGCCCAGGGGTTGATGGGTAATAGGTGAGGTAGCCTGGCGAGTGGAAATTCCACTAATAGATGGTGAGTCTCTCAGAGCTGATGAAAATGGCAGGCATGTTGGGGCACAAGACACTGACATGTTCACCACCTCCACCATCTTCTTATTCACAAAAGCCAGACTCGAGTTGGGGATCTTAGAGGGCTTAGTGTGGCAGTCTAAAGGCTCTTTATCACCGGTTGATGTTCGACTGAGATCAACAGATGATGTTATGTCATTGGCTTTCAGCCCTGTGAGGTCACACGGCCTCTGTGTGGTGGTGCTAGTACTGTTGGAGAAGTTTGCTGGGGCATGTTGAAGCCTTGAGGACTCTAGGGAGGGATCAAGACACTCCTTGTCCTTGATACTATGCAAAGTGGTTTGGTGGGAACTTTGGTACTCATCTCCAGTGTTAATTCTCCCCTGTTCTACTGCACTTCTATGCACACATGTTGTCTTCTCACAGCTGCAGGGAGCCGCTTCCATTTCATTGAAATGCACATCATCCACCAATGCGCCAACTCCACTGGTGTGTGTTTGATGGTTCATTTTTTCCCCCTGGCTGTCAATATCAGTGCTTTCCTTCACATACGGGCTTTCAACAGTCTCAGACACGCCACTTAACACTGACTTGGTTCTGTCTGTCTGTGACAGGTACAGAGAGTCTGAAATTTCAGAGCTAGTATTCCCCTTAAGATTTTGCTCTAGATGTGATGTTGAACTCGAAATGGGTGATCCCAATTGCTCCAAGTCCAAGTTGTCGTTCAAAGAGGGGCAAGTGATGTTGGATAAATCCTGGCGTAAGCTATTTGTATCTGTTTCTTGATGTAGCAGCACGTGGTCCCCCTCAGTGTCTTCGGGGCTACTTATTTGTGGGGCAGAGACTGACTTGGTGAGTTTGCTGAGCTGTCTCTGTTGCTGGTCCTCTTCATAGGGCAGGGAGCTGATAGAGGTGAGTGAGGCTTGTATACCACCACTTGGAATGCTGCCATTGCTCTCAAGCCGCAGGCCTTCCAAAGAGCTGCGGTGGACCGGGTGGCGACATACGATTTGCTTTGGGATCTCTCGTTCACTGGAGAAATCCAGGGGCGGTCTGCCTCGCAGTGCTGCCTCCAGGGGCCAGGCCACTGAACTGGGCTCGCTCTCGATACCTGAGTCTGAAATAACTGATGATGAGCGCTTCATGATCTTGGAACCAACCAGACCTCCACGGTGAGACATCTCCTTCCTGAGATCACTAGGAAAGGAAGGTACGACTGAATGTGCATAGGGAGTGGGTAGGCCGGTGAAAGGAACATCCTCTATCTCATCATCCATGGAGTTATTTAATGGCATAGCAATATCAGACTCCTCTTCATTGCTGTTGTGGTCCGACGAGCGAGCTTCTTTCCCCCCTTCCACATCAGAAGGCTTAACTTCGATGTACCTCAGGCCCGGATCACAGCTCTCCTCAAGCTGGATTTGATTTTCTTCTGGTTTCTTTAAGTCTTCTTCCTTTGCTGGAGAGGGTTCAACATTATCCACGGCAGAAATCGATTGCTGGTTTCTGGTGTTTGTTCTGGTCTTGATACTTTGCCCCCCTATGAGTGAGACATATGTAGGCAGGTCCATGCAGTCATCACTATCCAAAGGATCCTCAGGTATTGCTGGTGATCTGGCTTCCTGGCGGCTTTCAAAAATGACTTCGGCAGGAGTGATGGCACGGTCTGACTCGGTCTGCCAGTCAGCGGTTGGCACATGTGATACCTTATCTGAAAAGATAAGGGACAACTTTAGATCCTTGGTTAAGTGTTACAACTGTGATTCCAAAAAAGTGGTATATTGTATAAGTATAAATAATAATAAATAAATAAAATAAAAATAAATAATAAATAAATAAAATAAAAATAAATAATAATATTAAAATAATAATAAATAATAAATAAATAAAGAATAAATAAATAATAATAATAAAATAAAAAATACAATAAAATTAAAATAAATAATAAGTATAAATAATAAAAAGATTCTAGTGGTTTCAACTCTATGTTTGATTGAAAACAGGGTAAAGACCAACATGTTGTTAAGACAGAGACAACAAAACACAAGCAAAAAGTTGTGCACTGCTAAAAAACACCAAAAAAGGTCTCCAAACTTTTTTGGGTTAATTGAAAACAGATAAGTGATATACCTGGAGATAATGTATCAACATATTTAGGTTGTAGTTTTTAAGACAAATATCAGTGTGCAGATGTACAAACTACCTGTTTGAGGAGACTCCACGTATCTATCTTCAAAGATGATGGGTAGGCTGTTCCAGTCTCCATCGATATCCAGGCACTCAACAGGTAAAGGAGGCATCTTCATCAAGTAGTCTGAGCCCCGCACTTCTGCAGCTATCTGGCCATGTCTGTTAATTCTAATGGGAAGAATTACATCCCAAGTGAAACACTGCCCTCTAATGCTAGAATTAAGAGACGTTTTTTTTAAGCACAACATGTCATCACTTACAGTTCCTCTTGAAAAGTCAGAGAAATCTCTTTGGGGTGCTCTGAGAAAAAGTATGCCTCTGAAAACCTCCTGACCTGAAAACCGACAAAACAAAAGTCAACATGGTTTCAGCCTATTCTCATTTTGACAGTGCTGAAGCATAATATGAGGAAAACAGTGAGTTGCACTGAGTCAAACAAGCATAGCACACAAAGAGAGTTTCAAATCATTCGCTTTTGTCTGTGATCTAAAAGCTTTTCCTTTCTGGCTCCACTTAAAAACAAATCATCCTTGAAAAGTCAGACACTGTGACAGGCAAATCACCAGAAACACTATTTCTGCTGTATTATTACCCGACAATGATTACAGAATAAGCGCTAATTGAAATCCTGTCTCCAGTTGTGGGTGGAGGCATCACAGTGTTGCCTCAGGGTACTGTGATACTAAAGCAAACATGTTCATTATTTTCAGACTACTAAGATGAAGCAGGGCGACATAAGAGAGCCTTAAGAGCTACTCCACTGTGAAGCACTCTTATTGCAGCAGCTCAAAGATTGCATAGAAACTGTATTGGAGGCCGTACTTAATCGCTTGGATGGGTTCACGTTACTGAGCTTAACAATGGATTCTTATTGCTCTGAAGAGCCTTTGTTTTCTGGAGATGTCTACAGGGAGGAACTCCTCTGAGTAGTGGTGTTTACCACAGTAACAGAAGCAATCATGCCTGTTTACTGTCAGTGCTGTCCATTCTCACGATGGGATTTTTTGAAGGGTCTCGGGATTGTATGTATAATAGAAGAGGACTGAAGCCTGGTTCTTATTTCTGCATCAAAACTACACAGCAGGTCGATACAGACCTATACCTACATAGACGCCTACAAACACAGCCTGAAGTGCACCTGACAAAAATGTAACTGTTAACCCCTCAGACAGCAAGATTGGTCCACTTGGTAGCATCATATTTCATGCATTTATAACATTTCCAGTATCGCCCCCTGTGTTGATTCAGTGGTTGTGCAGCTCATCTCTTCTTGCACCCCTTCCCTTTTTAACTTAGCGACTGCTGCTCACTTTTTGCCCACTAAATACTACATAGTAGAGAGGTTTATTTAAGTGTCTACACTTGATTGCAAAAATACACTGTGTTTACAACAGGGTAGGCCAGTATGGTGTAACTATGGTGTAGTGTCAGCACAGAAGTATAAACTAGGCTTTAACTGATTTAGCCAGGTGGTAACATTGGCCTTAAGCCTCTTTATTCAATAAGTGAAGAAATTTACTGACTTTTAAAAAGGGGGTCCGTTAAGGAGACAAACACACAGGATTCATTTTTAAAATCAGAGGCTAAGTCTCTTTCTGATATATGGTCTGTGATTTAAAGGCAAAACAAGAATAATATTTTGTATAAGTACACATAGCCATTAGGATCCTACTATTGATAGCCAAATTTTGCAGCAAAGGAGGGGACTTTCTGTTCTGTTGTACTCATTTGAACTTTTTAGTGTATCTTTGTCTCCAACAGTGATTTTTGTGTCTGTAAGTATGTTGCTACAGGTTGCAGATAAGCTATGCTTAGACGCTTTAAAAGTGCTTGTCTTTCTTTAAAAGTCTTAAATAATGTAGTGTATTAAAGAAAGAGAAAGCTTGCTGATGTGAAGAAAAAGTAGTAAGTAATATCAGAAAGCACCTAAAAGGGCCATCAGATCTGCCCTTAAATGAACACACAATAGAGTGTGAACGACTACATTCACCCAACCTCTAACTAGAGGGAGAATTGTACCACCCCCTTCTCTAACTTATCCCCTCTTTTTAATTTTCTCAACCAACAATTACTGCTCATTTCCTTCAATTCCAGTTCAGAATAGAAAAATGTGACACCTCTACTTTTCCATTTTTATTTGAGAGCTGTGTTTAAAAAAATTACTGAACAGCTCTTTAAAGAAAATAAAATCATCATGCCTTAAGGCTCTGTCTCCAGAGCTAGAATTCAAATGGTTATGAAACCTTTTTCATTGTTTGCTGTATTTCTGTATTCCAGTGTGGGTGCGCAAGATGAAAATATCTAAATTTAAACATAACTACATAAGTCATCTTCATTGCACTTCTAATATGGAACTGTCTGGACTGAGGTTCAAAGAACACACAGATAACAGCGAGTATTGTATCATCAGGCCTTTGATGAAGTGTGTGCATGTGTGTGTGTTTGTGTCTCTCACCCGGAGCGTGTGGTGCTCTTGGGCCAGGTAGGAGAGGATGTGGGGGTTGAACACAGCAGCCTCCAGGAAGCTGCTCCACAGAGCAGTCAGCTGGGAGCAGAGCTGGCTCACATCCCTGCTGATCTGCTCTCCTACTTTTTCATGGCTGTCCTGCAGCTGATAGGGTCAAAAAAAAAGATACACCTTCAATATCAAACATGTTCTCCCAAAATACTGTCTGCGTCATTCTATAATAGGATTCTTGGTTTTCCTGCCAACGTATTTATACCTGTCTGCAGTCAACCTGACCTGCATGTCTTTGGATCACTGTAGAAAACTCATTAATCAATGAAGTCAGGCTGTTCTCTTGGAGGCCTGAGGGTAATATCAGCTAGACTCATCTACCTGTCTGGGAATTAATTCACTTTTTAAAAATTGATATGAACAAAAAACAATAGAAACACACTGTGTACTGCATACATTTTACACTTAATTTCTTAAGCAATTCATGAATCTATCATGACTCTATTTCATGATTTCTTATTTAAAATATCCTCAGTCAGGGGACTCTAATTCACTGTTACTTCATACGTTAGCTGAGATGGACTACATACATACATACATACATACATACATTCTGAAAGGATCAAGTAGATTCAGCTGCATCATTGTTATTTTGGCACCTTTTAACTCAAAACGGCTCGATGTGTTTTCACCAAGAAAATTAGACAACGATAAAAATAGCATTATTAATAAAAAGATTACAAAACTATTAAAGGAAATCACTGAGGATAATGATGCAATTTAATAAGCAGTTAATTAGAAGTGCTCATTACATAAAGACGTGTGATTTCATCAGTAGTTAATGCTGAGCAAATTGAACAAATGGCACATCTTTTATCGACTCCAGCATTAGAAAAAAGAAAAAAAAAAAACAGGACTCATGCATTACTTAAGTAGATGAACGGATAAACATACCTGTAACTCTATGGTGAGTGTATTTAGAGTTTCTTCTACAGGCAGCACCTCTGTGGAGAGACGGTTTTCATAGGATAAGTGCATGTGATTTAACTACAATCTGTATCTGATTAGGTCACATAAGTTAGTACAGTCTGCAGAACTTTATTTAAAAAAAGAAAAAATCTTAACACCAACAGAAATTTTAAGTTGAATCATCTAAGAATTAATTTGAGAAATAACCAATTTGTCTATAATTTAAGAAATAAACTCCACAAAGTGTATGAGTATAACATAAAGTAAGGGATAAGGCGTAGTTGGCTGGTGGTTGTGTGACGTGTTTTCCTTTTTGTTTTCTATAAATGTTGAGTTACCATTATGATGATTTTAATCTTGAGGGAAAAATATGACATCATGATAGCCCTGATTCCCATCTTCTTCAGTTTATTCTTGGGCACCACTCCATTGTAGATGCATCCCATATATAAATATATACATTTTTAAATCGCATTTATAAGACAGTTATGGTTACACTGTTGGAACCTTTCTAACATCTTGCATCCTGCCATCACTGCTCCCGATAGAGTCCTCAAAAAATTAATTCAGGCATAATAAAAACTAAAAAAACACTGATATTGGATTTTTAAGGGCACATTGCATTTAAGCAATGTATGAAAGAAACTTCCAAGTGTTTCTAAATCTAGTATTAAATAATATTCCATTTAAAAAACAGGTTTAAATGGGCTGACCTGACTCCAGAGGCGTCTGCTGGAGCTGTGGGATCTCCTTCATCAGTGCAGTGTGATAGGTGTGAAGGCCTCTATATGCCACCAGCAGGAGGCGACAGAGTCTTCGATGCCACGTGTGAGCTCTCTGCAGGCAGTTTTCACTGGGCACATAAAAGCTTCCCTGCAGAGAAGGAGACACAGGAAATGTTAGCTTCTATGTAGGTCAGCAGTCACCTCTCCGAAAATGGCCTTCCTTAATAACGGATGTGTCCGCATACTTGAGCTTTATAGCTGCCAACTGCAGCACTTGAATTGGCTGGTCAGATCAAAAACAAACGGCCCCTAAACACAGCTTGCTCAGAGTCGTAAAAGCAGATCAATACATGCATGTGGCATCAGGAGGATGTAGCACAACCCTGTTATGACCTGTAAAAGTTCACAAGCGTGGGAAGCTAACCCAGAATCAAGGTTTTTCAAGGGCATGCTGGGAATTAGACATTTAAAAAGTGCACACAGGAAGTGAACGCATAATATATAAACAACACGTCCCAGCAAAGTCAGATAAAAACACTTAAAAAGGGCAGCAGTTTGTTAAGAAGATAAAAAACTGTCTCTTTCTTTGGACTATCAGCTCAATTTACTGTACACTGTAATATACATTATATTTCCAGTAGATGGCTCTCAAGCGATGCGATTGAGATATCATTGTACCTGTATGATAAATGCAACACAACACAAGGCTGTGTCCATACAGCTACAAATTACCACCACCTTGATGTTATAACCATGTCTCTTATTCATCTTCCTGAAGAGCTGACGGCCTTCTGTCCAAACAACTATCATCATCAGCTGTCATTATGGAGTCGGCGAACAGCTGATGATGAATGTTACCGCTGACCGCCCTCATATGCTAGTCCCTGACCTTAAACTGTCTGTGACCCACTGGCTTCTTCCCATGGCTAGGATGTTTTTGCAGCATCAGTGGGGCTCTCTCTGAGCTTTCAAAGGCATGTAATGCACAAGGATCTGGGGATGTACTGTAATTTGCCCCGAGCAAGTGAAGGCTCCAGCCCTATCATCATACCTGTGTGCGCTCTGTAATTGTAGCAGTGGAGTATACCTGAACCAGGAAGAAACATCTGTATGTTTACTTTCATAATTCTCTTCAGCTTTACTGAGGCCTGCCTGGATCAGTTTGGAGAAAAATAGCTATTTTTCAGTTTCAACTACTCATTATCCTCGAGCTGTAGTTTCTTTCTGCACTGGTAATCCATGGGTTGTTCCCAAGTTGTAAGTCACCTGACATTAGAAGTTCTGTTTTCCGCTCTTGATGTATTTTTTAACAGTTCACTTATTACAGTATGTAGTGGAATAAGCCTGCAATCAATGCTACTGTCAAGGAAGTCTTGTACTGGCAGAGAAGAGTCTCTCAGAGGACAATAAATCTAAAATGGTTTCTGCGTTGTTATCCTCTGAACCATGTTTCATTTCAGCCATAGCACAAGGGGAACTTTCAACGATATATCAGGGAGAGTTTACACATCTTTTTCAGGTAAAACAGTGTAACGTTTGAAAGTGTTGTGTTGTTAAAGAGGGAAAGTGTTGTAAATGTAGTTGTAGCTTCAGGTAAGAAAAAAAAAAGCACATAAAGGTGAGGCAGCATTGTTTGTAGAGTTCACCTGCAGCTATGTTGTACGTGGCGCTTGTGAGCAGAACTCATTACTGTGATCAAACGAAACCCCCCTGCCTGGCTAAATGCAGAGCTTATTAAAGTGCCCAGCTAGGAGTGGAGTAAAAACCAGGAGAAGGAGGGGGCGACTGGGGGGCTCATTAAGGTTTACAGTGTAGACTGCGGTGTCCTCAGGGTCCTAAGAAATGTAGGTTATAGATGAAAGACAGTAAGAAGCAATGGTTTTACAGCTTTTCATATTTCAGACTGATAAGCTAAGGATGATTTGGTTTCATGAATGGTTACTCCAGGAAAGAGCTGCTTTGAATTCAGGTTGCAACTAAAATATAATGACATGTTGTTATAGTCCAACAATGACTCTCAACAAGAAGGTTTTCTCATTGAGACCATTTTTGTACAAGTCATCAACGCTAACAAATGCTAATTGTTCACCTTGTTGCCTGATTCATGGGCGTGTCTTCTGGTGCCTTCTATCACGGAACTTGGAACTGGCATTTTCCATAGCGACTGGATGCTAATAGTGATTATTTTAGCGATTGAGGATATAAAAGAAATGTGGGAACATCAGCTGTCACATCTTAATCAGGACAATTTTATCATTCCATGGCCCTCTTCTATCAAAGTGGTGAGAGGATGATATAAAGATGTAGCTTCACTGGCATATTTAGCTACTTTGTTAGCTTTGTTGCTGTATACAGAACAGCTATGAGAAACCTTAACATCTTCAAGGGTTATCAGTGGCTAAAGGTCGGTTGCGTTCTGTTAAAAGAGGTTTGACTGGGTCTTTTTGTACTTGAAAGCAGATGTAGAGGCAAGTCGGAGCCTCAGTGTCCCTCATCACTGTGCCTGGGTTTTAGTGTCAACTCCAGGGGAAATACAAACAGCTGCTCATGTACTGCAGGACCAGGGCCATCCTGCAGCCATGCAGCTGCAATACTGTGGAAGGTTTGTTAGTATTTTGGCAGATTTTTATCAATTTTGACTGACAAAATTATTAAATGAATGATGAGAATTTTTTAATTTGGGTATCTTTCTCATGTGTTTTCATTGCTCATGCAGCCTCTCACAAAAGCTTTAAATGCTTCCCACCTTGATTTCTGAAAGGCTTAGCCTCTTTAGAGTCCCCTTCTAACACCCATTCATTTTACTGACCTGTTGGAAATTAATCAAGTCAGTTGACCTCCAAGTGATTTTTTTCGCATTCCACAACTTTTTCAGAGTTTCATGTTTTATGTTGCATGTTGCTGATGAAAATTTGGAAATAAGCATTTATTTCTCACAGAACACCAACATGATTTGTCAGTTTCTACGCTTAACATGAACTATTTTGAATCAGTATTTTTATTTTCTATAAGTGTCAGTATTTCCATTTTCAGCAATTCTAAATCTTTCTTTTAGGATTCACTGGCTAAACTTTTTAAGATGCTTCTCAAACCATTGGGGCGTTGAACTTGGTCCAACCCTAATTTCTATAGAAATGTGGATGAGCCCCAGAAAAAGCCATTCCTGACTATGTGAAAATAATGCTACTAATGACTTCTTAGCAATCCTGCATCAAGGAAGCTTTGGCTGAAACCAAAAAATGTAAACTCTCTCTGTCGTGGTGTAAGTTTGTCTTTGCAGTTTTCTAAAATGCATTATTAAGCAAGTGATGATTTCGAAACTGCTGCTAATGTAGGAGGAGTGCAGCGAGGGCACTGTAAACTATATAATCACAATGAATAATTATGATAATGGAAATTAGATCTTTATTTCTGTCATTATACAATTGTGCTGCGTAACTGTTCTGCAAACAAGCACAGAGGACTGAAAGAGAGGTGACAAGACCACACTGTCATTTCCAGAGAGAGCTGCTATCCCTTCCAGATGCTTAGCCTGGAGCCAGCATGCCTGGGCAGGTGGGTTAATCAGATATTACGAAAAGCCACAGCACAGAACAGTAATAATCTCTGTGTTAACCTCTGGTCTTAAAGCCTTAAGACTCCACAGAGCCCAAACAAATGACTGATTCTGAGGTTGCCGGGTCCAGGATCAGTAATCCAAATCAGAATGACTCTCTGCTCAGTTCTTAGGCTGAATCCTGCTGCTTCTGGATGACACGCCAAATCAAATCACATCTAAATCCATCGGCCTCTGTTCCTGAATCAGAGCACATTTACGTCATCCTTTGGCATTTATCAGCTTGCATACAAGGAAGCTTACAACAGTTTGAAAGGGGGACAACTACCAGATGATTTTTGGCCATTTTCAGCTTTGTGAGACAAAATGGGCCGCTAAATGTCCGTGACATTTCTTTATCAGAATGCAGCTGGATTGCTAAAGGTTAACATACCTCAGAAATGACAGGCTTGCAGTAGCCAGCTCCAAACACAAGGTTCTCCACAGTCATGGCAGATGGGTCACTAGCACTCTCTGGTGAGCCTTTCCCCAGCCAAGAGCCCTTCCCTGTACGTGCAAAGCTGCAGAGAGAACAAGATACATGCAGGGACAGAGTGTGAGTGTGTGTCTTTGTGTGTGAGGGGGAGACAGATCAGCCGAGAGATGGGAGCTGCTACTATTCCAATCAATCAGGGGCTGAAGTAATCTATGTAATGCATGGGTAAACAGTGCCTTTATGGTATTGACAGCTGAATTAATCAGATAAGTGTTTGAAAAAGTATTCATTCCAGCAGCTAATGGACACACCTATTGTATCTGCCAAAAGAAATAAGTGGAAGAAAGAGGCTGTGCTGGCAGATCCTTCACCTTCTGTTCTAGTTGTTACAAGCAAACACAGACCCCTAAATCAATCCATTGTGAAAGTGTACAATTTGATTATATACAAGAAACATTTCACTGAGCCGCTCTTCCAGTTAAATTTGTGGGACAGGTATTCCCAGTAGCTAGGCTCTGATGAGCTTTGAATTTGTCAAGATACCAAATTGGTGTGGATAAAGATACATGAACAATATAATGTTTTTCTCCTATGTGTGAGGACTAGATCAAAAAACTTTTATAAGCCCCAGCATTACCAATTTACAGTAGTATGTTACTCAAACAAGCTTATAACCCGAACCTTTATTTTATTCTGTAATCAATGTACACATCATGAAATTACTTGGTTCCATTTATCAATATGAGTACAGGTTGTGAGTTGCACGGTGGAAAAAGATTGTTCAAAGGTATGTTTTAGGTGTAACATGAATCTGTGTCTGCTCTCATTTCTCTTTAGCTGCCAGGTGTGAGTTTAGGGCTGGGCGATAAACCGAAATTTACTGATACCGAAATTTACAACAATAACTGACTTCATTTTGCCCATGTCAAGATATACGGTGTCAAAAAAATAAATAAACAATAGTTTTTTTTGGATGTGTGGAGGTACAGTAGGCTATGGTTTCATGTCTCTTTAAGACGCTACGTCCTACATCGGAGACGTGACTCCACCCCTAGAGGGAAAGACAGGTGAGGAGATGGAGGACAGTTCAAAAGTTGTAGCGGCTGGAGCATCGGCTGAGGTAGACAAAGAGGGACAAAGAGGGGGTGAGCAGCTTGTGGAGTAGTTATCGTCCATTTATCGTTATCGAGGTGAACTGCTCAATATATTGTGATATTGATTTAAGGCCATATCGCCTAGCCCTACATTTACGTACAAGACATAGCAGAAAAACTTTATTCATAATTTAAAAATTGGGACATGCTGAAAGTATAGAACAGGATCTTATGAGGACTTAGATCCATGTGCTTCATATCAAGGAAAGGTGGGCTGTCATTGACCATTGTAGTTTGTACTGTGTGTCTCTCTTTCCCTTTTGCTTTTTACAAGACCTGGGTGCCAGACATCAAACTAATTAGAGCACAGTGACACTTGCCCTGTGTGCCATGATGGTTTGAGCTGACTGTAAAATAAGAAAAGGCTACATATGCTAGCCCTGCATGGACAATGCAGAGACAAGCCAGAGCTTGCTTTTCAAAAAAAAAAAATCCCTACCATCATTTTAATTAGCTGTCAGCCACATTTGATAGAGCGTCCCAGTGCCTTTTTATATCTAATCAAAGTGTTAATGCTGTCTGTGAATTTAAGGTCTCACTGTACCTGATAAGCGGCTGATGTAAGGCAACCAGTGAGGCATGTGTGGAGACAGAAATGACAGACAGGTGGAAGTAGTCAAACATGACTGGAACATGGTGGTGGAGGCCTCTCCGCGGGTGGAAATGGAGGTTTAGGGTCCGACTACTAATCAGTGGAACAGTCACTATATCCGCCAGCCTGAGGAATGAAAATAAAGGAGAAAAAAAGGTAATTTCAGCACAATAATGAGAAACTAAATGCAAATTAAGGGTTTTGGTGTATGCTCTAAAAAGGCGGATTATTATGTTTGACTCTGGACTGTCTGTACCATTGGTATAGCAGGAAACAGCTCTTTGTTTAAGGATCTGTAGGTATTCTTAAGATGTCTTTTTACCTTTAGCAAGACTCTAAAAAAGATGTCCGTGCAGCTCAAGAATAACCCAACATCATTATGTGTGTATATATATATATATATATAAGAGTCTAAGTGAAAGACTAAAACTTGACTGGAATGGTAATAGAGACCTTGTAGATACTTTGTAGGAATACAGACTCTAGCTAAAGCATCCAGTGAGCATTATAATGAGAAGTATGTAGCTTTGAAGAGTCCTTTAATCACACACGTATGACAAAACCTGTGATTTCAGGGTTTTAACACAACACAACACTAAGTACTCCTCACTAATGTGCAGTTTCTGGTCAGGAGGAGCGTAAAGCCTAAACAAAAAAGTGTACCTTTTGCCATTTGTACTAATGCAAACTACTCATCAATTTTTCTTTTATTGCCCAAAGCGTGAAAGACAAATGACAGCAATTGTGTACTGCAAGCGCTAAAGTGTTCAGGTGCTTAAAGAGATGGCTACAAGCCATAGGACATAATAGGCCTTTTTCATGCCTAGTTTGCATTCTTACTCTTGCATAAAAGCTGCACCAGGATGCAAGTCTAGCATTCTCTCTCTCTCAAACACACAAACATGTTCTCTCTTCTTTACACACACACACACACACGCACACACACACAAACGCGCGGACACATCTTGAAACTGCTCAAAAACTTACTGTTGCTCATTGTCTGTAAAATGAAGATCCAGCTTCAACTGAAAGTCCACCTCACTCAAGGCTTCCTCCACCTGTAAGACATCAGCAATTCAATAATCACATTTGATAGAAATACAAAGTCAATTTGCCTTACAGAGGAGGCAAAGACAATAAATAAATAAATAAATAAATAAATAAATAAAAGAACACCAATAACAGCCATTAACCAATTAGTTAGGAAACAGAAAAAGTATTGACACATTTATAAAAATGATTTTTCACCAGCCCTGAAAACACACACATCCAAAGCAAAAGTAATATAATCCCTGACCTTCTGCTAGTAAGCACTGACACACAAGAGCATAGAAACACACACAAATCAAGTGCAATTGTTGATGTCTTTAGCCAGAATAGTTAAGTAATTCTTAAATGTGTTTATGTGAGTAATTGCTGCTTTAATGCTGAAAATTCTGTTGGTGTTAAAATTTTTGAGATCTGGTTGGAAGATGGGTGGTGACTTCAAGAACATCAACCACCAGTTAATCCAACTGGTTTTCTTGATCCAAGATCAAGTAAATTAAACTTTCACTGTGAACTCCTGGGTGATTGAAACTGCAATCACAAATAAGGATTGAAGGTTTTATCAAAATGCATAGAATGAAAGTTGTTTCATTTTTTTCTTAATTTTAAAAAGCTCACTCAGTAACTCAATGCTTTAGAAATGTGTTTATCTAAAATCAGTCTTTGATCCTTATCATTCTGTTCTTGTAAATAGTACACATACTTGTTCCAGTATCTCTGGCTTTTAATCAAACATCTGTATGTACTACCGTTGTTATTAATCTCCATCTTTTTCTTTCTGCATTTCCCTTGAGCTCATTTCTAATCCCAGCACAATCTTAACAGATGATTGTTAAACAAAAGTCTGGTTCTGCTCAAGTTTTCTGCCTGTTAAAAGGAAGTGTTTCCTTGATACTGTAATTTGCTAAATGCTGCAAAGTGGTGCGGGATGGGATCAAAGTGGGTTTGATCTGACTATATGGGAGTCAATCTTATCCCATCTTGATGTTGGGTCTTTGTAAATATAATCAAAGAACATGGTCTAGACCTGCTCTTTTTGTAAAGCGTCTTGAATTAACATTTGTTGTGAATTGGTGCTGTATAAGTAACAATGGCTGATTGAGATGGATTGATTGACACTCTACAGACTGTTTCAAGGATTTCCTCTCATGTAGGTTAAATACATTTCAACAAGTTTCATGGTCAGTGTGTCATAGACTATGATACCTTATGTAAATATGGAACCTATTTCAACATGAAAAACACAATGAAAAGGTCTAAGCTACAAAAGCTGTGTTTTGAGTGGAGCCTTTAGCGGCTCATTGGCATGCAGGTTGCAAACATCTCATCCTTTTAGTTTGCACGTTAACTGTACAGCAAACACCGGAATCTTTGCAGTTCTGTCCCATATCAATGTTCTGATTGATTAAGCATACATATGTGTGTAACCAGGGGGAAATGAGGGGCTATTTCTGTCCCTGCTATCTGCGGCTGTCAGCAGCAGATAACCTCCAAAGGTTAATGAGTTGAGAGCCTTTGGGAGGGCTGAAATCTGATATGTCTTTAAGCTCCTCTGTGTCTGAATCTGAACATGAATGTCTACAAATTTGATGAAATCCTCTAAGATGAAAATCTTCATTCTGAATGAAGCAGTGGCCTTAGCAGTCCAGGCATCTGAACTGCACACATATGACAGAGATCAGTGGCGGAGCAGGGTTATGTCAGTGTGTGACACATGGCTATCATATGGATGATTAGCTCCAAGCAGAGCCATCTTAACTCCCCCACATCTCTGCCTCAGGCCTGTCACATGCTGTCACTGCTGATCTATTTGAGCTCCAGTGGCTCTCAACAACAAAAACAGGCAGAGTGGATTTTCGGGGTCGTGCCCACAGTGAAATCGCCCAGGACAGTACATCAATAACTGTCTAGCAGGTTTACACGCCTGATCATTTCAGCTGAACATGGGCAGCCTGGGGCACGGGCAATTTGCATATGTCTACGTAGGGAGCATTAATTTAAAGAGGCAAATTGCTGAACTCAATTAGCTTCACTCTGTGTGCTTGTTTGACAGCGCTGGTTTTCAACAGGTACCATGACTGATGGGAAATTTTCAAGAAATGAAAGACATTTGAGTAAGAACAAATCTGACACACTGATACTAGTGTAGAGATCACCCTCCACAGTCAGATTACTTGTGATCCACATATTAATGTAAAATGTATCATCATGCTAATCTGACATGCAGAGCCTCAAAGACGATAGAAACGCTTTTAAGAAGAGCATGTAGATGCCATGGAGATAAACTGTACAGATGTGTAGACAGTCTTGTCTCTTTTTTAGAATACTGTTTCACAAGTTTGAGTAAACTTTCACACAAAAATAATGATATTTTAGGATTTATTTGCTACTTTATATTATTCTTAATCCTGCATCTTCTTGGCAACTACTAGCTGGTAGATGTGTGTGACAATGATCGGCAGCTTAATGTTTATGATGTTTTTCCCACAGCCTGCTATAGCTGTACATTTATCTAAACAGCTCAGACTTCATAATACAACAGTGTTTGGTCAAAAGAATAAAAATAAATAATAAATAAATAAAATCACTGTTAATTACTTAATTAACTTCTTGTAACTTCACAGGTGTACTGTTACAGGATTTCTTTATGAAATTACAACTTAATACTGTAGATTTACATCTGCAAGATAAGCCGTATTACAGTAATTTGCCGTGAAATTACAACTTTGTATTGTAGTTTTACAATAAAGTTCAATGATATCACAGTAATTTCTTGTTAACTTTTGACCTTATACTGTAGTGTTACAGCTACAAGACCCAAGTAAATTCCTGTGATATTACAAAGGATTTAGATTGAAGTATTTTATTGTGAAACAGCTGTGAAGTCCAGTGTCGAGGTAGTTCTTTCAGGTAGTATCTGTGATATAACGGGATTTTGATGACAGTATTTAACTGCAAAAAAATACTGTTAAATATTGTGAAATCCTGGTAATTTTGAAGAGTGCACACTTCAACACACTCACATTTTAGTCATTTGTTTTTAAAGATAACAGAAAACTTGTTAGCCACATGAGGATTTCTATTTTGTGTTTGTACTCCTGATGTGTTCAGTCAGCCTCATGATTGATTCTGAACCATCCAGGGGTATTTCACTCCTGTCAGCTACAGCCTGTGACTCTTTCAATATAAGCATTGATGGTCGGCTGGTTGGAAAGTCAACAGTTAGTTCAAGATAAAGATTTCACCTGCCAAACAGTTAATCAGTTATAAGTACCAATTTGTTTGCTAATAACACATTAGTTCCACTTTAATGAAACAGAAAATCAAAATAATCATACAGGGGGCTGCTGATCGGTCGTTCTTCAATCATAATACATTGCAGCATTACAGCATGAACTGCATTTTTGATCAGATGATTAAAATTGCTCAATTTTGCCTTTCAAAGCATTTTAAAATCTATAATAATGAGTCTTTGTTTTGGAATCAATTAAATGCAATGAAATGTACATTAATTATTTAAAAATGAACACAGCACTGCTACACTTGTGTGGTCAGAAACCATTACTTATCGGCAGGAGGTGGTTTCAAAGTGCTCAGAGTCAGTGAAATACAATGTTTTTGTTCTGTTTTTCTTTATAAGACAGTAAAACATTCATAAACATGCTGATTGTGCAAATACAAATGTACAACCATTTAGCAAGTGTTGTTAACTTATTGGGTAAGATTTTATTCTCATGTCTGTGGTGATTTGCACTCTATAACAAAGCACTGCCTGCTTTTTTGATGCCATGAGACAAATTAGCTGCACTGTTTAGCTGTTTGCTAAAACTAAAATTGCTTTGGTGGTGTTTTGGTTCTGTTTGTCAATTGAATTGCTGAGTGTTTTTTTTTTTCAAAGTGAAATATGTCATTCAAAGTGCAGTTTTTCAAAAGGGAAATGAAATAGCACTGACAAAGACAACAATGCATTAATTTCAGACCTCAATAGCATCCCAATTAACATATTAGTGCTGACAGCCCGACTGATTACATATTGATACATAAATATTAATGATACCATAACAGAACTAGGGTGCTATTATGAGTCAATGTTAAGAACAGGGGCAAAGTCCTCTTCATTTAAGGTGACCAGATTTCTGTAATGAAATCCGGGGACATTTGGTGGGGCAATAATAACCCCCGTAAGAACTGTTGTTCAGGACTGCTTACTTGTGCTTCCTAACCATTCGGCTACTGTAATAACCGTTGTTCGAGCCCACACGCAACATTTTTGTTCTCATTCATGAAACGCTTAAATCGGGGACATTTCTGGGGACAGCTTTTGCCGGGGACAGATCATCCAATTCGGGGACTGTCCCCGGAAATCGAGGACGTCTGGTCACCTTACCTTCATTGAAATAAATACCAGTCAGTCTGGTTGTTAGGATTGAGTTGGATCTGCTGAAATTGATTATTTTCAGTAATCCTGACAGAAAACAAAAGATACATTGCTCTACAAATCAATATATTGACACAGCTTCAGATTACTATTAAGTTTCACTCCATTTATTGCTAGCTATAACTTTTGATGAAGCTGCCTTGTCATTTTTAAAGGACATGGTTTTCCATATACCGTGGATTTAAATGCATGGTAAATGATTCAGTAAGCTCCTAACAGTGAAGACGTGCAGAACAAAAACAGTCCAATCAATGTCATTTTATTTTTCTGTCAGTGGAAGATGAAGCAGTTCTACTATCCTGCTCATTTGCATGATTATGTAACGTATTCATCACATTGTTCTGCTTAAATTAACGGACATAAATCTCTCTCTCATGAAAGGAAAGTATAGCTTATTTTGCATGGTAGGAAAAGGGACTAAAAACCTGTGTAGGAGGGAACAGTGGATGATAAAATGCATCAATTAATGACCATTTAATTGACCTACTACACAGCTGCTTTCACTGTAATTAACAGTCATGAATTTTACAGCCACGCTGCCGATAAACTCTGAGCAGCCAAACAGTATTCTCTCTTCTCATCACCGAGGAAAGCACATTTGTGTATGTGTGAGTGTGTTTGCAGAAAATGTCGTCCACATGACTCACCCTTTCTCCGTCCAATAGTAGGTGGACTTTGAAGATCATGCAGTCATTCACCGCAATCTCCTCATTTCTGTAGAGGATCTGAAATATCCTGCTGAACACGGTACCATCGTAGACCCCCGCTGAGCTAAAGCTGCATTCTCCTGATGAAAGACACAACAACGCAATAACACTGAGCCCCTGAACAGCAGCAACCTGTTATATCAGTGCAGACACAACAAAATAATTTTACATAATGTTATGTTGATATGATATGAAGTCATATCTGGGTAATACTGATTTTTTTATGAGCAAGATAAACAACTGCAACACCTGAAATTTTCAGTACAGGCTTAAATTTGAAAATTGAATATATACAAAGATTTAAAGATAGACAATGAGTTGGTGACGGGTCTGAGTATGTAACATCTGATCTGAGAACATCTAGTTTGCTTGGATTCAAAACTTGTGTTTACATTTCAGAATATGTTTCTAACATTTGGGCGTATCTCCTTTGATTATTGTTCATTTTTCCCACACTCCAGATCGTGTTTTTTGTTCAAAGATGACAAAATCTATATCACTATCTCTAATATTACAAATTACCATTCAATTTCATGTTTACTAAATTCTTACAAATGTACAAAATGACAAATGTACAAAATGCTGGTGTGGTCTAACAAGAACTTCAGAAGTCGCTGCATTCCACCTAAAAAAAAAAAATTGGCCCATACTCCCAACTAAAGTTTGTCACTGTGAAGGGTCAGATATAGTCAGATGTATATTAGTTAAAATAGTAAAATAAAGCAAGGTAAGCTACTTTCCCTATTGCTTTCACATGCTCAACTACAATGCTAGCTGAACTCTACTGTTGAGCATTCACACACTAAAAGTAAACAATCTTCTGCTCTTGAGACTGAGTCACACCAGTTCAAGGAAAGGATCAAAGTTTGTTACAAACTACATTGGTCCGCCCCAGGAAATTTCGGGTGTGCCTTACTCTTTCAACTAACGAGAGTTAGCCAGCAACAAGTGGCAAACAACATTAGATTAACACATTTTATAATGGGATACAAATCTATCCAAGCACTTATTTACCCGTGTAAGTAACAGATGTTTTTGTTAGTTTAGCTAACTTGGCTTGGACCACAAATACATAATTTATAAAATCAAATAGAGCAGAGATGGAATGAATTACAATATTGGAAATTGACCATTGATGGGTAATTATTCGTTCCTAGCCAGTATGTGGTGGTTTTGGATGTAGATAATGTTTTCATAGGAGCAGGCCTTTATTCTGAATCGTTTTACAAAACTGTCCATCTGAAGATTAGTTGGTATGTGTTGTCAATGGTACATTTAGATATAACAGTATTCTCATAAACAGGAAAAAAATATATATATAATTTTGTACTATTCTAACTGTTAATAGTTCAGGACCCCTGGTATTGTGATCAACTTCCTCCATGTTGGAGAACTCTTTTGTTGTCCAATGTATGGGCGGTTTACTTTTGTCTCTATAAGACCTTTTCATGGCAGAGCTGCAGTCCAGCTGTGAGTCACAAGGGTCTCTGACATTGCCTGCTGAGGTTCTGCTCTTTTCTATCTCAGTCCCACTCTCCGTCTCACAGCGGGCCTCCTCCTGATAATACTGTCACTACTTGCAGCTTCAAGCAGCCCCAGCCGGGATGACGGATGTCCGGGTGCGTGACGGTTGTCAAAGACCGGCTGGATGTGTGACAGACGCAGCGTTAATCCCTGCAGGTATGTTCTGTTTGTGGAAGAAGTTGTGTCGCTGTGTCGGCACCACGGCCTCTCAGTCAGACAAATTTGACACTTTAGTTTTCAGCATGTCTCCTTTTGTTTATTTTGTTTTGTTCTGTCTGCCCTCTGTCTGCAGACATAGGAGTGAGGTGGATTAGACAGTGCGCAGGAATTAACATAAATGATTTTCTATTTGTGTTTGACCTGTGAAGGACTCCCTCAGGTGCTTCTATGCCCTCTCTCATGTGCTGCTTGGCTCTCCGGTATGCCAAAAGACACTAAATCATACAATCTACCTGCTGCAGTTGCCCTGGCTGCTTTCACACTCTTTACATCCTTCAAATGGCAGCTTGTTTGACAGGATTAATTGAACCTTGCATCATGTAGCTCGTGATAAGAGCCTGAAAGGGAGGCTGTTTTGCTGTGATGTCTGCTTTGACATTGAAAGCAATGATTTTTGCATGCAAGGGAAGAGCAGAAACAGAAAGAAACAGCATGACAATGTGACAAGAAGCCAATACAACAATCATTCATTCTCACTTTGTACCTTTAAAATTATCTTTTTCCAGCCCCATAAACTTTGATATACTGTGTAAAATGTCATTACAAACAGAATATAACAGTTTTAAATCATTTTGACCCTACAAACATTCAATTGAACATAGAGCAAAACTTACATATTAAAAGCTGGAAAAAAAAAAACCCCAAAAAAGTTTTATGCAAATTTCAAAATTCCTGCGAGTTTGGACAGGGCATGCTTGTTGTTGCATTTCTGCACTCTTTCTTTTAACAGCAGTCTGTACATTAAGGTAATCGACCCATTTGTCACAATCTAGTATTTTCTTCTTTTTTTTCATACTTTTCAGTGTTTCTTTTCTGTGTATTTGGTTTCTCAGAAGTTCCTGCATTCACACCTGCACCCCATCTCTCAACCACCTGCAGCTACCCTGCCTCAACCCATCCACTCTGCCAGATGATTACCGCTCTCACTGTGGTATTGTTGGTCAGTGTTAGCAGTCTTTGCAGTTTAGAAAGCTGATTTTGGCCCTTGGAAACATTTTCTTGTGACTAATCTTTTGTCTCCTGTCCTTGCCTCCAGTGCCTCCCACCACTGAGCTCCAGCGCCAATCCACACCAAGCCTCTCCACTGTGCCACCTTCCTTCCTCCTCAGTATACTTTAGCCTCAACCAGCCACAGCCCTGCCAGAACCCTCAGCTTCAGTTGGTAACCCTGTCTCCTATGGATCGGTTACACCTCTACTTAAAACACATGGAAGGATCCCTGAGGTGCCAAGGTAAAGAAAAAAATAATAAGGCCTTCATGCAAATCCGTAATGAGGATAACAATCTATGCACCCTGATTGTAAATGCATGAACACAAATCTGCACACGTGACTTTTTTGAGGGCTCAGTAAACATACGACGATGTAAACAGGGTATACTGATAAACTGGTCCAAACCAGTCTGATCTGTTATGCTGTGTTGCTGTCATGCACCTCAATCCACCACAGAGCCACAGCACGGGGTGATCAATATTTTGATTGTCATTAAATACATAAAAAAACATGTCTGAAATAACACATTTTTAATCTTATCTGAAGCTTAAATCTGCTTATGGCCAAATAATTTTGATAAATGTGTTATATATGGTTCTTTCTCTTACGTTAAAATTATGTTTTTTAAAAGTATCTGCCTACTGTGAACAAGTCAGATCACAATATGCAGAGGCCCCCAACCACAGGGCTCTGGACCGGTAACGGTCTGTGGATCAATTAATACTGGGCCGCAAAAAAATAACAATGATTATAATTCTTTTTTTTTATCTGTTCTCACAGTATCTTATTTTGAAAGACCACCACTTCCGCCATCGCCTCACCCACTCGCTTGACTCTTCGGCACGTCATTTTCCTGCATCAGCAACACAAGCTAGCTCTTGCAAAAATGAGCCTAAAACAGAGTTCACTGGAGAGAGAAAGGGTTGATTCTGCATTATGGTGAGTTGATGTTTAAGTGTAATGAAAAAAATGTAATTGTTATATCCAGATCACATACTATGTACTGATTAAGGTTTTTGTTATTGGAACCTCCATGCTCCTACCAGGTCCATGGAAAAAGCATGAAACTGGTCCCTGGTACAAAAAAGGTTGGGGACCACTGACAATATGAATCAAAATAGTGTACATATTTATGTATGTATATGTATATATTATATATATATATATATATATATATATTTATATGGCCATTGAGAAGACAGTAGGCTTGTGGCGGGGGGCCTTAAAGAGACAGCAGCTAAAACAAAGCGTTTCAGATAGAGACTGAAATAATGACATTTTAATACACCACTGTGAGATATGTGAGGCTTTCTTTGATCTTGAAATTATGTCAAGCTATTAAAGAGGTATCAGAGAAGAAATATAGTCTGAAAAAAATGCATAATCCTCCCCCTTTTAAAGCCAAAATAACAATACACAAAGAATAGTGTTTATTTGATTGATACTTCTGTACTCTTACACTTTCACATTTAATATGATCACTGTGCCTGTCATGTTGTTTTTATAGGCATTTACATGATTAAAAAATCACAGCAGGAGTGTCGTTTATGTTGAAGAGCGTAAACGCACTGAAATATATCAAACCAACACACAGTTTCTTACACTTTGCACACTGCAGTTCTCACAGGTACTGGGGAGTTATCACATCCGGCATGATTAAAACCTGCTGAAATGCCCCTAAGGTTTAGCCACAGTGATTCAGTCCTGGAAATAATCTGCTTACAGCCCCTGGTGTTCTACATCTGCTGGGTAAGAGAGTGTCTATGTACCTGTCACTCTCTATCTACAAAACACACAAAACTAGTCTGCGCGTATTTGCTCTTCATGGTACTAATATGAGAGAGAATTTCAGTCCTTGTACTAGTAGACACCTAAAATCGCAATCCAATCCTCTCAGGTAGCATTCTGACTTTGAATTTACCAGGTTATTGTGCGTGAATCACAGTTATTAAATGCTTCAGTTGAGTGTGTTGCACAATTCATTTGTCTGAAGGGCACAGACAATTGAAATGTCAAGCATATACTTTCACAGAGAACACGGTCAGGGATTATTTCCTGTGTCTTTGTATGATGGATGTTTTTTTTCCTCTTCCTGGCTGGTGCGGCTATGCTCAGGATTCAGCCAGCATGGTGTTAAGGCTTAATACATGACCTTGTTGAAGGAGCTGCAAAGGGGGAAAAGGAAGGGAGGGGAGGGCTGCAGCCTTCCAATTCCAATACGGATATGCTCTCTGCTGTAATGTACACTGCAGCAGCGCTCCTCATTGGCAACATATGATGCAGCCTTTTAAAAATGTAAGATGTTGATATAGACCAGAGGGCTGTATGCTAATATCCAAACAAGCGATCACCCCAGCTTATTGTGAACATGAAAGGATGATGGTAATGAAGATAGCCCTGTTTACTGTAATATAATGATGCTCAAACAACCCAGTGCTAACTCATACACATAAAAAATTACATAGTCACTGCACCTCTCTGCTGGTCTTTAGGAAATTGATCAATAAAAAAAAAAAGTTATGTTTATGTTTTAAACCTTTTATCTCTTTATTAAAAGCAGTGAGCCAGAGCCAGCAGTTTTTGCGTTGCATGACTCATGAATCGAAACCTAAATTTAAGTATTTGAATTATTTAATTTATTGGCAAATTTGAAAATGGGACATTAACTTTTATCAACTTTGCTAAATTGACTCAAGAAACATTAATTCAAGATAACTGTGGAAACTGAGAAACGGATATAAAATTCTTTGCACTCCAGAGGTTATTTGAAATGGAGTATTTTGAGTTTCCAGGAATTTATCTGCAGAATGTAAAAGGATATAGTAGTGTCACTGCAACAACAACAACAAAAAAAGACCTACATTGCATTTTAACTTATTGTGACACATTTAGTTGTCTGCGATTGGGATTTTAAAGATCATGCAAATATCAAACTCCTGCCCCTGCAGCAACTATCTGCTGAATTGTCCTCACATTTTATTTTCGCTTATGTTAATATATCATAAAGTGTAGACTTTTATATAGGCAGGCAGCAAGATAAAGTAAAAACAGACAGCCTGACTGACTGACTGACCAATGTATTGATTGATTATAGACAGTATGTGGTTAGCTAACAGGAAATGGGAGGGAGAAGTAAGTTTTCTCAGATACAAAGAGACAGACTGGGCTTTTGCTGCACCTGCATGGCCATGACTTGGCTACTGTGTGTGTGTGTGTATATATATATATATATATATATATATATATACATATATATATATTATAATTGTTAAGACATTCATTTTGTAATAAACATCTAAGTAAAACTTCAAAAACTTAACTGATAATATTCTAAAAACTGATTAAAGTTGAACTATATTGGTAGGTTCATATACTTGTTACATAAAGAATAAAATAAAGTTAAATAGTCTTTATAGATTTTGGTTACAAAAGGCATTCAATTCTTCATATAGCCAGGGACAACAACAGTTTATGTCCCTTCAACTGATTTTTTTCACACAGAAGTGGTCTTGAGTGTTTAACTTCTTTAATGTCCGTCGAATTACTCCCTGTGCTCAATCAGGAAAAAAACATTTTATATAAGTACATTAAATACATAAAGAGGAAAAAGGGAGCTAAGTTATTTTGACTTCCTTGATTCACAGGGTGGACAAAGATAATAACATGTATAACAACTAAATGATGTTAATTAGTCTGTTTGCAAATACTATAATCCACTGTACTGTACACTCTGAACTATTCTGTACTACCCTTCCCAACTCAAATAATGTAAAACTGCACCTCCAGGATTTAGCACACTTAAAATAGACTATTGAGAGTGAGACCGCTGAACGGCTATTTTTAACATTTCTATTACAACGTATTATATTTATTCTTCTTAGGATTTCTCTCCAACTATGAACAAATGAAGTGGATGAAATGATCCTCCCTGGTGGAATTCCCATCTCTGTGTTCCTGCAGAAAACACCAGATGACATGAATCATTGTCTCATCTCAGACACATCGCCTTTTCAATCAGCAATGTCCTTGCCATCACGTCTCATACACACATACACACACAAACGCGACACACAGACGCATACCTCATATTAGGTTTGCTATAGCTGTGAGACAATTTAAATAGAAATGCTACAGCCCTTGTTATTTTCTTCCCTATCCACTGAAATGATGTGCCTTAAGCTCAAGTCTTAGTTTCCCCTGAATTGAGAATCTAACTACTTGGATCTAAATTTTAACAATCCAGGGTGTTTTTTCATTAGAGCCTTTGGTCGCACTGTGAGAAATTGGTCCCCACAAGTACAGAAAGATCAGAGCGCGTAATCACACAGAAACGCACACACACACACACACACACGGTCCCAGCCATGAGCTAAAAATAGCCATTATTACTGTGAATCAGTTTTGCCAGTGAAACAGCTTTCTGCATTGCCAGAGATCCAGATTTGATGCTTGGGCAGATTCACACTGTAGCACAACCTTTGAATACAAAGAAGGCGGCACATGCGAGGGATTTTTCATGTTATAAATTATCTGCAAGTCATTGTTTAGAGAAATCAGTGAATGGAAACAGTGCATGAATAAAAGTGCTACTTTTAAATACCCATTTACCAAATCGTTATCATGGATTCATTCTCGTTATCCACACTATCTTAATTTAAAAAACAACCTTTGGGCTTTATTTTGAAAGAAATGTGTGCAACTTTAATGTCGCTGCTACAGTTGATCAAAAATGTATTAAAGATTGCCCATGGTTATTTCAAAAAGTGGTTAGGGGGGAGGGGGAACTGATTAGCATTTAAAACCAGTAATATCATCTTGTTCCCATTTGGTTTCAAAGTTATTAGAGATGTGAGATTGTCTGCAGACTCAAAGACAGCCAAGTGTCCTAAATCACTGAGACACAGTAGAGCAATAAAATCCCCAGACACTACTCTCATTCTGTGATTCCAAACGGTGATGGCAGGACACTGGCTTTAACACAGGAATAAAATGTCTTCCAGTACAGTTACTTAAAAAAAAAAAAAAAAATCAATTCACTTACTTTTATTCTTTGGCTTTTGTTCAAAATTAAAGTGAAAGCTTAATCTGCATTCTGAGTTAAATCCTCTTCAGCTCAATAAGCAGATGTCAAAATAAATGGGTGTTTTATTTTCCTCCTGAGTCTGTGGGTTGCTTTATTTTAAGAAAAGATTAGTTCGTGTCTTAAACTGATGATTGAACGTCCGATGAACAGCCATGAGACGACAAATACATAACAGAGACCCTTTTAGGACCAATGTCACAGAATTTGCTGAATGCAAAGGAAAGCAAATACTGTGAGATAGGGCGACACATAAACTACCACCTAAGAGTCATAAGCTGTACTATATTTCAACTATATTTCAGTCCACAGACAATCACATTAATTCTTGTTCTTATTTCATTAAATTGTTTTACGTGATGTGAATCTCATAAATGTCAGTTCCTCCTAAGTTTTCAGGTATGCCTCTACAGAGAGTATATTTCACTCAGTGCGTTGACATGCACAGCTTAATCGGACTAAGCTCATACTTTTTTTTTTTTTTGCCGAATCGGACTTCTCTCCTTGTTCGTGTATACATGCAGCTGAGAAAATCGAATTATAGACGGGGGCGATATCGGTCTTTTCAGCGGCGCTGTGTCCAACAACAGCAGGTCCGTGCCAGACGTCAGAAGTGGCTACAACTGCTGCTGGGTGTTTTCGAGAAGAAGATGGAGCATCGTACAATGTTGTTTTTGGCGTACATGATGTACGCGCTACTTTTTCTGCAGATGAGATGCATGCTACTCCACTTTTCTGGTGTTTTTGTTCGGGGGTTACGGGGGCGTGGCGCACACCTGCATGCATTGTTCAATCACACTTCGACTGCGCTGGTTACATGGTAGAGAAATTAAATTCCAATCGCATTATCTGGGTGTCTTAATCGGAGTTCTCCGACTCTAATCAGAGTTCTCAAACTCCGATTATAGTCGGACTAAGGTGTTTACGTGCACCTCAGTTGTCCGGTCTTCAGAGTAAGGCAATAGTTTGTTTTTTTATTGAGTGTCATGTAAATGTATTGACTGACAGTTCTGTCAATATTAGCGCTTTAGCTACATCAATGCTGATATCCTTGTTAGCCACCAAAACTAAACACCTACCTAACTACCGCCTCCTTCTTGTCTAACGATGTCTAGAGGATTGTTTTGCCTCCAGCTAAACCCTGCCCAACAATTATGTTATACTGCTCGATAACACTTAAAAGGTCCATTTTATTTTGTGATCCTTTACAAGAAGATGTTTCTAGTTTCAAAAGAAGTACAGGAAACAAGAAACACTTTCTGAACACACTTTAACACAGAGAAATTATTGTGTTCATGTAGACTTCAAAGACAAGCACAAACCGCACAAAGCATGTTACTCAATTCCCTGTGCAGAATGAGATTTTCTCACAGTCAGTCCTCCTGTTGATATAGACCACAGTGTGTAAAACACAACCTGTTCAAACAAGATCTGAACTGGAGGATTAAACGTTGAGCATAATTTGTCGATATTTAAAGCCCAGAATGCAAAATGATGACAAAGAGATGTAAACTGCCAACAAATAAACAGGAAAGAAGAAACAGGGAGCTATTAGCTTTCCTTACCCATACAAGGACTCATAGTCTCATTATCCTTTCATGACTGCGTATGAGTACTGCTTATTAAACCTAGAAAACTGAAGTTTGCTGCACAAACACGTGCAAAAACAGAAAACTACCACAGAGAGCCATGTAGCAAATTGGGAGCTTGGGGACTTAAGTGAGTCGCGAAAGTACCATGATGTCTGAAAATTGTATGTGTTTGTAGTGTATAAATTATAGAGGAAAAGGTCACATTCTCTTACCTGCATTGTCTGGTGTTGTTGCTATCAACCTGTGGGGCACTCGAGGTGAGACCTTTAACCCTATTCGCACCTGATAGAACCTGACACAAGGAGGAAACAGACAGACAGTCAAACTGACTTCACTTAGATACTAGATAATGTCTTCTTAAATAATAACAATAATAATTATAATAATAATAAATTTATTTATATAGCACTTTTAAAAACAAGATCTTACAAAGTGCTTGAACATGCAGGAAAACAAGTGAGATAAAAACAACATAACAACAACAAGAGAACACTTGGGGGAAATGACACATGACTGGCAATAATAACATAAAATCAAATAAAAATCAGTGGGAGACATAAAAGCTTTGATGAATGTCACATGAGCTGAGACGTCATTAAAATGAAGACATTAAAACATTGTAGGAGCCCAAAAAAAGGCTTTGAAGAAGACGAAATCACATAAAAGCAAGTCTATAAAAATGAGTTTTAAGACGTGATTTTAAAGCAGTGACTGTTTGTGCACGCCTGATCTCCTCGGGGAGGTCGTTCCAAAGTCGAGGGGCCCTGATTGAAAAGGTCCTGTCACTTTTAGTTATAAGTCTCAACTTTGGAACGACTAAGAGGCCCCCCACCCGAGGATCTCAGGGTGCAGGCTGGCTCATAGGGAGTTAAAAGTTCTGTTATATAGTTTGGAGCCAGACCCTTTACTGTCTTAACAGTGATGAGTAAAATCTTAAAATCAACTCTAAAACAGACTGTAAGCCAATGTTAAGATGCTAAAGGAGGGGTAATGTGATGCTGTCTGTTAAAAATGATACTAAATGAATATTAATGCACCTCTGTTAAAAGGCTTTGACGTGTCTCATAGTACCGAGGCTGAATACAGTAATTAAATGATTTAATTATACGAGCTTGTAAATAACTAGAGTCATGAAGAAGTTGTATAAATGTAAAAACAACATCAAGCTGTCTCACTAATATTAAAAAATATATACTTTTTATAGTTTTATCTCACTATATAAGTAGCAATAGAAAAACATCTCTTTGAAAAGGTCACTTTGTCAGTTCAAGTCGACCTAGCTCTGTGTAAAAGCACATCTCAGCTCTCCAGGGACACATTGGCAGTCTGAGAGACCAAAGCATGGCTGTGAACACAGCCATCACATCAGTGTGTTAGCGACGTTGCTCCTAAAGATGGAGGCTTGACTGTGAAGAGCACGGGAAAGGTTTTGAAGGTCAATAAATAAATAACAGCTCTAGACAGGGTAAAAGAGGTCATGTCAATAGCTAGGAAGTGGTCAGGAGATAACGCATTACCTCTTACAGCAGAGATTTCCAATCGTCTATTGAGTAGTTGTCAAGTTATCTTTTTATTGCATGATAATTTACTTGTTTACTTTTAGATGGCAGGAATTAATAGTTTTTGTTTTATTTGAATAACAACTAACCAGGAAGGAAGGAAGGAAGGAAGGAAGGAAGAAAGGAAGAAAGAAAGAAAGAAAGCAGCTGTGTTTAAATTTGGGTACTCATACTGTATGTTTCCTGCATTGGGAAAATGCAAAACTGTTATGATTATTGCTGCCACCCCCTCAAACAATCAAATGCAGATTTAATCTGCATTTTTAATGCAATCAGTATCCAACAAAGTATTCAGCGGTGTGGTCCTAAAGTCTGGTGCAGCAGTTTTTGTTGATTTCAGCAATTACTCTGCTTTGTGTATGCATAGCTTCCAGTCACTGAGCCATTTTTCTAACAGTGCTTCATCTCGACAAAGGAATCCAAGTATATTTGATGTTCCCATCAGATATTTGTTGCTATCTGAGGCACTATGGACACCAACAAACACAGGCATATTACAGTGCACTCAGCTGAAGGGATTACCATGATAAAGCTTTAACCCATCCCATTTAGGGGGAAAAATCATTTTGATAAAGCCAGTGTTTCAGTGGTTTAGAGGGCCACCATGCTGATGAGAGGTTTTAATCTTCCTGCAGACACATCAGTGCAGGATAAACATGACCTCTTTTACCCCCCAAAACTTGGCTGAAATTCTGATGAAAATTGTTTATTGACCTTTTACCCTCACTGACTCTTCTTAGTGCAGCCAATGTTGGGTTCAAATTTTGTGTCCACAGGTTGGCCTGTTCTAAAAGCAGACGAAGAGGGATTATGCTTACTTATTTTTTCACTGTTCAGAGCTGTTATTGTAGGCATTTCATTTCTGATGGTTAAGTGTGTAGCAGAAGCACCCTGTTATGTGTGGGCAATAACCATAGGCTGTATATAGAATGAACAACAGGGCTCCGCCTCCCGTCATTGTACGAATTTAAAGCCAAATTGCTGTTGGTATTTTTTCCATTTCCTGACATCTGCAGTTGTGCAGTAGCGTTCAATGTGAGATTTGCTGTGATGATGCTCTGCTTAAACAGAGATGTCCCACACCCCCAGATGTCCCACACAGCCTTCGCACATACATAGGCTGTATTAAGTGTAAATCATAGAAAAACATAAACCCCTAATAACTTTTAAAATGGAGCTGTACAGAAAAGAGGACTTGAGCACAAACCAGTCTTACAATAACTGTCAACATCTTAACCGGGGGAAGAAAATTTTATATTCTGTGTCATTAATTTTGCTAGAGGAGGCGGGGTTCATGACCTATACTGCAACCAGTCACCAGGAGGTGCTGTTCTCATGGAGGCTTCACTACCCATTGACATCCATTCTGTATGAACAAGCCACAACCCAAATCAAGGAAATTTTCAACTTCTCAAATTTATTTTTTGGAAAAAAAAATGTGATAATTAGCACAACATACCAACACAGAAAGTTAAGTTTAATCTTAAACTAAATTGATCAGCAGGTGGTGATAATACAGATGGAAATAATTTGTTTTACACTCAGTTGGCTGCATTTGAATTAAAATCAAAAAGTGCATCTTAAGGACACTATGTTTCAAGACAAGAATAGGCATACTGAAAAGCCCCTTGTCACTAATATCAAATAAGTACAACTCAGAAAATAGCTTTGTAGTACCTGTCATAGCTATAGAAACAAAAGTCTTTTTTTTAATTATTTCTCGTACATTGTAAGTATTATTGTTTAAGCTGTGTGTATTACAACTCAACATTTTGCATCTAAGTAAATTTTTTGGTCATTTTAAGTAAACAGTCAATAACTAACAAAGGAACAGCTACTTTTGTCAAATACTCAAATGTGTGGAAACCTCGTCAGCAGGCAGTGTGAAATATGTTCATGCTGGGTTGCCATCTGTGGAGTCGGGTAATACAAACAAACATCATGTAACTGAAAATGTGATTTCTGCACAGATGATAATTACTTACCCTCTTTGAAAGAGATCCACATTGTGAAACTTGTGCAACTCTACAGAAAACTCCAATGTTCCCTGAACTTCAGACATGATATAATCCCACTCATCACCTGTCAAATAAGAAGACAAACACAGAGGTATCAGACAAATGAGGTAAATGAGACCACGTTTCTCAATCACGCTCACATGTATTTCCTCTGTTTGCAAAGGTGATATGAATCCTTCAGTCCATAAAGAGAGAGGACTGATAACATCCAGAATTGGTTTCTCTGACAAACTCCTAACGCTCACAGAGCTGCAGAAAGACCACTATGACTGTAAATGACTGTAATAACTGTAAGACAATTAATCTATAAACATTCGTCTCAATAGATATACACTTATACACACAATATTTAATATTATTTTTATTGTTGTTAAACATAATGTGCACAACCCACCTGTAATATAATGACATGTATATTTATTCACAGCCACTCCTCACTCCACCGCACTCTTTATCATTGCACTATTGCGCAACTGTCTTGTACATAAAAGTTAAATGTCTAGTTCAAGTTTGTACATACTTTGTCAAATTCCTTGTGATTCTGATTCTGATATGCACCTTGGACGGGGTGTAAATATGAATATAAATGTTAAGGTAAATGTTGAAAATATAAGGAAACAACTCTTTCAAAACTGTGAAAGAACCTAGTTAGAGGATTTATTCAATCAATAAATAGAAATAAAAATAACAATGAATAAAAAATTAAAATTCTTAAAATCTCTTAGAAACCACATAACAGTTATTAATTGTGAATGGCAAGCTTAACATCAGAGACAACCAGATCACACATATAATTCTAAATGAGGGAAAGGCGACACTCATTAAAAGTTAATGTTTCTGGTTCTCCTGTTGACAAAGTGTTTTTGTCTGATAGCATCAACAACACAGGTCGTATTTAATATCACTCTCATTTTATTTGGAGAAATAAAATGTGGATAAAATTTGTCATTCAGTATTTAGATCTCAAGACTTAAATCAATCAACTTAATTTTTGTGTTTCAGAGAAAACCAAGTTCTCCTTTCCCCTTTCCTCAAATAAAATCTCAAAAGTTTTTTGATGTAGTTTTACTCATACCTATACATTTGATGTTTTTAAGTACAAATGTGTTGGATCAAACACACTGTAAAGGGCAAAGCTAAACAACATTGAATACAAAGATCAATATTAACCTCTGTCCAACATATTGCAGGCTCAGTGCACATGCAGTCTTTGGCAATGATCAAGGTTATATGTTACCCCGCACTTCTAAACATGCTTTTTTAAAATGAAAGTATTGAGGAAAGTATTGCCGTGGAAGCTGAAGCTCTTTAAGAATTGACCTCCCTCCAACAGGCAGAAGATGAGACACTGACAGTATTTACAGCATTGTGTATCAAATAACCCCCCATTGAAGGCTTTGAAATATAACCCTCGCATTGATGTGATGTTCAGTTAGTGTTGTATAAACAGATGCGAGTAATTGAGAGGTGATGCAGACATAAGTGTCAAAACAGAAACAGAGTCAGAATAAAACTTTAAGAGGTGTGTTATCTCAGGTGTGTTATGGTCAGTTCTCTGTTAGGCTGGCTTTAAAGCTTTGAAGTCTTGGTCCACTTTCTTTAAGCAGTGAAAATTTATCTTGACAGGCTGGTTATATTACACCACAGCTCTGGCACTGGGGTATCCTGAGACATTAATTTGCTTTAACTAAAGTGCAAAGTTTGCTGCTAATTAAAGTTTGTTCAGGTGCAGAGATTATGTAAAAACCCCACTGATCTTCCGACCATGGCAACACAATTTGGCAGCTTTAATCTTTTTGTTTTTTATTAGCAATTGACTGGCGTATCTCTGCCTCATTAGCTGTGATGGCTTTGCCTTTAAAGCAGAGCATTCTTGCATGTGTAGTTTGTGGTTAAAAGAGTGGCAGAAACCATTTCAATTCAAAGTATCCTTGACACAAGGGATCTTAAATTCAGACAAGAGTATTCAGAAGAGTCAGCACTTTCTTCATGGGCTACAGATGACTTTGTGCCCAGCATTTTTGATCAGCTGTAGCTAGCAAGCTAAGTATGCTAAGATAAACTCTGTTGGTTAAATACACAGTCTTCTCCTTTTGATGCTCATGATTTAAAGTTGATGGGAGAATCCTGTAAAGCATTTTTAGCTAGCTTTTATGATGAGATGCTCTTAAACTATAGTAAAACATGGTGTTGGTGCCAGACAGGCTGGTTTGGGGTTTTTCAAATATTGTAGCTACTGAGATTTTCATGCACAGCCATCTCTAAAGTTTACAGAGGATGGTCCAAAAATAAGAAAATATCCAATGTGCAACAGTTGCGTGGACGAAAATTAAAATGTCGATGTTAGAGGTCAGGGGAGAAAGGGTAGGCTGGTTTAAGATGACAGAGAGGCTACAGTAAGTCAAACAACCATCCGTAACAACCAAGGTATGCAGAATACCATACAACAGCTGCTCGAACCTTGAAGCAGATGGGCTACAGCAGCTGAAGATCACACTGGGCACCACTCCTGTTAGCTAAGAATAAGAAACTGAGGCGACTATTTAAAATTGACACTAGAAGGACTGGAAAAGGCTTGCCACATCTAATGAGTCTGGATTCCCACTGTGACATTCAGACAGTGGGGTCAGAATTTGGCGAAAACAATATAAAAGCATGGATCCATCCTGCCTTGTATTAACGGTTTAGGTTAGTGGGGGTGGTTTAATAGTTTGGGAGATACAGCATTTTCTTGGCACACTTTGGGCCCCTAAACTGTTACTAGAAAGGTGAACCTAATAAAGTAGCTGGTGATTTTACAACTTAACTTTACAGAGAGGGGTTTTAAAGATGACACTAAAAATTAGCTGTCATGTTTGGAAAAATCCTGACCATTGTGCATTCCGCCCTTACACACTTTTTGGGTAAATCTGGTGGGTTGTCATTTGACCACACTAAAACATCTTAAAGTTATTGTTTCAGCTCATATTTTAATTACTTTTCTGAGTTTCACCCTTCTGGACAGGTGCTATGATTTTTATATACACTATAGCTTTTCCAGAGAAAAAAATCACTTGTTTCAATTTTAATTGTTTCTAGATCCTCCAGTGTAGGGCAAGTTAAGAAGGTGGTGGTCTTGAGGAAGCTCAAATGTCTGAAACTGTTTCATTGCTTGCTCTTTCCCAGCTCTAGAAATCCAGAGCAGCAGATACGCATGGCCTCTACTTCTGACAGATGGTGGAGTATGATGGATCCATCACCACAGGGCCGATCGACGAAGACAGTAAGTCAGACATCAGAACAACACCTGGTTAATTTTCAAAATAAAACACTCAGTGTTGATGCCAGATCATGTTTAACTAAACTACAATAACAGACCACTATAGTGAGCAGAGCCAGACCTGAGGTCAGCAGGTCAGAGGTTTTTAGATGTCATTGTGGAGGAAGAAAATCACCCGTCCTGTATATGACTCAGGAAATCTTCAGATTCCAGCTTAGTCAAGTGATGCTGCTTCATGCTGCACTCTAAAACCTTAGCCATTGGATGTTTATGAGAATGGATGTTTTGTAAAGTTAACCATACACAGCCTACATACAATTTATCTTCACTATCAAAACACTACCACACTGTGCTACAAGATGCCGTCTGTCACCTGTGCTTGTTTCCATCTTAGTAGTAGAGCATCACAGCAGCATGTCAGTCAGCATTAACTGAGCTACAACCCTGGCGAGTGGCAGGTGGTAGTGGCTGGTATTTCAGGCCTACAAAATAAACAATACTGATAATTTTTTTAGCTGACAAGCAATTCTTCTGCTGACTCGCTAGAGTGATCATTTAGTTGACTAAACACACACATCCCCAGTGATCAGCCATCTGCCAAGACTGGATAGGCCTAGAAAAAGAGAGAAAGTGGGAAAGAAAAAGAGAGTAAATGCAACCACAACAAATATGTCTGGTCCTAATGCAGGTGCCTTTAGTCAATGAAAAGGTAAAATAACTCTTTTGGGGGATTTCTTCATATACATGCAAAAATGTTGAGATTAATTCACAATCAGTTTCAATTTCTCACTTCATGAGCAGAGAAATGTATTCAGGGTCCCTTCCCAACAGCTCAATTTCATTACTGAAAATAGGCGAAGCAAAGGTGTCTTTTTCAATTGGCAGGGAACCAGTCTCGTCTACCATCCACCTCACTTATGCTGACAAGATGAATTATAAGGATCTTAGCCAAGTCTGGGGAAAGAGGGAGCAGTAAATCTGCAGTCTAACCTGAACTTGTGCTTAAAAGCAGCCGTGTCCATGTTAAAGCTTACAAACATACAGGGTTGAATGTGCATCCAAACAGTTGTGAGAAAGTCAGTCACCTTCTCTAACACAGTACATCAGCTGCAGCCACTGCTGCCAGCAGAGAGGAAAGTGACATAACTGTTTTGTCTCTTCTTGCTGACTCTGCATTTCATGTCACATTGACAAACTCATCACACATAAGAAAGACACTTTGTGTCCCTCTGTGAGGGTAACAATGGAGAAAGGCAGTTGTGATTTGTCAGGAGGGTAATAAAGGTCATTTGATGTGAGCCTATGAGGCGCTGCAGTATGTGCAGCTAGTGTTTTCCTTGGTGTTGATTAAGCTAGCTGAGGCTGCGTCAGTGCTCTCCTTATTCAAGCCAACATCCTGGTTATCTGTTTCCTGCTTCATGAGGAGTCAAAGAAGAAGAAGAAGAAGAAGAAGCGGCTTACTTCTATTGCAATTTTTAGGTGGACATGAAGAGAAGGCTGAAAACTGTAGGCTGCATTTAATCTCAAACAAAACAATCAGTACACGCCTGCATCACATGGACTGAGTGTCAACCTACGTTGAAAATCCACCAATAAGTTAATCACATCAGCGAGGCCTGGACCAGAACACCCACACTGACAGCTTCAAGAAGCACAGCTGTCATTTATCTCAGGAAACACAGTGTGTCCTTTGATGGTCTCGCTGATGATGATAAAGAAGATGAAGCAACTCTTCAACTAGACCTGATAGATAATATCTCTAAATTTGCTATTCTGACTTGGATCTCTTACAGAAAAGATCTACAGTATGAAAAATCAACCCCCTAAGGCTAAAACTACTATAACGTATTCTTACAATACTTGATGGTCTAATTTTTTTTATTGGAGAACCAAAGGAGGGGGGATTAAATACTGACATCCTTATCCCACTAGAGTTCTTCTACCAACATTTATTCCCCTCAAGCTAGAGGGCCTATTTTTTAACAGTTTTGACAAAAATCTAGTAATTCTCCACCGGTGTTTTAAAAGAGCCAAGACGCTGATTTTATGGGAAGCATGTTGTTAGCGCCATGACAAATTATTATCAATCATTTTGAGGTTAGTTGGCAGCTAGCTAAAGCTTCATTTGACTGAATCAAAATGGTACTACATGGCCATAATACATAGACCTCCATCTAAAAAAAATATACTGACAGAGAAGATTTTGGTTTTCATGTCCTTTTCATTTGCAGTGAGTTAAGATTTTTGCATTGTGAGAGTTTATTGAAAACACTCACATTGTTTTAATCAATGCCCTGGTTGGCTGTTATGTAAAGAGATTAGTTGCTCATTTGGTGCATAACTAACAAAGTAGCTCTCAAGGTTGTGTTCCCCCAAAACTCTATGGCCTGGGAAATTAGACCTGAAGATAGCACCTGTACATGTATGTGTTCTCCAAATCATCAGGCCTGTCTTAAGGGGATTACAAAGTACCCTTCTGTTAATAAGTTACAAGGTGGTACCAGACTTAAAATATTGATCTGTGTGAGAGTAACATTTCTGAACTGTTCAATATTATCATTATTATTATTATTATTATTATTATTATTATTATTATTATTATCTATAAAAGAAAACCAAATATGTGACAGCTAGTGCATACAGTATATGGGTTAAAGGTTTCCATGAAATCCAGCTGCTGTGATTTTGTTTACTTGAGCACTGTTTATTTGTGATATTGTGCAGGTATTACAAGCTGTACATTGATACCTGCACACTGAGGCTCTTACTGCACAGATCTGCACAACCTGTAGCCAAGCTGATCCTTATCCTTGCTGCTTGTGCACTTTTACAAACAATCTCTGTCTGATTTGCAACTTGCTGGAAGTCATTTAACTCAAATCATTGCAAAATAGCTATCTGCTGTCTTATGACCATCAGATGCAAGCTGCTGCTGCACACGCTGGCCTTGTTGGAGGTTTATACTTGATAACAACAGTAACTGCACCACCTTCACATGTAAGAAACTTAAACCCCTGGCTTTCATTTTGAAGAAGATGAGGAGGCAACATGTTCATAGTGACTGAATGTGCCATGAGCAGATTTAATGTCCATGTACTTCTGATTGTGACAAAGCTGTGTGTGTGTGTGTGTGTGAGAGTGAATGTGTGCATGTGTGTACATGTGCTGTCGGAAATTAATCTTAGCCATTATTCCATTCATTAACATTTCGCTCCCTTGGCAGAACACCAAAACAGACAAAGGACTATCACCTCACAGGGATGAGTGACAAAGGTCCAATAAGTTACAGCGCCTTTTTTCTACAGAGGAAAAGAATCAACAGTGAGAATCGGCTTTTGGAGTATTTCATTTCAAACAGAGTATGACTACTCTGTATTACAAATGCTTTAAACACACTGGACATAGAGAAAGAATGTCCTTAACAGGAAAGCACTGAGGCAGCAGTCATGTGACGCCATAATCTGGCATTTGCTAAAACCTCGCACAGAGCTGTATCAGACTCTCTGTTGTTAAATTTACAATGCCAAATCCCTGTCAATGCAAAGAACCAAACTAAGTGGCCCATCTTATCACGCTAAAGGAGATGGAGTATGACTTTGAGAGGGTGTGATTGGGGTCATTGATATCTCAGAGTGAAATTTTGATCAAAGAGCCTCTCTGCACAAAAAGCAGGTACAGTCGTTGGCTGGTAAATCCTACATTTGTGACCACGATGTCCTTTGTAGCAATTGTCGCACTGCAAAGCATGTAAACCGAAGTCAAGATTGTAAAAGCAAACTAGTTTTGTTATGACTATTCTGATTTACTATTCAGCTGTTTCAGTGCTTATAAAAGTATGTGAGCTCATCCAAATTGTTGAAAGCAAGGATTTGTTTGAGTTAACAGCTCTGAAACAGCAGATGTGTGGTTCACTAAATGAGATGTTTACACCAATCACATGAGGGCCTGAACCCTGATTTATCAGAGGATGACCAGTCTGATTAACTGTAATCTATTTACCTTACATTACTGTAAACTTCATTTTTCCCCCCTTTTTTCGCAGCCTGCTGAACAAGATTCTGCAGTGTCTTTATTAAGAGTGAGAGCTTTGCTTCATTCTTATCAGACAGCCTTGCAGGACTATTTCAGACTACATCATCTGTGAATAACTGATCATCAACAGTACACTCTGCACTGTGGAGCAGCTTTGGTAAACATCCAGTTGGCAGCTTTGCTTGTCAGGGATTTTTTAACTAATTTATTCAGATTACTTTAAAAACTGCATCTTTAATTCATCCAATAAAATATTATTTTATTTTGAAAGGTTATTGTTCAGTAAATTCATCTTGCTGCTTTGTGAACTTATCAGTATGTTTGCTTTGGTCTCTTTACACAAGGACAAATGCCCAGTGACTACTAATGTCAGACAAAGACTCTCGGCTCCATTGAAGTATATCCTCTATGAATGGAGCAAAATTTCTAGTTTTTTTTTTCTTTTCTTTCATTGCTTCATGCAAAAAGCCTCTCCATTCAGTCTCACATCGCTGCAACCAGTTAGCAGTTTACATTAGCCCTCTGCCCCTAATGTCAAACAACGAGCTTACCAATCCTCTCATGTTCCACGCACATGCACGCATCAAGCATCCCACTAAAGCAGTCAGGGTGCCACGCGAGGGAATAAAACAGACTCACCTTAGCAGTGATGAAGAATAATATCCGCAGAGGGTTCTTACTGCTCCTGCCTTCACTCAGTAAATCGCAATGTTTATAGCAGCGCTTCTCCGGCTGCTGCTGCTGTTGCCATGGTTATTCATCCAGACCCTGTATGTTCTGCAGTCCCCCCCTCTCTGTCTCACGCGCTCACTCTCTCTGATTCTATACACTCCCTATGTCTCTCTATCTCTCTCTCTCTCTCCCTCTCTCTCTCTCATCTGACGGGGATTTCAATTTAGGAAAGTGCGGCAGCGCCTGTCGCGGAATCTGGCTTTGTTTTTATCTCCGCCCCACATTTTGCAGACAATACACAAAGACAGCGGCTAGTTTCCTAAGGAGAATATAAATTATATCCAGCAGTCTGTCATTGTGTGTGTGCGTCCCGCTGCTGCTGCTGCTGCTGCACTATAGTATGTGTGCGTCCAGCGCGCGAGCTGACGTCAGAGCCTGCCCCCTAAAAGCTGAAGTGAACCTTATAGTCAGATAAAACCATGGCAAGAACAAAAAGATCCAGAGTAATGCGAAGAAGAATATCGATGCAAATACAATATGAGATTATTATAAACAGAAGCCACAGCAGCTTCATAGATGCAAAATTAGTCATCTTATTCTACCCAACATCTTTGTAGTTGTAGCTGGTACAGGTCAAAAGCCAAATAACTGTTGAATACTGAGATTTTTTCATCTCTCTGATCTTGCTCATAGGTAAATAATAGATAAGCCAGTAAACTACATAACCCAAGCTTAACCAGAAGTATATTTTGTCCTGTTACATGAAGCTAATTGTTACAGATTCACAGTTTGTCTTCAAATATATTATTATTTTGTGTAAGTTCCTATCTTGTAGACAAAGTTACTTCATCATCTTAAACTTACAGCATGATAATTCTGTGCCCACTGGATAATTATATTTTGCTCAAAGGATTGCTCTTCCCCAAAAGATGCAATACTCTGCTCATAAGTCCCTTAAAGGGATATTCTGGCGTGAAATTAATTTAGGGTCAAACACACTGTAACACCTAGTTAGACACCCCGTCGAGAGATGAATGTTGCCGACCACTTGCTTCTCTAGTTATACCAACTTTAGTAACGACCACAGGATAGCAATACACAGCGGTCTGAGGAGCCATAGACAAACCTCAACCAAAACGCCACTCTATAGCCACAAATAATACTCAGAACAGCGCCTAACTTCATCAACAGTACATATAGGGTCCCAGCCACAGCACTAGCCACCAAACATCTTTTTAGCTTTGCCTGATTTCTTTAGCAAAGAGACTAAACACAACTCACCTACTCTCTTCCAGCAGCCGCTTGTTTGTAGCGAGACCTCAGGCCAGTCCGTTACGGATTGTATCGGGGTGACGCAGCTCAAGGAAGAACATTTATGATAATTTCTTCATGGAAATGCAATCAAACTGACATACATAGGCAGAAGAACTACTGCGTCTACAGTGCAAAATGATTAATATGGTGATTGTTACTTCAAGAAAATGATAAAGAAATGATCACAAATGTTTTTCCTTGAGCTGTGTCACCCCGCTACAGTCTGTAATGGACTGGCCTGAGGTCCCACTACAAACAAGCAGCTGCTGGAAGAGAGTAGGTGAGTTGTGTTTAGTCTCTTTGCTAAAGAAATTAGGCAAAGTTAAGAAGATGGCTAGTAATATGGCTGGGACCCTATATGTACTGTTGATGAGGTTAGGTGCTGTTCTGAGCATTATTTGTGGCTATAGAGTGGCTTTTTGGTTGAAGTTTGTTTATGGCTCTTCAGACTGCTGTGTATTGCTATCATATCACATCACATAAAGTTGGTATAACTAAAGAAACTATAGTGGTCGGCAACATTCATCTCTCGAGGGGGTGCAAAATTGTTGCACTGTACGAACAATCCAACAGAATGTAGCCATTTATTCTATTTTGCTCTGTTTTTGTCTCCATCGGCTCATTAGGGAAATGCTAGCTATTCCCACTAGCTTGAATGCTAAATGTGTGTCTATAAGGACTGAAAGAGCTGAATAAAGTGATTTTATGTCAACCTTCATGTACTAGAAACCATAAGAATTATAGAATTATAATCCTTCTGGGACATTAAAACCAAATAGTGACCTGCTGTTCATAAAAATCCTCTGAAAAGCTTGAGAGACAGCAGATTATAGAGAAAAGTCTGTGGAGATTTTCACTTAAAATTCCCAATTCTTCCTTTAAAGGGCAACTGGACTTGTTTGAACCTTCAACAAGTCCAGTTGCCCTTTAAACAAAGAACTGGCTAACCATGACCTGGATGAATGCAAACCTACACAGACACATAACAGAGTAAAAGGAATAGGGAGTAAACCGGGTCGAACGAAACTATGCCCCAGAGAGCTTTGGCAAGTTAATCTGGTCATGTGCACAGTGCAGTCAAATCTGGCGTTTTGTTGGCATTGGAAAATATGAAATATAAATATATAAAAAGAAAATCTCCAAATCAATTCAACAAGATAAAGTGAAAATAGGACAGTCACAGCGCATCAAACAAACATCCATCCAGCCTGTTTCTCAGGTACAGTGTAAGTATAGGATTCATTTTTTTTTTTTTTTACTTAAAGAAACAGCATATTAGCAAAGTATGTATTGAAAAAACCCAGTCACTGTCAATGTCTCATTTGTTCCTGGCAGTCAGGTACCGCAATTAAAATGCCATCTGTCCTGTTTAAACAGAATAAGCTCTTGTCAAATAAGGGGGATGGGAGGATTATGCAACTGCACATGAATAAAAATGTCCATAAGCTGGAGTCCTTGGTTACTGTATATTTAACAGCTGTCAACAATGGAAAATGAGTTTTTCTCTATCAGTCTCGTTTGGTGGTCTGTGTCTCCACTGCAATAAATAAATAAATAAATATAGAAATAAATAAGATAAAATGCTGGGACTGATTTTTGGATCCTCTCCTCCGCTCACCTTCTCCTTAAAAAAACAAAAGTCAATTGCTGCTTTTCTCTCATGGCGTTCTGCCAAATACTGCAAGCACTCTTGATTAAGAGGGAAGCAGTATTGATTTTTTTTTCTTTTTTCAGATGGCTGTCAGAGCCCAGATGACCATACAAAGTAGTCTGTGGAGAAGACGAGGGAAAAACTGTCAAAAATCTTTGCAAGGTTACATAGCAAGGGCATCGATTTTCACAGTTTCTTATCAAAATTAAATGCCTAGTTTGCAAAGATGGCGAAGACTACTGATAATAATATTAGTAACTGTGATTACAAACAATGGAAGTTTACCAGGTATATTGTACAAATAAACAGAAGTTTAGAATGTTGAAACATGAAGTGCTTAGCTATATTAAAAAAGTAAGTAAATTATTGCAAACACAAGTCAATGACTTCTTAGTGTCAGCTTTAGAAAACAGAAAAAGTAAGAATGTTGTATAAATTTCTAAAACTTTTTTTCAGTGTACCACTATCTTTACCAGCTGCCATACTTAAATCTCTTTTTAAGTTTCATGATAGCAGATACATCACTCATGGCATACAACATGATGTTCACATCCTTTTGCAGGCATGCCACGACGCTCACTTGTTTAATGTCATCCTATAATTATTCCTCACCTGTTTACTGAGATAAGGACTGCTATGACCAGTGGGCTTGCATTAGCTGTTTCTGAAGTCAGCTGAAATAATATCATGTGACTAAAATCATGAAAGATAAGTGATGTGAAACTACATATGCTCTTACTACATATACTACTGGAGCACACCTACAATAAACATTCATTTAACTCCAATAATTGCTCTTGTCCCTTTGACTTAAGAGCATTTTTTTTTCTTTGTAGTAACTTTACAGTTTTTGTTGTAAACATCGAAAAGCATAATACTACCCTCTAACATTTACACTATATTGCATGAAAGGTAGTCAAACATGTCTTTTTTTTTTTTTTTGGTGTCATTTTCAAGCAAATTCTTTTCAACCAATATGCTGTGGTCAACTTGCCACCCATTCTCACGTACCTCCATAACTTCAGAGCTATTTTTTTCCTTTTTAAGCAGGTCTGTTGGAGGTACTTGCTAAAAGTAATTGCAGTAGCTGCAGGGGATCCTGGTCAGCCTCCTGTGTTAAAAACGTGCAAGAGAACCGGGACTTAGACCAGGCTATTAACTGCTAGAGACAGGCTCAACTTACTCTTTTATTGAATCCAAAATCTGCCCTGAGTACACAGTTTTCACTTTAACATATCTTTGCTATTGTGTTGATCACAACATTCTGCTGTAGTCTAGTGATCATTATCATTAAACTCCTGATTTGAGTATTTCTGACCACAGTATCAAGCTGTACTTATGTGACTCCAGGTCACAAGTGTGCTAGTCATGAGGCCTGCCACATGGGTGGATAATCACAAAATGTTTTGTCTTTCTCTCTGCCTGCCCTGCCTGATAGCTCATTGAAAGCACGAGCTCTCAATTATCCAGGCTGGACACATGATCCCTGTGCCAGATCTTTGAGGAGGTCCAGTCACTGTATCAGGTTCCTCTTACAGTCCTGTCACACCAACAATCAATTCATGCAACATGATACAGGAACAAATACTTAATCCCTTACCTTTGTATTATTAGTTGCAGTAAACTGCATAGGATCAGTTGACAGCTGAGTAACTGAACTTGAATTCCATTTTAGCAGGAAGAGCATTGCCAATCCATACACCAATAATGCAATGTACACAGGCGGAGGAAAACAGTCCTAGGATCAGTTTCATGCTTTGGTGAGCACCTTTATAGCGATAAGGTTGAGCAGAGGCAGTCTTTATGTGCCTAGAAAGAAGGGTTTATCACTTTGTCAGATCTTAATCATCTTTCCTTGAAAGAGACACTTGGCAGCATATGCATGCTTTTATAACACTACTGTCATTAACATCAGGAAACTGGTGTACAAGCTAAATTCATACTTGGTCGAAAATAGTGTTTGGACAACATGCCAAATGTTAAACTGAAAAATAATATACTTACCAGACATGCATGAAAGGTTTGAAGTCAAGTCATTTAGGATAGTTTTGTTTTAAAAAATTTTAGCCATTGTTCATAACATTGTGTAAATGATGGTTTGCATGAAATACCGTTAAATACATAAATAAATAAATGAATAAATAAATAAATAAATAAATAAAAAAGTTGTATCATAAGAAAGAGCATGAAAAACACAATTTCTGTAGTCTTGTTTTTTTAAGTAATTACGGAAGAGAAGAACGACCATGGTTTTTTCCTTTTTTTATGCACAGTTATCTATGACATATTCTCTTGTCATCCCCATGTAACAAAGTTCATTTTCTCATGAAATGGCATTTTGACCGACCAAATATGGCAACTTTCAATGTGGGAAAACGGATCTGCCAACAACGGTAACAATGGCGGACACATTATTAATTATTAATTTTCATGAGACAACGTCCTTTGCTATGTTTGAGATAACAAGATAATAAGTCGTTAAAAAATAATCTCATAACAATTTACAGAAGTAACTAGTTATTAGTAACACATTACTTTTTATGAGTAACTACCCCAACACTGATCTATTCAACTTTTCGTTGTATTTATTTTGACAGTTGCCAGTGCCAAATACAAAGAAAAGTGCTTGCAGCAGTATGTTAGCTCTCATTCTGTATCTGAAGTTCAGGCCTTGATTTCATCTTGATTGACACATTAACACAGGCAGCTCATTTCTAAGACATGATTGGATACTTCTTGTTTCTTACCAAAATAAGTCAATGATCCAAATTGATTTTTATTCTTATTTATCTTAGCTTAGTGAATGTAATACTCTTGTAACTAATTAACACATCCCGTCTATTCTTTATCCCTAAAACTTTCTAAAATGCAACAAAGATCATAGATCAAGCACCATGAAATCAATTACATAACTTGCAGGATGCATAAACAGTAGGTCTCCCTGGGGCCCTCTGGGTAATAACAGGGCTGCCTTCTTGTCAACACTACAGGCTAACATGCTGCCACACTGATGAGTACACGTGATTATGAAATCCACATTTCATCACTTACTTGCTGTTTCTCCTCCATCCCACTGATAATTATTGAGAGAATTGCATACAGGCACACATGTCATTAGGAGGCACTGTAAAAAAAAGAGGCATGGGGGGAGAGGGGGGTTACCCGTGGAGGCCCATGGGCTTCTGCATCTTGTAAAGTGTTGGTAATAAAATGTAGCCACCACCTCCTGAACAACTCCTGGCCAATGGGAACTCATTGAACAAACTTTTATGTGTCCTCAGAAAATGCTTGAGCATCCCCTGGGCTCCTTCTCCGCGTCAGTCCTCAACATGCACAGGTAGGACTGACTTCACAGGGGAATTTCATCTCTGTGGCTCCTTCTGCTCCTGAAATCTCACGGCTGTGACTTGCTGCTGAGCCTGTCTCCCATCACAGAGGGGACTGAAAGATGGCCTTCCACAGTTCTGGTCGAACAAGGTAATGTTTGTCTTTTTGTGTTATTTCTATTACAACAGATACCATTATCAGCCAGGGTGTTCACTACAACCTAATTTAATCTTCATATAAAGGAATTAAACATCTCTATTATTCAGCTTCCTTTATGGGCGTGTTGAAATCTATGGATGAGCCAAGTCAAGAGATGATCATATGTCTCAAATGTAGCTGAATTTATAGCTTGTAAACACCTTACATGACATTTCAACTAAGACAAAAAAAGTCTTAATAGATGTCTGCATAGGTAAAGAAACATCTACAGCCTCATCACCTGTGGAGACTTTCCAATCCATCTCTTTTAAACCGGTTTTCCAAAACAGTTCTGCAACAATCTATCTTCAACATGACTGGACTTCATGCTCCAAAGTAATCCATTTTTAAGGTAATTGAGATAAATGAGATTAAACTCATGCCAGGAGTCTTTGCTCATTTCCAGCATCTTCGGCACACCCAAGGGACATCACAATGGGTGGCAGTGCAGGGACAGTCCCATCAAATGTTGATGAATGTTAAAGAGTAAAGTAGATGACTTGTCATTGACTAATGGTTGATGCCCCTAAGGGTCATTTGATGGAATACAAAGTGTGAGTTTTCCTCATCCTCGTAGGGGTTTCCTTTTTAACTGTGTAAGTATCAAATTTCTAAAACCCAACACAAAACCTTTAATCTTGCAGGATGTAAATTACGCACTTTCATACTTACGGTAAATGGGATTTAGATGCATTTACGACAGCATTAAATCTCAAAGCCTACATTAAGACAGCTGTCAGCTTTATAATCCATCAGTCTTCACATGGCTTTCATGATGTTATTTGCAGAAAAGAAAAACTAACCCCTGAGGGACTCTGCTGTACAGAAAGTTGCAAAAGTAACAGCTGCTTCTGGGACATTGAGCCTAATGTGAGGGCAGATGTTGCCGGGAATTTCATGCTTTTCAACTGTGTAAGAAGTGGCAAGCAAGTCATGCAATCATGTACAGAGAACCTTCAAGTAAAGCAAATAGAGGAGGATATACTTGATTTGGTTCTACTAATCTCATTTTGCCTTTATAGTTGCATATTTATAGTCAGTTACTAGGTGATAGACAAAGTCTTTGGCAGTTTGGTACATGAGAATAATGACGCCAACAACATGTGTCTTTTTGATGTCTGGTTTCAAAGGGAGCTTTGATTAAGAGTTAGATCAGACTAAGTCAGACCTCAGATGTCAACGTTTTGATGCAAACAGTGGAGCTCTTTAATACTGTAACATGACTTTAAACTTTGGGTGAATTAAAAAAATACTGCAGTTCCCCATAAAAATTCATACATTTTCCAGTATTAGTTAGCATGTGTGTTCCCTGGTACTTTTTAAGGGAAGTTGAAACTCTTTGGAAAATGCTGACTAAATTTTTAGCATGACAGCTGACCCAACTATAGCAGCAGATTCCACCAGTATGATGAGCTAGGACGACAAGGCAACAGTGGCATGCTGAAATTGGCTGAGGCATGTATGGACAAAACAGAATTGAACTCTGACTCCCAGTACATTAGGAATATTCTTCTATCGTTAAAACAGCAACAGTCTTTGCAACGACACTGACTGACACATAAACAGACAAATCTGCATTGCAATTATGGTGCATATATTTCCAAGAAATCCTGCTCAGGGTGGAGAACTGAAACTTTACTATGTATCATTAATGCGTTACAGGCACTAATTTGAATTAATCCGACAAGCTGTGGTCATTTTCACAGACGTACAGACAGTGAGGATCATGGGAAGGATCAGGCCACAATTCAAATTCATAAACATATTTGACAACTCATTAGCTTACATCTTTGACACTGCTAAGCTAAGCTATCGATTTAAATTCAATAAATAACGAAAGAGCCAACAAAGTTTCTTTAAACTTCCCATGACAGTCATAGCTTCGGCTTTTTGTGAGTTCCTTGCAGATTTTGTATAATATCAGTACATGCAGTATATGCTGCATAAACATCATAGACTATTTATAGAGTGGACACCGTCTGCCTCCTCGCTGAGTGAAGCCACTTGTAGAACAGCACCCTCTGGTGACAGGCTGCAGTATAGGTCATAAATCCTGCCTCCTTCAGCAAAGCTTGTGGGGCTGTGGACAAACTTTAGAAGTTTATCGCACAGAATATAAATTTTTCTCCCCCCTGCTTGCAATGTTGACATGTAGTTATTGTAAGACTGGTTTGTGGTCAAGTCCTCTTTATTTCTGTACAGCTCCATTTTTAAAAGTTATCAGGGCTTCATGTTTTCTATGATTGACACTTGATACAGCCTATGGGCGTACGAATGCTGTTTGAGACTCTCTGCGACTCGAGAGCTATTCGGCTTCAAATTCGTATTATGACAGAAGGCGGAACCAAGTTGTCCATAGTACATACAGTCAATGATAAACATTAGCAAGTTCACATGCTAATGTTAACAACTGTCTAATAACTTTGGGTTTGTAGGTTTAATTTAAAGGGTTTAATGAAGGTTCCATCTTGTCACATTTCATCAGTGACATCTTGTTGCACCAGTCTGGACTGTTGATGGATTTACATGAGGAGCAGACAGCAAACCCCTCTGAGGATTTGTAGATGCTCCTTAAACATGAAGGGCATAATGTTAGAGCCCGGTGCTTGTTCTTAAGAGACCTGGCTGCCTCGGCCATTAGTCATTTCTCTGACAGCACACTCACACACAAAGGCACACACACACTTCTAGACACACACATAAGAAGAAGAGTTCAGACTGCAGATGTGTTACGCCCTCAGAAACACCACCTCTCATTTATTTCTCAATTGAAGAGCTGCAATCTCTGCCTCTGGACAAGCCTCTTCACTGTTACTGTCAGTCATGTTGTGATGCTAGGATTCAAGCATACTAATGCTAGTGAAAGTGATGACCAAAGGTAGCACTGTTCTAACACTTGTTCTGCTATGTAAGGTCACCTTGGAAAAGCTGCAAGGCTATTACAGTAATTTATCACCCGATTCTCCGGTATTTAATTGTGGACTTGTTCATGGGGCAGCTGTGTGCCTCTAACAAGGGCCAAAGCAATGAGGGTGCAAGAACTCTATTGGAATGCAAGGAATTATTATTACACTTTCCACCGATTATTATTACCCTTGCTCTTTTGGAGGCCTTAACATGCCTGAAAACTCACCATTTTTGTACACGCAGGCATGTTTTTCAGAGGTTTCCCGGAAAACTCTGGAAAAATTATACTCTTTAGCGCCCAGCCCTTCCAGCTGTGGTTATTTTCACCTGCATGTATGATTTCACATTTGCCACGCCAAACCCTGCATCAAAGTCTTTTTTTTTTTTTTTTTTTTACCGTTTTCCAGGGTGTCTATTGGAAAAAAAAACACACCTAAGGGGTTTTATCTAATCAACTCCAAATTTGCACAGTGTAGTATAGACAGATGTAAGATGAAAAGTTGCTCAAAGCTTTTGGCTTGCAGAAGTTTTCCCTGAAAGATGAAACAGGAAGTAGTTTTTATATATTTTTTATTTCAGCCATGCATGCTCCAATCTGAGCCAAATGCACCACACGTAGTAAGGGTCCAGGTCTGATCACAGTCACATGGCAATATTTCTCATTCCAGTCATGGTGTCACCCAGTGGCAGCAGGAAATGCAACACTTAGCTCTATGAATAGTAACCCCAGGATCATTCAATATAATTTTCGCTCAGGATAACCTTGAGATATTGATTTTTAAATGTGCCAAAAACTGTGAATTTCTGTCCGAGGGCATTGTCAGCACAGTGCAACCAATAACTTCTAAAGTGCTCCAGCTCAGCCCAAAACTAACTAACATATCGGCACAGTATCCCATGTGCTTATGAGGGGTCCCAGCCTGAACACGTGCATCTTTGATAAATTTCCAAAAAACACAACAACTCAAAATTAATTCTTTCACATAACTTCTGTCAAATCCTATCTTGATTGTTGAATTCCCCTCAACATTCCCCAGGTGTATCTCATTCCTAATATCAATTGATCAGGCTAGGATTCCAAAAAAATGCATTAAGTTTTGTGCAAATATGTTTATATTCAAACTGAAAACAAACAAACAAAAAATTATATGGTTGTGAATATACAGTACATGTAAAGTATGTGAATGTAGATACCGAAATGCTCAGTAATTGATAGATGGCATAAAGATGTGGAGTTGCTGGTCTTTGTCTTATTGTTTCATCATTAAAACTCAAAAAAGTAGTTCATCTTTGAAGGGTGTCATGACTTTCGTACTTGGAAATGATCATGTCATGAGATATGCTGTCAACCTTTTATTCCTCACTGAAATGCAAAGCAAACACATTTCAAAGAAGCTGGTGTGAATTATCTTTTCTATTTCTGTGATTGGATGAGCTCAGAGGACACCAGTTAAGTGCCCAGTCATGGTGTCACCCAGTGGCAGCAGTTAAGTAATCCCTGTGGTGTGTTTATTGACTGAGGCTCAAGAAACTGTCATAGAGAATTAGATATACAACCATCTTCTGACTTTCTCAATCATTCCTCCGCAGAAAACAACCTTGGTGTCTATTGATGTCGGCGTACTCTCCAGTCCATTTGGCCTTGCTGGGCCTCCTCCTCGCTCCAGTACTTGGGCGTAAGTCACCCACAGACAATGCACACCCAATGACTCATCACAGAATCAGTGTACAGTTGAACATTGTTGCGTCCGTTACTGTGAAAGTGCTTTTCTTGTCAACACATTCAGAGAGGACTGAGAATTGTGTCACCGCTGTATGCTGATCATTGCTAGGTCACTCAAAAAAGCAGAGGGCAAAAATAGCAATCACACTGTGCTGGTCTGTGTTGTGGGATTAAATCAGATTAAATGCCCACTCTGATCATCACAACAAGCCCTTTCTCTGCTGTTGTTTGAGGACACAATAAAGCTAACATGCAAGTGCAGGGGAAGCCAGGTGAATTAGGCCTCATTGTCAGGACGCACACATGCAACTGCATGTGACATCTTAATTGTGGTTAATCTCATTGCACTAATGAGTGGCTTTCTGAGCGTAACGTCGTGGCAGGCAGTAACTTTAACAACTTGAGGCCCAAATGCACAGTCAGATAAGTGTTTAGTGGTTGTAAATATGGGATTATAAATACCGTCTCACCACTTTATCTCATTTCTCAGCAGTTATGTGGGGCTTTAGAACAGCTTCCAGATGTGTTTTGTTCACGCTGCTCACTTTAAATGAGCTGACTCAGGTTATTGACTGGGAAGGCCCCCCGGCTGTCACGATCCTTTTTCATGTAGTTCTTTGAGGTGAGGTTTACCTCCTTTGAAACTGCAAAGGGGCACTTACAGGTAGCGCCTCTTTCTGGCCAAGGCCAAGGTTTAGAAATTAGTGGGGTAACTTTAAATTTAACCAAAACCACCAAAAACTCTGTTACAAATAAATAAATTTGACTATTTTGAAACTTTTGGTTTGTATTACTGCCTGTTTATCATTCCCCCATTAGATTTTTCATTCAGACGGAGATGTTGAAAATCAAAAATCAAGTGATTTGTGATTTCTCTTTTCCTAATCCTAAATATTGAATTATCATTTCCTGTTTAGTTTATCAGTACAAACAATCAGAATAAGACAGTGATGAAAACTAACCCTTTTTTTTTTTACTGCATATGGTCACAGACAAAGGGCACTTCCTGTTAAAGAAGTCCTTCAGGCACTCTTGCTGGGCAGACCTCGGTAGCATATCAGCCGATGCTGAAAGTCTGGATTAACAGTTATTTGTTCCTCCTGTCAATACTGGTTTAGTAACATAAACGTGACAGTGAACTGCTTCCTCCTCAGCAAGTGGTAATGCCAACCAGAGATGGGCACAAGTCACAATTTACAAATCCAATTCAAGCTTCCAGTCACTGAGGGGCAAGTCAAGACACATCTGTCATAGGGTCGACAAATAACAACAACATAAAAAGTTATATTTGTAGAATGGAGAGGTTAATTGATTTGTAAATTTAATACATAATTTATTTCAAGTTGATATTTTGTCATTGCTAATTATATCATTAAATATGAATATAAGTGAGCTAAAAAGTAATACAACACAGACTCAACATCTGAGTTAAATGTAATCGTTCAATTTACAATCAAAATGTGCTACAATGAATTGCAAATAAAGTCACACACAGTGCTTCCAGCCTCTGTCTGTGGATAAACAAAAAAAAAAAAAAACGTGCAAACGTAAAACAATAGATTTAAAAAAGGATCATTATAGATGAAAGCTGATGTCACATTATAGGGGGGTTTATAAAAGGTATCAATCCTGATCATCAAGTTAGATTAAAAAGAAAGTGTCTGAGAAAATCCATTTAAATTTAACCTGACGACACATGACCAGAGCCACCGCCACGCAACATTAGCTGCCATATTTATCAACATTATGTTTCCATTTATGATGACATATTAGGATCACGAGGACTGTCTTTACTGTTTGGACTAAAAATATCAAATAATACTTGAGAAGTCCTTGTGTGAATATGTGGACAACTGCAGTAATGAGGAAGCCTTACATTAAAAATGCATACAGTATATTGTGATGTTAATTCACTTTGACATTAATGACCTTGTTTTTTCCTTGAATACATCTCCCTAAGAATACTAATTGAATAAATTGGATGGTAATTCATTATATTTAGCAAATTCAGCAAAAAGGCCTAACAAGATTAATGCTTTTCTTCTATCCTATCAGAACTAGACCTCAACCGACTGGATGGTGACACAGTCTGCCCTCCAATACGAAGTGGACAGGATGACCTTCCAGGTAATGACCAAACGTTAAGTTAAATTTGAACAGCAGCAGTTGAGGCTGTTGTCTCAAATCACAAGCTTAACCACAAAGCCACCTAAAACAGTAAATAGACTATTCGTAGAAGAGAGGTAAGTTTACAGTTGTTCAGGGTGGGCCGCCTAATGCTTTAGATTTCAATGAGGCAAATAAAATGTTCCACTTGAGCTTCACAGAACTTTACACGGAACAGCTCAGACTCAGCAAGAATGTAATTGCTCACCACCATCCTGTTAGAGAAAGTCTGAACATCTGTGGCTATTCTGCTCTTGAAGAAAGTAAAACATCAATTAACAGAAAAAAAAAGATCTTAATTTTTTTAACAGAGCTGTTGTTCCTAATTTTTTTTAATTCCGTTAACTTGACTTTACCTCTGCTACCACCAGTTGCTTTAGGAAATATCTTATTAAAGGATGAATATTTTGCAAAGAAATTAAAAGCACAAACTCAAGACCAACCAAAGAAGAGTGAAAACGCTTTGCTGAGCCACTAAACTTTCTTTTCAGTTTTCAATTTTTTCCTATAAGTTGGCTTCACACCCCTCTACTCATTATTCTCTGTCTATAAGAGGCACACAGTGGGTTAGAGTCTCCTATTGAAGTTCCTGGTGGTGGAAATAGCTACAGCACTCCAACTGATTTGCAGGGTCCTTTTTTCTAAAGAAAGTTTAAGACCCAGCTTTTTTACTGTCAGAGAGAGAAGCAGGTTCTGTTTCTGAAAAAGAACCCAAACTTAACCCAAACTTAGTGACCAGATTTTTCAAATGTGCTTTAAATGAAAGCTCTCAATTAAGGATGAAACTTGAATGTTTTCATTATGTAAAACCTGCTGTATAGATTTTCCTTTAGATATTGTAATATTTGTAAAATGTATTATGTTCTGTGGTAACACCTTTATTTGAGAGAAAACCATAAGCCTGGTTTTATCTGTATTTAAAACCAAGTTCAGATCATATAAGCAGGACTGGACAATGTTAAAAGCAGCTTGTAAAAATGCCTGAGTGAGTCAGGCTTAACAGTGATAAATAATGGTGTCGTCTGCGTACAAATGATACACTGCATTTGACAAATTGTTATAATGATTGTAGATTGAAAATAGAAAGGGTCCCAGCACTGAACCTTGGGGGACCCCTAATGTCCAAAAAAGAAGAAGTAGTTTCAGCTCCCAGAAAAATAATCTGTATTAATTCTTAATCCAGCCTTAATTGATCCCATGTAGGAACCAAATAGAGCTTGAACTGGGATCCTGAATATGTTTTGTCAAATTGGGCCCAGTACACATCAAATGTAAAAATGCATAAAACCCTAAAAGACAATCAGAAAATATCAACCTCTGAACAACCCATTCTGGGCCATTTACAGCCCCTTTCTACCCACACAGAGCCTGCATAGGTATATTAGATGGAGATATCAGAATGTGGGGATGTTTGCATATCTCTTACATAACATGACTACAAAAAGCTCCACACTATGCATTTTTAATTATCCCCCCCATTGTTTCATTATGATTGTCAGAAAATAAATAAATAAATAAAAATTCTGAACAACATAGAAAATTCGAACATCCAGTAACATCCAGCCAATATCTAAAGCATCAAAGGATCACTGCAATATTGAAACGCTGGCTGCACAAGAACAAAGTGTCCCTCCTTTCATCACAGTAGCTGGAATTATAATAAGATGACACACTTTATGGGTCTCTCCAGCTACACTACCGTCATTAGTGCAACAGCTTTAATTAATTATTAACCTACATACATTGTAACAGAAGCTCATTCTTACATTATCTCTTGTAGGATTTGATCTGATCACACAGTTCCAGTTGGATGTGATCCCCCTGAAAGGAGTGAGGAAGGTGGATGGCTCCACTACACTACAGGTGGCCTACCGCCTGGACAGGGAGGCGAACTTCCAGATTCCAACCATGTAAGTACAGTCAACAGGGGGTTTAAAGAAAACAGATAAAAATACAGCCAAGTATATGTCGGCCACAGCAGTGGTCTCCTCATGCAGGTGTTGCATTATTACAGGTCCTGCACAGATGTTACAGCATGGCAAGCGGTATATAATTGTTCAAGCAAAACATGTCTGAACCCATTTTGCATCTCTCAGACACAAAGACAGAGTAGAAAGTAGAGTGGCCTGGTGTAAAACTCACTTTGAAGTTAGTAAAAAAAAATCCCCTGGACTACGCTTAAAGCTCCTCGTATGTACAGGAAATGTACATAAAAGAGATATGTTCTCTGTAATGATATGTCTCCCATTGTATGCACTCCTTTAAAGGTGGAAATGAAATATATGGCTCCATCTCTCTGTCATGAGTCTCCCTGGTGTGTAGTTAAAGATTAGTTATAGCAGCAAGGCCAGACAAATGCACTTTTTGACTGTGGGCCAGAAGTAAGCCGTGGAGGGAAAGGGGCTCACAGCTTAAATGAGCAATATCAAAGGGATACAGTATTTAAGAGGGGAAACAAAACATCTCAGGGCATCACTTTCCTAAAATTTGATTCTTACTTTAGCTCAAATCTTTCAAGGGACGGTCAAAATTAAAGCAGCAGAAGTTAAGTAGTGATGGGCAGTTCTTTTAAACGTACTGAATCACTAGAATCAGTTCACTAAAAAGATTCATTCAAAAGATTCGTTCACCAAATCACAGGATCATTCAGTGCTTGGCGAGAAGAGCCTGTGACTCCAACCTCCTTAACTGATACACAGCTGAACGGTTCGGGATTCAGTTCGATTCATAGCTTCTGGGACCGGGAGATGAGAGTTTTGTGGCTGTGTTGCTTTGGCAAACAGGTTTGTAAAAGTGAACTTGTCTAGAAATCATGATCATGTTTAAAGTGTACTGTCCTATGGTATGCTATTTATCAGCTCTGCTTGGTAAATTGGGCTCAGTGAGTAATTCGTCCATTGAACGTTTAGAAGAATTCATGCTAAACATGGACCTTTCCCTTGCAAACCGCTGCAATGATAGGATGCTGCAGGTTTTATGCACTACTTGTTACATGCTGTGTCCTATTGTATGCAAGTTGTTCTGGTGACAATTTAAAAAAACCAAACTAAAAAGGTTAGTTTTGTGAGACAAAAATGATTCCAGAGAGTGTAGCTCAATGCGTAATTCGTTTACCAAGTGATTCAGGCGTCAGTGCATGCAGTCCCCCATTTGCCAGCTGCTCGCCTGGCAATGTTGCGTGCTATGGCAGCTTCGGTCCTGACAGCTCAACTGAAGTGAGAAATGAACAAATCTCTTGAGGAAGTGATTTGGTTCAGTATGTTCACTGAAAAGATTTGGTTCATTTGAACAAATCGTTCACGAACGACACAACACAAATGTTAAGACTCGGCATCTCTTTATGCAAACCACTGATTTTTATAATTACCAACATGAAACTAACTGCACCTTCTCTATGACATGTAAATGCCCACTTTGTAGAATAATAAACCTCCAGTTTATAATGCAGGCCTTCAAGTATATGCAATTAAAATCCAAATTCAAGTGGCCTTGATGATCATCAGGGTTGTTTGGTCCCTCAGAGCTCTACAGAATCCATTACACATCTGTTTTCAAGGGTTGAGTGGTATTCCTAATGACATTTAAAAGGTGTGACTGCCACTCTTGTCTGGTCTCATGGGGAAAAAGAGCATAAAATAGCTGAGCTGTCCAAACGTGTTTCTGCTGCTGCTGTATATGTACAGGAAGATAAAGTGTGGAGACGCAGCAGGGTAAAACACTCCATTCACATTTTTATACGAAAACACAATCAGAGCTATTACTTATGCTGTTTGAGTGCTCCCAGCTCTTTAAGTGATTAAATTACCTCTAACCAAAAGACAAAGAGTGAACCCTTGGGCCCTTTGAGGTTTGTGTTTCTGGTGCAGCTTGTAGTGCATTACAGTGCAGCCTTATTTAGCATCTTAAATATCAGAAAACAGTCATTCGCTATTCAAGACATTATATTAAAAAATAAGGGATTTTCAGTGCAGAGTGTACAGGTTTATGGCTTTAGCTCCTTATATAACCAAAAGACGCCTCCTGGTGTTTCCCAGTGTGTCAGCTCCATGCTTTTTTGGCTCATCCCGTTGCCTCAAGCCAGCTTTTCTTCAGAGCCTCTTATATAACCCACTGGTACCCTGAATCTGTGCCACTCAGGCCCATCACAGAGAAGTAAATACATGTTTATTTCCTCATCAAATCCAGTGGCACAGACGTTGCTTTGAAGTTTCAACCTGCCAGCAGGCTTCACACTGCCCCCTGTTCCTGTTCCTTTTCTCTTCAGGTCAAAAGCAGCACATACTTTACATCTCCACACCTCAGGCTAGGCTGCAGCGTGGTGTTCATTTGTTTTATTGGCGAACAGGAAACTCTTTTTATTACGGCACCTTGATTGTTTACAAGATGGTAAAAGTCCAGCGGTAGCGCCCATCTATGAACGCACCACCTGCTGAGAGTGTTGCTCGTTAAAAACAGCATAGACAGTGGGTGTTAACCAGGGCGGCTGCTGCTGGTCATTGAAGCAGTGATTTATGCATTGAGGCTGCCTCTATGAAAGACCCACAACTACTTTGAAAGGGCATGCCTTGAAATCTGCCCTTTTTTAAATATGCACAACCCAAAATAACAAAAGTTATGACGTTAGGACTCCACCAGAGACATGTCTTGTCCTATATCAACAGCTCCTGACACTGTGCTCTACAGTTCTGTCCGCCTCATCATAAATACCTCGCATGCATATATTGCAATATGGGGGATATTGGGATATGTCATAGCTGATTGATTTCCACAGAGAAAGGGAAAGAAAGAAAGAAAGAAAGAAAAACCTAATCTAAGAGCACTGAGAGCATCACCGCCAAAGGTGAGCTTCCTGCCGGCAAGGTCCTGGACCATAATCCCTGCAAGCGGATGGCCATGCTCACACTACAACAGGGCACCGACAGGAGGTTTTGTCTAGCAATGTGAGTGCCAATACTCACCTGATCCACACAAATGATGACACATCCTCCAACCTCTTCCGAGGCCCCCAGCTGTCCACCACACTCCGGAGATCGGGTGTACTGGCTCTGGTGGCTGACATGGGTCCTGTCCTTCAGCCTCTCCTGAGGCCCCAGCTCTCCGAAGCCGGGCCGAAGATTGGGTGGACTGACTCTGATGGCTGACATGGGTCCTATACAGTATATAACCTCTGCTGCAATGCGTTATGACATCACGCCAGCCACCAGAGCCAGTCCACCCAATTGCCGGAATGCGGTGAACAACCAGGGCCCTGGAAAAGGCCTGACCCATGCCAGCCACCAGAGTCAGTCCACCCGATCCCTGGAGTATGGTGGACAGCCGGGCCCTTGGAAGAGGTTGGAGGATGTGTCCTTGGTTGTGTGGATCAGGTGAGCATTGGCACTCACATTGTTTGACACAACTTCATGTCAGTTGTAGTGTGAGCATGGCCATCCGCTGGCAGGGGTTATGGTCTGGGACCTTGCCGGCAGGAAGCACGAGGTAAATATACATTATGTTTTACAGTATTAACATAAACTAAATATTAGATAACAGTGTGTGGAGGAACATGTCCGATATTTTTCTTCAACACCTTACTAATTTAACCTTCTGTGTTCAACTTACTTTTCAGGCTAAACTTTCCTCGTGGCTTCCCAGATGAGTACTCTTTCATGGTGACCTTCCGTATGATCAAGAACACAGTGAACAAGGTGTGGAACGTCTGGCAGATAGTCGACGAAGATGGCAATAAACAAGCAGGATTGAGGTTGAATGGTGACCAGCAAGCACTGGAGTACTTCCTGATGGGCGCTGATGGCAACCTGCAAACCGTCACCTTCCCCGGCCTGTCTGTGCTCTTTAACACCAAGTGGCACAAAGTGATGATTGGAGTGGAACGGGACCAGGTCACTCTATACGTGGACTGCCAGCCTGTGGATAAGAAACCCATCAAGGGCAAAGGGCCCGTCAACACAGAGGGAGACACTCTTATTGGCAGGTTGGATACCGACCCCGACGCCTCTGTGGTGGTAAGCAAGAATGGAGATTTGCCTGCTGCATTTAATCATACACGCTGACTATCCTTACATGCTCCTACAGTGGAATGGTGCTCTCTGCATACAAACATATTCAGGTTTATATGTGTGCTGAGCTTGGCTATAATTCTAAAGTGCTGCTGTCACAGCAAAGCTGCTCAGCTGGGTTCCAGTGGAAAAAAAAGAAAAGCTTAATCCCTGCAGAAAATAACATTGGCGGAAAATCAGGCTCAACATCGCATGTAGGGCATGGATTTGAACCACAAAGAAATAACTGCAATATGACCAAGGGGTTCAAGTTTCAATGTCTCATCTTTAGAGTATGCGGAGGATTGTATATATATATAATAACACATAAACATCTCTTTTTTTCCAGTTTGAACTCCAATGGATGTTGATTCACTGTGACCCAAAGAGAGCCCAGAGAGAAAGCTGCAATGAGCTGCCTGCCACTGAGGTACAGTAACAAGGATCTGCTCAGCATCTGCTGTGGTTTGTGGTTTTTTACAGGTTGATAGGGCTCTCAGCTTGTTTGGAAGCAAACAAGGCAGAAATGCTGAGATAAAGTAACAAACACTTTGCCTAGCAGTTTCCTACATGAGGGCAGAGGTTCATCCAAAACAATTTGCAATCTAGAGGTTTTATTTTGTTGTCTACAGCAGCTTGGACTTATTGTTCTACAAACATTTCTTTGAGGCAGAGGTGTCAAAAGCAACAAGGCATGACCTCAGTATCTGTGTTGAACCATAATGCATGGAGCCAAAAACACAAACACTTTCTTGCAAGCTTTAAAACAAAGAGGAGGTCTAAACAAATTATATGCGAAAGCAGAAACCCGTTCTGTGACATGAAAACAACTACAACAGAGCACCAGTAGACTAAAACATGAATTTGAGTGGATAACTCGATACAGACATTTCTATGTTGTTTAAGTATAAAAGACAATGATTGATGATATCAGAAATGCAATACAACACCTGCTGACCGCTGCCATGTCAAGAGCACCTAGCTTAAGAAGCACTTTTTTTTATATGAGTGGAAAGTGTGTGGCAAGTGAAACATGAATTTGTAAGACCTTACAAACTCCTGGTGTGGAAACAAAGACAAGGCAGAAATGCTAAATTAATTTCCTCAACAGTATAACTAAGGTTAGCAGCAAAAGTCAGGGAAGCCCCATCAGACCCTCAATGCCATAGTAGGACGTTTGTTTACAGAACAAGATTGAACATGTTTACAGCCTGGTTTTTGTGACAACTTCACATGGGTTCATTAGTTTTCCTCACTCATGACTTACTGACAGTTAAGAGCATTATAGCCGATAGGTGGCAAGGCAATGCAGTGTGTGACTTGTGAAAACACAGAGGACTTGAATGGATTTTTGTCAGCTTGAGAGCAACATTGGAACAGTCTCTAAAACAGTCATGAAGAACTAACAGGTCCATTAGTCTTACTAGTTCATTTATCTGCTTCGCAATAATCATCACATACAGGAAGTAATGTTAGATGCTAGACTAATTTATATTTGCCAGTTAGACTTTGAATGACAGGGAATTGTTGCAGAAAGTGTAGGCGGTGTGCAGTCAGATATCTGTACCATTTTTGTTTTCTTTAAAGTCACATTTGACACAGAGATTTTGTGAGATTTCCTGATTTAAGAGTTCGGACTTTGGTTGATGGTTTATCCCTGTGGTGTTCTGGTTTGATCACTGTTAAACGTGTCATTATTTGTAGTCATGTGCGGATCTATCTCATTTTTATGATCTATTATGGTTTTAAATCTTCTACACAACAATTCTAGTCAGAAATTATGGTCAGTCGTAGTCAGCAATTCTAATATAGCATATTGTATAACAACTTTCCACAGAGACCAATAGCTTGAGTGAGACAACATCCAAAATCTTCCAAATTCGTCCTATTCAGCTTATTGTAGTATAAATATTTCTGTACTCTTTCTTTGTACCAAAACTCAGGTTCTTCAATTATGCACTCAGTCATTTTGAATTTAATTCAACTATGACAATTTTTATTTTGAACATTCAAAACATTATTTCACATGTTTTACATTATTTTCCATATAAAAAAAAATAACTTGCCTTTTTTATTTAAAAATGTTGCTTATTTATTGTTTTTATTAAAATTTATTTCTGCATTAAAACAAGATAAGGTCATCAAAAAGTATTTCTTTGAAATTAGTCCTGAAAAGGGTAAGGGGCTGTCTTGAAATCAAGGTAATCAATGCCGTATCAATTTAGGTGTTTTTGCTAATTGCCAGCATTAAAAAATGTAGCGCTAAGCTGATCAGCAATTAAAATCAATGGATAAATATTGCATGTTCTCATAATATTGATTGTTTTCATTAAAGGTAAGTATTGGTTGGATTTGTTTAAGGAAAAAATGTCTTTTTATTTTAAATTTATGAATTCGAAAGAATCTGACCTCTGACTTTTATATGAAGGACATCAAGAATGATGGGTGCTGATGGCAACCTGCAAAATAACTGCACACTATTTGGCTTTGAATGTGCAACACTGAAGGTTTTCCCCTTATTTCACACTACCAAAGAAAAATTTGTCTGTTTTAGGAAATGTTGTTGTAACAACCCTGTTTAAGCACCAAAAACAGTGATTTCAAAACCAGCCTTTTCTTCATATTAAGGAACAGTTAAAGTAATAACTGTGTTTAGACTTTCCAATATGTTATATTTCAACGACTTGACTGGGAGGTTATCATTTCCTTGAAAAATAATTGGTATTTGTGAAGTCCTCAGAGGGGTCAGATTTATGTCTGTCTCTTAAACCCTAGAAAAATGTCTTCCTGGATATATTAAAAAAAAACACCAACACACTTAGACAGACTGTAATGAGATTTCTGCCTCTGAGAAATTTTGTAGCCGGTAATGAAAATGCCACTCTGCTGTTCACAATCTCATTCTGGCCTGGTGCGTTCTATTAGATTTCAGGCTAACATTTCTGCATCCAGCTGTGAAGTGGGTCTGTTGTAGAGGAGTGTAGGTACTATTGGCTGTGTATTCAAATGAAAGCATGAAATACTCACTACTATGATTTAGAACTGGTATGCTTCTGCTGACACTTTTGGTGGGGGTGGTGTGACTAGTTTCACTAACTCCTTTTTTCTGATTTTTCTTGCTTCTTCAGATGTATGCCAATGCTGAGGTATTTATTTTTCTTCACTACTTCCCCTTTGCTTTGTATTTTTAAGCCAATAATCTACTCAGTGCTTCAGTTGCCTGATGACCTTATTGCTTTGACCTAAATCTTATTCATGGTGATGGTTTAGAAGTTTTTTTTTCTATGTTAGGGTCAAGTTTTATTCAAGTTCATATGACCTAAAGGTCCACGAATGAGTCAAATTTATTGCTCAGTGAAATTAATTTTATAATGTATAGTATGGTATACTTTGCATTATTAAAGGTGTAATAAATGCATTGATTTGATTTAAATGATTGACAATTAAGAGTTTTTTGCTGATATTTACTGATTGAAAGTGTCCACTCTCAGCCAGACAAATCAGTTCAAGGCCCCCCAGGACCCACTGGCCCAGAGGGCCCCAGAGGGCCTGCAGGTGAAAATGGCAGGGACGGAAGAGATGTAAGCATTTCAGTCTTTCTTCAAACCCATAAAGTTTTTCTTACTGTCTTCTCTTCACACAGAAACTATTTTTTTGTGTCATTTTCTCTCTATTTTCTTACACTCTCTTGTTTTGTTTGTCTCTCTAGGGTCTTCCAGGCTCTCCTGGCAGCCCAGGCACTCCTGTAAGTAAAACAAATATACTGATGGAGAATTCTCTGCTATCACTCTATCCTCTCTTTTGTTATTATTCTATTATTCCTCATGTTACTTAAGGGAGATTATACCACAAGTCTTCACAGATATACAAAATGCATTTCTCCAATTCAAGATCACCGGGCACTACATTTTTGGGTTTTCTGACCTAGGAAACACGAAAGTGGTCCATCCCTTATCCGTAAAATGGGGACTGATGCTGCCTCTCTGTATCTTAGCAACCTCCTTGAAGAGGTTCAGGAAAGAGATAAAGCTGTTGTAGTCCTGTTGTGTCTGTTTCCTAGGGCAGCAAAGGGGAGCAGGGAGAGATTGGTCTTCCTGGACAGAGAGGCCTGCCTGGTCTTCCAGGATCTTCTGTAGGAAACTTTACCTCATCCATTATCACATACTTTCTATATTATTTGCTCTTTCTGTCTGTTTGATTGTGCTTCTCTTATTTGCAGGGTTTGCCTGGTCCAATGGGTCCAAGAGGCCCTGTAGGAGAGAGAGTAAGTAGATCCTTTTGAGATCCTTTATGTCCAAGATTCTTAGCAAAGACTGTGTAACTGATTTGGTTCCCTCTGGTGGCAGGGACTTCCTGGTTTTCCTGGACCTCCAGGTTCCCCTGTAAGTGTAAAATAAAACCTGTTAAAAGACACATTGCATGAAAATTGAACCAAGTGTGAGAGTAAAACTAAATATGCTTTGGTCAATTTGTCAATTCACAGGGCCCAGCAAGTGAAGGACCTGCTGTATGTATTTGACATGTTCTACAGTATTTTGCATGATCTTTTAAAGAGTATTGTTGGAAATCTTAAACATTGCTTAACAGTGAATATTAAGCTGTTCTAACTTTTGTTGGTTTTTGACAGGGACCACCAGGGAAGCCAGGAATCCCAGGAGATGAAGGAAACATTGGGCCTGAGGTAAGACTTCACAACGAGACATAAGTGTAATCCTACAAAGCAAAGAAAGCATCTCCTTCAATTAGATGCATTTGCTTTAGTCTTGCCATTTTATAGTACTTTATACTTTGCTTTACCAAATTACACAATGAAATGTTTCCCCACTTGCATTTCACACCAACTCTAACTGGCCAGTGGTTTGTACGCCAGCCATGACAAAAAATACAACAGAACAAAACAAAAAGCTGTGGTATCACATATATGAAAAGGAGACAAATGTAAAGTTGTAGACGTTTCATTTTTAGACGGACAACCCCTCAGCCTCTTGCTGATGTGTTTTGATTGTTTTTGTACATGACATTGGTCAACTGGCAAAAGGCCTTTAGTAACGAGCTGAAAAGGAGACATATCGCCTACCAAAGCAGAGGCAGACAAGCTTTGGTCAACAGATTGGTTCTCAACCAGTGCTCGTAGATTGGGACAAGATCAGTAGTCCAAGTAAATTGCCTAATTAAGCTATAAGATGTTCCTGTTTAAAAATGGCCCAATCTCTCTCCTATGACACCTTTGTATGTAGGACTTCTTTACAATCTACAGTAGTAGCGAGAACACAGCGTGTAAAATTATCAAGGTCAATACAACTTACAACCTCGTACACAGTAAAAAATGCATAAAAACAGAATCTGTGTGTCTCACCCTAAAGGAGATGTCACAAGAAGATGTCTGCATGGGGGATATGGTTTATTTATGGGTTTTGAAGTTTCATGCTTTGAGATTTTGCCTAGTCAGGCCCTATAGTTCAACACTCTTGAAGAGGAACTCCAAGTAGGACACCAAAAGTTGGGAGTGAGTCACTGCTTCAAGTGGAATAGTTCAAGTGTCTTGTGTCTAATTCACAAGTGGTGACTGGTAGAGTGTTTGCAGGTGTTATATTGAATTGTTGAAGTTGCAAAACTTGTGATCTACACAGCTGTCTATTTACAAAATTATGGTTTTAAGTTTTCTATAATGACAAAAGAATAAGATCTCGAATGCGAACATCAAAACTTAGTTTTCACTGCATGATGGTAAGGCCCTGCTCAATGATACGTCAAGAGTTTAGGCATCAAGCTTCTACACAAGGGAAGGAACAGATGACATTTTTTGGTGCACATCCAATTGGTTTTGTGGATGTACCATGACCCATTGTATGAAAAGTGGAAGACAAATGGTTTGATAAACTAAAAACAAACATGACAGGGGCTTTAGAGGGCCTTGACCTTTGTCTTTGGAATCTACAAAACCAAGGTCTAAGTGTGTGACAACTGAGCCTTGACCAGTGGTAATACTGGTACAAAAATATATTTCTATAAATATACTCTGGGGACATTTTAGCTGTAGCTGATAGTTTAAAATTAGGACCTGTAAGGTAAATTCCACATTACTGATGTTGCCTATTTTTAATGGGATATTTCAGATTGCAGAGATGCTATATTTACTGACAGATGAAAACCAAATTCTTCCTCTCACCCAAAAGTAGAGACATATAGTAGCAAGTTGATATTGCTGCAATAGGATTTTCTCACTCAGAAGAAGTGATCATTGTGTAAATATCTGGCACACATCTTTCTGCTTTAAAAAAGGGTTTGGTATGTTACTGTATGACATTTGTGTTTTTGCAGGGTCCACCTGGACCCAGAGGGACTCCTGGTACTGCAGGCGTTCCTGGCCCTCCTGGCCCACCAGGTCCTGTGGTAAGAGAGAAAACCAGGTTATGTTTAAAAAAAAAAAAAAAAAAAAACTCATTTTCACATTTCATGCAACACAAACAAAATACTGTTTTAATGTAATTTTATCGTCTTTTATTGTTCTAACAATGCCTTTTATCCACATTTGGGAGCCTGCATGCAGATACTAATATTCTAAATAACAATTGTTGATTTCATATATAATCTGGTATTCATTTGTTTTATTAACAATTCTCCATGTCAAGAATAAAATCATACTGTTATCAAACATTTAATATTGAAAAAAAAAACCTCTGAGGCAGCACTTACACTTCATGATGCTGCCCCATCCATCCGCTTGTAGTGTTTCATAAGAGGCTACTGACATCCATTACCAAGTTCTGAGTTTGCACTACTTCCTCTTTTTAAATAACAGCTAAGTATCAGCTATAAACTGTATCGAGGATATCTCTTAGGTGCAACCTCTAAAGGACTCATACTAATTATTCATGTCTACTTATTCACTTTTACAAACCGTTCGTCATGAATCATGAGTGTGTGATGGTATTGCATGCTGCTGTCTTTTCCCGTCATCTCTATGGTAATTTCTGCTGTGGTGGGTTTATGTGGACATCTAAACCCCTGTGGCTGTTTTAGATGTCACTCTGCTATATTTTAGGGACCACCTGGTGCCAGCAATGAAGGGAGTGGGGAACCTGTGAGTGTTTTTCTGTCTTATACTGTGCCAAATCTTTCCTGGCTGGGTGGCAGTTGGAGTGGTGACAGTGCATGTTTGATCAAACTGAGTCACTAAAATTATGAAGCTTTGCAAAAGCAGCCATGTTTTGAGAACATGATTTTGTTCATTTCTCCTTGTCTGAATCTGTGTACTCACAGTGTCCTGCATCCTGTCCTGCTGGACCCCGGGGATTGGCTGGGCTACCGGGGATGAAGGTGAGGAATTTCAACAAAATTTAATTTTAGATTAAGTCGGATGAAAGTGAGAATTAGGCCATATGTTAGCCTTTTCACTGTAGCTTTCACATACACTCACAGAAATACTTAGGCCTCATTGTGTACAAAATTTTGTTCTAAAGTTTAACATAAACTTAGCAAGGTAAGGCACAACACTACTTTTAGTTAAAGTGGTTAGTTAAAGTAGTTAAAGTGCCGAAACTACTTGGTAAAGCTAAGTGTAGATTAATAAAGTTACTAGATGGACTTCCTGGTCAATCACAGCACAATAGAGCAGGCTAGTCAATGCTCCACTAGGTACTTAAAACTATTCAGCAATGCAATATTTATATTTGTGGAGTGTTACTTTCACCAACATACAAATTTAATGAGTGTGTTGAATCCAAATATTTAATACATGGTGATATCCTCAGGGACACAAAGGTACTGATGGGGAGCCAGGGAAGGATGGAACACCAGGAGAGAAGGTACGTGACAGAGTAGCTAACAACAATAATGTTCCTCTGTTTGACAGTCAACCAACAAACTGGCTAAATCAACCCATTAACAGCATATAAAAGCCTGTAAAGCTGGGACACTGTATAAAATGATAATAAAATAATAATATGGTCATAAAAACAAATTAACATGTTGACATTATGATGCATCTGAGCAAATCAATTGACCCATAGCTGTATGTGTTGAGATGTTGAGGCAGGGCATATTCACTTGGCTGATTTAGAATTATTGCTGATTTAAATTTTAAGTGTTTTTTTATTGTTTTTTTTGGTTTTATGATGTTTCCAGTGGGTGAAAAGTCAGGACTATGGGCAGGCCAATTTAGCAAGTATGCTTTTCTACTCTGCAGCCATGCTATTGTAATATGTGCAGGATGTAGTTTGTATTCATCATATGGCATGAAATATTTAAGATCTTGCCTGAAAATAGCAATATCTGGATGGTAATATATGCAGTGGTTTCCACTACAGTGTCATTTCTGATTTTAATGAAGTGCCACCCGAGGGAACAAAGATACTCCAATATTTGCTTCTGGCCTTGTCTCAGTGTTTTGTTGCTTCTGTCCCAACTTTTTTGAAATATGTTGTCAGCATCATTTTTTTTTTCGTTAATTAATTACATCTTTTAGTTTCAACATTTATTTTTATTTAATTTATTGTTGGGGAATTTGGAGGTTTAAATCAAAATCTGTCACACGAACACTTTCTTCAATTGTTTTGGAATTGGGGGCTAAATTAATGTCAGGAGGAAACCTCAAATGACTAAGATTTAATGTTGCTGTTGCAGCCTCTCCTTTGTGTTTCATCAGTTTATACTTGTTTGTTTTTTGTCGTTGTTTTTAAGGGCGATGCTGGAGAACCAGGAGCTCAGGGGCCTCCAGGTCGCATGGGAGATGATGTAATGAAACATATTTTCTGCTCATATTTTGTCAAAACAAGCCAGAGTGCGTTGTGTATTGACTGATTTTTTAATGCTTTTTGCAATTACAGGGACAAAGAGGGCCTATTGGTTTTCCAGGGACCCTGGGGGAAAAAGGAGATAGAGTGAGTAAAACAACAGCTGAATTAGATTTCTTCTTTCTTAAAAAAGGGAAAACAATGATTCAGAGTTGTGTGGAATAATGAATATTTGTACCAACATTTTTAAGGTTTAAGACTTTTTTGTTTGTAGGGTTCTCCTGGTTTCAATGGCCTTCCTGGTCCCACTGGCCCACCTGGAGCTCCTGTAAGTAGTCTTAGATTAATCATCTTTGTGTTCTCTGTAAAGTAAAGTCCAGTAATGCAAGAGCAGAACATTAAAGACAGCTCCTTCAATATGTCTCTGACTATATCTCTTGTCTCAGGGTGTGGAGGGAATTCGTGGACGACAGGGTTTGGAGGGACCTAAGGGTGATGATGTGAGTTCTATACTTGAACATTTTGGTATTGTTGAAAAATATCATCTGAAAAACTTTCAGTTTGAAAACTTTGGTTTTGATTAGGGCGCAGTGGGACCTCCAGGAGAGCCAGGCCCCGCAGGGGAGACAGGAGAAGCTGTGAGTGTACTGATGGGATTGAACGAACTTCTTATTCATACTTTAGTGCACAGATACTGTAACTGTTGGACATATTGTTTCAGGGTGAGCCTGGTAAGGATGGCTTAGATGGACTTCCAGGCGTTGATGGAGAAAAGGTGACTAATTTTCAACTATAGATATTTTTGTGATGAGATGCATCCGTACATTTGTTGTAAAGACTGTGGGGTATTCTAATTTTACTTTACATTTAAATACTGAATGCTTCAGTTACTAACTTTTTCAGTAAAATCATGTGTTGAAACCACTGCATGGGAACACGATGCAGCAAAATGTGTGCCTTACAATTTCAAGGTTTTTGTGAAAGAAATGTTCACTTGTTCAAACTACAAAGAGAATAAAAAGTGAGGAATCGAATCATGGCTTTCTTTCATGCATGCACAAAGGCCCACAAGGACACCAGCTAGTGTACAATAAATGGTCAACTGTACTAAATGAAACTTGTCTTTTTAAAAGGGTGAGCCAGGTACTCCTGGAGCTGTCGGTGTCAGAGGGATTGTTGGTATTCCTGTAAGTTTGGATTTGTTTTTTTTACTTTCTTTCAAATGACAATTAATGCTTTTTCTACCTAATACTTATTGTCATTATTCTGTTATTTGGGTAGTTATGGCTTATATCCAAATTAAGTTGAACCAAAGAAAACTAATGTTGGACAAAAAGCCACAGAGCAATTCAGATTGATGCAAAAGTAAAATCAAACAACCAGCTGTAACGTATGCATGTTACGCTTTAATTTTCTGTCTTTATATGTGATGTGTTTTTATTTTCAGGGGCTGCCAGGGAAGCAAGGAGTAGCAGGACCCCCCGGAGCAAAGGTAACTGGATTAATCTTCCATTTAACGGCATCCCTCATCATTTCATTTCATCACTGCACTGTTTCACTTGAAATAAACTTTCTGGCAGTTTGCAGACTGAGCCGACAAACATAACGATTAATAACTTGCAAACCTCTGTTGTGTATTTAGGGTGACACTGGTGCTGAGGGACCCATCGGACCAGTCGGACTTCCTGGAAAGACTGTATGCCCCTCATAACACTCCTAGAAAACATTATGTTTATACTGCTCATAATTTTGATCACCATACCTCAAGAAATGCTGCTATGCTCATTCACATTCATCTGTCTTTATGTAGGGAGAGTCTGGAGCAGATGGTGAAGATGGGAAACCAGGAGACAAAGGAGCAACTGTGAGTTGGCTTTCACTTTGTTGGGTTGTTACAGGATTTCTCACATTGATAGATTGTTTGTTTGGAGCATTGGTTAATGGTTTTAATTATGTAAAGAATTTTCAGTTAGCTTAGTATTGCTGGGTCTACATGTTAACTATGTACATGAATCACATGCAGGGTGAAACAGGAAAACAAGGACCAGTTGGGCCTGCAGGTCCTCCAGGTATCCAGGTAAGACATTTATTCCTCACGACACAATCCTACTTCGCTGTCAAAGATCACATAAAACTGAAATAGTTTCATTCCCATGGTGTGTGATGGGATTAGTTAATGCTGATGGGCACTTAGCATGGAACCCTCTGCCATCAGTGTGTGGCATTAACTGTAAAAGCTCTTTGAGTGGTCTCAAGACTGGAATAGCTACATAAGTACAGTCCATTGACCATACAGAATAGAGTTTATGTATAGTAAAAGTGTATGAATATAAGTTGCTGTGTTTCCAGGGTGACAAGGGAGACAAAGGTGAAACAGGGGCCAAAGGGATGAAGGGTCACACTGGATACAAGGGTGATCAGGTTTGACAAATCTTATTTTACATATATGACTTTGAAAAACTTGAAAAAGATAAGTTTATAAATAAGATTATTTTCATTGTGCATAATGCTCTCTCATTTGGTTTCCAGGGGCCTATGGGACCAGAGGGACCAAAAGGAAGTCAGGTAAGAATTATCCTTGATTGTGTTCTTATTTCAAATAACTCAGATCTATAAATTAGATTTCACTGGATTCATACCTACAAGTTCACTGACACTGTCTTACTTCTCCTACCAGGGGGATCAAGGTGTAGTAGGAGATATTGGGGTCAAGGGAGATCAGGTATGTGAAGCTGCCTTATGTTTGGTTGAAAAAAAGAAGTGTTCTGTGTTTGTATTATAAAACACAGTGAATGTTCGATTCTTTACAGGGCCCTCCTGGTGTTCCTGGAATCAAAGGAGAGGTATGAAAATACTACTCACTGTTCTGCTACCCTCATTCTGCTTTTCTATGCTGTCGCCCGAGGCCTGCTTAGGTTGTGGAATCACTATATGCGATTAAGATAAGAAATATTACAGAAAAGACTCATTGAGGAGTTCTTAACAGACTGAATCTGATACCGATGCCTCTTTATGGCATTTAAAAGCAAAAAGACTATCAGCAATATGATGAATATATTTTTCTGTTGTAATTAATGCTCGAAACAGCTGTAAGATGATTGACAGCAGCCTGAAATACATAGCAACTACCCATAATAAGTGATAAATTTTGTCATTAAAAATTGACAGGATAAGTTAATTGTCTGAAAACACGACTCTCACATGTACAGGCCAAGAAAGAAAGAGGTATTACTTTGTCCACAGAGGGCTCAAGACCAAATCAAACATGGCTCCCAACAGGAACAGCAACATTCCCCATTTATTTTGAAGGAGCAATTAAGATTTAAAAGAAATAGATATAATTATGTAGTTACACTTTCTTACGTGATTTTATTTCTTCTTATGTGAAGCGTGGAGAGAAAGGCACAAGAGGAGCTACAGGAGACGAAGGTAGAACAGGCCAGCCGGGTCATGAGGGTTTGGCTGGTCCTATGGGGCCTCGAGGGCTTGATGGCGAACCTGGCCTTCCTGGATCACCTGGCCCCAGAGGTCTACCTGTAAGTGTCACAAGTATAAACATTATCTTTATCACCGGCCATCTAATGGGCTAAACTCTCAGATCAGGTCATTTTAAAGTGTACTTTGAGATTATACTCTAGTGGTTGGTTGGTGTAAAACCCAATCGTGTAATCAATACAAGAAATAATGTGACGTAGGGGTCTTGTCCCGCCCTGCATCTGTTGTAAATATTAATGTTGACTTAATAATCCACAGGGCCCCAAAGTGAGTGATGAGAAGCTCCGTGAGATGTGCTCAGCTGTTGTTGAAGGTGAAGTTTGTTCACTTTGACCCCATCACTTCCAGATCTTCACTCATATCCTGCAAATACTCAGACTTAGTTCTGACACTGTCCTGCTTTATTTTGGTTTGTTTGCATCTGTCCAGAGCAACTAGCAGAGTTTATGAAAGAGTTACTGAAGAAGCCTGCAGCCATCGGTGCTCCTGGTAGTCCTGGACTCGCAGGTCCTGCTGGCCCGCCTGGACCTGCCGGGGCAGCAGGAGCAGCAGGACTTCCAGGACCCGCGGGTCCCAAAGGTCATCCAGGCTTCTTTGGACTCCCAGGCGCACCAGGGAAGAAGGGTCAGTGAACTTTTTTTCAAACCCTTTTAATCATACTTGGTTCTGAACTCCATCAAACCCATCCTAAAACGAAATGTTATGAATATAACTTCTGTTCCCTGAAGGAGAGGAACGAGGTACAACACATATAGTATGGGATATCACGCCCCTGCGTGACCTGACTGAAGACACCTTTATTCACGCCTTTAAGGCAGATGATCTGTGGTGACGTCTGGGAGGCTCCGCCTGCACATATATACGTGTAACACCACAGTCATCCTTCAGTTCGATAGCCGCTCTTCACCGAGCTCTGCCGCGCAGCGGGGCAACCCAGTGTTGTACCTCGTTCCTCTCCTTCAGGGAACAGAAGTTATATTCATAACATTTCGTTCCCTTTCAGTCGATTCACTCGGTACAACACATATAGTATGGGACATATATACACGCCCCGCAGAGCAGCCACCGAACCGAAGTCAAACCTCCAAAACTTTTAGTGCATTGTAGACCCAGCAGAAAGGACAGCGTGAGCCACCGAAGGTGCTGTCACATCCAAACGGTAAAACCGAACAAAAGTGTGCGGTGATGACCAACTGGCTGCAGTGCAGATATCACTCACAGAAACCCCTTTAAACAAGGCCCAAGAGGCCGCCATTCCCCTGGTTGAATGTGCCTTCACACCTTGGGGCAACGGGAGACCCCTGCTGCCGTATGCTAAGGAGATAGCCTCCACAATCCAGTGGGAAAGCCGCTGCTTAGACAGCGCCTTGCCCTTGGCTGGATTAGCAAAACAGACAAACAACTGGTCACATAAACGCACACTCTGAGTGCGGTCTATGTAAGTGCGTAGTGCACGCACAGGGCACAAGGAATGCAACCTCCTCTGCTCCTCAGATGCAAATGGAGGGGGGCAGAAGCTCAGCAGTTCAAAACTCATAGAGCTATAGGCTGTGGGGATAATCTTAGGTAAATACGCCGCGTTTGGACGCAATGTAGCCTTAGATCCATCCGGAGTGAACTGGGTACAAGAGGGATGCACAGACAAAGCATGAAGGTCGCCCACTCGCTTTGCAGACGTCAAAGCAAGTAGCAGTGCAGTCTTGTATGAAAGAAATTTCATGTCTGCTGACTCAATAGGCTCAAATGGGGGTCCACCAAGAGCCTCAAGCACCAACCCTAAATCCCATGAGGGAACACTGGGTTTAAGAACAGGTCTTAGCCTGCGGACTCCCTTTAGGAAGCGCATAGCAAGAGGGTGAGCGCCTGGCGTCACACCATCAAAGCCAACATGGCATGCAGATATAGCCGCCAAATAGACCTTAATTGTTGAGAAAGAGAGACCCTTATCCAGCAGGTCCTGAAGGAATGTTAAAACATCCACAATAGAACTCTGAAATGGGAGTACATTTCGGTCCTGACACCACTGCTCAAACGCCCGCCATTTATAGGCATATAGGCCCCTAGTAGATGATGCCCTTGCACTCTGGATTGTTGCCACCACATTTGGGGGCAGACCCTGAGCCATTAAGTTGGACCTTTCAACAGGTAAGCATGTAGTTTCCACAGTTCTGGGCGCGGGTGAATCACCTCTCCTCCCGCCTGGGAGAGGAGGTCCCTGCAAAAAGGGAGCTGCCAGGGCCTCGCTACCAGCAGACTGATTATCTCTGCGTACCACGACTTCGCCGGCCAGCGAGGAGCCACCAGGATCAGGGAGAGCCCCTGCTGGCGCACCCTCTCCAGAATGGGCAGAATCATTTCCACTGGGGGAAAAGCATATAGCAGCGTGTTGGGCCATGGGTGAGCTAGCGCATCCATCCCCAGGGGAGCATTGCAGTCTGTTATGGAAAAGAACAGGGGGCAATGAGTATTTGCTCTGGAGGCAAAAAGATCTACTTCTGCCTTGCCGAAGCGGTCCCATATCTGAGCCACCACTAGTGGGTGCAATCTCCACTCTCTCACAAGAGGACCCCCCCTGGAGAGAAGGTCTGGTCCAAGGTTTAAGTGACCCGGAATATGTGTGGCTCTGAGGGACAGAAAATGAACACTGCACCATAGCAACAGATAGTGAGACAGTTTTAACAGGGGAAGAGAGCGTGTCCCTCCCTGCTTGTTTATGTAAGAAACCACGGTTGTGTTGTCCGTCCTGATCAGAACATGATGGCCTGTCAGAACGGGACGAAAGTGCTTCAGAGCTAAAAGGGTAGCTAGTAGCTCCAGGTAATTGATGTGGAGTTTGCATTGTGCTGGCGTCCACACACCTCTCACTGCTGCGCCCTCGCACAGAGCCCCCCAACCCCTCAGGGATGCGTCTGTGGACACCACCTTGCGAAAAGACACCCTCCCTATCGGAGATCCCTGTTGTAGAAAACCGGGTTCTCTCCACGGGAGAAGAGCCGACATGCAAGACTGAGTTATCGTCAGCCTCCTCTGGAGGTGACGCTGCGCGCACAGCCGGTGAGACTGAGTCCAGCGTTGAAACGCTCTCATTTTTAACAGTCCGAGCGGCACTACAGCGATCATAGATGCCATCATGCCTGTCAGCTGTAAAATCGTCCGGAAACACAGTTTGCGTCCCAACTGAAATTGTGCAAGGCAGCGGTGAAACGCAGCCACCCTGCGTTCTGACAGACGTGCTCGGCTTGAAACGGAGCATATTTCCAGCCCGAGAAATGATACCTGTTGACTCGGAGTCAGTGAACTTTTCTGTAAATTTACTGAAAAGCCCAGTGTTTGGATGTGCGATAGGGTCAATGACAGCTGAGCCGCTGCTCGCTCTCTGGAGCTCGCGATTAGCACCCAATCGTCCAGATAGGCTAAGATGCGAACACCTTTCTCCCGTAGCGGAGCTAATGCCGCCTCGACACATTTGGTGAATGTTCGGGGGCGAGTGATAAGCCGAACGGCAGCACCAGGTATTCGTAGGCTATGCCCTCGAATGCAAACCTTAGAAACTGCCTGTGGTCCGGATGAATTGCTACGTGAAAGTAAGCATCTGTCAGATCGATAGTTGTAAACCAATCTCCCGGTCTGATCGCGCCCAGTAGCTGTCTGAGTGTTAGCATCTTGAACCTGTAGGTTCGTAGGTATTTGTTTAACACTCGCAAGTCTAGGATAGGACGGAGCCCTCCTCCTTTTTTCGGAACAACGAAATAGCGGCTGTACCAACCTTTGTTCGTTTCCGAAGCGGGAACAACTCGTATCGCCCTCTTGTTCAACAAGTTGTTTATTTCTTCCCTCAGCACTGCTGCTGCTTCCTCTGCTACAACTGTGTGTATTACAGAGTGAAAGCGAGGCGGTCGGACCCTGAACTGTAAGCGGTAGCCGATGGCAACAGTTCTCTCTACCCACGGCGAGACTGCGCATGCGCGCCACCGAGAGAGACGAACAGTCAGTCGACTGACCTCCAGTACTGTGGGGGAGGGGTTGTCGCCCCCTAGCGTGCCGGCTGGGAACGGCAACACTTTCTCGCCCAGACTTGATTGATTCATGATGTTTTGAGAACAAAACGAAACCTTTATTTGATTCAAAGAACGTACATTTGTGACATTCACACAGTGAACAACAGGCGCCATTATTGGGGCATGTGTATGTGAGGGGGGTTGTGCTTGGGAGACTGTGTTAAGGGAGTGCAGCGCCTCTCGGGACCGGACCCCTGAACGAACTTTAAACGCGGCCTCTTTGGCGGCAGAAAATGAAGGGCGGCAGTGTCTCCGTGCTGCTGGCCCTCTCGAGTCGATCCCGAAGCTAGGATGACTGCTGCTTCTTCTTCCTGGGCGCCGAGTCCCTCCGGAAGCTCGGTGGCGGACCCTTGTTCCAAGCCGAAGGGCGTGGGTTCTGACCGGGTACATATCGCTTCACCGGCTGGGGCCCCAAGCTGGCGGGCGCTGCAGTCCTCTTAGGGGGAGGCGCTGGTGCCGGTTTGTGCGGATAACCCTGTTGTTTGGGCCTCGCATCACGCCTGGGAATGATGCTTCTCAAAGCTTCGGTTTGTTTTTTCCTCAGCTCAAACTTAGCTTGAATGTCGTCGAGGGACTGCCCAAACAAACCGCTGGCCGACACAGGCTCGTCCAGATAAACCGCTCTGTCCCTCTCCGGAACGTCGGAGAGAGTCAGCCACAGGTGCCTCTGCGCCACCACCGTGGAAGCCATGCCTCTACCGAGAGACAGCGCTGCACAGCGGGACACACGGAGGATGTAATCTGTGGCGACCCTAGCTTCATTGAGGAGAGGAGTAAGCGGACTGTCAGGAGGCATACGCGAGCCGAGTTCTGCCAGACACATAGCTTGATATGTCTGAAGCATAGTGACGGAGCTCAGTGCACGAGCCGTATTTGCCTGTGTCCTGTAAATTTTATCCAGCTGTGACGCTGAAAATCTACAGTGCTTGGATGGGAGCGTGATGGGGCCACCGACACCGTGATTCTGGGCCGGGGCCAGATAAGCTGCCAGGGACGCCTCCATAGGCGGAGGGTTCACCAATCCAGCTTTTTCAGCTCCATCTAGATCCAGAAACTGTCCACAACCGGGCACTGTGGCGCGGGTGGACAGCGGCTTGTTCCATGTCGAGGTTAGTTCCGCGACAAAATCCGGGTACATGGGCAAACTGTTCTTAACAGTCGTCGGTTCGGGTGGGAGAAAAAACCCTGTGAACCGCGACGGTTTTTGAGCTGGAGGAGGAGAGGGCCATTCTACCTCCAGTTTCTCAGCTGCACGGCGGTACAGTGAGAGGAAGGATGTGTCGTCCAGATCAACCGGCGCAGCAGCGGCGGCATACTGACCTGAAGACAACGGCTCCAGCTCATCTTCCGAAAAACCCTGCACGTCCAGGCCGATGTCCAGCACGTCATCGTCCTCCTGGTAACAAGCTAGCCCGGATAGCGGCTGGCCAGCGCCCTCGGAGGGGCCCGGCTCAAACCCAGCTGACCCGTCAGCACACTCCACATGGTCTGCCCAGCTTCCAACTGAGCCTTCGACCAGAAAGTCCTCACCACCGGACTCGGACGAAGCCGGGTCTCTGGACTCGGAAAGGAGGGGGTCGTGCAGCGCAACAGCGGTTTTTCCAAGAATTTTCTCCACAAACTTGACCCGCCTTCCCAGGGTTGAGCTCCGAAGCCGGTGACAGGACTCACACGACTCGGGCTCAGTCAACGCCCTCCTGGCGTGGACAATCCCCAGGCAAACGGGACAAGCCTCGTGAAGATCCTTCTCGTGAAGGGAGAAGCCGCACCCCTGAGGACAGGGGCGAACAGAAGACTTCGCCTTCACCTTCATGGGCTTAGAGCTCATAACGAGACTCAAAAGCTGAACGAAATTAGCGCTCCGCGGGTAGCCGTAGGCTAACACCAACAGGGGCAGTTGAGCTAAAGTCGATCAAGCAGTAGCCAGAGACAAGACCAGGCTAATTTAGCAGCAGCTAGTTAGCCCGACTCGGTGTAGGTGTTCTCAGCGAGGTGAAGAGCGTAAGAACTGAAGGATGACTGTGGTGTTACACGTATATATGTGCAGGCGGAGCCTCCCAGACGTCACCACAGATCATCTGCCTTAAAGGCGTGAATAAAGGTGTCTTCAGTCAGGTCACGCAGGGGCGTGATATCCCATACTATATGTGTTGTACCGAGTGAATCGACTGAAAGGGAACTACAGAAACTGCAGACTCCAGCAGACTTTAAAAGGATCCCAAGAACCACAAACAAGATAAGATTTGCTGCTGCAGCAACAGCTTTTTAGCTTTTCCTTTGTTTTCTCGGAGATCATTCACAATTCAAACAGTAAGATTAGTGGCAGAGAAATTAAATCAAGCTTTCGAGAAACAAGGCAGCAGGCAGTATTCCTTTGACCACAGCACGCTGACAGAAGTTATGCAGAGCCCTCTACAGATGGAGGAGATTCACTCATGCATTACATTATACAATGAATGACTCACCAAGCAAGGATGAATCAGATCAGACTCATTAAGTTTCCTCATTGCATCTTTATAACTGAGAACACGGCATGCCTCTCCATTTCATCTAAATATCAACCTGTGTGTCCTTTGTGTGCTTCTCTGTCCTGCAGGTGATGCTGGTGAAAAAGGAGACAAGGGAGACAAAGGAGAGGATGGGGTAGGAATCAAAGGAAGCCCAGGTGAACCAGGTGCACCAGGTAAGTGCTGTGGCCATGAGAGTTCTTATTCAGTATCTAGGCAAATAAAATCAGATTTTACTACTTTTTATGAAGACTTTGAATTCTTTCTCATTTTTAAAATACAAAAAATATGCACAGTCACTCTTGACAATAGCCAGTGAGTTCTTGGACTGCATTGCATATTTGCTGTTGGCCCCTTTCCTCTCACTTGTAGACTGTTTGCCCAAAGAGAGCCAGAAGCAGCTGAAACATTAGTGGATGATAAATCTTACAATGTAAACTAGAGGTGAATCCATCCAACTTTTAAAGTCCCAATACGGATACCAGCACCGATACCTGGGCTTTGGTTTCACCCATCATCAACACTGAACAAACTAATGACAGAATTAAATCAACAACCTGCATCTCAAAGATATCCAGAATAAATGTCCTGTAATAAACTCAAATTCAAACCTGAACTCTTCAGTGTGAGGCTGGGACTGGGAAAGTATGTTTTTGCAACACCAGGCTTTTTTAACTTTGTAAACCAAAATGAATATATATCCCACCAAACAATGGACGTTGGAGAGACGTGCAGATCACGTCAGTATTGGGTCTGTCCAAGACCACATCTAGACGTCAGAGCGACGTGCAAAATAGGTTCGAGATTTTGACGTCTAAATTGGACCTTTATTAGACTTCATAATGACATACAGCATTTGGACATCATCTAAAGACCAAATCTAGATGTCAGCGTGACGTGCAAAATAGATCCAAGCTTTAGACGTCATTATTGGATCTCGTTTAGACGTTGAACAGATGTTCACATTTTTACCTTATCTGGATGTCTCCGTCAAGGACCAAATCTAAACATTGAAGCAACATGCAAAACAGATCCAAGATTAGACGTCATTATTGGTGTCTAAACCAGGCAGTACATTAAAACTAACTTAGTCATTATTTTTACAAAAGAAATTGAAAATTGCATTTACTGCTTGCTTTGGTAAGTAAATCTCTTACAATTAAAGGGTACTACAGATCAACTATAAAACCCTCAATGCAGCTGTGGATTAGTCAGGAAGAGCGTGAAGAAAACGAGTGCAATTATAGCAACTAATTTTCAAACAGATAACTAAAATTTTCACATCGTCTTCTCTTGGTACTTTAAATTTTGACCATAAAGTTTATGGATCAAGATTAACATGCAGAATTCAAGACCATTCATGGGGATAGTTTTTTCTTTCATTTTTGAAGTTTTGTGCATCTCACCCTCAGGTGCCCCAGGTGCTCCGGGCATTGGTAAAGATGGCAAAAATGGAGAACGTGGTGAGACAGGAAGTCCAGGTTCCCCAGGAGCAGCTGGTCTAAGGGGACCCATAGGGCCACCTGGGCTTTGTGACCCATCAACCTGTATTAACAGGCTTCCACCTCTCTATATGGTCAGTGGAAAGAAGTCTGCTAGCTACCATAAACCATGAGACATCCCAGGTCTTTGAAACAGTCCAGAGTTCATCCTGAAGAGGCCACTGTTAAGGGCTCTTTCTTAAGAGTCCAGGCGTGGTGATCTTGGAAGTCTTCAAATGTCTCCATCTGAACCACAAGTCTAAGAAGCGAAAAGGGAAACAGAGACCATGCACAACTGTAGAATACTGTATAGACATTTTATCTTGTATTTGATTATAGTGAAAACTTATCTAATGTTCAGAGATAGCTGCTACTGATGCCAAAGAAATTTCTCTCCAGCTAACGGCAGGCATACACGCCCGTGAGATGACCCAAACAAACCTATGCAGTTACAACTGCTGTGCCCTTTTCTATCAGTAACAACACATATTAGTAAACTGTATAACATTTCTAATTTACTTACATGCATGAACTTTCCCTCTACCTGAATAAGCTCCTGAAAACATTGCTTCTTTTTCAGAGGAGCAGTGATGAGGAACAAAATTTGAGACTGAAAATAAATATGAATAGAAATCTTGTTTCAAGAACAAAACAGTAATCACTTTGACAGCTTTGAAATTCACCAAGAGTGCAGACCTGACACCTTCAACAGTTAGCTCTTCCATGTAGGATCATCATTTTTTTTTGCTTGTTTTTGTCCTAATAATGTTCTTTAAAAATGTAATAAAGTGATATGTTTTGGAAGTGTGGCATATTGATCCCTTAAGACTGTTTCACCTTTCATTTTACATTAAAGCTAATGTAGATCTGCTGCAGCTGTGTTTTAGTTATGCTAAAATGTAAAAAGCACACCATTCCATAGCATGATTGAAAGAGTTAAGTCGATTGGCATGCACTTGGTTGGATCAATGGAATTCCACAGTAGAACGGTCTGGTGTGAAGAACAAGCTCCCTGGGTTGTTATGGATATAATTCAACAGGGCATGTCACTGTTGCTTAGTAACAAAGTAAATTCGACATCATCCCCACCTGTGTCTGCACAGCACAAACACATTCACAGATCAAACATGACCTTTACCAAACAGCTGGAAGGAGGTAGCACAGCAGCTATTCAAAGGATAGCTCTTTAACTCAACAGATCTTCTCATGGTTGAGGGTAAATGAGTTTGAATTTGTGCTGATATGGAGACGTATTAGCAAATTTTTAGCAATAATCCAGCGAACAACGACAGAAATTAAAAGTTGATGTTAAACCAACTTTATTAACGGTATTATGTAGAGGTGGGTGTAATATGGTGACTGATGTTATTTACAAGCAGTTTGTCCAAATCTGAGTCAAGTACAGCAGACATTAAATAAAACTGTAGAGATAGATATGACCAAAGTTACACATTTCTACATTTCTACTTCATTCAAAATCAACATTGGCTTGAAAAGTCAACAAAAACACTCAGTTTAAATCTACCCTTACTAAAGAACAGTTACCTTATCAAACTGGCATATCAGTCGAATGACAGCACTTGGTAACTATTTCACTTCATAGTAATTTTAATTTATAGTTTTTCATATTGTAATCGTACAATATTTCTTGAAAAATAACTGATAATAGGTAATAAAACTTTAACCGGCAATAAAAATATCATCAACAAATCATGCCTGAGCTTAAACTTTTCATATAGTTTAATACAGTTTAGGCTAAATCTGCTGTACTAGTTTGATCGCTGTTCCCTGAGATCAAGTTTTTGTTCCTTGTGATTCGTATTTGATAGAAGTTACCTCTCAAACATGGTAACTTCGACTCAAATAGATTTCTAATGAAAAACATATGAGTTAGTAAGCATTTCAGTTTGATTCCTATATAGTGTGTCCCGGTCTTTGCCTTTGCCGTCTTTGTCATGCGTTGTGTTTGTGTAATTGGATACTTAGAGGGATGGCCTCTGCTGCAATGTCACTATTTTACCACTTATCACAATACAGACGCCAGACTGAGGTGTGATTTAGCTCATAATCTGTATCAAGCACTCGATCTGTGCATCATGAACAAACATCATCTGTGAATCAGCAAAGAGCTGAAAGTCATGACAACAGAGTGTGCTGAGACTATAATCTCTCTCTCAGGATATGTTGATTGACAATGTAATACTGTGCTGTTCTACCCTAGAATAGTGATAGAGCTGGAGTGAATAGAAAAAAAAAAAAGGTTGGAGTCAGTTTTATAAAATGAATCCATTCCAGTCTTTTTATTATACAGTACAGTACATGTGTTTCCCATACTCACAATGTTACTTTTTTAAAATACCTTATAGCACCAATTCATTCATAGGACAAAGGAAAAACTGCTAAATAAATGTTACTTAAGCCTTTAAAACACATTTGTATTTGTTCAAATCCTGAATAATTTAGAGTTATAAATTAAAAGATATTTCAATTTGCTTATGAATTCATTCCTGTAAAGACAGATGTTTGTGTTATATGCAGAAGAAAAGTCAAGCTTTTTGGAGCAAACTCGCCAACCTGTAACACTTTTACCCTATTGGTATTTATAAGACATATTTACAAACCAGGTAGGAGCAATACTGACACGGTTAAACTATTCCTTAATACTGACAGGGAGGTCATACATTCCAATCATGTTTTGAAGCAAATTAAAGTTGAACTTGGTTGCATTTAAAAGCGATTGCCTATTAAAGAAACACTTCATGTAGACTCAGTGGGTTTTGTTAGCCACTTACTTAGCCTAGCTTGTTTACAAATGTCTTAGGATAGCACTTGTGAATTGGCACAATATAAATAAAGATTTATTGATTGATATAAATGCATTCTAGCGCATCAAGGTGAATGTCTAACCTCATGGCATGGCCGTGCTTCAGAATGAGCATTTCCAGTGGCATATTAGTTTTTGGGACTACTTTATTTGTTTGAGAAAAGAAAAAAAAAATACTGTCGTTCACAGCGAGACTAATTACTTAATGTATATTTAACTATTTAACTTTGGCCATTGTCAGGATGATGTAGAAATAAGGGGACGTGTTCTTGCACATGAAAAGTCAGTATTCTCTCTTTCCAAAAATAAGAAAGAAATTTAAGTCTCCTGCTGTCAGAGCAACCAACACAGCCTCATCTGCTTTACCAACATTTTTGTGTCATATCATAGGAACAGCTTCGCAGTCTTCAAAACTGATCTTTCATAAAGGACCCTGAGCCTGTGGTATTATGTATAACCCATATTTTGACCACAGGTTGGACCACATGTCCATGCAAGCTCATGTAAGACTTCTCTGTTTTCTTTTCAAACTGCCACCTGAATTTCTCTCTACTTGTGCCGAGGCTTCTCCGTGTTTTTAAAGAAAGACAAAGTGATACTTTTTTAAAAGGCCACTTAACAGGTTCTAGATAACCAGTAAGTCTGAGGGTGGGGAGAGTTTTAATTGGTCCAAGAGGGACGAAAGGCAAGACATTTTTCCAAATGGTTTCCACAATGCTCGGGTCATCAGGATGCAGGGAAGCAGCTCTCCAATTTAAGGTTCCAGGGGACAAATAAGAAAAGCAATGTCTTTTCAAAGCAGCGCTGAGCTGCCCGGGCAGTGCCACAGCGTGGGCACTTAATAAGCCTCAGTGAACAGAAAGGAAGTGACACATTTAGAGAAAGCAGCGTGAAACAAGCGGCTTTTCAAGAAAGGTGAACAAAGGCGGCAATTATACCACCTCCTTAGAGCTGTTTACCGCTTAAGTCTATGCACACCTCAAAGGGAGAATGACCAGGGCCACTTCATTAAAACATAAAAGTACAAATCTAAACGTGACATTTCTTTCTGCCTCCACTCCTCTCCATTTAGACTGAAGAGGCCTCCTGAGAGTGAGTTTGGAACAACTCTTTACAGTGTGTAAGATTTGCTGCATACATGCCACGTTTTCATTGTTCCAGACACTATTCAGGCAAACCCAATGACTGTCATTTCAAAATGAGAAATAGACTTTTAAATCAAACTTGAAAGCAAAGAAACAGTTTAGCCAGTTTTGAAAAAATGATAAAAATAGAGTATATATAACCTGAAGCTTGAAACATCCTTGCCAATGATCTCATGTTTTAATCATGTTTGTTGCCTCCAGTTTATACCTTAAAAAACATATTAAATAATCCTGACAAATTCACAAATCAAACATATTTGTTAAATGTAGTTTAAGGGGATTATTCCTTTTTTGCCTGTTTTTAGATGCAAGTACACAAAAGAAAAAAAAACAGAGCTAGAAAAAAAAAACAAGCCTCCAGCTTGGGAGCACAAAATGCACAAATGTGGCCATTCATCACCCCCCACACAAACTCATTAACACTCCTCCTACACAGAATCACTATTGGTATTTGAGACTGTGCTCGCACTGTCATTACCCTACATTTTCATCAGTGACAATAAAACGGAAAGCTGCTTTGACTGAGCAATTACCAATCTGAAGAAGGATCAATTTAGGGAGACATATCTGCTTGCCCGGGACAGTATGGGCTGTGAATGGTGATCAATGCAAATTAGTGTGAAGCAGTAGATAAAAGACTGATACAGTAAAGTGGCTGGCTAGAGTTTGGGATAATTATCGATGAAATAATATCAGACCACCAAATCTTTACTCTGGGGGGAGCGGTCAGAGAAAGGAATTGTATCATATTTGCTATCTCCCTTTATCTATTTCACAAGGAGCATGCAAGTGAAGAGAAAAATGGTTTAGCTGCCCTCTTTACCCCGACCAACTCTGATAAAGTCCCTTGATGCTTACTTCCCATCATCCCAAACTCCATCACAAAAACAGAACAAAATATCTGACCGGCAGCACAAAACGCCACAACCCTCTGTACTGAGGTTATCTTGAAAAGTAAAAAGTTCTTGATTCAGACTGACACAACTGAGTTCATAAATACAGCTGGACTTCAAGCTCCTCCCATCGCTTCCTTTTTAAGTCCCCTTGACATTTTTGGTGTGTGGTCTCTGTGCCAGACTGGCATAATAGGCACACTGGCTGGGGTCACACTGGCCAGGAGGACCTGGTGGTCCAGGCTGACCGTGAGGACCAGGGTTTCCTGGCTCTCCCTGAGCCCCAGCTTGTCCTGGGCTTCCGTCCTTACCATAACCAGGCAGACCAGCTGGACCTGTAATGGGGGAGGAAGAATAAGAGATCATAAACAGGATGGACAATACCTAAAAGGAGAAGAAAAAGAAAAACTAAAAAAGGTCATTACCAATTGGGCCAGTAGGTCCTTGCTCTCCTCTTTCACCAACACCGGTTTCTCCCTTTTCTCCCTTTGCTCCTTTTTCACCTTGAGAAGACAGGAAAAATCATAGTAGGTCTAGTTTTGCATGTAATCATACACTGGGACAGATTCTTGGCCAGATAAAGCCCCTTTTTTGATGATAACGAATACACCAATTACAGCAACACAAAAACACTGAAATAGTTAACACTTGTTTCTCATACGTCAGCGTGGCATATTTTAACACCCAAATAAAAGTAAAACAAGGAAAAAATATATATAACATGCTAAAAATTGTTTGGCCTTCATTTAAAATATTAAAACTGATCTTAACACCCTGTTTAAACTTTTTTGGGATGTGTTGCTTGTGTGAAATTCATTTGTACGTACAAACGTTTGTACTTTACCAACTAAATACTGGATTTTAGTGATTTGCAAACCATCAATTTCTGTTTTAATGGCATTTTAAACCAAAATATCTTTCTTTCTTAGACATTTTAATGTGACATTTAATTAAAAAGTGCTTTGTAAATCCTTTTATCTAGTTAGAAAAGGATATCAGCAGCACTAACAGCTAGGTGCTTAAATGTCAGAGTGCCTTCTAAGGTTTCCAGTTTTGTTTACAGATGATGATACAGACTAATTTTGAAGACCTTAAAAAGACCTTAAAAATCTTTAGGAGACAATAAACAGTTCTGTGTGAGTTTGTGCTACCTTTAGGGCCCATGGGTCCTCTCTGTCCTTCTCCTCCATTCTGTCCTGGCATACCGGGCTCCCCAGGAGGGCCAGGACGTCCAGTACTGCCATCTTTACCAGGTGGCCCTGGAGGTCCTGGACGACCCGCTGTGCTCTTCACATGAGCAGGCTGGAACTGGGCCATGAGGTAAGCCATTTTGGCTGGACACAAAGGAAAGTTAGGTAAACCTCATGTAAGTTAGTGGGTTCTATCAAAAATCCCTAACCATGGAAGTGTCTTGCCTTAAGACGGGATAAGATCCTTCTTACCATCTAATTGTTTTGCCAGCTCCTCCTGGATGAGCCGTCTCATCTGCTCCAGTGATACTGACTCTCCCTGTAACAGAGATGTTTTTGAGTTATTCACTTATCTACAGCTGAATTTATTGTCAAAAAAGAATCTAATCAGGTTTGTAACCATCAGGCTGATACAACTCACCCTTTGTCCTGGGAGACCTGGGTTTCCTGAAGGTCCTTGGGGACCTGGAGGTCCTATTTCTCCAGGTGGTCCTGACATGCCCATCATCCCTGTGTGGCCCTTTCTACCTGGGGGTCCAGGGTTTCCAGGCATCCCTGACTCTCCTGAATGTCCTTTGTCCCCTTTCATACCGGGATCTCCCTGTATGAGGAGGAGAGAGTCTTGTGAGTCGATTGTGGATTTTTGGGATTGTTAAATTTGTGAAATTGTTTGGCTCATGAATTTTGTGTGTTACATATACATTAGCTTTCTTTTAAAAGAAACCACAGTGTCTCACTTTTTTGTTCATGTACTGTCAGATTTCATCTGACTATTGAATGTTGGCCTCACAACATACTCTTATTGTGTTTCACTATTGATGTTTGTCATGTCTATCAGGTTGCATGTTAGTATCTGTTAGGATCATATCACTTTATTTGTTTATACCCTGATTTTATATATATATTTTTGTTAATATTTTCAGAAATCACCTTATCTCCTTTGAAGCCACGGTCACCAACTCTGCCTGGGATCCCCTAAGAAACACCATGAAATAGCCAGTGTGAGTAAGGAACCTTTTAAAACATTATCATATGAGTTATATTATCTCGATAAGTCCTTACCTGTTTACCCTCTGGGCCAACTGGACCAGGAGGACCCTGGAAAATTGCATTAAAGTGAGTAGTGAGTTAACATCGGCCACAGTCGGTCATATATCTGAGGTGCAAGTAATCTTCTAATCAAAATATGCCACATGTAGCACTCACCGCAGGGCCCTTAGGCCCACTAAAGCCGGGTAATCCTGGGCTGCCCGCCTCTCCCTTGTCTCCTCTGAGACCCTGCATGACAGCAAAGACATGGGACATGGTCGCTCATCACATGGCACACACGTGGTGTTCTGTGCTTGTTTTTAAAAGCCTCGTTCATTACGGAGGATTCAGCAGGATTAACATTTAGTTCCAGTACTTATCATCCTGCAGCAGTGCAGTGGATAAAAATCTCATAAACCAATCTTGCTGTGGAACATGCCAGCTTCAGGAGATTAAAATTCATATTTACAAGAGACATGTGGGCATGAACACAAGCTGAATACAACAACCGCAGACTGCAGGAATTTATTGTTGCTTACAAAAAGGAGAGGGTTTTTCACTCGCTCTTTGTTCTATCCTCTCTCATTAGGCTTGAATGGATGCTCTATCCTCTTTTCTTCTTTTCATTCACTACACTTGCTCCTTTCTCTGCATGCTAAATTTGCCCACCTGATAACATTTTCGGCTATATCTGATCATGCCTCTAAATACTTTCACCTTTCACTGAAATCACTCTCCATCTCTTCTTCCAACCGCGCTGCATTTAGCTCCTGCCCTCCTCCCTACTGCAGGCTATTTCTGATGATCTGCTCCCTCTGCTGACTGATATCATCAGCTCCTCTCTGATAACTGGCTGCATATTGTCTGCCCTCTAGTCAGCAACAGTTATTCCTCCTCCCAAGAAACCATTCTTCAGCCTACGAACCAGTACAGCTCCTTCTATTTCTTTTCAAAACACACACTACTGCCAATATTCAGAATCCAAATTTCTCCTCATTGTTAAGGTCTTATTGAATCTCACTGTCTGGTTGTCAAGGTGGCTTCTGGCTGCCTCCCTCTCCTCATCATTTTCAGAGTGCCATAAAAACTCATTAATAACTGATTATATCAGATCTAATTAACCTGGTGTGTGCTTAGTAATATTGTCGGGAGGAGGTAGTAGGGGCTCAAAAATCTTTAAAACGGAAGAGAGAGACCCTTAGGAAACATCGTACTTTGGCAGTGATATGCACAGCTAATATAACACGTAAAACTTCAAGGAGCTTGAAGATTATTCTTGTCCTTATAAACGTAGGACAAATATTTACATAAATAAATATTCTAAGGTATGATTGGCCAAATGATAGGACGGAGTATTAGGGCCACAAGACTTCGAGAATAAAGTCGTACTAAAATCAATATTTACAAGAATAAAGTCGTAAAGTAAATGAAGTCTTAAAGCTGCTTTTGTGGAGGAGGAAATGGTTGGAACTGGTCAACTGCAGAGTTATCAGTGGGTGCATCAGTGGGCCATTCAGAGAGCTTTTGTGGTTTCTCAAGAAACAATCCAACTGATGATCAACATTTGAGGTTCGGAGGGAGTCGAGCTCCGACAAGCACCGCGTCTGTCTTTGATGCCGGCACAACACCAGCAGCAACCTACATCTGCAGAGGCACCAACACCTTATGGCGTATAGATTCATACGATAAACTAAAGCCATATGCTGTTGCTATAAACGGCTGTATTGAGGGATTTAGCCTCTGCACAGCCATTTCCAGCCATTTCCCCTCCTCAAAAACAGCGATTCCCTACAAGTCTGCCTGGTTCTTTCTTCGGAAAAGATGCATTTCTTGCATATATGTCCTGATACTTATGACAATGTGATGCTGAAACGCCAAAGGATTTAGTATCTAGCTACGACTTTATTCTTGTAATTAATGGTTTTATTACGACTTTTTTCTTGTAAGTAAAAACAAAGTCTTTTTTTTATGTTAATGTGGCTCCGTCGTAATATGGAGATAGTTGGGGTTAAAAGTGATTGTTTTCATCTCACACTTGACTTGTTTATTTGGCTAAAAACTCCAACTCAAAGCCTACCTTGACAACTTTTAGCTTTTGTCTCTTCAACATGCCTCCAAACTCCATTTCTATTCTTCCACAACATTAAATTAAAAAAAGGGACTGTCAGCAGTAGTTCTGTTATTTGAACTTTATGAGGGACACAAACCTGCTGGTCTTGTGCCTCCAGGTGATAGTCCACTCTGACCTGTAGTCTGTGCTTTGATTATACATCTAGACACCTTTAAATTGTACTTCATTATAATGTTTTCAACATGATGGTCCTAATCTTGGCCAAGACAACATTCATCTTCATAAATCTTCCTCAAAATCTGACGAATCATGTCTTCTAGAAATACTTCACATCCTTCTCTCGCCCACAGTCACATCCCACATACAGTTACTGCTAGCTCTGAAAATGCTATGTTTTTTCCTCCTGCCTCTTCTTTATTCATATACCACTTCTATGCTGTGATACAATGACCATTAGTCACAGTTTTTATTGAAGCGATTAAGTGTTTCTGTTGTTTTCTGCACCATTAGTCAACCCACTGCCCACACCAAATGAGATTTGAAGATTGTCCACATTAAAAGGAGATAACTCACTGGAGTTCCAGGTAGACCAGCTTTTCCCGATGGCCCTGGTTCACCTGGTTTACCCTGCAATGCAAACCAACAACAACAACAACAAAAAAAGGGGAGTCAGAAAATTGATTTGAAAGGACAGCATGATGAATAACTTGAGTGCCACCTTATGTCCTCATCAATCTGTCTGCCTGACAGGATGTTTCATGTGTCTTCTGTTTGCTTCAGATACCCCTGCAAGTGACAGAAAATGACTCACCGGCTCTCCTCTTGGACCACTAAGTCCTTCACGGCCCGGAGGTCCAATGTGACCCTGTGAAACAAAAGAATGGACAGTTTTATTACCTTTAACACACTGAAAACAAAGGTTCTTTGTCAAATCGAATCTCTAGGGTTTCTCGAGAATTTTAATCTTCGGGAGAAAACAGATTCCTCTGTAGCAATAAATTAAATTTTCACTCCTCTTTTCGTTGAGGGAGTAGGTGGAAATATTCTTACTCAAAGAGATTTGTGCTGCTCCGTCTCCTGGAGCTGGAGGATGAGTTAGGTAAAGGATTTTTGGTGATGTGTTACATTCTGCCAGAAAAATAGTGGGATAAAATTGCCGCAGTCTTTGAATGTGTATGTGAGAAGGATTTCGGGTTGTCATTTGGTGAAGTTGAATGCAGAGAGACTCAAGCGGTGTCAAGATAATAAATGGTTTTAAACTTTTCGCTGCTAGTCGTAAACCCCTGACATGACTAAAGATTCTGTGGTCTGCTGGAAATTGAGCATCCTGTCCAAAACTTTTTTAATCTTCAGGGGTATTATCTGCATTCATATTGATCTATGGAGTTCCAGACAGCACTAATGCTTATTCTCAGGTACTGAAGGATGCTTCAGGAGCAGCAACTTTCAGTCCGTGACTGAAACCGAAGAAAGGGAATAACAAAGAGGTCTATAATGTGCCGTGAAGACATATATAATTAATACTGATATAGAATATTAATTGGACACTTCAACAAACCTCTTTCCCAGGTTTTCCGTCACGCCCAGGTGCTCCAGATTTTCCATCTTCTCCCTGTTTGGCACACCAGATGGACACATGAAATTATTTAAGGCTTTGTTTTTTAAGGTGTTGTTTACTTGCTTTAAAAAAAAGTCATTAAATTCTTCATATACATAATTCAGGCAAAATGTGAGGATTCTCAAGGGTTGTCTATTAAGCTAGTGACCCTCTTAGCTAACTACAGCCAGTAGGGAGCCTCTAAGAGGCCCAAGCAAGTGATCAGCACAGTTTTCATGAAAGTAGCTTGCTAATTAGTCATCTTATGTCTATCCTGTTGTTGTCAATAGTCACAGTTACACAGTACTGAAAACAAAAATTTACACCATAAAAGGGGCAACATTGAAATTGAAAACAAGAGTGGTCCCAGAACTGACCCCTGAGGCACCCCCACAAAAAGACCTCCCTGTGAAATAAGAACAAAACCACCAACGAGTGTTTAATCTCAGTTTTAGAGCAATGATTTCTCTATTTAACGACATAGATTTGCCTCTAACAAAGAAAGAGCAGAAAAACTGTAAACTGTAAACTGTAAACTTAAGCTGGCTCACACATAAAAGGTGGCCTTGTACGTTTCAAAACAGCCTTCATCATATATCATACCATGCTGTAGAACGGCAAGCTAGCAATCGTTTTAAGCATCAGCCTGCGGCAAACTAACTTTTAAGCATTAGCTGCGATGTGAAAAATTTTAACCGCTGTCACTAACAAAGATCCACAAAGATCCTTTTAAAAGATTTATATTACAGTCCTACATCATACTTAAGTGCTCAGCTAAATCTATATATCCTGCCTCATGCATAAACTGTCCTTTTACTGCATGATAATGATTGACATTTCCATGTGACTGACATTTAAGTGAGCATAATTATAGGCAGTGGAGGGAAATTCACAGTGTGTCTACAGAAACACTTCACAGCTCCTCTAATAAGTTGTCTGCTGTCAGTTGGGCTGGGAGGCCGGCTGACTCTGTGCAGCTCAGTCAGAGCTGTCTGTAATGAGCCATGCTATTGGTCATGGCGCTGAGGCAGGAACATTTCCTGCGGGTGTGTGCTGTGTGAGAGACAAAGCAGCAGGTGCAGCCATTCTCATGGAGAGGAGGGCCTGTGTAAGAAGTGCTTGACATTGCAGTGCAGGAAGTAAGACAATGAATGTGGCTGTGAGCTATCCCCTGAACTCCTGAATGAATAGTGATAACTTTTGAGTATAGGGGGCTGTCTCACCAATATCAAACTTGTGTGTTTTGAAGCTGCAGGTAAGGGGGGACCACATTAAGCCTGTGGTGACACTCGTGTTACAGTAGGAAATGTCAGTGACTCATAGGCTAAAAAAAATGCCCATCTTGTCAAAATGCCCAAAGCAGTCACCCAACATACAAAATGGCACAAAGGGAGATTTTCTGCTTTTCCTCCGTGAAATTTCCTGTTTTTGCGCTGAAGATCATCTACCGTGCATAATATCCTAAAAAGATTTAGAGACGCTGGAGAAATCTCTGCCCGAAAGGGATAAGGCTTTCAACCATCTTCCAGCCTTCAGGTGATACTACTTCAACATAGACATGTCTCTGTGGTTGAAATCACTGTATGGGCTATAAATCACTTTCAAAAAACACTGTCTAAGAATATTGCATACACAAATGCAAGTTAACTGCACCATGCCCTGATGTAAAGTTACAGTGATTCTGGGCCTGATGGATAGAGAGAGACAAGGCCAAACCAAGCTCTTTGAGTATTACAGCATATTTTCTAGTTTTTCAGTTTCAGCGTTTGATATGTCGTCTTTACACTTTTCAAAGTTGAATAAATGGTTTAAATAATTCGTAAACCACCAAATTCTGTCCTTATTAACATTTTAGATGCTGTCAAAACTATTTTTTAATGAGGGTTGTATATTCATAAGTAGCTGATTCGAGGGATAGTAAATTGATGTGAAATCAAAAGCTCCTAAATAAAACCTACAAGAATGTTTCTTTGAGTCAAACATCCCATAGAAAAGATGAATTACCCGAACAGCTCATACAGTCTGATCTGTTGTATTACTCACTATTTCTCAAAAATAAATACATTTAAAAAAAATGATTAATAAAAACTAATTGCAGCTCTCCAATGGTGAGGACATGACTAAATACATGAAACACAGAAATTAGCAATCTGACCTTATTGCCTGGAGCTCCAGGTTCTCCTCTGTGACCCTTAAAGCCCTGCACAGACAGAAAGAAAAACAAGGCTTTATAATAAGTCACGGCAGTGACTGCTAAGTTCTTTTTATCCCTCTGTCTACAGGTGGTTACTCACCGGAAGTCCTCTGAGGCCGGGGTTACCAGGTGGTCCAGGCTCACCTTGTTTGCCCTGACATCAGAACAAAAACAGTTCATCTTACCACATCACACCGTTAATTCTCCTATAAGGTAATGTGCTTGGTAATTTGACCATTAAGTTGTATCTGGTTGTCAGATTCTGGATTGAAGTATTTGCTTTGTTTACTCATCCTGCTAGTCGAGCAACAGGGATTTTTGCAGAAAATAAGCTCTTGTGATGCATGGTGATAATAATTCCCATTTCCCACATTTTTACCTTCAGCTATCAATACAAATTCTTCAGATGACGACAACTACTGCTTTCTCCTCAACCAATGCAATTCCCCCTCGCTAAATCCATATGTTACTAATTTGTCCATTCTGTACTCAGTAGAAACATGGCTGTGCAAAGATGGGGTCCTGCTCCTTTATATATATGTTAAAGGCTCAGTGTAGATTGACAAAAACAAAACTATCTTAATTTTCGAGTAATTTTACACTACTTTGAACTGGCTAATGAGTATATTCTATTGAAACCAATTATCTCCTGCTTAAATGTACCTTTAAATTCAACACTATCTTGCAGTTGGTGCTCAATATGAAGTCTACAGATTTAAAACTAATTTGTCAACTCACAGGTTCTCCTGTTTCACCGGGTCTGCCATCTTTTCCTATTTTCCCAGGTTGGCCCTGCAGAGATGTAAGACAGAAAATTTGATCTTTGAGGGAATCAATGAAACAACTCAAATTGTTAAGAGTGCAGTCACTGTATTTTCATGATGCTTCACATAAGACTTTTTCTTACAATTAAGCCGGGTAGACCTGGCGGTCCCTGGATTCCTTTGAGACCCTCTTTGCCCTGGTGGAAACAAACAAACAAACATTAGCAGGTCACTGTCTCTGAAGAAAAAGAAATGATTAATGGCCACTATTACCACACAGACTGGGTGACCTATATGTTCGCAGGAGTGGGGATATAAAATAATGACACATGGGTAATACGTTTTCTGAGGAGAGAATACGTGAAGTTTGGCCTGACCTTTTCTCCGGGGGGTCCTGGGGGGCCAACAGGACCAGGCTGGCCATCGTTACCCTGAAGAGGGAAGAGGAGAGCCAGTAGAGGTCAATACGAATAACAAGTCTGCCTGTTTAAAAGAGGCTTTGGTAGTTATAGCCTGTGAGATACACATCATAGGACAATAAGCCTATGTGATAACTTACAGGTGTGCCCATTAAACCAGGTGTACCAGGATGGCCAGGGGGTCCTGGGTGACCCTGTTAAATGACAAGAAAAAATGAATAAAATACATGTTTTTCAATCTTGTCAGAAAGTATTCAGAGATGTGACTGGCAGAGGGATGAAAGCAAGAAATTATTCAGGGTAAAAAACAAGGCTGACAAGTATAACGACATCTGCATTCGAAACTCTTTTCATTTAATAAATGTCAATAATAAGTTTGTTTTCAAAAATTAGATGAACTACAGTTACCAAGCAAAAACTGTATTATCTTATGCACGCATTTGTTGCTTCTTGCATTAATTTCTGATGTTTTTTACGTTGCTCAAAGGTTTTAAAAAAAGAACAAGGCTTTGCTGTAGCTTTTTGTTTTGTATTTTAAATCAGTAAACTAAATTTATTTCAGTTTTATTATGTGCTTGAAAAAAAAAAGCCAACTAAAAGTTTTTTCACAACTTCAGCAAAATGAAAGCTAAACTCAAATCTGAGGGTGACTAACACAGTGTGACAGCTTGCCATGGTAATTCATCATCAGCCTGTGTAGGGGGGTGAGATGCTCTGATGCTGCTGACTGTGTATACTGCAGTCATTTCAAAAACTTGCAATACGATGATTATGTAATTATTTATCATTGTTTTAAGGCAGGAAATTATATCCAAAGCCTGGATGAGTGAGAATCATGGCTGACAGCTGCCTTTGAAACTAAAACACATCAAAATACCCTCATACTTTTACTGCTGAATCACATCCAGGTTGTTCTTAGTTTTATTGTAATAGGCCCATCTTATCTAACTCTAAAGTATAAGTATGTTTGCAGCACTTTAAATAACACTCATCAAAACCACTCGTCACTGTCCTTTTAAAATTGGCAGGTTGACGTCAAACTGAAGACCAACTAACTTCCTCATGGGTGATCCAGTCTTATAGGTTGACTTTTAGGGCTAATAAACGTGGATTAATCGAATCCTTGTGTACTGAAATGACAGCCAGTGTACCTTATCTCCTTTGTCTCCAGGTCCTCCAGGAGGTCCTCGATCTCCTTTAATACCCTGTGTTCAAAATAGAGAAAACATTACATAAGGTGTGATGATTGAGAGGAAAACACCAATCTATAGAAGAAACAGAAACCAAAACCTCAAAAATACTCAAAATTACCATGGAGAAGGATGTGGTGGTATCATTATTGCTTTTGCATATGACTTTAAACTTTTTTGGTTTAGTGTTTTTAATAACTAACTTCCCCCCCAGATTACCCAGACCTCATGAGGTTAGAATAGAAAAGGTGACACAAGCAATCAATTAGCTTTAAGGTCCTCTGGGAGACTTAAGGGTGCAGTTAGTGTACAAACTTGCCTTTCCTCCATCAGCTCCAGGGGCCCCTGGAGGTCCAGCTGGTCCCGATGGTCCCTGTAATGACACCAGCAGAGCATCAGTCTCTGTCTTGGCAAGCGCCGTAACTGGGCCCTAATCGTTCACTGCTGCCCCCAGAGGAGGCTAAGCTAATGATGCAGACAGAGGCACTCCATATGTCCCACCAACTGTGATTGATGATGACAAACATATAGCCTGGACTTCATGGCTTACTAAGGACTGATAAAGCACAAGCAAACACCTAAAAGAGGTGTTTACAGATAAGCATCAAAATAGCCTTAACTTTACAGGTTAGTGAAAAGGCAGTGATTATAAAACATTAGTAGCAATGCCCTACCTGGAAACCGTCTTGACCGCTTTTCCCTGGAGGTCCTGTGTGTCCTTTGTCTCCTGGGATTCCTGGGAGACCTGGTGGTCCTGGTGGACCTGCAGGGCAGTCTGAGCAAACATCCTAAAAAAAAATAATGCAGACATTTAATGATAAAGTGATAATTCTTAGGATTCAAACAGGAGCATTTCTTTTTGTGGGTGGATGGGAATGTTTCTCACCTTGAGATCTAGGTCAGAGATATCTGCTGCCTTTCCCTGGGAGACAGAATGAAGAGTTGAATCAAGACGCTATGGTTCTCAACAGAAAGGTTTGAACCAAAAAGGTGATCAAGCTTCTATTTAGTCACAAGACGTTGTTGTGGGGTGAGAAATTCTGGTATAAGGATAATGCTGCGTTCGAGTTACCTCGGAAGTCAGATGTTGGAGCTGAAAATGACGTCACACCCAAGTTTCTAGCGTTTCAGTTACCAAGTCGGGAAAAAGCAAAATCAGAGGCCTGAAACAAGTTGGCCACATCTGTGAAAGTTATTTTAGCACTTGCCTTGTCCGAATAAAAGCAAGGACAAGAAGGCAAGCACTATAATAACTTTGGTAGATGTAGCCATCTTGTTTCTGCCTCCGATTTTGCTTTTTTCCAACTTAGTAGCTAAAACGTTGGGAACTCGGGTGTGACGTCATTTTCGTCTCGGACTTCTGACTCCGTTGGTAACTCCAACGCAGCATAAGGTCTAGTACAAGCTAGTTCTTCAAGGGCCAGGCATTGTGACTGTTAGCACCGAGACCTTAGACACAAGCATCTAATCGTTCACTGGTGGGAAATAAGTCAACTTATCTACTCATCTAGTAAAACCAAATAAATTAACAGAAATGTATTTGTCTGGAAACCTTCAGGGGCTGTGGCTTTTGATAAACATCTGCAGCACTTTTCAGTGAAGGACTTTTTGTAATCTGTTTCACAAATATAAATGACTGTTGCATGCCAATTTCAGTACTCACAGGCTCTCCAGGTGCTCCCTTTTCTCCTGGCCGCCCTGGTAGACCCTGTATTTTGGGAAAACAGCAGGGATTACAGTTTAGAAATCGAGTCAATCCAGTCAATAAAACATAAACATGAATTGCAAAATAACAAATCCTTATATTATGTAAGTTATATAAACTGGAATTTATCTACTCCTGTGGTATTTCTTGAACGGTAAAATAATATATAAAATATATTTGATTTGAGCTCAACACAAGATACTTGAACTTTTACAAGAATGATTAGTAGTCAGTGGAGAAAACCCCCTCCAGTAGTAGTTTTATAGTCTACCACAAGGTTCCTATCACCCTCCACAGCCTGAGATAGATGGGGCAGGTGGGCAGCGACAGCCAGCACATCATTAAGGTTATCACCACTGTTTCATTAACTTAGGCCCATGACACCTCTGAGAAACTGAACAGTTAGCACTAGTGTCTCAAAGCCACCCACTTCTATACTAACTCCCACTGTCCATAACATCCACTTACCCTGCATTTACAGCATTGTCACATTCATTGGACCCTGGTTCTGTATGTATACAAGCTCCAGGAAGCGACATCACTGATACTACCTACACTACTACATGGTCCCTACAACCCAAAACACACAAAAAAATGTCTTTGGTAAGATGTTAGACAGAATAGCTAGGAGGAGAGGTTTGTTTGGACTGGAGTTTACCCTGCTGCTGGGTTAGACTGCTTACCCTTCTCCCATTTTCAAGAGGGCAGAAAGGAAAAGGAAAGAGAGAGAAAAACAAAAGAAAAGAATAAAAATTTCTCCTTTACTCCTTATCTGGCCCCCAAACTGACATTATTACTCCACATCCAGATCCACTGACTTGTTTTTAGCGCTTCACATGACATTAATTTTATGATCTTTCACAAGCTCTGGCCACACACTCACACTTCACCTAATAATGAGATAAAAAAACACCGTTCTTTTATCCTCTGATAAGCTTCTCAAGCTAACTCTGCATAAATAGTCATTTTCCTTTTATACTCCCCCTCCATTGAGTCAGTTCTATCAGATGATTTTTCCACTGACTGGTCGACCTTAGTATGCCAGTGGGCTTCAGGGAAGTGCAGACTACCTTCTATAACATGGCAAGTTTCTCTCCCATATCTACCTGCATCGAGCAATCATTAGCACCCTTTAGATAGCCTGACATGTGCTTGTGTAGAAAGCTAACTACTGTTTGTCTTACTCACAGACAAACTAAATAGCTGAATTTCTTTCTAATTACGCCCTTAATTCACTGGTTTTCTTTTACTTTGTATCCCCTTTTCTCTGATTTTTTTCTTGTAAATCTTAGAGATTTAGAGCATTACACTGAATCTCTCAGTTTTTGTGTTATATTCACAAAAAATGGTGTAAACCTTTCTTTAGACTACATGATAAACATCCACTTTGGCTTTTCAAAGCTATGGTTCTGGATAAAATGAGGATTGAACTGTCACAATCCGCTGATCTTGATGTTAACTGTATTTTTTTTTTGTTAAATCATAAAATATTTCCGTTTTATTTTTAATGCTGGTTTAACTTGCAGTTACACGGAGAGAGGAAAGAGAACAAGCTAGAACAGCAGCTAGCTAACTAAAGCAGCCATCTGACAAAGATCGGCCATCACTTTCAGAACCCATGTGCCAAAATTAATTGGGAATTGAAAAAGACAGAAAGAGCTTTTACTCTGTCGGGGATGTTAATACATCAATCTTTTTACTTTTAATCCATACTTTTAGTTGTTTTCATTATGTTTCATACCTTACAATTTAGGGTGAGGGTTTTTTACAATACAGGAAATAAGGCAATCTAAATGCAAGAGAGTGTCAATTTCAAAATAAAAGCACCACAAACAATTGTTTATAGGGGCAAGCTCTTCCTCGCGAAGTTTCTGTCTTGTGTCTGCAGATAAAACTGAAAACTTTTAAATAAATAGATGATGCCATTTAAGAAAGTAAAATTCTGTTCAAAAGCCAAGATTATTTAAGTTTTGTATCTCGACTGATGATCATATTTTTCCCTATGTTATCATAAACATTAAGACTCTGGCCAAATAAATAAATAATCAGGATGTTTTTCGTCACTTTTAGTCTAAGGTGATACCATGGCAGCCCTAAAAAAGATATGCTAATGTGCTCATTTATTCATATACTGGAAACTCACATTATGTCCAGCAGGGCCCTGAGGACCTGCAACTCCTGGTGGACCCCTCAAGCCCTGCAACCCAGATAAACAGATATTACAGACACACATTTACAGGCACAAACACAGTTTTTATCTGTCTTTAGGAAACATTACCGCAGGTCCTTGTAACCCATTATTTCCTGGAGCCCCCTATTAAAAGAAAAAAAAATGGTTTCATTTTTCACAAACAAACGCAGTTAATGTAGATACTATGGTAATGCCTGGTACGCATACCGGTGGTCCCACTTTCCCTTCTCCTGCAGAGCCTCTGTCCCCTGGTAACCCTGGCTCTCCTCGTGACCCTGGTTGTCCCTGAGAGAAAAAAAAGGAGAAAAAAAAACAGAGTTTTTTTATTCAACATGATTTTTAAATAGTGTAAGTTCAGCCATGAATGTTTGGCAAAAAGCCTCACTTGGCACCAGAAACTATCACATTCAGCAATGTCTGCTGATCCCAGAAACACCACTCTGTTTTTAATCTTTGATAAAAGTAAAAAAAAAAAAAAAAAAAGAAATCCTTTTTTTAACACAATCTGCAGTTGACATTTCGGTACTCAGAGGAGAAAAAATTGCTTTGATGAGGGTGAGCGATCTGACACCATAAATCCAGCAACACCCCCTGTCCGGCCTCGCCCACTCTGGGTCCTGAACATCAAGCTCTTCACAGCAAAGAGCCGGTCATAATCAGAGCAGCGGTCACAGTGCAGTGGACATAGAAATTGCTTTTGCTGCTTTCAACAAAAATGAATTGTTTTTCTCATTGGTGCCAAAAAAAAGGGGTTTTATATCAAGAAAGGAGCACCTGTGCATGATAAAAAAACACCCCAGGCAACCTACAAGCGAACAAGCACACACACACTTTTTGACTTTTAACTTTAAAAATTATATTACCTTTAGCCCTGGGGGTCCTTGTATCCCCTGTTGTCCTGGTTCCCCCTGTAATATCACAAATCACACCAATCAATCAATCACTGCTTGCTCCTCAAACACAGGAATTAAACCTCTTTTAAATAAATCATCTAGAGTTGCTGTTTTTCATGCACATAGCTGCTTTGAGGCCTCGGGGCCGCACCTGGCAGCTGTAAAACACAGGGCCGTCGTGAGCCGAATCTGTTGTGCTGCCGTGTTGCTTTAATGTGATATGTCTTAATAGTGTTTTTCCTGTTTGTTGCTGCCTTGTCAGCAAGAAGGCCACATGTCTGGGCGGAAAATTGATGAGGAAAGTTGTAGAGCTGCAGCTTCAATGTGCCAACTTAGGCTCATTTGCTTCCCATACAGACGGTCATATTGTGTTGTGGTTGAGCATGTATTAGAGCAGAGCAGATGTTTAGGAGCATAACACATGTGGAACAGGGAGAGTGTTTAGAGGCTTGGTTAGGAGATTTCAGTTATGATACGACAAAGTGAATTTCTTTATTACAAATAAAGTGTCCTGTGAAAGAAATTCTTCACTGTTAACACAACTTTTGACAGTTTCACAGTTGATTGGAGATTAAATAAATGTCTTAACAATATCAAATATGTAAATTAAAGTTTGATATTTTACTTCAGAACATAAGCTCTAATCAGATTAAGCTATATCATTAAACTTAGTGATAAAATATTTCAGAGTAAATATTCATAATAAAATACAACAATTTATTTGATTATCACTAAAAACACAAGTCTTGTCTTTGCAACTGATTACAGAAAAGTATTGATGGTGGGCTTGATAAAGACATAAATCGTTAAGGGGTCTCTATAATGAAATGAATATTTAACTAAACAATTCCTGTTCGTATGTTTGAATCGCAAGCTTAGTCCTTTAATGCCTGGAAACATGAATTATGGTCAGAAAATTCAAATTTTTGGAGCTGAAATGTTTATTTCACTTACTACTGAAAACCAAAAAAATCAAAATGTCCTTAAAATTTTACAAAAATATTTATTTATCTCGTTTGATACATTAGGAGTTTTTGGAAACTGATTAACCACAAGAGGACATTTTCATTATTTATCGGACTGTATTCAGGTGTTTTTTTTAGTAATTTGTTGATCATATTGATTTGATAGGAGTATCGTAAAAGGCATTAAAGGGTTAGCTTCTGAGACCTGTCACCAGCCTTTCTCAACAAGACCAACATTATTTCATCAAACAACGATTAAGGTCTTGACCTGCTCTTTTGGAAAGAGTCTTGACATAACGATTGTTGTGATTTAGCACTACACTACAAAAGCTGATTGATTTATCAGTTGCATTTACTGTCAATGTGACTTGAGTCACCATGTTGACACTCAAAGTCCACTATGGCCGAGCTCACTGCTTGTAAGAGCCCTACTTCTCCTTGTTAACATTGTCCAGGTGTCCCTTGTAAACTTATTTCCCCCCATGTGAGGATAGACACAATTAAACTGTGTGAAAGGATAATCTTAAAGTGCAGAGGATCCCAGGGGTAACCGTGTGTAAATGTAAAGTTGGTATTAGATATTACAGAGCGATGTTACAGTCAGGTTAATACGCCAATCTGTTGTTAAGGCTTCAGTTTGCCATGTTATACTTGAGGAGTATTTGAGGTTCTTCTGAAATTTTTAGACCATATTTGTCATTGTTTTGTATTATTGGAATAATAACAGCTAAAAATCATGAAAACATGAAAAAAATCTGTGATTAATTTGTTTAATTCTCAGTTAAAGATAGATAATTTTGTGATTGACACTAGGTTATTTCTTTTACATAGCAAGGCCATAATTAAAAACAGTTGACCCAAACACTTCACACTAATCTGCGCATTTGCTCCTTTAAATGTCCTAATTATGTACAGTTTGCATGCACATTGTGAGACATTGTGTGTTACTTATTGTTATTCTGCAATCCACAATACCTTTGAGGTTTAAGATGATAAAAAGTATACAGAGCAGTGCAACATAAAATATGTATCTTACTCTTTCACCATCTTTCCCTTTCCCAGGAGGTCCAGGAGGTCCTGTCAAACCAGGCTCTCCAGGTGTGCCTGTGGGACCTGTTTGTCCTGGTTTACCAAGTTCCCCCTGAAAGAAACGTTACCAAATACATTTGAAGATGAATGTTCGAGTAAAAAGGGAGAGTGTATTGTCTCACGAGGCCAGATGTTTGCATGCAACTTTGGTTGTATTACACATCAGTTTCTATTGTCTGTTGTACAACTGAAGATTAAGGGCATGTTATAGCAGACAAAAAAGTACTTCATGTATGAGAAGGAAGTCACAGGATTACAAGAAAAGCCTCAGATTTATGAGAAAAAACTCTTAATTTCAGACTCTTGTTGGTCGAGAGGTATTTCAAAGGGGAGAGATCAGAAAAACAGCAGGTAGGCTGAGCTAAAATAAGGAACATGGAGCATCTTAGGGAGTTACAGGTTTCCTAATTGGCTGAATACTTAGTCTTGTACCACATCAGCACTATAGTCTCAAAAGTGTCAAGATTTTGAATAGATCCTGAAAGAAACTGAGCCTCCTGGTATGGCGGACAAGTTAACATAGCCCTGGCTGCTGACTGCCTTTCTGATATCTCTCTATATGTTGTTTCTGTAATTAATCAGAAGTCCATAATTATGACTTCTTTCTCAATTTTCATAATATTCAGATTTTTATTCTCATCATCTCTTTTTTTCATCCCTATTGTGGCCCCAGTCCTGGGTTGTACTTATGGCCACTTTAAAGTTAATGAATAAGCTGCTGTTTATGTCATGTAATGTCACATAAGAACATAAATATAACAGTTATACTTGTAGGTACAAAACAAATAAGTGCAGAGTAAAAAAACCATAGACGATGGTGGATTACGTGTTGGATTGTAGCTATAAACAAGTGTTGTGGACTTTGCTGCTGAAACTGTAACAGAGGACAAACAAAGTCGCTCTCACTGCTGAAAATAGTGCGAACACCTTCAACCATAAAATCAAGTCAAGTATAGAAAATATAGGTTTTAAAAAATGACTGACCTTGTCTCCTCTTTGTCCGGCTGGACCAGGAGGCCCAATGATTCCTGGTATGCCCTAGAAGTCAGACAAGTTTTAGTTTCATACAGTAGTAGTACATAAAAACTTCCTTTGTTTTTACAGACTCTCACAGAAAACACAAATACCTTAAATTAATTTCATAAATCAATCTGGAGACTTACCACATTTCCTGGTAAACCACGAAGGCCCTGAGGACCAGCTACACCAGGTGGACCCTAAGAGAAACCCATCAGTCATTAGAGTTGGTACAGACATCAATAATATTCTCATCTGGAGTAAATTATATCGTATGCCATATCAGAACACTCACAGGGTCTCCAACACGTCCTGTCTCTCCTGTAAGTCCAGTGTCACCTTTTGGACCCTGGAATAAAAATTGGCAAATTAGATTCATTGGAAATCACTCAAGAGCAAAATGAATTGAAGAGAGAGGTTCCTTTATGACTTACTGCTGGTCCAGCTGGTCCTTTAAACCCTTGTTCACCCGGCAATCCTCTTGGACCCTTCAGAGAAAGAATGTAAATAACAAGATTTTTAACAGGAATGCTCTTACACATTCTTTGTCTTTCTCATCATAATGTTTTTAAAGTTAAAGACTCAGTGCGGTCTTCATCCACGCATAAAAGATTTAGACATTATTCTGTGACACTGATATTTATTGGACGTCACCACCTGCATAAGCTGCTTGGGGAAGTCAGAGATAATAGAACTTCCATCTAGTATTTTCAGTGTGGGGTAATGAATGTGTTCTGATAGTATATTATATGGCCTTTAGGATTACTTCCATTTTAATACACCTTATATATTTTGAATTAAACCCTTTCCAACTACAGTAGTGTGCATCCTTAATGTGGGAGTGTTTCTAAATCAGGCCAGTGTCTAACTGTCTCTAACAGTTTAATTTATTTGGCCAATTTTAAAAAGTCCCCAGAGCTCTCATTATGTAGCACAGTTGCTCCACTCCTGGTAATTTTTTTTTTTCAAACACTACTGACATCTAGTGGCAAACACTCCACATTGCAAGACAATCCTTTTTTTTTTTTTAGAGAAGAATACAGGCCTTTGTAAATGAGCATCACAGCCTCTCCCTGCACACTTCCTGCAACTCCATTCATGTGTTTGTTTGGAGGGTCTGCCAAAGTAAGAGCCATGATGTAGGGATGCTAATTCTAAGTATTTTACGTAAACAAATATGGAAATGTTAAGGATAAATAATCAATCACTCGTTCACAAAATTTTGTTATTTTCTTTTACATTTTTTGCATATTTTCTCTAGCAGTATAATGTACATGATTGGCAGAATTGCACAGTAACATAACTTGTAAAGGGATATGGATAGTCCAACATGCTCGATAATAACAACAGTCCTCATAGACTAATATAGAGCGAGGTTCAAACAACCAAACTGCATCAAGAAAACTGAACAGAAAAATGTTTCGGGCTCACTGCCCAGTTTTCTACCTACTTGCTCTTATTGACAAAAATAAGCATGTTGACATGATCACACACCGTTGTAACAGGTGGGCAGACACACCGGTGTGCCAGCTTTGCCAGTCTGGATAATCACTCTGCACTGTTAGCTTTGAAATCAAACATGGGGCAAATCCAGTAAAAGATTCTAAACCCACATTTTATCAATATACTCAGGATCAATGTCAATCTTTTTTCAGTCCCTATGATCATAAATGTGTTTACTTGATTTTGAAATGCATACCAAATTCCAAGCAGATTACAAATAACAGATTGAGACCAGTATGATGTTTGCAAAAACAGAATGCCACCAGAAAAATAAGTGTTTTCTTTATAAATATTATAAAGCATTTTTTTTTAGGTTTTTGTTTTATCACTTAGTTGTTTGGCGTGTAATTATACTTACATAAAGTTTGTTCATTTCGAAGATTGTTGCTGTATCTGATCACTATAACGTAATCATTGTGTGAGTACTTAAAAAGTAGTGTACTAGTTATCGAGTGTGAGGGTCTGGTATGAGGAAGGGCAATCAACTCACCATCTCTCCTGGTTTCCCTTGATCCCCCTTCTCTCCTTTTGCTCCAGGTGTTCCCTAGATGCAAACACAACGACAAAATGCAATGAAGGCGATGAAGGGAAGACAAAAATGAAAGGTTTAACACTGATCCGGTAAAAAATTAAACTTTTCAATATTCCAGTAATGTTTTAGCACAGTTAAGAAAAGTCTACTCACAGGTTCACCAGGCTCAGGAATGACATTTGCAACCTATGAGGAAAAAACAGACATTAGACAATATTTGAACACCTCTTTAGTGGACGGGGAGTCACACAGTGTCACTACAGGAATGATTGCAGGTCTCTGACTCTACAGTGTGCGCTTGTACAGAAAGCAGCAGAAATCTGACTTACATTTCCAGGAGCCCCAGGAGGTCCTCTCGCTCCCACTTCACCCTTGAGGCAGGAGACAACATGGTCACATTGTCTGGGTGTTAATGACCTTATTACAGCTACTATGACAGTGTTCAATACATGGAGAAACAACCTCTGGTCTTACTTAACTAGTACAGACAAATACATTTAGAGTCCTTTTTGAATCAAGCGCTTAATTGTACATTGAATATTAATACATATAAATAGGTGCTATATTTATTCCTTACCTTGTCACCTTTTTCACCTTTTGGCCCAAATGGTCCTGATTGTCCTCTTTCCCCCTATAAAAAGGCAGTAAGATATGTATTTACAAAAACTATAAAGCCATAATCTGCACTTTAAAACAGGAAAACAGAGAAGTTATTCATGCAGGTGGGAAGTAGAGTGTATCCTAAAGTGGCATTCAGGGGCACCCAGAAACCTTGAAAGTGGTTCCAGGAGATAACTATCAGCCAGACGAGGAACACATTAAACAAGTTTATTTGACCAATTGAGGTTTAAGTATCATGATAATGTGGGAAATGTCTCAGAAAGATGTTTCCCTGAGCATTGTTTTTACAACTGTGATACTGCCGCCCGATTTAATGTCCACAACCTGTCTCTCTATCTTTTGGCTTTCTCTTCTTTAAAGTGAGACTGAGATCCCCAGTCTGAAAAAGACTTAAAACTAAACTTGAACAGGGTTGTTTAAGTAGGAGAAAATGGCCACATACTGTCTTAAACTAAAAAGATACACATCTGGGCTTAGTTTTAACATAAAGTTTGCATCTGATGCCAGACTTAAGGCTGTAACTGCTAAACTATTGATTCCTCGTGATGGCTCGGCTGCCATCCATCCCTCTTTTTCACAGGCAGCAGAGAGACAAGGTCCACAATATCTCGTGAATAACTTCAATTAAGGGAACTTAGTGAAATGACTTCTGAGGGGGGGGTTCAAATAGAGGAAATTAACCCGTCCTGTTAAAAACACATTTTCTTATCTTGATTTTAATGTTCATTTGAAAGGTTTGACTAAAATGAAGTCACAGCCTCAGTTTAATTTCTCTTTTTAATTTCCAGATAATGATTCATATCGACAACCATCCCATTGTCCATAAGTTTTAAAAGTCATATTCAGATTTAGGCTCATCCTTACCTGACTCGGATGAACTAGTGAGCGATGCTCACAAGCCTTACAAGCTTAGGTAGTGCTCAGGTGCCTTCTATATGTTCTCTTTAAGGGTTTGGTTAGTGCTTAGGTTCACATTTATAATAACAGTTAATTGTTTTCTAAAGGCTTCATTTCAGTATGATTGATGTCTTGTAAATTTGGTTGCTTGTTAAAGTATTGGCTCTGTGGCTTAACCACCTTGTTACTAACATATTTTTTACTCCTTGGCTTTTAACCCAGCATGAGAGTTGTGTGGTCTCTGTCTCTGTCTGCTCCTTTATTGGATTTTTTAATTTTCTTAAATGTTTTTATTTTATTTCTTTACTATCTATTTAGTGTTTATAAGTGATTTTATTATTATTCTTTTATTTTATTCTCTGACAGCACTTTATGTTTTGTGTTTTAACTTATTTTAATTTTGTGTTTTAGTATTTCCTTAAATGCTTTGAGAGGCAATCTATTGATTTTTGATTAAGTGTGAACTTCTCCTCTTGAGTTTAAATGTGGATCCCCAACAATAAATAATTGCAGTCAGGTGCAAATTGTAAGTCTGAAGGTTTGGCCTGCCATGACCACTCCAGATGAGTTACAAGAATAAGTGAATAGACCTGCATCATTGTATGTGAATACAACTCAGCTAGTTTGTGTAGTGTCCTGATAGCATCCATGCCTAAATTGTTATCTCAATTGACCCCAGGTTTATGGTCACTTCTGTGCCTACTTACAGGAATACCCCTGTCTCCTCTGGCTCCATCCACACCAGGTTGTCCAGGAGGACCACCCTCTCCCTGCAAAAAGAAATAACATCCATTAGACATGATAAACTATTATCGAACAAAATATCAAACCAGAAAGGTCAACAACTCTTAACAGTTCAAGTCAGACGAGTTGACTTACCCTCTCTCCTGGAGGTCCTCTTGGTCCTGGAGGCCCATCATCACCCTGGGGAAGATAAACAGCAGTTAATACATAAGATTTGCATATGAGGGGGAAAAAAACATCATGCTATCTCATAAGCTGCATATGTCGTCAGCCACATCCAGTGTGTTTATGGGTAGGATTAAGTTGCAGTGCAGTACCTTCGGTCCAGGTTTGCCAGGAAAACCATCTGTTCCGCGCTCTCCCCTAGGCCCCTGCAGATGCACGAGAATTTAATTTGGAAATCCGACTTTTAAAGCCGAAAACATTTGCTCTATACAGTGTGAAGGACATTCCATTACAACTGAGTTTAGTACCTACAGTAATATCCAGAAAGAACTGCCATATTGTCTATGAATTACTGGAGGAGCTGATATGTAAGCACTACGTCAGAAATCTGAGAGGAAGCAATTTTCTTTTACTCTTTTTGGCTTCAACTTGAGGTTGAAGCAGAGTCGCTTCAGGTTAACATATTTGCCTCTTGTCAAAAGTTCCAAACAGTCACACCCAATAAGTTTCAGGTATGGGAACATTGAAATAAAACAAGTCCTGTGACAGTAAAGTCATGTTTAAATGTGTCCTGTCATTATATCTGCGACTCTTTGCTGTTTTCCAAAATTACAACTTCGGACATGTAGGTTAAAAACTTATGAGTCTCCAAAGCCTTGAAGCCTTTATGTTTTTTTTCACAAGCAGTGAAAACAGTTGAACAACTTAAAAGTACAATACACTATAAAAGTCAACAACAAGCTGAATAATATTGAGTTTTCTGGCTTTGTCATGCTGCCATGACTAACCTGTTCACAAAAAGTTTACTATAAATACATCTAGTGAGCATAAATACCATTAACAAGCCATTTCTTTACTGTTTGCCTCTCTTTCAGTGTTAACAGACTCCTGAGCAATATTTCCTGGCTGAACTTAGAAAGTGCTTAATGTTGCTTTTCCTGCTCTTTGGCAGCATTTAGAGCAGTTTTGGGTTATTTTTTCTCAAGGAATGGCTGCAAGGTGTAAATTAAATTATTAACATTTATAGTTTAGAGAGAAGATGTTTAAAGGTCACACTGACTGTAGCACCATCATTTCCGGGAAGACCATCCAAACCGTCTTTACCAGGAACACCCTTCGAAGCAGAAAACAGTTGACATTAAGCGTACAGAGAGATGGCAGAGATTGAAGTTCAGAGGTTAAAGTTCAATACCACTGACAAAATACTGCGACTTTATTTGTGCATGAAAAGCCAACTCACTGGTTTTCCAGACTCTCCTGGTTTGCCAGAGAATCCAATTTCACCAGGTAGACCCTGCAATAAAAACAGGTTTAGTAAGTCTGCAGCAGAAAAATATCTTATTGTGGAATTAATGTGTCTTTATTTGTTTTTCTGTTCACTTACAGGAGGTCCAGTGTGTCCTTGGTTTCCTGGTGGCCCAGATGGACCCTGAGGACCCTGTAAGATGAAAAGGTAGGAGAGGATTAGTGGTCATATTAGAATTATACTCATACTAAAGGACATTTTTTTAAGTTTTATGTTTTCTGTCAAACAGAGAGAAGTGTAAGTAAGATTTCCACATAGATTTCAAGAACACTCGTCCATTGGTCCATCAACCACTAGAGGGAGGTAGTGTAACACTGTTATACCTGAATTCTCCTCTCCATCACACATAGCAGGTGTATTTCTTTTTAGCTCCAGGGATAAATTCAGAAAATTAATTACCATAACCTATTGGTTTTGATCTGTCCTGTTATTTTCCTCTGTTAAATCACACGCTGAAGACGCCTCTGAGACAACAATAATTATGGGCTTTCTGAGTCATATCAACTATTGGACAATCTACTCAAGTAAAACACCAAATTAATTCCCTGTAACTCTCCTTAGGAGGTAATTGAAGTGCAAGCACTGCCAGGAATTGTGCATGAAAAATGAATCATTTTAAAAACGTGAATCAAGACTTTGAACTTCAACATTTAGCTCATTATAAAGTTACGGTAGCACTTACGGGAGGTCCAGGAAGGCCATCCACTCCAGGCAACCCGTTTTCACCTTTCTTTCCCTGAAAGAAAAAAGTTGGAATATTTAATAAATGAGATTTAAAAAAACATGCACCACCTGAAGTGATCTGTTTCAAGTGCAACAGCTATAGTCATGTATTTTACATTTTATCTCCCGTTTTTTAACCACTGTGGCTGTAACAAAAACCTCAATATTACTACTAATGCCATTTAACTGCTCAGTTAAATGGCACTTTAGGCACTCCGTCACAAGACAGTTGAAGAAATACAGCAACACATCAGGAACTTGATGAACCATCCATACCAAGAGGCACACACAATATGGGGGTGCCTTTTTTAGGAATTTTGCATGAAAGTAGAAGCTTCTAGAAAGAATAAGATATTTACAAAAAAAGTCCAATTCAAAATTCTGTTGGGCTCATGTTTATGGATGCTGAGATTAAACCAGCATATGGTTCCCTTAAGGTTTGGTTTGAACTTGTGGTCTCTTTCGAAAAGAATCAGTTTGAGTTTTGAATCAAAGCTACTTTTTGTTTTTAAACAAGCTATTCAAGACTTTTTTTTAAGGAAAGGGTCAGAAAAGCATTTTGTCAGTAAATGCTATCTTTTCGGTCTGGTTTCTCAAACTGCTATCATAAATTTATCCGTCCACTGCATCCCTGCCATTGATATTCCAGTCAAGCCTGCCCTTAGCTGTCAACTGAGAGGATAGAGGTGAGCAGTTAGTCCTCAGCAGTACTTACACTGACAGCTGATGAGAACTCCTCAGCCATGGAGGTATGAGTGGCTCAATCTAAACCAACTTAACTTTAAAAACTGGTCTCCTACATTTCTTTAGTTCCCAAGCCTTCACAGAGAGGAGCTGATGCAGTACAATGTTGAACATACCAATCTCCAAAATGTACTTGAAGTGTCGATAGCATCAAATTTACAACAAGCACATATTTTTTTGTAAAAGAATGAATCATTCACATTGACTGAATGAAAGTAAGTCCCTCGGTTTCAGAGAAGTTAGTCACACAAACATCGAAGAAAACTCTGATAGGAGAAAATCTTTCATTTGCGGTCAGGAGAGGATTGGTGAGTACACCTTGGCTCTGCTGAGCAGCTGCAAATGTTGGATTCAAACATATTGCTGATTAGAAGTTAATTGCTCCCCGTGGAAGAAGCAAATGAAGGTCATACTCTTTGTTAATGTTTTGGAGAAACAATTATGTGGGACCTCTGTGACTGTTTTAATTGCACACTGCTGTGCATGACGGGAACACTGTGGAGTAAATGTGGGGAAAAAAAATAAAAGAGACAGGGGACAGTGTTTTGAGATTATTCTACAAACACTGATGACAGCAACAATATCCGCTCTTATTAGCCTGGGCAATAAGTATCAGTCTACTTAATCATAGTAAACCCCACTGGAGCCCAATAAATACAGTTAAGGGACTACAGTTTGAACTTCCATTGATTGCACATCATAGTTTACTTGTACAAGAACTTCTCTGGAAGCAACAATTTAATTTAGTGAAGAATCAGCCAACGGCCTCACTGCCGGTAAAAAATCCGACTAAAGCATTAAATAGCACTGAACCCTGAGACTACATGCAGTAAATGATCAACAATGTATTTTTATTTAAGGGGTTAATCAATGATGCTGCCTGATTGGTTTGCTTTCTCATCTCTTACTGGTTTTAAAACACCAAATGCAAATGCCCCGTAACTAACATTCACAGGTGTAAGTGTAATTTCAAGGTGATGCAGTGCCATGAGATTTAATATTTGATCAAGCAATAATGAACTATTTACAACTCGTCATTATACAGCTGAGTGTGTGGAGTTGTCCTTTTTTATCAGGGGATGAACAAAATCTAAGCAAGTATATGATATATGAGGCAGATGACCGTCTTACTCTAAATAAAGGCTTAGAGTTAGCAAACTTGCAGTGCTTTTGTCCTTAAATGTACTCCCCCAATAAAACATTACCTTCTGTTGGCTTTACGGCAAAAAAGCAACCTGAACCATTAAACAAGTAAACAAATAACAAATACAGAAGTAAACAAATAAGGAGAGTAAATGATCTGTCAGGGTTCATCTGAGATTCTTACCCTCTGGCCAAACTCTCCAGGTTCCCCAGGTAGACCCTGAACACCAGGAGGACCCTGAAAAAGAGAATCGCAAGCTGAAGGTTGCCAAGAACTTTGTTTAAATCAAACAGCTGATGGCTTTTATAAAATCATAAAATAATAATAATAATAGAAGAAAAGAATGGGTGAAGGAAGGAAGGATGGAGAGGGGAAGGGAGTGAGGGTGGCAGTAGGAAAGGACGGAAGGGGGGGGGGGGGGAGGAAGGAAGGAAGGAAGGAAGGAAGGAAGACAGGAAGGAAGGAAGGAAGGGAGGGAGGAAGGATAGAGGGAAGAAAGAAATAAAACATGATTCTTACAGCAGGCCCTGGCAGACCATCAGCTCCTGGAGGCCCAGGAAGTCCAGGCGCTCCCTGAAAACACATGGGCATGAATTTAATGAGTACATAATTTGTTTACTTACACTTGTAATGCTTTAGAGACTAGAGTTTAGCTTTCTATGTTTAAACATACACAGTGAGTTTATCTCCTTGTAGCACTGCAATCCCACTCTGCTCTGAAATAAGTTTACTTCCATATAAAACTGAAATTATCATAACAGAAAAAAAGTTTAACATTAGAAAACAACTCACCTTTTCACCCCGTAGGCCTTCTTGCTGAATCTGAAATGAAAAGGTATGAAGCAAACAAATAGGGTTTTTAGGTGTACAATAAATAGGTACATACAATAAAATATAACTGGTGAATCTGGTTCATAAATTTTCTATCTCATGATTATCACGGCCAAAAAAAAATCAAGGTAATGGTCTTATTATGATATTTATGAAAAAGCTGAAAATTAAAGCATCACGGTGAGTAAAATTGAGAAAAGGTAAGAAAAGGGTAGAGCGGCATTATATATATGCTCATAAAAATGTACAGACCATGGTATAAACACATAACTTACACTCACAAGCCACTTTATTAGGTCTAGCTGTTTAATTGCTTGTTAACACAAATAACTAATCAACCAATCAGTCGACCTCAACTAAATGCATTTAGGTATATAGACTGCTCACGATGACTTGCTGAAGTCCAAACCGAGCATCATAACGGGGAAGAAAGGGAATTGTAGCAACTCTGAATGTGGCATAGTTGTTAGTGCCTTATGGGCTAGCATGAGTATTTCAGGAACTGCTAATCAACTGGGATTTTTACACACAACCATCTCTAAGGAGTACAGAAGATGGTCTGAAAAAGAAAAAATATGTGCAGCAGTTGTGTGAATGAAAATGCCTCATTGATGTTAGAGGTTAGAGAAGAATGGGCAGACTAGTTTGAGATGCTAAAAAGCTAACAGTAAGTCCAACAACCACTCGTTACGGCCAATCTATGCGGAGTACCATCTCTGAATGGACATGTCGAACCTTAAAGCAGGCGGGCTACATCAGCAGAAGAACAGGAAACTGAGGCTACTATTTGCACAGGCTCACCAAAATTGTATATAGGAAGATTATACGAGTACGTGCTTACTTAATTGTTTTGGGTTTTTTTTTGTTTGTTTGTTTATCATCTAAGTCCATCTATACATGCCTACAACTCTTGCAGTATGCCTCTGGTATCCTTTTGGTTTATTTTTAGTACTTACCACATCCCCAGGTAGTCCAGGAAGGCCTCTCTCTCCCTGTGACATTGAGCACACAACAAGGATGACAGCCAACCATTAGAATCAAGAGATTTTCTGAGTTAGGAGCCTAAGGTTATATCATAATGACATGGCAAGAACCATAATTTATGAGATGACGTCTGCTTAAATGCTTATTTATTGCGGGCGTTAAGTGAAAACTTGTGTGCCAAGTACCACAACTACAGTTCTTTGTGTGTGTGCATCCTTGTGGATGCGTATGGGTGTGGCAGAAGCATGCGCTTACCACTGGAAGAATCATCAAAGTCAGTAATTACAGACAGACAAATTAACCATGGATTTTTTTTTTCTCAGACAAATGAGTGGGCTGACTTTGATGGTACACAGAGGAGACGAAAGGAATGTCTGGAGAGTGAAGGAGCATGGGAAACTAATGATTTATATCAGGCAGCAAAATAAGATTGTTATACTTTGGGAAAACTCCTTTTGAATGATGTTGAACTGAATGCTTTGGGTGTTTTGTGTACAGAACTCACCTTAGTGCCTTTAATGCCGCCGGCCCCGGGTGCACCAATCATTCCCCTCAGCCCCTAATCAGTTTCAAACAAGAGCTTTGTTAACACAAAGGTGACTTTTTGAAATAATAAATAAAAAAATCAACGAATATCTTGGGTCCGTTAATAAGAAATGGATCCTAAACTTAGAATCACAACTTACATCTTTGCCAGAAACACCAGGTTTGCCAGGTAATCCATCCAAACCTGCCTGACCCTAAAACAAGGACAAGTTCACAAAGACATATGCAAGTATTATCAATTGTCAAAGACAAAATCTGGTGTTCGTGCTTCACTTAGCCAATGAAATCCAAAATTGATCTACAGAGTAATAAAGCAATTATATTAACTGAAAACAATGAGAATAATTATAAATATATAAAATAAATGGTAACACTTAATTTGACACCTGACCTAGTAAGTCATGATGAAAGGGTTTATGTGTTATTGTGTTATCATGTGTTATCATGAGTGTTTATAACTATAGTTATACACTGCTACAACACGATTATAACCCATTAATTATATTTATAATGTGTTATAGAGATTGGTGTCAAATAAAGTGCTATCAAATGAATAATAATAATATGGTTAAAAAAAAATCTGGTCAATTTGTGCCATTGTTGTTGTCAAAAGTAATCTCCTAAAAGATGCTTTAGATGTAAGGAGTCAAGGTTTCTTGGGGTACGCTGTGAAATCTGTGAAATCACCTGCTGAATCTAAAACTGTGTTTCAAATAGTCAGGCACTTTAAAACTATCAAGTCCAGATCTCAGCATAGGTAGGATTATTGTCCTGATCTCTTTCAGGTGGATTTCAGGATGTGGTTTAAGATTGATAAACTTGTAGCTTAACTGAAACCACAAATTGGAAATTAGACCACCAATGTATATGTGCCAGAAGGACACACACACAGAGAGAGTGAGAGAGAGAGAGAGAGAGAGAGAGAGAGAGAGAGAGAGAAAATTAATACAAATTGTGAGATTAGAAAAGTGTGCATAGACACCTGGATCCTCAGATATTCAGTCACCGGTTGTCAATATTTCTTATTTTTCTTAGAAATTGCAAACCACCCCTAAAGCCACACTACTTCATTGCTAATAAGAGGACAGACTTTTAACAGCACATGGTAAAGTGTAACCTAAAACACATCTGACTCTCAGTGAACCTCTTTGCCTTGACCTCCACCCTTGGTGCACCTATTTTCCACCTATTTTCTTTGTCGCCTCTCAGGGGTAAGTACTTTTCCAAATTTAACCTACAGGAAATTTCTCACTGACTGACTTACAGACCGACTGAGTGACTGACAGCTCCAGACCAAACACCAGCATGCTCAGTATGACTGAAACCAGCTGCACATCCTCATGTTGTATGGTAATTTGATCAGTGTCTCTTATTCTGGGTTCACTCAGTTAAAAAAAAAAAAAAAATCTTTAAAAGAGTTTAGTTTAAATCCAGGTCGACATCTGAGCACAATACAAAAGTTTTATTGCAACTGTTTTTTCAATCTCCTAACTCAAGCCACATTTGTTACTTGTCATGTCACTGACCTTCTGATCACAAAAACATCCCACTGTCTTGACTCTTGTGGGAAATTTCCTGATTCTATAAAGCTTAATAACATGACAGTCATCTGATAGAAGTCTAATTGCTTTCCAACATCCATGTAATACCAAAAGTAAGAAGCTGTTGGAAGCTCAGGGGAAACTTCAGACATCAACAATGCTTCATTTACCCTGAATGAGCTGCATTATAGCCAAAAGCCCCCACAGACAGGATCCCAGACAGGAAGTGTGGAGAGTGAATCAAGTGAGCCACATCTGTTTGCTCAATTATGCCTCTCAATTCTCAGTTCCTCTGAGAGGATTGGACTTTCTCAGAAGTTAACCCTGTTGTCAGGTCTCCCGGTATGAACTCTATTTATTTCAGGTTACATCTGACATCATGACTCAATCCCAGGAAAGCCAAGGAAAACATTGAAAGTAAACGGGCAACTTTCTCTTTTCTCTGTTGGACAAGCACAGCACGGTTTTGCTAAATAGGACATGTTCCTGGATAAACATCCCGCATTATGAATCTAGATCAACATTGCCTCTAACCAATTATGGCTTTGAGATGTCTCTATAAAAACTCCATTGTGCATCAAGACATTTCCAAAATTAGAGTCGGCACAAAGTAAAGTAAAACCGAACTCTTTGCTCTTTAGTGTCACGATTGTTGATTTTTGTTTTAGTCTAGTCTTAACTCTTGAATAAGTGAGTTAGGTTGCAAATTAGGTAGGAGATTGCCCCATTAACTACATTTTTAAGAACACTGTCCAAGATCTAAAAATGATTAACTCAAAGACATGCAGCAAGAAATTTCGTTAAGACTCAGTGACTTTAATTTGCAAAGCTTATTCACAGCTGTGAGGATTTATGTTTTTCTTTTGTTAAAGCATCAAAATGTTCTTCTTTGCAAAATGATGGTATGCACTAGGATTTCAGATGGATTACTTTGGCCACATTGAGGAAAAAAAATACAAAGATTTTGAAAATATAATTGTAGCATTACGAGTCTATGGCCATAGTATCATGAGAATAAAGTTGCAGTGTTTGAGTATGTTGAACTCAGTGAATGTGACAGCTGTTACTCTTTCTCAAACATCTCAAGGTTGTTTCTTTTGGGAAAAAAACTGCAACAATACGCACCTTTGCTCCTGGCTCTCCTTTTTCACCTCTTGAACCTGCATCACCCTACAACAGAACAAAGCATTATATAATCAGCACTGAAGATTATTTCCATCCAAGTTTCTCATGATCACATGTTCAAGTACATTGACATTATACTCACAATAACTCCTTTTGGACCAGGTAGACCAGGAATGCCTGCATCACCTTGAATCCCCTGTATAATGCAAATAGAACAACATTATTTAAGTGGATGTTATGACTGCGGGCTCTCTCCAAAAATGACTCGGCAGTACGCCACAGGACAACTGTGAGACTGCTGAGTCAGAGCTGAATCAATGTAGGGAATGGAAGAACTTGAAACCACAAGAAAAGAAACAGCAGTTGTCAGTGGCTGGACCCCCCAGTGTGAGAATCTTGAACTTTGAACTTTGACCTTGCTCTCATTCTTCTCATGCAAAGGGAGAAAGAAATCTGTCCTTTGAAATGCATTTGCAACAAGTGTTTTTTGTTTGTGATGAAGTCTGAGATATCTTTCAGAGGGTGTTTATGTTAATGTAATTCATGTACAGTGAGCGAGTTTGTTTAAGTAGACTGGGCCTCAGCATGGGGTTCCTAACACCTTGATGGCTTTCCTCTTAGGCCTTGTTTCCCAAAGTGTGTGACCCCCCCCCCTCGGGGAGGTGGAGAGGCAAGGGGGGAAAGTGGGTAAAGTAGGCCAGTCTAGTACCCACACTCTTTGACCACGGAGCCACACTGTTGTAACACGTGCAGAATGTGGCTTGGCACTGTCTTGCTGAAATAAGCAGGGACATCCCTGACTACTGCGTGGCTTGGATAGCAGCATATGTTGCTCCTAAACTTGTATGTTCCAATAAATAAGCCTTCACAGATGTGTAAGTTACCCATGCCATGGGCACCCCTTCCACACACACACACACTCACTCATACCATCACAGATGCCTGCTTTTGAACGTTGTGCTGATAACAATCTAGATGGCCCTTCTCATTTTTAGCCCACAGGACATCACTTCCATAATGTATTTAAAATGTGGACTCATCAGACCACAGCACATCTTTCCACTTTACGTCAATCCATCTCAGATGAGCTCAGGTCCAGAGAAGTTGGCGGCATTTCTAGGTGTTGTTGATATCTGGCTTTGGCTTTGCATGGTAGAGTTTAAACTTGGACTAGAAGATGCAGCATGAACAGTGTCAACTAAGAAGAGTTTTTTCAAAGCTTTCCCAAAGTCTACATGGTGATATCCTTGATTGACTGATAGGGGTTTTTAATGCAATGCCACCTAAGAGATCAACAGTAATTGGTATTTCACAGTTGTCACAAAGTTAGGGTGACCATAGTCTAACTTTCCAACAAGAGGACATGACTGGAGTCACGAGGTCGCATGGAGTTAATTTGGAGAGTTTTTCGGGTCAGATCGAGTGTCTTTTATGCGCTTCTAACTCAATCAGTCCAAAATCGAAACTTACCTACAAAACTGTGGACATTTGAAGGATTTTATAAACTTCCCCAGACAAAGCTGGACAGCCCCCAAAAAAGAGGACATGTCCGGGTAAAACATATGGTCACCCTACACAAAGTCTCTTAGGGATGTTCCTTTTATTCCCACTCATGACTCTCACCTGTTTTCAGTTAACCTGTTCACCTGTGGAATCTTACAAACAGGTGTTTTTTGAGTGTTCCTCAATGTCCCCAGTCCTTTGTTTCCCCTGTCCTAACTTTTTCAGAACATGTTGCAGTCATCAAATTCAAAATGAGTGAACAGTTGCAAAACCATATTCACAAACCTTTGGTCCAGCTAAGCCTGGTAATCCCTTTTCGCCAGCCGATCCAGATGCACCCTATTCCAAAAAAAAAACAAAACAGATGTAAATCTGAAAATGTATGCTGCTTACTCTACAAATTAAACAAAAAAAAAATTTCTTACTTTGTCTCCTTTGTCTCCAGACAATCCATCAATACCTGGAAATCCAGCGATTCCCTGTCAGATGATGAGAAACACATGATTAGTGACGGCTAGAGAACTTTAAAAAATCAGACATTTAAGAGAAATCCTCCAGTTTTCCAGTGCCACACAAGTGTCACACCTTCTCTCCTTTTTGTCCAGCAGCACCTGTCAACCCTATTGTTCCTCTATCACCCTGTAAACAGAAGGCGAGTGATTACTTTGATTTGTCTGTAGGATCACAAACATGCAGCACGGCGGTCGATACAGGAGACAATCCCATGCGGTCGAATATCAACCTAGAGATCAGCATCACATAACCTGGTTTATTACATTACGGTTAGATAGAAAGAAAAACACAGAAAAAAGTTAAAGACAAATGAATTGAATCATTCTTTCAGACAGTAGCACAGACATTTTTTAAAGAAGACACAGAACACAAAGGGTTACTAAAGATGACACACAAAAAAGGAATGTTATCCAACTTTTAAGTAAATGTTTGGGGGCCAGTGTATGTTAACAGCTGTCCACAGAAACCTCTAGGTCTGGTTGCACATCCAACCGACAACTCAAGGAACAATGGCTTTCCATTGTCGTGTGAGTGTTTCACGTTCGGTTTTCTGACACCAAAGCTGCAGAACTTGCCAAGGAATCCCTCGGATTTCAAAAGCTGGACCGACTGAGTGAAAAGTAATAGCTGTTAAATTACACAGTACAGCAAGGTTTTGCCCACCACAAGACTCTCCTCTGCTTTAAAAACCACTTTACAAGTCATGAGCTGTTGCCCTTTAATTATTTTAGGGGCTCGTGTACTTTTTACATGTCACTTTGCCCATCACAGGAAAAAATGGAGAAAAGTCCCTGCTCTGCTGTACAGTATAAAAAAGAAGACATCATTTATATGCAGAGAAGCGCCTGTTCCTGTCAGGTAGAGATGAAATTATAAGCATTCAAATCCATTTGGATTCACTTCCGCTCAATACAACTGGATGATGGACAGAGGCCATTTTTAACCACGGCTTAAAAAGCACTTACGTCATGCTTTTTCATCAGCTTTACAAAAGTTTACAAGAATGTGATTGTAGCTTTCTCTGGAAAACTGTGAAGACAGATGCTCAGGCAGACAGTCAGGAGTAGAAAAGCAGCAGGGATACTATGCATTAAAGCTTGATTTAATGCATTTTTTATCAAACCAGTGTGGTTTCTAGCAGTGACAGCAACAAAAGGAAGATGCATCAAATGAATTTTGCTGTTAATCTGAATAGAGTTCCAGCATTGAATTGCTCCCTTTATTTCTTTTACACAAAAAAATTATAACTTTATATATACAGTAATATATCCCAGACACTTTTATCATTATGAATAAATTCTGAAAACTATTACGCTCAAAGGAGAGAGTACAAATCAAAACATGTCTTGTCTAACTGACCTCCTGCGGTCATTTTAAATGTCTTATTTAAACAGTTTGAATATTAAATGCCAAAAACTTTGTTCAAGTAATAAATGATGATTCTGTGCTGGTACTGTCAGGCAGCACAAAGACAGTGAGAATTCAACTCTCTCTCAACCCTCTCAGCAACCTGAACTGTAGTCCTGACAACAGCCATGAACATTCTCAAAGCCCCTCCCCAAGAAAGGATAGCATAATAACTTTAAGACAAAAGAGGTAAAAGATTGGAAACAATAGGTTCCAGTTTTTCTAATTCATTTTTTTTAAAAGAAGAAGTCAGAAAATTGTATCTAGAACATGCATTTCAACTCCACACAGGCTTGATTCTCATGCAGTCAGGGACAGCGGGTTTACTTACCTTCTCACCTCTGTCACCTTTGACAGAGATTACTTTGCCCTGCAAATAATTAATCAATGAGGATCAATTATTGTCGAGGCAGGAAAATAAAAGCAGATGAGATAATAGTTGGAAGGCATGCAATCTGACTATCATTAAATGTGTAACTATTTTTGACAATTACCACAACAATACCGAACAAATTGTTCATTAAATCATTATGACTTAATGCAGATGTGAACTATGGTCTTAAATATGCACACTTATAGTTTTCATACAGTTTCTCCCTTTTCGCCCTTGATCCCAGTTGGTCCAATGGCGCCCTTAAGGCCAGTGTCGCCCTGTAACCGTACGTTCACACAGTGAAAAAGCAGAGTAAGAAAGAAAACTCTGGAAGAAAGTGAACTCTTCATTTTCTCAAACAAACAAGTACTGAAAGGCAAATGTAGATGACCTTTTCACCCTTGGGACCTACTGGACCTGTTTCACCAGTCTCTCCCTGTGAGAAATGAAAATACAGATGTCTTTCTTGAGGCATTAAAGAAAGGATCCCCACTCAACCGTGGAAATAATAGACAAGGAAAATGAGGTAGCTTTACCTTCTGCCCTTCCGGGCAGGAGCAGTTCACTGCAGGTGCTCTCTGTTGCTCCACAACAGTGGGTGTTGGGGTGGGGATCTGCACAGGGGGTGCCTCTGTGACAACTTTCTTGGGGCACTGAAAGTACACATTTAAACCAACAATCCTTATTAGCCTAAAAAAGAGAGAGTTCTGGGAAGATGGAAGGGGGGTATGATAAGCATTAAGCTGCAGGGGCACAAAGTGTGGCTCAAAGAATTCTTAATGTTTCCAAAAAAACTGTGAAACAAACACATTTAATACTTACAGACTTATACAAGAGGGTTGAAATAATTACATTGTGCATTAAGTGTAAGCCACAGTTTGGTTTTAGGGAAACTACCATAACTTTAAATGGAAGACTAGCATTCGACTCCAATGTGTGTCAACAAAGATTTCTGAACGCTGCCAATAGGTGCCTATGGACAGAAATCAAATTTCCTAACATCTTATATCATTTGAATCATTTGTATCCTTTTCACAAATTCATTGCTATTAACTATTTTACTTGAACAGCCCAATTTTGATCAATTTTCACAGATTTAGCACGAGATATAAGACAATTCCCTACGATACTTACTGGTCCATTGGGTATGTCGCAGCAAGTTTCCAGCTCTGCATTCTTGGAATCACAGTAAATCATCATCCTCTGCAGGTCAAACTTCATAAACAAAGAAAGACAACTGATCAACCTCATGAAATAGATCTTTATCATCATAACACTATCCCCATAAAAAGTGGTTACAGGAAAATTGTAGATAGGTCCAAATGCATAGAAGAAATGCTGGTGAAGACTCACATCAATTGGCACACTGTCATACAGCCTCTTCCCAATCACTGTTTTGCCCTGGATATCGATGTCCTCCCTGTCTTCAATGGGCAGAGTCTGGATGAGTTTGCAGTCCAGGTATAGAGACACAGACTTGGCCTCTACACTCAAGGCGATCTTGTGCCAGTTTCGGTCAAACAGATTTTCTACTTCCTGGTTCTTGAAGACGGCTCTGACAGCGTCCTTTGTCAGTCCAACAGCGTTGTACTCCACCGCCTTGTTCTCACCATCCAAACGGATGGACACCTGGCAAGTCAGAGGCAGTAAAATGTTAATATTAGAGCTATAAAAGTTCATCATTTGAAGTTCAAATGATTCAGCAAAAGAAGCTGTCGCCAGAAGTCAAAGTATAATTCTGTCTGAGTCAACAGATCTAACCACGCTGAATAGTTGTTTCCATATTCAACACCCACTCATTTTAAAAGGATCCAAACAGGCAGTGAAGTTATCCTTTCTCCAGTCATAATTGGCCAAATTTAGAAACATGTGCACATTTATTACTGTTTGTATTGAGCTGACCCACCTGTGGGATCCCATATTTGTCATAAACCTGCCAGAGGTACCAATCCTCTCGTCTGGAGGTTTTCCTGAATTTGAAAGTTGTCACAAAGGCGTATTCATCTGGCAGCCCCTGAGGAAACACATCTCTGCAGAGAGAAAGAACATTGTAATATTACTGTAAACTCTGCCTTACTCAAACACACACAGTTGCTGTTCAGTCATTGAAGTAAAAACTCAAAACCAAATACAATGTCTGTGTTCACAGTGATAAAAACTTTTTATTTGTGAGTTCTAGAGATTTTGTAAAAAAGAGCATAAAGGCTAAGGAAGAGGGGAGGATTTGGTTTGAGAATGTTTAGGATGTAGTGGAAATAGCAGAAAAAGGCCAAAATACAAATTTGAGAAAGAAGAGTTGACTGTTGCTAAGTGGAAATGACACACTTCTGCATAAAACTCATTTACCAATCAATGTTTGTTGTATTTTTGAAATGCTTTAGGGGTATGTTGTTCATTACTGTTTTCAAAGGATCCGATTTTAAGACATTTTTATTCAGAGTTCCCTAAGTTTAGCACAAATTCATTGGTTTATTGGTACACTACTGTTGTATCAAACACCTATGAGGCAACCCAATTTGTCAACAAGAATACTCCAGACATTTAGATGAAATGCTACAAACAGGTACACAGCTATATACAGTTAAAGTGTGTTTGTGATCACACAATCCCTCTGCGTGTCCCTTCCACTCAGCTGATGTGTTTTACTGCATGCAGGTACTTTTATCAAGAAAAAGAGACCACTTTTTATGTATCTGTGGACAGTTGCTATTGACAGCTGGTTTTAACTAGATTGTGTGGAAAAGAAGATAATATTGAATTTCCCTTTGGGAATCAATAAATTTCTTCTTATTGAAGCTTATCTTATTTAAGTTTAGCTTAGCCTAGCTTATCTTAGCTTAGCTTAGCTTATTTTGTCATAGCTTAGCATATCTTAGCTTAAGTATTTCGATAATGTGTTTCTCTTTCTTAGTTTATGTAAACCAACATGAAGATCAAGGGATAGAAAAAGTCTGCTAGCAGGTGTGAAGAGGCATGTCCACCTGGGAATGGTTAAATACAAAAGTGTGAATTCGTCTCTTAACAACTGTCAAAATTAGGTTTCAACTTTTTTCTTAATACAGTATTTTCACTTGCTTAAATTCCACACTGTCAACATTCTGACTTAAATCACATGATTTTATTTTGACTTCTTAACATTTTGATAAATTGAAGAAAGCGTCATATTACCAACCAACAAGAAAGTGCGGATCATCTCTTTTACACAATGATAAAATGTCATTAAACACAAGGTCGAATGACAAACCTAAATGTTTTCTGGGATTCTGAATATGCAGACCTTGACTTCTCTGGATGTCAGATTCATTATATTATTTTTAAAGATTTATAAGTGTGTTGTTCCAGTCTTTACGAGGGTCACTTACTCTGTTTGCTGAACAATAGGCATGGTGCCAAGGCGAACATAAGAACTTTGGCCTTCTTCATCGTCTCTGGTTCCCAGAATGTCTTTCACATTGAAGTACTCCATCAAGTCGAACCCTGCAGTGATATGTTTAAACAGCCTGGTTAAACTAAGACAATCTCACATAGGTAAATGAGCACAAAGGGGGTCATGGGTCATGGGGTTGAGTTGTGGTTTTGTTAGAGTTCTTGGGGTGTACCGTGGTTTAATTGGGTCAGTACCACCACACCCTGCAGCCACTCTGTTTGTGGCTTTGGAAGGGAAAAAACTGTATTACTGACTAATTGGAAAACAGAGCCATATGTTGGCCTTCCAGATTTGCTGCCAAAGACAAAATAAAAGAGTTGCCATCACTGGTGAGGTCCTTGTGTGAGTCTAGGAGTGTATGCACATTTGTGTGTGTGCAGTGCTGTGCGGCATGTTTCTTGAAGTGGTGTAACCACAGACCATATTTAGGTGGTTTAGAGAAGACACTCCCTTGTACAGCAAACAAGTGCTGCTGCTGCTATGGCAATGCCAGCGGGATGAGGGCTTGTAAAGCACTAAAGCTGCCACTCCGTCCAACAAAACTTGCTGAAAGCTGGTGGTCTTGTTGGATAGTCTAAGAATTTCTGACAGCAGATTGTGCCAATACTGAGCCAAGAGGATGAAGTCACACTCAACATATTCCTACTTGGCCCAGATATGCAGCAAAATGTAAGAGATGTAAGTTTTCCAGAGGGAATACTAAAATAAGTGAGCTAATCTTCTTAAGGAGAAACCTGAACAGTGAAGTGGGAGTGTGAGAGTCTGGCAAAGCTAAGCAGATGTCATTAGAAATAGCCTTGAAACAGGTGGTAAGAACCACAGGCTTCCCCTGTGCCAAGATAACAGTCAAAACAAGCGCTTCATAATTTACTAAATAAGTGAGGGGATTAACCTCCTACCACAGCTGCTTTCTGTGTCAGAGGAGGCTAACAACGGTGTGTGGCTGATAGGTGCAACATCACATGACACTCCTTAAGGGGAAAGTTTCAGTGCTGGTGAAACTGTGGGTACATTGTCCAGACACTTGATGCATTTCGGATGTCCACATACATGTTTAAGAATTACCTCTGCTGGCTAGTAGATGTTGCTGTCTCGGTGTTCACGTGTTTTCTCATCAGGGCATAGGTCAAGAACTAGAATCATGACCAGTACAGAAATTTCAGGGAATTATAAGGTCATTAAGCAAGTATTTGAATACATAATATAGACCAATATAAATGAGTTTCTTGATCCTATGTATAAAGTAGGATCCTACATATGGTTAGCTCCAAAAAGGCATGCAGCTGTGTATTCTGCTGGCCTTGACACTCTTCGTCACTGAGCTTGCTTCGTGCACAGTTGCTCTCTGCGCCTTTCTGTGGCTGTTTGCAGGCCGTCACAGAGCAGAGCTGTAATTTAGACTGGCTGTGTAAAGGGTATAATCAACCTAAAAAGTTATTTTGGACGGCCAAAAACGACCGATGGGGCAATCTGCGGGAAAAGCCAGATGAGTTCACTGACTGGGAAAGGCAAATACATGCACAGAGCATTCTTTTGATCAGAGCAGATGGTATGAGATAGTGAGCAAGGAGCAGCAAGGAACCTCTGCAGCCTCCTGTGTGTGCACAGTGCCCTGAAGGGTCAGACTACACAACCCATGATAAATACGAGTCTGACTCAAACCACAGGTCTCTAGGCTGTTAAATCACAATCAGTGGCAAATAGTCTTGACGATTACGCTCTCTCTGCATCAGTTTAGAGAGTTCAGTAATTATAAGTGGGAGGCAACAGAGTCTAATGCCAGGGTGATGATAGATAGACATTGCCTTTCAAGTATTTTCTCGAAATATACTGTATAATGTTTAACTAGTTATGTCTCAAACTGTTGCTACGGTTACAGACTTGGTAAAACCTCAGACCCCTGAGATAACACTTTTTCTTAGTGGATCGTAGTTCAGGTTTAAGCTTTAGTCTGTGAGAGAAATACAAAAACTAATATTCTCACACTCTGCGAATTTGTAATGTTAAATGAAATCTTATTAAAGCTAGTTCAATATGAAAGTATATTTCTGAATCAGGACAGCCAGTAAGGACACAAAAAGGATTATAGTACTTTGCAATCCTTTGGGAATGCAATTTTATTCGTGGCGTGGCATGGACAGCGAAATATAAAATTGGTATAAACAGATTTGTACATGATATATTTAGACGGTATTCCACAATAACCTAGCTTGTATAATTTTCCAGAGGAACAGGGTTGGGAATTTGGATCTCGCTACGAACGATAAATTTAAAAACTGCACAACAGAATTTATCTGGTTACGGCGCTTTTAGCGGGACATCTGCTCAAGAAAGCGTCAATGGCTCTCTGTGTTTTATCTAAAATATGTACTAATTCCTTTGCGGTGTAGAAAAAGGTCATAACCACCCAATTAGCACTGTCCCAAAGGAGAGGATCTAATACTTCAACTCAAAAGTGTGAAGTGGTCCTGCCAGCTATGATTAGAACTACTTTAGTTTTGAAAAAAGGTTAAAATATCCCTAATTTTTGTCATCAAAACCACACAACTATTTCCCTTGTGTTTGTCCGGGCTTGATGGGTCTGTGTGCCAGCCAAAATGTGTAAGGAGTCAAACTTGCAAAACATTGATTCTCCTGCTCTCACATCTTTTTCCATGTGGTTTAGCATTACAGAAGTCCAAACAGGCAGGCCTGGGTGTCTGCTTTTTCTCTTAGCGTGATGGATGTGGGAGGGAGACAGACAGGAACTCAGATCCCCCAAAGACACACTTATAAAAACATCCGACCTTTCTGGATAAACGCTAAGCGAAAGCTCTGAGAAACCTTTCACACAGCAGATTGGAAACAAACACAAGATGAAGGACTAGTTACACGCTTCACTGTGTAGTGAGCCTGTTAAACCACTGAACTTAGACCACAGCTGTCTGTAAAAACACATGTCAGTACCTGCTCTGATAGTTTGACGTATTGTGAAATAGCTTAGTTTCCTTAAATGGTTTGAGTTGAAAAACAATTCCACGTGTATCTCATGTGTGATGACAAATCTCACTCAGTTCATTAAATATGACAGGGGCTCTACCCTTTAAAAACCTAGAGTGGAGCTTTTGTAGACAACCAGATTTTTATCATGCTGACTTCCAGGCCACCTATCAGCTAATATTCATGACTCAGCAGCTTCAAGAGAGAAAAACAGCTAGATGAGAGCTTTCCTCACACTCAAACTGTCTCAGATATGTTTAGAAGTAAAAATAAATAACATTATGTGCTCTATTTTAATTATTTGGAAAGCTTAGACTCAAGCCTAGAGTGAAAAAGGTCATGTCTGACCATGTGTTGCTATTTTAGCATTGCGTGACCTGAGCCGTAGTTGTATGTAAACATTTGCATGCATGTGTTTCTGTTTGTACATGTGAGTCTGCTTCTGCATGTATACCAGAGCATAGATAATGTAGAGCTTAGTGACAGTCTAGGAGTCTGGAGAAGATATCAGTGTGGGTGTCCTTGTCTTCTGGTATCCAAGAAGCTCACACCCTTACTTGGAGTTCAATATGATTCATTAAATGGTTAAAAAAAACTTAAAAGCATCTCATCCCTGAAAAATAAAACCACATGAGAACAAACTGAAGTCTCAAATATGAATCCACAGCTCTGAAAAACAGTAACTGAGTTTCAAGAATGAAAGGTTGTGGTTCAATTTCAGGATATCTTTGCAAATTCAAGCCCATTGCTCTCGGTTTTTATAATAACAGCAGGAAGCTAGAATAAATGTTCAGAAATAATCATAAATAAAACCAATTCCAATTCCAATCAGTAAGAAACAAAATAAATTTGAATGCATTGAAAGTGTCTAGATCTATGCACATGAAAAAAGCATCTTTTTGTTTCTTTCAATGTAAAAAGGAAAATTACACGCTGTAGGAAATGCTTTGAAAAATAAAAAGCTGACTCTGTGGTTGACAAGAATTCTCATTGTTGCATGTTGCAGTTGGGAAAGCAGCACTTTGCACGTACCTGGAACCTCTTCAAGACCATAACTGGTGCTGTTGGGCTTAAAGCGATCAGGTTGGACCTTCATGTTGGGACAAAGGACATCTGAGGATAAAAGACAATAGTACAGTTAGCATTGCTGTAGTATGATAATGTTTTGGTAATGAGGTGCAGGCTGAGAGAGCTGTTGAAACACTGTCTTAGTAGCCTTGTATATCACTGTTGGAAATGTAATCATGTGCTGTGTTTTCCCATGAGGAGCAGTCACTCTGCAAAAGAGGTCAGACAGAAATTGTTCTGAACTGTTTTGGTAATGACTTTATTGAAAACCACCTTGGACTGATATGAGGTCTGAACAGCACCCAGCAGACACACTACCTTTCCCCTTCCTGTCTGACATCTGGAGTAGAGCGTGTAGGTGGTGGGGGGTGACATACCTATGGGCCCAATGGAGCTCTACCAGTTACAGTTTTAACACACACGCATTTAGTGATGATGATGACAGTGAGGAAGACAACATGGTGCAGCTTATATGGAATGTATAACTGGAATTTTGGGCCAATTGTGTTAAGAATATCAGTTATCGATTAATGATTCTGGTGCCAGCCACCAAGGATGAAGAATTTAATTGTCTTATTGACTTTATATGCCAAAATTATTCTTGCCTATTCTGAAAACTTTTTCTGAAAAGTTGCTGTTTTTTCATGTTTGCACCATGACCTCAGGGATAGCAGTATCAGGAATCCAAAACCTCTAAACCCTCCTCCTGTGTTAGGGTCTTCACCAACCCATTTTTGTTTTTAAATGCTTAACAGAACCACTTAAAATAGTTTATTTGCATCAAGACTTAATGACTTTGTCAGGAACCTCTATTTCAACAAAATAAAAATAAAAAAAATTAAATTGACTGAATTATAAAATGCTCTTATTAAAATTATGGCAGTTGTCATGTTATGGTCGCTGTTGATCCAGTTAGATCAATATCTAATAATTAGAGCAAAAACTGAAATCATAAGTGCACTGTCAGGCACCACACTGACAGTCAGATCCTCTTCCAATCATGGTAGATTTAGGAAATTCTCATTTTTCCATGTATTTCTCTGCACAAAAACGTCAGGCATGTCCAGACATGTGAGATCAATTCAGTATAGATGTCTGTGTGAGGGGTATACTGACAAAGAAAGGCCTGGAGGCCCACAACAAAAACTATTATAAGCAATATTTTTATGGATAATGAAGCCAAACAAGGTAACCTAGAGATAAGAGCCAAATTGGGTGACAGAGAAATGTTTTTCGTGTAATTTACAGCTGATTTAAGACACGGGTCAAAACCGACCCTTAACATAGTGGGTGCGTAGTAAAAGCTAACACAGGAGGAAGGTTAATGAGCAAAATAGCATGTGCAATCCATTTAGCCTTCATGAATATGCAGAGTGTATGCAGATTATCAGAACGCGCAAAATACTGGGAGGAGGAGATGCTAATGGAATCATTTATCACCCGCAATGTGATTAATCAAACCTAAAACTGATTGCGGTTGGTGTTTTTGCGTCTATATTCAACACATTTGATAGGCAGGTGCAAACTGTCACAGTGTTACGGACAAATAACTGTTGTCATTGTGGCAAGAAGGAGGCATGGGTGCAATGACAGATGACAGAGAGAGATGTCGCAGGGTTCTCTCTCAAGCAATCAAAAACAGTGGAAAAGACGGGCGCAGTCGAAAAGTACGGTGATGGTGCAATTCAATTGTAGCCGGCTTCCTAAGGTGCAGTGCAAAAATATTTACAAAAAGGTGAAAAAATTGTCAAAATACTATTTGCAAAAAAATGTACAAGGCAAAACTAAATAATGCCAACAAGGCAAGAGTTCTACAATAACTAAATACTACACAAACTCCTTAATAAATCAGACACCACAGACAAAACGGCACTAATAGCCCTCCATACAGCTATGACCTTACCCCTTAAGAACACAGTAAACCAGCCACAATATCACAAATGAACTATACTGGTATGGTTCGGCGGTCACATGACACCCAAAAGCGTGCCAACTTGCGCTATTTACTGACAGATCAGGCAGTGTCCCGGTTTGACTCATAAGATGGCAGCAGGTAAGTGAGTGTAGTTGTCGAGTGTGCACCTTCAAAAACGCTTACAGTGGGGAGAAAAGAGCCCAGATACAAAGGAAAACGGTTGGTTGGAGTGTAGGGCTGCGGGTCACAGGTGCTGGGAAACAGTTAAACAGTTTGACGAAGCTTGGCTCTGCGTGGAACGAGTGCAGACTCCTGGCACTGGCTCTCTCAGGCCCCGAGAGAGACCTTCAGTAGTTGGGTAACGATGGTGCTTAATGGCGTTTAATTACAAGAGACAACAACCTTGTCTTGCTTGGGGGCTTTGATGTGAGAAGTACAAAGTGAAGAAGTCCTTTTTGTAAAGAATGAAGTGCTCCAAAATTGAGGTTGTCCTGTTTTCTGTGCAAAAAAGGCCGTTTGTGGACGTGACCCAACACAGCAAAGCTGAGCACAAATCAGCCAATTCATTAATCACTAATACTAAGTGCTACTTTCTAACTATTGACAAAAGTTTCTGTAAAGTTTGGTTTTCTTTGACATAGTTATCCTTGAAAGCAAATGTGGATTAAAACCCCTCTCTACACGATAAGGTGGACCACAGAAAACTTGAGCAAGAGCATAAAGCCTCTGTGAAAGTAATCAGTGGGAGTGTACAGGAAGGACCCCTACATATGCCAGGTCCAAACAAGTACAGACCATGAGCAAATCTGTGTACACAGTTAATAGTCCATGCGTGGGGATTTACAACATGTGGGGCAATATGCGTAGTCCATGAGGAAAGATTTGCAATCCTCAAGAACAGATTTGTAACCAGTGATAACATCTTTATTACTTACGCTTACCAACCAGAACTTAAATGTTAGTGTAACACTAATTACTTCGCTAACTGGCTTTCATCCTGCCTACTTCAACATGGATTTCAACATTGATTATGGTTTTTAACTGACCGGACTTGCTATAAAGAAGAGGGTGGCCATCCTACAGCACCAGCAGCCGGAGTAGACACTGTTGTTTCATAACAGCAGACAGTCAAAGGGAAACTCCTGCAGCTGGGCTTCATTTGATGCACAGTGGTCATGGAGGATGTGTTCCCTCCATGGAAGAAATTATTTTGCTACATAAACTGCATTTTACATTTTCTAAAAATGTAACGATACTTAGTGGAACCTATGTGACTTGTTAGCAGGATCAATAAGCCCAAAGATGATTGATTTCCAGGTGCATTTTAATATTTTTGGTAAATGAATGGAAAGTCTTTTTCTATATTTCAAATTGGGCTGGTGATGAAATCTCATAACCTTGATTCTGTGAATGACATTGAACATATCTGCTTGTGTAGATATAGCAAACTGCCTGTGAGAAGTCCCATCCCCGCTGATTAATGCTGCAGACTGGTAGCCTATTTTAGCATCAATTAATTCTTATTCAATCTAAACAAATCAGGACTCATTGATGCTATTTCCTTTTATTTATTTTAAAGCTGACAAATTCACTCTATGAAACCTTTCCTCTATCACAAGTTGAAAACATACATTTTTGTATTGTCAATTGGGTCTGACAGCAAACTAGGATCTTGCCATCACTCTATAATCACTCCGTTCAGAAGACCTGCCCATTGAACCTAATAGTAACCCAACAATTTGTCTGGTTCCTCCCAACTGTTAGTCCTGAATATTATCTAAGCCAAGCACTACAGCTTTCCTTATAAATCACATATCTGCAAAATATTCTCAATCAAACCCTGTAATTTTCTTAAAACACTGCTAGGAAATCATCCTGTCAGAGTGGCTTTTAACATTTGCAGCATCTCTCATAAGGATAGCACTCTTAACATGGCTTGTTTTTCAGTGTCATGCCAAGCCTAGCCCATATTCGGTTTTCAGTAATTCTACTGTTGGTGTTATCTCTATTTCACACTGTTTATTTCTTATTTTAGCAATAAAGTCAGTCCTTTATTATGTCTTTCTCCATTCTGTTTTGTAATTAAATTGAAAAACTGCTTGTTTTCTTGGAGCTAAAAGTCTCTTACTGTGATATTCAAAGATCTCAGAGGAGATACTTGGTTTATGTTTTCTACAAGATCAAGTCTGTGAATTAGTGGCACTGCATCATTCTTTTTTTTATAGACAATGTTATTGCACAGCCCTGAGACTGAGCAGGCTACACAGCTGAGCTACTCCCTGCACTTGTGGCCCTAGAGCTATAATTTAGGGATCCGACTGTGAGCTAAAATGGAAGCAATGTCAAAGCTGCCTTTGAAAATAATCTCATAAGGGTTCAGTATCAACAAAAGCTTTACCTTTATACATCCAATAACCACAATTTTTCACCATCAAAGAGAAAAACTTTTTAAAATCATATTATACCATATGTAATAACAGACCCTGTAATGACTTTTGATTTTTCAAATGTGCTGTAGCTGTTAGACAAGAGCATTGGTACCTGATTTGTTTGTCACTGGGGTCGTGCAAGGTCAGTTGAGTGATCTCATGGGTAGGTGAGGCCACACATGATCTCCTAAATCAGTGCAGCAGATAATAAGTAGTCTCATTTTTAAACCTATAGATTAAAAGGTGAAAACATCTAGCATAGACATTGGAGCGGCTGCACTGGACCCGCTTGAAACATTAGGGCTATAATTTTCAGAGTGAATATAACTCGAACCGCTCGGTTGAACCAGTCACACTGACCACTGATATACTTAGAGACACTCATAAGTATTAAGAGATTCCAGAAAGTAAACATTGGAAATAGTTTTGTGTGTAAATTTAAACTTCAGTTGGCTCTACACAGCATTAGCTTTTAACTTGTATATGCAGGTTAGTTTTAAAAAGTCAAAAACTATGTACATTATTAGTTGACAGATTGATAGTCTGAGTCAAGAAATTAGGTCAAAGTTCTCTGGCTTTAAAAATGAATTATCATGGGCTATGCACCGGTAGCCCTCTGTAATATGATAAGCACAACAAAGAGTAAAGAGACATTTTGGATCTTGAATAAACACCTTCTTCACAGGAACCTCTGCTCGGGAAACAATTTAGAGCTGGATTAAAGTGAGGATTGTCTGTGTGCGAAACCGTGCAATCATGTCACTTCCGTTTTTGTGTTCAGTGTTTGCGGTGGGGACACATGGCATCCTTTTCTTTCCTGTCTGTCTAATTTTAGGCAGGAATTTCAAGCGTTGGAGTGCAAAGCATCTATCTTCTCCAAGAAAACACTCTATAGCAGATAGCTTTCCACCCCACTACTGCAAACACCATATAACGTTTACCTTATTTTTCAGCCTGTTTAAGCTCATTTCTCAGGCTTTTTTAGGCTACTTTCTAGGCCTGTGTTGAAAGTTTTTCAAAGCGCACTAGTGGAAAAACCATTGAGGTTAGCTGAAGACAAGCTTTCCAGTGCTAAACACCTCTGCACCAGAGTAGCAGTCAAAAAGGCAGCTACACCACAGAAATGTCCTGGTTAGAGAACTGTCATTTACAAGCCAATTTTTGCTTCAGCCCCCTCACGTTTCACATTCAGTCAAAAAAAGAGGCCACGAAAACACTGCATGCAAGTGCAGCTGCTCTTTGTGGTCGGGGTGGGGTTTAGTGGTTGGGGTCTTCCCTCAGAATACTTCTTAAAGGTTAAAATAAGAGTTTAATTTGATCATGTGCTCATTCATTGAGAGGCGAGCTCTTCAAAGAGAAGCCATGTGTCATGCAGTGAGTGGCATGTTGGCACTGAGCCTGATGGATGACTTACTCTCACACAGCCTCCTCCTGAGCCTGCCCCTGATCTTGTCAATGGCATTAAAGTCTGTCACATGGAAGACGTGGGCATTCTTAGGCTCTGCAGCAATCTCCTCCAGCTCCACCTTCAAAGCCTCCCCAATGCCCACAGCAAACATCCGGATCCCAGCTTTGGCAGCTGCTTTGGACGGCTCTAGAACATAATCCTGACTTCGACCATCTGTAAGAAGGATGGCCACCCTCTGAATACCTCTGGCTACTGGCCTTGCTCCGTTACGCTCGGTGAAGATGTTGGTGGTTGTGTAGCTGATAGCATCCCCAGTCATTGTATTTCCCCCCAAGTAGCGTATGTTGCGGGCAGCTTTCTTCACATCTTCTAGGGTCCTGTGTCTACCCAAGTTGAACTCAGTTGTGGGTCTGTCGCTGTAGCGCACCACAGCAACTCTTGTCTTATCAGGCGCTACATCAAAAGACTCTACAAGGTTGGCCACCCATTGTCGGATCTTCTCAAAGTTATCTTTTCCAACACTTGATGATGTATCCAGGATGAACGCCAAGTCATAGTGGACGTTTTTACATCCTGTTGAAGGCAAATAAAAGAGAAATGTTGAGTCACATACAGAAGCTCTACATTGAAGCTCTTCACCTGTAATTAAAACAGAATAATCAGTCCTAATTGTCTTACCTGCCCTCTGTGCTTCCACTGTCTTATCGGAAAGAGTCAGGACCAGGATGACAAAGACCAGAGTGATCCTTAATCCCAGTCGAAATTCCATCTCAGCCTTACTTTCACTTTGTCTTGTTTATTTTATTACCACCATCAAGCTGTCCAAGTCTGTGGAAGGATCAATAAAAACATCAATTTTGCATTTCAAAATCCAGACAGTCGGTTGTCAGCCTACATACTTTTAATTTAAAGTCTTATTTCCTGTATTCAGAACTTTCTCTTCAAACAAATTCTCACCACCCGTGAAACCAAATAGATGAAGTTCTTCCTGTTGTGCAGGGAAATTGCTTTATGAAAGCAGGTCCCCCCGCTGTCGCTGCTGCCACTGGACAATATCGGCAAGAGGCTGGTCACACACTGATTCAAGGATATATGAATAGAGACACTTTGTTTCTTTTAAGGAAATAATCCTCCATACAGTCGCCCTTCTGTCTTATTGTTGAGATTTCTTTCCTCTATGGAAACTGTCAGGAAATGTTTCCACCCTCCCAGGATGTGATGATTGAAACCTAAGACTGAAAGACACCTATCCTAAACACCTAACCCTACGCAAAAACTGTTGGAACTTGCTGCAAAGTATGATACTACTGACCCCAAACACAGGAAGTACATGTACTCTTCTGAGCGTGTGCAAGTTTGGACCTCCTGGAATTAAAACAGCTTTGCTCATGTGGCATCTCCACACAGGACCAACAAGTTTATCTCTGTTGGATTCAACTCTGAAGCTGTTGTGCCTGGGTGGCACCAACAAAAGCCTATCATATAAACACTAAACTATTCTTGCTCCTATTGTACACTAGTGGTTGTGATGTCAGCGATTAGGGCTCATGTGTGACTGACCTTAGCCATAACACCGACTCACCCCGACCAGGGAAGTGTCTCATTGCGGGGGTCACTGTGGGAGGTTGAGGAAACTTTGAGTTGTGTGCAACTTGAAGGGCAATTAGAGTCCCATGTGTTCTGAGCAGTTCATTGCCATCGTACCAAACTTCCTACTTTAATAAATGTATTCATTGTCTATTTTCTATAACATTTTATGAATATTTTTTTCTTTTTAGTAAAATATTTTGAAAAAATGAACTTATTTATTTGCAAATCAAGAGACAAAGTTAATACTTCACTCATACCTGTTCAGAAAGGGAGCCTAGCTTGGCTTAAAGGATAGAAAACTTGGGCAAAATCCTGGGTTTTATGGAAGAGGGGGCCTACCATACTGTTTTTTTTTTTTTTTGTTTGTTTGTTTGTTTTTGCAAAGAGTGATGTTTCATCTTTCAGGAACACTTTGGTGGCCCCAACAGAAATTCATATTTCTGTGTTCAGTGCATTACTCATATAGGCCATATTTTCCCATTCAAAAGATATAAGCTATTCTTAAATTACAGGATTATGACATTTTTATGGCAAAATCACAATCTAGATTTGACAATTCACCTTTTTAATATTAATTTTCAAGAAAATTGTTCCTATCACCAACCAAGGCTAGAGTTTTTACTGTATTTTAGTTTTTAAAAAGTATTTAAAAAAAAAAAAAGACAAATCTATTTAAACCCAAGGACCTTTGAGAAGAATAAATAAGAATGCTAACATGGCTAAGTCTTCAAGCACATTCAACCACACTCATGTCAAGTGCAGTCTTGAGAAAGACCAGCTCATATATCAAGCTTGCAAAGTCTAGCTCATAGTCTGTTTAATCTCTTCATGTTGTTTAATGTAAAGAGAATATTCACCAAATTCAAAATTACTTAAACCAGTGTGTTTCATATGATAAATAAGAGTTAGCAAGCAGTTCAATGTGACACTGTCTTTGTGTTTACTATCTTTGCAGTGTACTGTGTGTGTTATCTGACACTGAAAGGCAAACTCTGCTACCCCGCCACTATTAGCATGTACAAAGTTTAGCACATAACACAGAGAACTCCCAGAGAAACTTTTACAATGCCGACTTGTCATACTCAGTGTGCAATCAGTTCAGTTTATGGACCTGCTTATTTGTTCTGCCTGCTGATAATATGAAGATCTCTCTAGATTTACAGATTCTGGATAAATTTTAATCCCTTATCATCTCGATATCATCTTCTTGGATTTGTAAAGATACACATATATTTTAAAGCAGTTGATATTTCTCAAACCTCTGTCATGGTTTTCATAATTTTATCTTTCTATGACTTTCAAAACAGTTTTTTTCTGTCCATGTGAATAATGTAAAGCAAGACATGACAACCTTCGGCTTGCCCTTTTGACTTAAATATTCTTTTATGTTGACTGACCAGCAATCACTTGGTGCCCATTTAGCCAACGCTGTGATTTCTCTATTTTCATTTACTTTCATTTAAAAGTTTCCATAAAAGTACTTTGCTAACTTTGGTGATGCTATTACCCGCATACATTAGCCTGATAGCAGCACTTGCATCTTGAGCTTAACCTCAATTAGGGATGTTTCAGTTCCTTTTAAAGAAGTGCATATTACTTTTGACTTTCCAGCTGAGGCAATTTTTTTTTAGTGAAGTATGCCATTTAAGTGCAGTGATGGCATTATTTTCCATCCCCTCAGCAGCTGCAGGGAGCATAAAGAAACTTAAGTGGCTCAACTATTTTGAGCGAAAAAAAGGAACAAAGGTGGTTAATGTAATACATAAATCTAGACCTTAATTGCAACCTGACAGCTGTGACAGGTAGTAATAACTTCATTTATTATGCTTCTTTAAAAAAAAACAGAGAAACAAGGAGGTAAAAAATAATGTGCCAAAGTACAAATGTTTATGCTCACAACCAGCAAATTGGCTCAAACCTGTAAAAAATTAAGAAGTTGAATGTCAAGAAAATAATGATTTTTCCTCATCATGCTCAAAATCAGCTAGAACCAGAGAGAGAGAGAGTAGTTGGCTAGTTGTAGAAGTGCCCACCCCCTGATGCAGAGATGACTTATTGGTCTGCAGCTCAAAACTTGATACTCCATCTGTTTAACAGCATGACAATAGTTTCAGTCTTATTTTCTTGCTCTCAACGTTTAAGCTAATAGCTGTAATGCTATAGCTAATTGCTATATGTGAAATATGCACAATGTCAAATTCAAGGTATCCCTGAAATATTAATAAAGGCTAGGGATTGATATTCTTGTACTATAATATCAAATCACAGACCATAAATCTTTCTCTTATTCCAAGGAGGAATATGATCTGGACATTTTGGACTTTTATGTCAGTGTAATTCACTGGCACCCACAGGCTTTATTTAAAGGAAAGTAAACATAAGTTTGAGGCTGTGATTTAGGAACAGAGTTGCAGCAGAAAATTGTTTCAGGAAGGGTTGTGAACAGACACAACCTTCAAAACAGCAGCCTGTTGGCTGTGGCTTGGCCTGTATAGCCTGTAAAATAAAGAGTCCATTTTAACAAAATGCTTGGTCTCCAGAGATAAGTTTTCTTATCTGATTCTCCATGAGGCTATTTCTGATGCTTGGTTTCAATGGTGCTATTAATAAGCAGAATAAACACGCTAGCTGAATTACTCTAATTGCCCCAATTAGCGTTCATTTGAAATCTCAGAAATTCAGCCCAGCAAGACTTTAATGTGGAAAAAAAAGAAACTCAGCCCCACTCAAATAGCAACTGAACAACATTTGGATTCATGCTCCTAATCCTCTCTCCTCAAGTTGGTACAAGTCTTTACATATTTTCTTGTTTGTTTCTCTTTTATCTCTAATTGCATTTCAATACACTGCATGACTCCCCCAGCGCTGCATTAATCTGCAGGTTAAAAAAAAAAAAAAGACTCAGAGGTAAAGCTGAAAACAAGCTGGTTTGTTTCTGTCAACATTTGAACCTGAAGCCAGATTCTTAAAAAACTGAGGGGTCATCAGACCTTTTTCCACTTCCTCTCAATGGTAACCCTGGGAATGCAGTGTAGATGGATATAACAGAAGCAACACGTTAATCATCCCCAGAATGTAAAAAACAGAAACACTCTTTTTTTTTTTTCATCTGTAACACAACAATAAAGGGAGAGAAGTGAGGACGTCTGTTCTCTGATACAGTATCTGAGCTGCATATGCAAAAAATAGAATGACTGTTTTCAACATTTTAAAACAGTAAAGAAAACAAAAGCAATAAATTGGAGGAACATGGCAATAACAGATGTGTGCTCTGATAATTCTGTGATATTTCTTACCCGGCCTTTCACTCAGGTGTCTGCCTCTTCCTCTCCTGCACTTACACCCTGAATCAGCACTTGAGCAGCAGCGTCATAATCAACCATTAATAATCCCAAATATCTGTTCTTCATGTGCAGATTATTGCACAGAATAATCCAAGATGACAATCCAGAGTAAAGTGTTCTTTGGAAAGTGAGGTGAGGTGAGCTTCAGAAACCTTGTAGATGGGTGGACAGAGTGGGAGGGAGCTGGAAAGGGAGAAAGTGTAGGGTTTCACTAGTGGTTCTACCATTCTTAACTGAGCTGAGCTCACACATAAAAAGGGCTGTGAGGCACAGCCAATTATAGACCCAGCATTCTGGATATTTTTGTCCCTTTTTTTCCTCGTCTTTATGGCTGCACCCATCTGCAGTTTTACCCTCAAAGACAAGGCACAGCTTCTTGGCGACCACCTCAACTGTCCGGCCTCTGCCACTGTGATAGCCACAGCGGAGCCGCCCTGGGACTGGTGGTGGTGGGCCGGGCCACGTTGGCTTCAATCAGCCACGCACTTATGGAGAAGGGTTGTATTTAAGTTGGAGAAATGATTACAGAAGACTTGAGCTTGCTGCTTTGTGTAAATGGCTGTCCTCCTCTTACTGACTCACAGCACAGTTTTGTATCACTCATACCGCACAGTTGTGACATGTTTCCTTCCATGTCTCCCTTTTGCTTTTAACATATTTTTAATATTAACTCCAGCCCCAATCCCATGCAGTCTCTTAAAAAGTGGCGAACCTCTTCCTGCGTCTTACCTCTGAGAGAGTCAGCCTCTCAGCAATGCCCACTCTGCCAGTCATGTTAGTAACCGGTTACAAATCAACAAAATTAGATGGCAGGTGTTTCAGCAACTTGTTTTCTCGCATACACATTTTTAAAATCTTTTGTCTTCCCTGGTCTTTAATCATTCAAAATAAGCTTAAATTCTTCATAAAATGCTGTTTTTTGCACTATTTCAATTAAACATCTGAAAATCATTAACATTTGGATTCGTTAACATTTTAAAGTGTCCAAACTTAATTGGAATTGGGTTTGTGTAATTTTTTTCTTTACCTTGCTGGTTTTCTGCGACCCTTTGTCTCTCTTGGTTTTCAATTTGACCTGTCACCGCTCTTTCAATTCAACTTTTTGCTCTTGTTTTATTAAAAGTTTCCTCTGTGATTCTCCAATTTCACCTTTAGATCCACTTTTTAGATGCAATAATTTATTAAAGAGAAACAAACACAGACAGACAAATCAAACAATGCAACAACTCATGAATAAATGGGCGATTTTTCATAATTTATCATGCAATTTCCACTGATCCAACCTTTTGCCCTTGATGAAAAAAGTCAGTAGTGTTTGCCTGCCTGTACATCTGTGTGTGTGTGTCTTGATTTGATAAACACATTAAGAGAGGAACCGCATTTCAAATTCCGTTCTATGTCGATGTGCTTATCATGTGCGGTCATGCTCCTTGGCCGAGGATGCTGCAATGAAACACAGCAGCACTCTGTCCTTGTCTGTGTCAGACATCCTGCCTGGCAGACGCGCTGTGATTTCGCTCTTAAGTCTTCTGCATCACAAGTCTTCTGCTGGCAGAGCCTCGGTTGAACTTTCCTCCTTTAAGTGTTCCTACAGCTGTCGCCATATGTCTATGTTGCATTCGAAATTACATCCAAGTCTGCTGCGGCGTTGAAGCACAGAAATTCTCTAAAACACATGAGCCAATATTTGAATGTCATGGACAACAAACAAGTTAGCCATTCTATCCAGGTCTATTTACAGTGCCTTTGTAGCCAAGGAAAAAGAGCACCGGCCAGGCTATGTATAGGAGCGGTGTGAAGTGGATGGGAAGTGGGCTGACGATTCATGGCAGATGCACAATATGAGTGATGGTGTCAGTCTGAGGAACCGTCTGTCGCCTTATGTGTGGGGGCTAAAGAGGTTGCCGGCATGTATGGTGAGCACCGAGTTGCATTTTAGAAAAGCCATCTGTCGTCTGATTGACAGCCAGCTCTCACCCTCCCACACCAGGAAGTGCTTTTTACAAAATACACTTGATACAATAATGTGCGAATTAGTGTGAAAGTGAAAGGAGGTCCACGTTCTTAAGCTAGAACTGATTTTCAACCCTAAGGTGGTGTTTTTATCGATGGGACTTTCACAGCTACATTAGTTTTATACCCAGTATTTTGCTTTTATGCCATCAGATACCTCCCACTCAGTTAGGTAGAATATCTGTTGCTCTGCCTTGCTCTCAGCCTTGCCTTGAAGGATTCTCCCTTGCAACCAATAAAGTATTTCCTCCAAGGACCTTCAGAGTTAAAGAGGCATCTGTATATCTATTGACGGGTCACCCGGACTGCTGACTCCTTTTTTATGAAATTCTTATCCATGGAGAGTTCATAAAACTTTGCCTGCAAGAAAAGCAAATTAAAAACTTTAACATCTTTACCATATGAACTCTTTTGGCCGGGGAATAAGCAGGAGAAATACTGCTGTGAATTTTCATTGGAATATGCTCCAGGCAAACAATTCTAATTGGACTCAATAGGCATCTTCATTGGGCTCTGAATTATCTTCTTGATACAGAATTCAGAATAACATATCCATAATTCAACATAGCGGCAAGTGGCTCCTCAAAGCAGACCTTCACCATTTCCCCTCTCCATTTGGTTGTTTTCCAAGCAGCATGAATCAGTACTTTATTTTTTTGGAGAAACAGAATAATGTTAATTGCTACAGTTACAAACAATAACAAAAAAAAAGAAGCGAAATGTGTCTCCAACTGTTAGTGGATTAACCAATAATAGCTTATAATTAACTAATAATTTGCTCTCTCAGACAAGTATTTATCCCAACTTCAGCACCACAGGTCACGTCCAGCACAGGCAGACCTGGCGTTACCTGCACAAACTGAAGAATGTATCCCATCAGATTAGTGGATAGTCTCCAATCTGACTAGAGATCAACCAAATCTGGCCAAAAAAAAAGTTTTGTTTGGTATTTATTTAACACTTTCACCTCCACACAGATGTCATCCTCTTCAGTGAAGTTTAGTTGATTGTTGAGAAAACTGAGAAACAAACAAACAAAAAAGAAAAACTGTCTCGCATCAAGACAAACAGAGAAATGAATCAGGTGTTGGGTAATGATACAGACAGTGAGATCATGATGACCTGCTTTGAGCTGGGATATATTTAACTGATGTTGACTGTCTGGATAATGACCAAAGGTCTGATTGTTCATCGTTCAAGGAGAACTTTGAGAAGCGGCCAGATCTTTCTGAGAGATCATGGTGGGGGTGGAGGAGGGCAACCCAACAGTGAAAAACAGCAACCACCACCTACTTAAAAAATGTACTTGAGATGCATCATCTGACATCCATAAAGTATGCCATATCAGCTAAAGGGATCCTGGAGAAACACTGCAACATCCAACAGATCAGAATCCAACGTCTGAAAAGAGCCCCATGTTATTTAAAGACATGGGTATCCACCATAGCTCAACCCAAGCTAAATAAAACTAAATTAGAAAGCCCAAATTTGACCTCATGGTTATTGCACTAAAAAAATAAAAATAAAAATTTATGCAAAAAATGTCATTTGTAATGATGTTTGATTTTATATTTTATCAAATGTCACAAGTCCCATGACAGAAAAAATTGTAATTCTGCAAAACATAACAATCAGTGATCAGTTTGGTGTTTTTATGCTGTTTCATTATCTTACCTTTAATGAGTTTACTGCCTTGTTGTGTTATGCCAGCATTTCTTCTTTGTGCTGTGTCTCTGCTTCACATCATTGACTTAACATGTACTCAGATCTGGGGAGTTGACTTTGGAAGTGAAACAATCTAAGACATAAAGTGACGGCACACACTGTATGAACTGTAACACAATGTTTTATTGATGTAGTTTCTATTATGGGAACACAAGAAAAAATCTGTCGGAACATAAATGAACCTGAGATTACATGCCTTTGTGTCAGCAGTAGTTAAAGACACTTCTACTGCAGCTAATGGATCCACAAGTCTACATGGAATTTCATTTATAATAAAGTGCAAATTATTTAATATGCTTTAATGCTACAGACTGAGCTGGTTCAACTGATGATGGATTTCTAGAATTAGCTTTGTACACTTCCCACAGTCAAGATATGAAGTCTCTAAAGTGCCTATTTTTATTAACAATGGGTTGGGAATGGTTTTGTAACTACAACATATAATTTGTCATATGGGAAGGAAACAGTTCAGGCTACAGAGCCTTTTTAAGGTCAATGTCATAGTATTAGCTGGGGTCAAAATTGGACTATACACGAATCTCCATCACAGAGTAGGTGTTATGGGAGTCCTATGGGGTTCTCACACCAAGCGCGAGTAAAATCAACTACTCACTTAATTTGCGTGAATCTAGACGCATGAATGAATAGTATTTACTCGCTTCATTGGCTGTTAACGGTAATTTCAACATAAGTGCCTGTCAATTCAACTGGCGGATCAAGTGATGGACAAAGGTCTTCTACAACTTACGAGGTAATCCAACCTCCTCACTCACTTCAGCATCTTTTTATTCCGGTTTTGGTAATTAAGAGAAAAGGTACCATATAATTCGAGGCACCCACACACCGACACCATCAGTTTGTCCTCCATTTTAGATATCAGTGAATAACCGTCCGTTTTCATCCGTCACCTGGCAACCTTCATGCTGATTAGTTCTCGCGATGCGAATATTCACTCAAGTTGAGATATTTTCGCGCCGCCAGAGTAGTAGCAGCGTCCAACCGCACCTTTGCAGACTTTGACTTAACATGTAATTAATTCATGCAAATTTATTTACTCACGCTTGGTGTGTGTAGACAGTTAGATATGTCTTCTTGTATTCTTTGGTACTAAAACTAAACTAAACCCTCCATTATTTTAACTTTTTTTTAAGCACATATACTAGTCCTATTGAATCATCTGTCCATGGAGGGTACAGATTAGCTAGTCTGCTCTCGACCATCAGTGATTAATTATTTAAGAACACTCAGTCCTAAACAGAAACTGACCACACCTAATAACGTCGACAACAACTTGCCAAATAGAGCTGGTCTATGTGTCTAGAGGACTAGCCTCACCCACGTGTACTGTTTACCAAAACTAAAAAAAGGTCAGAATTTCTTTTATACATCTGTTCAGTAACATACAAACTAAGTCGATTCACTTTTGAAAGATCTTAGGGACATCTTCTGTATAACAAACCATTTACGAGAGTTCTGGCCTGAGTAAAGATCAATGTCATTACAGCTGGAGACGCTCCAGTGGGACTGCATTATTTTGTTTTGTGATCAAAGGTTTTTTCCTCTTGAATCTACAATTAGCTGCACTTGGCTTGACACCATCCAATACATGTTCGTTGATTCCACCATCAGCTGACTGCTGGTTCAAAGTGCACCTCACAGATTCCTGACTGAAATCCTCTTGATGGTTTTTCCGGATACTCCCACACTCTGCGAGGGGCTCCCGGGCAATCTTTCCAAGACGCAGCTGACCTTTCAGAGCTTTCTCCACCTGCTGCCCTTGGCCTTGAGCACCTTGGGTCAGCTTGATTTTATCTGCACATAATCCTAGTGTTGATATGTTTGGATTGCACTGATCCTCTTCAAGACATTTTGCCCTCCTTAGCCTCGACCGCCTCATACCGATGTCTTGCTGGAGTATATTTGGGTTTTGTCTTACCGCCTCTTCGCCACGTGCAGCCTGCGCTCTCACTCTGGATGACAGGGAAGGAGGGGCAGGCTTGTTGCACAGAGGAGCAGGGGTACCATGACACACCACATCCTCCAGATGTCTGTTTCCATTCTGCTCTATGGGACTGGCACGAGTCAGCTGGGGCTTCACGGATCGGTTTTGTTGTTGGGTTTTGAGTGGCACAGATTCGACAGTCTTCACCAGCCTCTGCCTCACACAGGACTTCACCTTCCTCGTACAGAGTTCATTCACTGCCTTATCCAGCTTAAAGCAATCAGGTTTGGCCTCCTGCTGGATGAACTTAAGTTTCTGCTTCTGAGCACGCTTCACTTCTTCTGTCAGCTGCAGAGGGGCTAGCTTCAGAGGGCGCCTCAGTGGTTGATTCTCTGCCTCCCTCTCTAACTCAAATCTGGGTGATCTGAGCTGCAACAAGTCCAACTGTGTCGTGCCCTCCTGGGTCAGCGGGTAGCCCGTAAACTGACCCACTGCTTCCTTTCCATGTGCCGCTGACAGATGGAGGCCAGGTGTTTTTGAATTGCGGCCACTTTTAGCTTCCAGTCTGAGGTTCTGGCCATTCAAATGCAGCATGGTATTTTTAACCTGGGAGGTCAACACTTTGTCTCGATGGGGAGCCCCCTGAACAAAAGAGAAATCATTAATTTAATCACTGAATTTTAATGTGGACCCTGTGTCGAGCTTGAAGAACTCTACCTGAACACACTATTGCACACTGCTAGAGCTTTTCCTATTTATCAGAATTTAAAAATGTACTCAACAGGCTTTACTTCAACTTCTATTATAAGCTGCAGTTTTATTTAATTCACAGAAGTTGTTAAAAGTTCTTACAATTGCCCAAACAATCTGTATTCTATATTGCCACAATGTAAATTGTAGTGTCTCTGGTGAGAAGACTGAGTCTAACGGGGATCTTAATAAACAAACAAACAGCAAATGAGTTAAAAAATCCAATTAAATGAGTGCAGCACTCTTGGGAAGATTTAGCTGTTAACAGTTTGCTTTAACCCTTGTCCTTACCCTGACCCTAAATTAGACCTGTAGTCCAGTGAGTAAATCCTTTAGCTCTGCTTTATAGACTGGTAATATAAGTCAATATTAAGGACAACCTTTAATGTTAACTATCTGGCAATGAAAAATCCCTTTGGCTTGCTTCATCTTTTTAATTGCTCTTTAGTTAATTAGGAAAACCCCTCCAAGAAATACTTGGACAGCTCACCTTTTGGAGAAGATAACTGCAGCATTGATTATGAATTTGTAGCCGGTTAATTTTGACATGTGAGAACTTGATGGTTTTATTACAAACAAAGAAATAAACCTGTTGCTAAAAAAACATCCTGTTTAAAACAATGGTGGTGTTATTACATGGCTTTCTTGCTATTCGCCTGGTTGTGTGTTGAATACTTTATCCTGACACTCTAAGGATTATTGGTCTGTATAGAAGAGGCTGCCACCAATATGCTTGTCTTGCAGGTTCAGATGACTGTCAGAATGTGGGTGATTTTTTAATCTTTTATTGTGTAAATATTTTTAAATAAATGAAATAATCTGTAAATAACAATGGAGTATTAAAGCCACATTAAGAAAAAAAAATAGGACTTTGAGATAAAAGTTGTTAATTTACAAGAATAAAGTCATTACTAACAAGAATAAAGTCGTAATAAAGTTAATACTTAAGAGAATAAATTCGTACTGAAATCATTTCTTATGAGAATAAAGTCATAGTAAAGTAATTACTCATGAGAATAAAGTCGTAATAAAATCATTACGATAGGCTACTTTTGATAATGCAGTGCTGATGTGCCAAAAGATAAAGTATCTTTGTTTGAGAGAGTCAGAGATATAATTGCTGTTACTTATGTGCAAACACCTGATGGCTGCCTACCAGCTTGGCATTAGTTTGGTGTGTCAGCATGCCCTTAAAAATTAATGCAAAAATGACCCGAGGCCCTCTATGTTTATAAGCAGCAGGGACAGGGTAGAGGCAGGGTAGATTTGATATAATAAGCAACAGTGAAGATTACAATATGACACACACTCACCACTATCCTATTGGTTTTCAGTTCACTATTGTCCTTTGCAGAATAATTAGATGTATGAAATATGATATGAAAGATCATTTGTAAATATTGTAATATCAAAATAATTGCATCGTCTATTGTGTGTAGAGATAATAACATTAACAAGGTTTTCACAAATACAAAAATTTAATTTATTGAAGTCCACACTCATCTGCTGACAAGCTCTTTTATTGAAGCCAGGGGAAAACAGGCTTCAAAACAGGGGGTTTAAAGGAGATATTACCTCCTCATAAATAGGCACCAAAGTTTCAGATCTTGCGTCCTTTAGGGTTTTTCTGCAGTACATTTGAGGGTTGTTTGTGAGCTTCTTTAAAACAAAACATAACACGTTCAGCGTAAACCAGAGGGAGCAGCTGCCCTGGCAAACAGCTTATTACCGTTTTAACGAGCATTTGTAAAGGATTCACTAAGCCTGACTTAGGCAATTAGTTAACACTTACAAACCCTTTAGAAAGGCAGCAGGAAAGTGATACCAAAACATTTGGGAAAATCAATACTGCAAGGAGATGACCACTATATTTAAACTGTCTACACAACAAAGATCAGTGTAATATTGGAAATTACCATTTCCCTCTAAGAAACACAGGATGTACTGGCTTGTATCATCTGAAATTATACAGTTTGTGCTCTTTTGTCAAGTATCTTGGGATAACACTTGTTGTGAATTGACACTACATAAATAAAGATTGATTCAGTGGTAAAACAGCTGTTGTACACATTGCACTACAAGCTCATTTGCATGTCACTCCAACTCACATCAGCTAATTCCATCACTTAAATCAAATAAATCAGGCAAAACTATTAATGAGTGAAATGCTACAATGAAAAAGTCATACTCACCGATTTTGCAAACATCCTCTTGCTTAATTTTTTGTCGAATCACTGCTTGCTGTGCAGGAGAGTGATTTTGTCGTCGTTCCTCTGGTTGCCTGTGCCACTTTGTCAGAGGCAGTGACGCTGCAGCTGGAGAAGGTTTTAGCAACCTTAATGTTATTAGGCAGATTAGGGTCAAGGATCCCTGGTGATCTCCAGCTTAAAGACAGCCAGTATGGACCATCTCATGCAAAACTCTTTCAAAATAGTTTTTTCTTTTTATCATCTGCAGTTCAGTTTTGTATTGACATAAAAAAGACTGATTTTTATATGATCTCTGCTCGGATTATAACAGGATTAGCCACTAGATGGTGTCAGAGGTCTCCTGCGCAGTGGAAGTCCCCTCATCATGGTTCTACATAAGGAGGACTGAGAGCTGACAGCTGCTGGTGGAGATCAACACAACAGAGCTTCATGACAAATTCTTAGAATTGTGGGTTGCATATAAATACAGAATAGATAGCTTATGTTGTATGTTTGGGTATCCCCTGTTTAGTCTGTTTTTGTGCAACTTACCTTTTACTGTTAAGTTTTGAAACTGTAGTAACACTAAAATATATAGGAATACATATACATGTATTGATGTTTACAACAAATATGGCTTCATTTTAGATACTTGCCAATAATTGTTAGTGTTGAACTCTCTTTATGGCCTATAAGAAAATAAAAAAAATCCTCTGCAAAAAAAAAATCGTCAGAAAAAAGATTAGAGAGAGATTACAGTCCTCTGCTCTAAGCTGTAAACCGCTGCTTTAAGCTGTGAACCTCAGGTAGTTACTCAATTTAGCATAATAGATATTACTTGTTATGAAATTACAGCTTTAGGAGTGACTAGAGTTTAGATGTACTCTGAGTTTTTGCAGCTTAAGTTTGATTTTATCTAATGTAGTAACGACTTGTAATTTTAAAATTGAAGTATTTTTTGCAGCCACCAAACAACTCTAAAGAATCTTATAACCATAGAATTTCTATTTTTTTAATTGATTGATTGATTGAAGTTTATTTTGAAAATATAAAAAAATTAAAAATTGTAAAAAAAAATTTAAAAATAAAATGTAAAACTTTATTTCATCTCAAAAATTCATGCTTGAAGGATGTGCCCAAATAGATATTTTCAATCTAACCCTCTTTTTTAACTTCAATCTTATAATGTGGATATAAATTCAAACAAAGTTTAGTAAATCTGTAATATTTTCTCTCCAAATCACACTCTCTTTAGGAGTTTTTACAAACAAAATCCCGCCTTTTGTAAACATGTGTGTTAGTCCCTAATTTATTACGAGGCACACAATTGGAACTGATGTGAAACACATTTCATTTCATTGGCTGCATTTTTAAAATCAAAACCAGGCAAGATACAGAGTGATAAGATAAGCTCAGATATTTCATATAGGAGAAACTTAACATCAGAGATGTCCTCAATGCTGACAGCATTCACCCACTAGAGTGAACCTTTGTTCATATACTCTTTTGAAGCTCTGGTAAAGGTTTTCAGTGTAAATCTCCTCAGACACACACAGTAAATTGGTTTGTGCTGCTGGCTGGGATATCTGCAGATCTTAATCACTTTCAGACGACAGATTGTTTCAAATTTTTAGCTCCATCACTCCCTCGTCAGCCTCATTTATTATGTTGAGAGGCAGGCCATTGCAGAGTTTCCTTTCAGTAGATGAGAGGTGTTTTGGTGGGGTGTTGTGCCTCCTACAGTTTCTCATTTTTCATCAGGCAGACAGACTCAATCATCGTTCAAAGTCTCCTGTTCTCCATCGTCTTGTTCTCTTGCCTCTAGCCCCCCAAAAAAGCAGCGTGTCAGAACCCGTTTATTGCAAAGCTTCATCATATCATTGCTGAGGTGGAGACGGCCCCACTGCAGAACAACTTGGCTCAGCTTACATGATCATTTGAGACGCAAAATTACAGGCTTGACGCCAAGAGATGGCCTTCACGCCCCTCTGCCACTGTTCTTATTGTGTCGCCCTCTCTGTTGCCTGACGTCCGCAGCTGACAGTATAATTACCACGGTGTGGGAAGGGATAAAAAGGGATGTTGCCTGCTTGTTCTCCCACATACTGAACACCCAGCTGCAGAACATAGCTACTTGAGAAGAGGAAGAAGATGAAGAAGAAGAGGGCAACTGGTCAGCTGAGATCCTTCATCGGTCACACTCGGCTGGAAATTGTGATGTGTAGCATTTTATGATGTAAGTTCATGGGGAATAGTTATTGACACTTGTTTGCCAAACTGTTGATATTCACAAACCAATAGAGCAATATCTCAAATATTGTTTTTTTAATCTGATATTGAAAGGCTGCAAGTACATTGAAGGTGTTGACCAATTATGTGAACCCTAATTTTTATTTTAAAAAATACAGCAAAGATGACAGATAAAATGTTGCAATCAAAAAATGCAACTTTTTACAAAAAGCGAAAATATGCTTTTTCAAATTTGGTGTCATCAAAACAGTCCAGTCAGACAGTCATGATAAATCTAAAATAGTTTTGTAATGCCATTAAAAAAAAAAAAAAACTAAACACAAAAACATCCCTCAGTTTCTGTTGATTTGAAAAAAACTGGGTATTAAAAGACATTTCTGTAAGGAAAACTCTCTCAAAAGTAAAATAGAGATTCATCATATTGTGAACACTATATGTAGTTCAATAATGTCATTGAGCAAAAAAAAATGCAGGGAATTTGGGGATTTCATTATTTCATATTACAGAGCATAATTTCATCAAAGGATTCAGAGAATCTGGAAAAAAAATGTTTGAATGAAACAAAGCCCCAAACAAATGCTGAATGATGTTGATCCTTCAGCCAACACTGCAGTGAAAACACACACATGACTCTGTAGTGTAAATGGGTAACTCAGACAACCAGAAAGGCACGATAATGCTGAATTATATGCTTTGAGCAACAGACAATGGCTTTATTTGAGGAAAATCTATATATCTCAGCAATGCCAAACCACAGTCTGCAGGTTTTATAACTGCATGGCTCTATACAGTGGTTTGCAAAAGTACTCATGAACTTTTCCAAATTTCTTCGCATTACAATGACAGATTCATAAATATTTTACTGGGATTTTATGTAATAGATCAACATAAAGTGGTGCATAATTGTGATGTGAAAGAAGTTATTCATGGCTTTCAAAATTTTTTATAAATAAAATCTCAAAAGTGTGGTATGCAAAATATTCAGACTTGAATGAACAATATTAATAATAAGACAATATTTCACTCATCCATAAGCTGTTCTCAAAGGATCCTTTCATTTTGTTCAATTTCAGCATTTCTTATGATGTCCTTGCAGTACGTATCATTAAATTACTGCCTTAAAGTAATTCCAAACAATCAAGTTCCTTTTTTATTAACTTTCTGGATGAAGAATTGTACAGAAAAAGCTTTCTTAAGGTTATAATAATCATGACCTATGACCTATGACCTCTGCAGCGAAATAAAATAATCTCTTTTTTAGTATAGTGTCAGTAGACAACAAAGAGGGTCCATTGGGTTTGCAAAATTCAACTTTTAACTTTTAATAGATGTTTTGTGAAAAGTCTAAATATTAGAGTCTAAGATAGTTCAGCTTATCTGACAGTGTTGCTTTTTATTGACTAAGAGACTGTTAAAAGACAAAATGTTAGAAGGCCACACTTCTCAAAACCTTGGTTTAAAACAAAAGGTTCTCAAGTCATTAATATTTTTCTAACTTTGTAAAAGAAAAATACCCCAGTGATAGATTTAATGGATATAGACGTCTGAGAAAATTCAAATGTGATGTTGAATCAGTTCAGATTAGGAAACCAGCCGAGGGCTTATTTAGAAATCACTAAAACTGTTGTTTTAATGAATTAGTAATACTTTAACCCAAGGCTTAAGTTTGTTTGTTGTTTTTTTTAACAATGAAAACCTCATTTGTGATTTAGATGAACAGCTCATCCGAGCATCTGGAAGTGTTAGGCAGCGAGAAAAAGACAGAGCGTGTCAGAAGGAGGCTCATCATTTTTATTCAAGTGTGTTATGGCTTCACCCAGGCTGTGTAACCCAGTGAGTCATCCACACCAAATCATGCACACACACATTAAAAAAAGAAAAGAAAACATACAGATGTAAAATGTTATGTAAAATGTTCATTTCACTCTGAACAATTATCATCAATCGCTTCTCTGTGAGGTGAAAAGAGAGGGGACCCATACTGGAGTGTACTGTACAGACATCAGTTTTAAAATTGTGACAGAAGACGTCGGTAAGTTCAACATGACCATCAAAACGCATGGATGCCAATGAGCTAAGATGTATTCCTCTGTAAGGATATGGTACATATTTGTTCATCAGACCTACAGAAGAACCTATTGCAAAAGATATTTTTCAAATAGAAGTTACAGAACACAGCTTTTCTACTCTATTGTATCATACAGATAGTAGTGCAATTTGTGTATCTTTGTCCCTGTCATAGAAAAGCATGGCACTTTTGACAGAGAAATGGCCAGCACATACTGCCACATGCAGTAAATGACGTCTGAAAGCCCAACATGGCTATGTTCAAAGTGCCTATAAACAAAGAACAGCTAAACACCATCAGGAAATCAATTCACGTTCATGTTGTTTGATGCCACGTGGCAGGGAACCACAAGAGAAAACAAAATGTCGCACCATCAGTCTGTTGAGGGTGTTGGTGTGTGTTGCTGTCTCTGCACCATCTGTGTTATAGAGTAACATTCAGTCAAGGACCATCAATATGACATGTGGCATGATGGCAGACAAATCTGAGTAATATGTGTGCACGTGGGTGTGGAAAAAAACGAAGCGACTCGCAGCTCATGAAAAGAAAATGAGTTCATTTGTTTGCCGCTTCCCATCAAAAATGGATAGGAAGCAGATACATGGCTGATACATTCCCCAACAAGTTTGACTGTGAAGTGAATGGAAGGCAGACGACACTGATCACCATCAGTGACAGTTATTATTGGTAGATATTCTCTCAACTCCTGTTAGTATTCAGGATTTTTAGACGACAGTTCTAGTTGATATCAACTTGGGCATCTTTTTTCTTTTTTTTTTTCTTTTTTGACCATCACTTTTTAAGATCTAAAAAACAGGGCAGCGTTACTTTAGTCATAACCACTTTCGTCAAAGATAAGTTATTATTGTATGCAGTAAGTTATCTTTGGGGCTATGGATTTGTTTTGAGAGCCACAATGAACACTGGGGTAAAAAAGAAACTGGGCTGGTGGCAGTTGCACTTTGTTTTAATGGGTTAAATCATTTTGAATTGAACACTATTTGACTTTTGCCAATTGGATGCATATTTGGTAGTCACCTGAGCTGTCAGCTGGCATGGTCTGGATAAGTTGGTGTCCTGTGGGCTGATGTTGACTCTGTTGAACTCTTATTACCTCTTGAGAGTTTCCTCAGTCCAAAATCCATTTTTTTTCTGACTGAAGACTTGAAACTTAAATTTCAATTAGTTTGAATCAATATTATCACAAGACCAATGAATTAAATATGAAATAGTTGCTCAATATGATGAACCCCACAAAAAAATTATCACTCAATTCAAGGGATGAGATTAAAAAAATGGTTCCTGATAAGAACCGGTTCCTACTAGTTGAATCCATCAACATCATTTGCCTTTCTGCTCAATGGTTCCCTTATTGGTACCTACGTTCCTTGCAAAACAATGATGTCACGTCTCGCAAGAACATTTCAGCACGAGGTAGTCAGAAATGGCCCAAAGTCTGGCTTAATTTTACTCAAATCAACACTCGTAGCTCGAAGTGTAAAGTCTGTGGCTGTATGATTTCAATTTAAAGTGGAAATACCAGCAGCATGCTTAAACATTTGTCGATTTAGCATGGCATTGAATATCAAGAGTGACATGTATTTGACGCTCTATGCATACAGAGTGCTTCTCAGCAAAGCAGTGAAGGTTGCTACATATGTCCCATGTTAACAGATTAGATTTTTGCACCCTGCGTTGATCAGGAGGGTGTATTTCCTCACATTTAATTATAAACACCAAATCGTCTGCCAATTTAGTGCTGGACCACAGGAGGAAAACCTTTGGACACAAGCTAATGAGCATACCATTAAAAGAGTTAATGGAAACTAGATTGAGCCCAAGTGGGGGAATAAACCAGACTCACATGCATCCCAGTCTCTAAAAATAAGCCTTAAAATAAGATGTTTATGCAAATTTGATAAATTTGATGCAAATGTCTCCCATTTGAGAAAAAAAACAAAAAACAGAAAAGAAGTTGTCTTGCAAGCATCTACCACAGGAGGGATTGATACATCACATCATCTTAAAATAAAGTGCAATGCCCATGTTCACCTAAAAATGGAAAATGTCAGCCAGTTTAACAGTGTGTTCATTTATGTCTTTTTAATAGTTAAGCTATAAATGATATATCTCTGGCTGTGGGATTAATTTATAGTTGTTTTTTTGTCTTTGACAAATAATCTTAAACATGGGTTAGGGGTTAGGGTTAGTAAGACTGTATCCAGTCTTGTCTTTGTTGGACCTCCAAATACGAGCTATTACATCCGAGGGTACAAGTGTCAGGTTTATTAAGTGGAGTGATGGTCAAATCAATGATACCAAAGTTGTTATAGATGGAGTGAAGGAATCACTTTTAACATGTGAGTTTGTCTTTTGAAAGGGAGTGACCCGTCTGTAGCACAGGGTTGATATGAGGCCAAAGAAAGTTAAGATCAGATCAGCAGTCAGTTTTAGCCCCTCGTGTGAAATTGAGTTTTGACAGGACATTAACCACATCTGTGCTGTTATCGGCCCCAAAGCCAGACCTCGGTTATCTCCCAACAGGTTTGCTAAAGCACAAACAGGTCCACATCCTCCATATTTAAATGTGCCCACTTCAACAGAAACATTGACTACTGTTTCTTCAAGGCACATATGCTAATGTGTAAAAATACATATGCATCTCAGCCATGAAAAGGCCTTTTTATTCCAAAGGTTGATATAAACATATTGTACAGGGTATTAAGATAAGCCGGTGTAGTTCCAATAATGGAACGAAGCTTATCTCAGATTCTATGCTTGGTTATGTTTGTTAAGTGAATAGAATTGCTGGCATTTTACCACGTGCCTAGAGAGAGTGGCTTCTGAGCATTGTCTTGGACACCAAGTTGTAGGCCAGCTGTGACAGAAAAAAAATTAACTGCACTATCAAAAGGCCTGTAATTAATAAAAGTATTCAGAATTTGTCGCATATTTTCAAGCCTCTATCGCTTACAAATAATACCTTCAATTCAAATAAACACGTAGAAGCAGCACAGGACTCCTGGAGATGATGCATCTCAAGACTGTATCTTTGAAAAAAAGTAGTTTAGAAGTTAAGATTCAATATGTTTATCCAATTTGGCCAGTTGCTTGTGTTTTTCAAAAAGGGGGGCGGATCCATTCAAAATTATGAAAAAAAAAAAGTAAAAAAAAAAAAAATTGAATTCACGTAAACCCAGCTCTGATATCTGTAAAAATGCTCTACCATGGCAAAACAACAGCTAATGTTGTGAATCACTCCTTAAGACTATTAGAGTACATTCTAAGTTATTTCAAAATGATTTTCCTCGTCATCATTAAAAAGGTCATGCACTTATCTGATTTTATCTGATCAAACGTTTGATATTACTCATATCCTTTTTCGTCCTTTGATATTTCACAGAAACTTAAAGAATCACACTGCTGTCATTAAGTTTCCCCTCTCTGTAAACTTCAAATTAAATCACACCTTCTATTTCAGCATGTTTGTATTATAATAATGCATTGATTAGGTTGTGCTTCCTTAGTGGCTCCACAGTGCAACCAGATTTAAAGAGCTAGTTTGACTCTGCATGCTTTTTTACTCACTATAAACTGTTGTGCTCTCAGCGCTGCGATAAGAAGTGAGCAGACTCAGGATCAGCTGCTGATGGCGAACATCATATATAATTACAGGAGTACGATTATGCCTGTGTTCACTATTCAAAACAAACACCAATTATGAGTTTAGCAGTTATTATTAGGATTCTGTCATTGAAAGGTTGAAATATAGTCTGAAGGTCTTAGGATGTCCGCCCAGACTTTGGAAGCTGTTTTAATAATTCTATTGAGGGCTGGTGAGTTAGCCGTCACACTCAGAGCAGAAATTTCTAACAGTATTTATGTGTATTCAAAGAAATGAGCCACATAAACATTTTGGCGAATTGTTAAGGCTTCTTTGCTTTACCACTGATCATATATTTACACGTACGGAAACAGCCAATGGAGCATCTGACTAGAACCCTAATTGCAAAATAGATGAGACACTGTGTAAGTAAATCATAAAAACATACTGTACAAATCATTCAAACTTTATATAGGATTGAAAATAGAGTGAGACAACATGTCAGATGTTGAAACTTTATGAAAAATATATGCTAATGTCAATGTGATGCCAGCAACACATAAAAAAAAAAAGGGGGACGTAGGTATCAAAACACTGCAAAAGTTTTGAAATGCAAAAAGAGAAAAATCTCTCAGATTATGAGGTTGATTTATAACAGGTCAGAATTATGACTGAATTTACAAATATCATCCAGGGTAGGCTGAGTCTCTCAGAAATAAAGATAGAAAAAGTTTCACAACTCTGTCAGAGTCCATATTGTATAAAAGAGGATTAGTGCCACAAGAAGAGAAAAAAATTATTACAAGGAGGAGATTTTTTAAATTTTCATTTCGATATTAAAGTCGAAATTTAAAAGTCAAAATTTCGACTTTATTCATGTCAACTTCAATCTCAGAATTTCGACTTTGATGTCAAAATTTTACAGTTTTTAATATTGAATTTCAACACTATTGATGACATTTCGACACTGAGTAATCTCGAAATTTTGATTTCAGAATAATTTTTCCTTAATGTAAAACTGAAAAGACTTTTGGTGATTACATCATTAACAGTACAAAACATCACTGAAACGTTAACAAGATCTGAGGAAATTTCTGTACGTAAGAAGAAGGGCAGATGATCAACAGTGCATGGCTGTAATCTTCAGGTGTTCAGGGGGCAATGCATTCAAAACAGACAGGACTCTGAAGTGGAAATCACTGTGTAAACTCGATCCCTGGATGTTAAACTGGTCTGCCTTTATGAAAACATAACAAATCATGACACAAATTAACACAAATTAATAAAAGAAATGCCAAAATGTTTGGCAGCTGAGATTCCATACAGGGCAAAAATCTGACAGTGGTTCACTTACAGCAAAATGCCATTGACCCAACTTTTTTGAAACGTGTTGCAGACATCAAATTTAAAATGGGTGTAAACCGTTTTAGAAAATAAAATAAAATAAAAATCCATCTGAACATTTGACATGTTGTCTTTTCAGTATTAAATATAGGGTTAAAATTATTTGCAAACCACCAAAACATGTTTTTATCAACATCTTACACAGCATCCCAAGTGTTTTTTCAGTGGCTTGTACTTCCTTCCTTCCTTTACTTCACATCATAAAACTATTAGCTGTTGTCTTGCAATAAATGTAGGGTTTTCTTACACACTGTTTTAGCTTGAAGCATTATCCAATTTTACTTTGATTTGTGACCATCCGGCCTTCTTTCAGTTCTGGTCAATTGTTAATCAGATTATCCTACTGTTCATGATTTGCAAGTCAGAAGGGAAAAAAAGCTGCAGTGAAGGAGGTGCAATATTTTTTTCAAGACCCTATCCTTACTTTGCATGTCAACCGGACAAAAATATGAAATGGATCAATAATAAAACTCTTGAATCGGCATAAGTAGTATATTGGGAAGGATGGATTTCCCTTTAGGTTAATTTGTACTTTCAAAATGCAAAAGTAAAGTAAAGCTTTTATGACCAGATCTGACACCGGGTAAGGGTGAAATGTCAATAACAGCAGCATGACTCTTCAAATCAAAGACAAACATACAGGCGTCCGTCATACAGCTCCTCTATAAAAGAGTAAAGAATGGCACAAACCATGGCACACTCATTAAATGACATCTAATGCACATGCTAATATTGGCAACAATATTTTGGCTTAATGCGTAGTGAAACCATTGTTATATATGATTGCTTATAGAAAACAATACCTGATGCTTTAAGTCATTTCAAAATCTCTGTCTGCAGTGAGGCAATGGAGAAGTACATAACGGCAAAATTTTCTTCAAGTTAAGGTGAAACAAGCAAACTCCCTTTTGAAAAATAGCATTTCCCCAAGTGTGCATCATTTGGTATGAAACCAAAGTTAATATATCAATATCTATATATCTGTAAATCTGAAAGAAGGAAGGTCTCAAAAGTTCATGTAAATGGAGCAAATCTTTTGAAAAAATAGACATCCATGCTTCATGCTTTGCATCCCATTAAGTCCACGCTCGCTGTTATGTGTAGTGTCCGCCTCACCTGTCCCCAAGGATACTTTCATTTTACATCCAACCGAAAAAGAAAAAAGTGCTAAAATAAGATTTGGTAAGGAGCAGCATTGCAAATGTTTGACCTTGTCTATAAAACATGGAAACGCATTTATCCTGTAATTTGGGATTTTAGATGGATTTCCTTCTCCTCATGAGCTGGTGATTGTCTGAGAAGCTGTGAAGACCCGGAGACACCGAGCTGATAGGCGAAGGAAAGAGACTGTTTTTCAAGGTGCTGGGCGAAATCTCCTCAATTCTGTAGGAAACCGAGTGAAAGTACTGATTTGGATTCAGCTGTGAGCTGAATGAGTTCTGATGGGAAAATGCACATCCAAGGCCTCCCATCCCTCCTCCAGAGCTGCCGAAGTCATGCGAATGGTAGTGCATACATGAGCAGACTGACTGCAAATCAGTCATTTCTGCCCGGTACGGTTCACGCCGCCGCCTGCCCCTCGGCAACGATTCGTCCTGGATGTGGATGATCATGCTGTTTCGGTTGCCGGCTAGCGAGGCTCGTTCTTCCGCATCCCGCCGTTCGTCCTCACTGTTCATAGTCAGGAAGCGGAGCACCACCAGGTTTAAGAAGGCCCCGATGACTGTCAGGCCCACCAGAATATACATGAAGCTAAAGGCAACATACAGCGGCTTCTTCTGGAGGGCACGGTTTTTTTGAAGGGCCACAAAGTCCCCAAAGCCTATAGTTGTTAATGTGATGAAGCAGTAATAATATGACTGAAAGAAGCTCCAGTCCTCGTAATGGGAGAAGGCAGCAGCCCCGATGCACAATGTGCCAACGCAGGAGAAAAATCCTACAGTCACCATGTTCTCCATGGACACCTCAGTGATGCTCATGCCGCAGCACTTCTTTATCCGCTTCAGGAGGTACTTGACAAAAGTGTTCATCCTTTCGCCCAGACTTTGGAACATGACAAGAGTCAGAGGGATTCCCAGGACGGCATAAAACATGCAAAAGGCTTTCCCTGCGTCTGTCCCCGGTGCTGCATGCCCATAGCCTGGGAAAAGAGAAGACAGACAGCAGGAGTTAGTGACGGGGACATATTCCACACTATAGAGCGTCTGTAAGGTCATGAACACTACCAACCTCTGAAAAAGTCCCAGATTAACTGTTGTTTACAAACATGACAAAGCAAGAAATCTCTCTGAGAGTCTGTGAGCACTGCCAGAAGAGGTATTGAATAGGTGCATGTTCAGAAATGTGCCTGCTCATTAATCTTATTTGGGCTCAAAGATTATGGCAAATGGGGCGTCCAATTAGTCCAAAGTTTCCGGAGTTTGGAGGAGGGATTGAAAAGAAGTCATGGGGGAGCCAGTAAGGCTTTTAGCTAAATTAAACTTTATCTTTAGGCCACAAACTGCTGACTCACACACAAACAGACTGCTCAGATTCAACCCATGTGTTTAACAATAGGGTTTATACACTGAATGAGTTCTAATTTTTAAATGCATTATAAATCATTTTATGCGCTTTACAGGATACTCGGATACTTCAGAGATTACAGTATGAATGAAGACGACTGCTTTTAAATATACAGAGCTGAAAACAGTGTCATATTGATTATCTTTCCTCTAGCACAGACCATAACTGTGAGCATTAAACACCAAAACTGTAGCCAAGAAACACCCACCATCAGTTGGCATGTGTATCACTTCAACAGCCGCCTCCAGAAGGAGACATAATATTTTTGGTGCAGTGTGGAGCATTTTTTAAAACTTATTTATTTATCTATTTTAGATATGTCCTGAGCAAGTTCTGTGTTTTGATCTCTCAAATATTGATTCTGTCTTTTCCCATATGGTTGTCTACCCACTCATGCATGTGTTTAGTCATGCACTTACAAAAAAATAAAATAAATCCCTCAGCTTTAGCTATCTGATTTGCAACCAGAGTGCTTAGAGTACAATATGTCTCATTGGCTTTGGATTTAAAATAAACACTTTGTACTTGTGCTGTAAGAAGCAGTGTGGTGTCAAAGGCTTTTGATTGACTCTGGAATAAAGTCGTTTCATCCTAAAACTTGAACCTTTATTTCACCAAAGTGAGCTCAATGGTAGGTTTGTGTCACGACTCCATGTAAATGTTAATGATGTATTCTTAGCATGTTTCAATCATAGACTGTATATACTATGGACAACTTGGTTTCGCCTTCCGCCAGTATACAGATTTGAAGCCAAAAATCTCTCTGTATTTCCAGGTTTTTTTTTCCATTTCCTGAAACCAACATTGTGCAGTAGCATTGTACGCATGCGGCAGGAGAGTCACCGTGATGACGCTCTGCTCAAACACTGTATCTCCCCAAGTGAGCTACGCAATCTTCGTACACCTATAGGCTGTATCAAGTGTCAATCATAGAAAACATGAACCCCCTAATAACTTTTAAAAACGGAGCTGTAGAGAAATAAAGAGGACTTGAGCACAAACCAGTCTTACAATAACTACATTTCAACATCCCGACGGGGGGGGGGGGGGGGGGGGTATTTTCTGTGTAATAAATTTCTCAAGTTTGTCCATAGCTTCAAAGGGATGGCTGGAGAAGGCGGGACTTATGACCTATATTGCAGCCCGTCACCAGAGGGTGCTGTTCTCGCGGTGGCTTCACCCAGCAAGGAGGCAGATGGCGTCCATTCTATATACAGTCTATGGTTTCAATACTTAAGGTGTTGTAAAATGGTTTGATTGCTGAGAGACAAAAAGTGCAACTGTATTTACTACCTGTGTTTAATGCTTGATTCTGATTGGTCAAAACCTCATAACAACAGTAATACATACTGGCCAGCAAGAGAGGAGATGTCAGGAACAAGCTGACACATTACACACATCATATCAAATCTATCCATGAAAAGTTTTACAACACATTTACATAGTTCACGATTTCCACTTTGTCGTCAACACATCATTTGGTGACAGCATCAGCACACACCATAAAAGGTCATTTTTATACAACTGTCAGTTTCTTTAAAGGGTACAGACTATAGATTGGTGGTTAAACATTTACCAACAGAGAGGAAAACAGAAATTATTAGGACTGTAAAAGGGAACAACCAAATTAAGGAAAACAGACACTAATAACCACAAAACACATTATAGTTTAGGTTCCTGCAGTGTTTGGAGGACTAGTTGGGAACAAAATCAGTGGATCTTTATTTAAGCTTCACAAATTAACTGTTTGTAAATCAATAAAATACTCAGTATCAACTTGTTTGTATTCTTAGTTGTTAGCCACATAATTAGCAAGACATGTCGCAGGTTTATTTCTATTTCATAACCACGTCATGTAAGAACGGGACACATCAGAAGATATAAAATTGAACGTGACAGGTAAGCAAACCAAATATGATACAAATACGTTACTATTGATTAGCTTTACCATGAAAAAAGAGAGTTCATGAAAAATACTTTCGGGTTGTTTCCACATAAAATTTGTTCTAAATTGTACAAGCTACGAAAAAGACAAAAAAATTCTATGTATGGCTTCAGAAAATTAATACTTATAAAAGCAAACATCAGGTGCAAAATATAGCAAAACCTGCTGATGGCAATCCTGATCACATAAACACAGATTTGTATTCTACCAGCCATCAGTTTTCCTCCCTCCTTTGTTCAAGACAAGCAGATTAATTGATATTGATTCTTATTGCTGAAATTTGTTCTTGCACAGTAATTAGGACATAATGAATTACACTGGCAGCTGTGAAGAAATTACAACTTTGATTGGATTTGCACTATGATATAACCATGCAGACAGATGAGCACAAATCTGCCCCATGGATAGGCCACCTCCTCCAAATTATGTTTTGCATTTTAAGACATAATACTGATGTCATGTGAGGTCTCTGTACAACATTGACTCTCATCAGCCCCCCCTGCTGGAATCAGATCTCAGTGTTACTGCCAACTGCAGGGTCACCACTTTTCTTTATGTCATGTAGTTTATTCCCCTGTTTTTAAATTACAAATAAAATGTGTCTTAATATATTCTACAGCTTGCCATCAAAACTAAATATTCCTACTTTTTCACTGAAAGTTGACAATGTTCTTAAACCCCCAAAAAATATATTGCCAAAAAGTTGAACACAACAGCAATTGCTATTGGACTGCACCAAAATGAGAGCTGGCAGGTCAATAACAACACAAGCAAATTCCCCTCAGATAACGTTGTATCTTTAAAGAAATTGAATATTTTCTGTCCTGCTGCTTGGACACAAATAAAGTAATCACGAGTAACTGTAAGATAAATACACCAATTCATAAGGAAGGGATTACTGGAACAGTGAAATAATCAAGTTAGAAAAGGTAGCTTTCTGCCTACAAAAATACGAAGAAGCATTGGCACAGCAGGTGAATTACTTGATATCAGTAAAATTCTGTGTAATGCGGAGAACAATGTGTCATCTACTACCCAGCCAAAATGTGAAAATGCCATATCAGGTCACAAAACCATGCTGTCTCTGCTCTAGTACGCTGGGGGGCATGTTGGCGGAGTGCACGAAAGCCGTGCCCACCAGTTGCTCTCGAATATGAATCATCTCCACAGTGCAGCTGGACAGATCAATGATAGACTAATCGACTGCAGACAATCACAAAGGAGTTGTGCTTTAATATTCATTGGTAATGTGTATCATCATTTCCATGTCTGCATAATCATGTCCTGTCAGATTGACTTGACTACAATACAGAAGAATAAACTGACTTCAACACATCACAGTTTTTTCCTGTTGGCTACTTGTTGAGCTTGGATGGCACTCTAGGCACGTTGCCTAGCGACATAGCATGGACCTGTTGAGGTGTGGGTGTGAGAGGTAGTGGATGGTTGTCAATCATTGAGTTAGCCAGCCACACTGTCGGAGCACAGAAATGGCTGATGATGCTTTAATTGTGAAAATAAAATGTAAAAATGTAAAAATAAAAATGTACTTACATAGTAAACATACATATAAATGTACATAATTTTTAATTTTTCCATCCATCCTACAGACCTGTATCTGGTTTACTACTTTCTTTTGTTTTGGTTTATATTGACTACCGAGGAAGTGTCTCAGTCTCAGTCCGCATGTGTTTATATGTTGTAATGCTGAAACTGAAGAGGTAGATCTTGGCAGACTGATGACTTTTAAAGTAGATCTTGGGCTAAATGGGTCAAACCACACACTACTAAATGTATCGGGTCAAAAGGAACTACACTTACAAAAATGTATAGTTGTGTCATTATTGCTTTTATCTTTTAACACTCACCACTATTAAGATTTTGCATGTGCCCCGTCCAAAAAAATTTGAATTTTAAAATGACGTGTTAAAACTTAAACATTCATTACTCTATTGATCTCATACTTTTCACATTTTCAAGATCAGTTTTCTGACATTTACAATATAAATAGAAACAAGTCCCATAATTTTCAAAAAGTAACACCATAATTATCCTTTATACACCTTTTTACATTCATGATTCTGTAAAATTTCTGTAACTGGACTCCTAAAGGCCTTTTTGTCTCAAAGGCATAAAATTTACTTCCAAGAGAAATACATTAGTTTGAAAGTTCTGCATGACATTTCTTATCATGTCAACAAATATATAGATATCCATTTAAATCCAAGACGGTCAATCATGAAAAGATTCAAGACCGTTTGACTATAAGTTCAAGAGAGCTTTTAGTTTGTATTTCCCTCTTGGGACTCTTGTTTCCTCGGAGTAAATATCTGCTGCACAGAGTCATTTCTGTGGTCTGTTATGTAATAGAAAACAAAGTGATCCTTCAGATGTAAACAGGTGCAAAAAGGGGAATGGAGTTATTCATCTTTTCAAAGCCATTCTCCTGAAGTATTTCTCTGATATTGTTGATGGGATGTGAGATTTTCTGTGGCAGTGCTGAACTGTGTAATCTGTTTGTCCTCTTTTAATGACTCTATTATCTGCTGTTGTCTTGGGAACAGACATATTTGCTGAGCCACGCAGAGCCCTGCAAAGCACAGGTGCATTTGTGCTTATGTGTGCACAGGTGAAGGCTTGTGTTCAGAGCAGTGCCTGGAGCGCTGGAGAGAGGATAACAGTCCTAAATAATAAAAGCACAGACAGGTCACTCAACTATTACATAATCAGTCAGAAAATGAAGGAGTCATCTTTGTCGATACGATGCAGTCATTCTGAAGAGAGTGAACAAGAAGAACTGACATACATTTTAATCTATACTCACATCTCTAGCACCCTTTTTTTTTTTTACTATATTATTAATGATTTGTAAATAAGTTGAAATACAAAGAGAAAAGAAACAACCACAAACTTTAAAAAATAATATAAGTAAAAAACAAACAGCTTTATGAGATTAATGATTCAGATTGGTATCAATTTTAGGTAACACTTTACTTGACGCCTATTTCTATAACGCATTATAAATGTATGTACAATGCGTTATAATCACTTTATAGTTATAAACACTCATAAATGATCATAATGCTTTATAGCTATATGAGCACCTAAATGACAGCAAAACTGAGTGTATTTTATTTGGCACGCCATCGATATCAAACGTTTCGATTACAGACTCTGGAAATCTGGCGCCTTTTTTCAAGCCACATGTAAAGAATCTTGGGGTAACATTTGACAGTGGACTTAAGTTCGATAAACAGATTAGATCTGTCGTCAGTACCAGCTTTTTTCAACTGCGTCTCCTGGCCAAAGTGAAGTCCTTTTTAAGTCGGCAGGACCTCGAGAAGGCAATCCATGCCTTCATCAGTTCCAGGCTGGACTATTGTAATGCCCTTTATGTTGGCCTCAGCCAGTCTTTAATCTCCCGTCTCCAGCTTGTACAGAACGCTGCTGCACGATTTTTAACGGGCACGTCTAGGCGTGAACACATCACCCCTGTGCTGTCTTCGCTACACTGGCTTCCAGTTTGTTTTAGAATTGACTTTAAACTTTTATTATTTACTTTTTATGCCATAAATGGCCTGGCCCCCTCCTACCTGTCAGAGATTTTAACTGTTCGCGATCATGGCAGGGCCCTCCGTTCCTCCGGTCAGCGCCTGTTGGAGGTCCCGAGGTCAAAACTCAAACAGTGGGGTGATCGTTCTTTTGCTGTTGCAGCTCCTAGGCTGTGGAACAGACTGCCGCTAGATGTACGCACCACCACTGACCTCAGTTTATTTAAATCAAAGTTAAAGACGCACCTTTTTAGACTTGCTTTTAACTCTGACTAGGTAGTCCCGTACTTATAGGTTTTTTAGCACTTCTACATACTATTTTATTGTATTATTTTATTTTCATATTCATTTTTATTATTTCATCGTTCTTGTATTATTCTATTCTATTGTATTATTTTATAATGGTATTTTTTCTTGTGTTATTTTATTGCTTTTATGTAAAGCACTTTGGGTACCATTTGGGATATTGTAAAGTGCTATATAAATAAAATTTGATTGATTGATTGATTGATAGCAATAATTATAGCACATTATAGAGCATTTTATCATGACTTACAAGGTCAGGTATTATAATGTGTTATAACTGTTAACAACATACTGACAATGCCCACATAGATAATGCAATGCGACTGTTGTTAACAGTTATAACATATTATAATACCTGACCTAGTAAGTGATTGTTAATGAGTGTTTATAACTATAGTCATACAGTGCTATAACATGATTTTAACGCATTACACATATATTTATAATGCATTATAGAGATAGGCGTCATTTACTCAACTGTACAGTCTGTGCTGCCTTGAAGACCTGTTGATCTCCCCAGTCTCTTGCAGGGTGTCCCAAAGGTGTGACCTCTCTCTTGGGGATTTCAAGACCCAGAAGACATTTCTGCAGGATTGGGCCTCAGAGAAGCACATCCTTTACGTTAGCATTCCACTCCTAAACCTTGTTCACTCATTTCTCCACTTAAACCATCTCTCTGTGTTTTTCAGTTCTGCTCTGATCCCACTCAGATTCTGGTGAATGTCTTCCTTAAAGTTCCTGAACTCTGAACTCTTTCTTCATTTCTCGTTCGATCGTCTTGCAAAATCCACTCAGAACTCCTTCACGTCTGTGTGTCCTGCCTTTGTTACACACAGAGGTTTCAGTGTATCGACCACTACATTAACTTTTTCTCACTATGTCCTCATTTTCTCAGGCTGTTATGACCAGCTGTGTTCTCAGACTTACTCAGTTGACAGTTCTCCAGAGGTCAGAGGTCAATTAGCTCTTTGATTACAGCATTAGCCTCCTTGCCTCTTAAACTTTGCCCTCTATGTACAAACATTAAACATGATGTGTTACAAAAATGACAAACTAAGTACAAGCTCGAACTAGACTTTTAACTTACATACACAAGACAGAAGTGCATTATTGAAAAAAATGAGCCGTGCAGTGGGGTAAAGAGTGATTGACAATAATAAATACATGCCAACACAGACAGTGTGATTGTAACAGAGAAGAGCTCCACAATCCACTGGTTGAGATTTAAATGATCTGATGGGGTATTGTCCGTAAAAGTGATTTGGTGACTTAAAATATTTGTAATAACTGCAGATAAAACAATTTACAACAGTTACAGCAAATCTGTCAAAGCCTGGCAATCAAAACGTGTAAAAGGAAAAAAAAGGCATGCCATCTGCTGAGACGTAAACAGTAAAATAAGGTTAAAGAATCATTTTCCTTGTATCTCAAAGTGAGCAGCAGAAATCATCACTGCAGTTCAGTTCAGTGCAGAAAGGTCTGACAGAGTTTTCGATTTGAACAGGTTTTTCTGTATCACTGCACATCTGTTGAGTCAGTCTTTGAAATGTTTGAACAAACCGGAGTGGGATGTGTGATATCACATCGACACAAGGTGCCTCCTGAAAATATTTTTAGTGTCATCTGGAGTAGGAAGAGGAATAAATTTTGGCTTGATACCCTTTCACTGCACAATCTTTTTTTTTTTTTTTTTTTTTACAAAACCTGCAAAAAGCAAAGAAAAATATTGAGCCATTTTAGCAGCTGCAGGATGTTTTCATGAACAAGCTGATCAGAGTTTCTATGAAAACGATGCTCAACATCTGATGGGAGAGGTTGAGAGGTGGCAAAGGACTCCACTGAGAGAACTTGAATAGATTATCCTTATTCAGTTATGTCATCTGTCCATTGGTTCTATATTAGGTTACTCTGATACATTAAAAACTCTGATTTGCATATTTTTACCAGCTCTTATCACCATCAAGAGCTTTACCCTCTTTTAACACAGCAGCACGCTCTGCCGCGCCTTCTCCCGTTTCTCTTTTCTGTGTTTAACCCTTTTATAATATTCAATATCAGCATCAACTTGCTGTTCTTAATTTGAAATAGTGTGGCACTTTTATTTTATTTCTTTTACCTTGTATTAAAGCAGGAGAAAAACATAAGAAGGTTATATTAGAGAAGGGATTTATGGCTCTTTGAAGGGAGTCGGATCTTGAGGAGTCGTTCCTTTTCAAAGAGCTGTTCAAAAGACTGGCTCACTGTTATATTTATTTATTTTTTAGAAGTCAACCAGGGCTACACGTGGGTGGGAATTATTTTAAAATTTTGATTAAAATTTCATTTGGATTGTGTTTTCATTGTAAACAATACATAAGGTGATGCCATAACCCAATGCTTTAACAATGAGATCACTATTTTGAATTTTTCCATCACCTTAAAAAACTAAAAAACTTTGTAGCGCAGTAAAAACTAAGCAGAACACAGATGACTGATAACTACCTGGGGTTTGGAGCACACAGATGACATGGGAAGGCTGCATGGGCAACTTGCATTTGAAAATGGCTTGCAAACAAACGACTCATCAGTGTGAAAGAGTTCTCATCGTTCACTTAAAAGAGACGTTTAAATAACTGACTCGTTCGTGAATGTCACATCTCTAGTTGACATTATATATGACACCTTTACAAAAGAGGATTAGGGCCACAAGAAGAGAAAAAAAATTACTGGAGGGAATTTTTTTTTATTTCCATTTTGAGATTCAAGTCGAAATTCAAAAGAGTCGAAATGTCAACTGTATTCATGTCGACTTTAATCTCAAAATTTTGACTTTAATCTCGAAATTTCAACTTTTAATCTTGAAATTTTGAATTTAATCTCCTCCTGTAATTCATTTTTTCTCTTCATGTGGCCCTAATCCTCTTTCGTAGACTTCATACCTCAATCAGGAGGGTTGCTTTAAAGGAAGTCTCTTTCTCTCTCTCTCTTTCTCTCTGATCACCTGCAGAGCATGCGTCAGATTCTGCAGGTGATTAGACAGGGGCAGAAAGTGAAAAGAGATCATCCTAATATAGAAATGAATATGAATAGGTATAACGTGCTGCATGTTCACTGTCTCAATTCTGACATGCCATTATCTTCACATTAACCTCAAGCACATCATGCAGCAGGAGGTATGAGAACATCATTGGTATGGCAGGAATGTCTTTTTTTTTCCAAATCAAGACAAAGCTGAACTACAATTGAACATGACGATGCCATTGAAAAGACAGAATTCAACCAAAGGACAACATGAAAATGTGCCAAATATCACAGCAATCAACACAATGATAGTTAAAAACAAGAACTGTTTATCTCAAGCATCAAGTGCTATAATGCCAATATAAAGTGCCAACTTCAAGGACTGAATAATTAAATTGCATGCAGGAATTTAATTTAAAAGCCTTTGATACAAATCTTATTCAATTGTAAAGCTCCCTTTGTTGCATAACAAACAGTATGATTTTTTTAATTATAATTATAATTTATTTTTTCAGGAGATAGATTCAAGTATGAAAGCAATAATTAGCATGTATTACTGTCTATACAGAGCACACCTGGCTTGTTGGCTTATCTAGTGTACCTTATATCTGTCGGCCTCCGCATGGGAGGAGGGATTGTTTCTTCCTGCATAAAAGGCTTGAAGTAATGAAAAAAATATCTTGTTTCTGTTGTCCACCCTCCTCTCACAATTCTTTACTGACAGTTAACATTCAGCATCTGCATTAAACTATAGCTTTTGAAATTCAGTGACTGTTAACCTCGTGGTCCTTTTTAGCTCCACCCTCTTGTCCAAAGGAACACGCTTTAAAAAAGGGGTAAACAAATGTGAATTCAAAGTTAAATCTCTGAAACTGTTTGAAAATTCAGGAGCACATTCTTGTTCCCCAAGGGTTTAAACATCTTTGCACAATCCTTTTTTACTATTTTTATAAATCTTCCTAAAATTTGGGCACTGCAGGCGGTCTACATGTGCACCTCAAATACGGAGGTTATGCATAGATTCGCTTCCAGGCTGTAACTCCTTTACTGCATATCACTCCCTGCTGTCTTACCCTGTTTTCCACTCTGTCCTCTGTCTTGTCTTCTCCAAATAAAGGCAAAAACCCGCAAAATAAATAGCAAAAGGGTCCTTAAAACAAAAGTGTTAACCTGAGGGTGTAAAAAAAAACAGAACTAAAATAATTTTTTATCGCCATGTTAACATATATCACAACTTTGCAACCAGCTGATGCAAAAGTGGGACTATTTTTTACCCACTGTTACAAAATTCAATCCACAGTCATATCCTAAGTGCCTCTTATATTTACTCATTATTAATAAGCAAGGCAGCTTTCATCATAAACTGCATGACTCAACTTTTGTTTGGCTCCGATCCACTTTACTATGACTTATTTTGGATGTCTGCTCACACCCACAATGTGAGCTCCATAGGTCTGTGAGAGTGACAGTGAGTCACTGTTGCTCAAATACTAAAATTAACGCAGCATGCTGCCTCAATCCAATCATTATATCACTCTATTATGATAAATTAAATACATCTTACCTTTGATAGTATAAAGGGGAACAGTCTCATCAGGGCTGAATGAATAAACAAACAGTCAAGACCCTGAAAGAGCAGTTCAGACACTTGGATCAAACAGCCTCTCATCTGCGATCCTATGACTCAGCCTGCTTCTGCAAGCAATTTAGCTCTATATCACAGTCTCTGTGTTTCATAACTATTATTGAGAAATAAGATAAAATAAAGGTTATATTCTCACAAACATCCTTCATGTCATTGATTTTAAGAACCCATTCATCGATTATCTGAACCACTTCCCTGTTAAGGGTGTTGGAGGGTTGGCTGGGGGGTTGGAGCTTTTCTCAGCTGCTATTGGACGAGACACAAAGTACACCCTGAACGACTACGAGTCTACAAAGATACCTGTCATGAAAATAATCAAAACAGCAGAAGGACATTCATGTGTCTATGTAGGACATACAGTAGTTACTTAATTTAGGCATAACTTCTTTAGTTGACATGTTAAAACTTTATGTCAAGGATTACAACTTAAACAAAGATAACGATAGACCTTAAACCTCACTTTCAGAAAGTCCAATCAAAAACTGCAAAACCAAAACTATGAAAGGCTGAGGAGGCAAAGAGATACAAAGGCAACAAAAGGAGGAAGACTGGAAGGACCATGCATAAACATTGACACAGACATAGACAATAAACTAACAGAAGGGAAAGACAGAGACAATACACTCTCAAGGATATGAGCAATAGGTGAGAATGACAAGACACGGGTAGAACTGATGTCTACACAAAAGGGAGAGGAAACAAAGGACAGAACACACAAAACAATTCAAATGAGCTTTAAAGGTGTGAAAGTCAGAACAACCTCAGCAAACCATAAACAAAATTACTCTTTCATCAATAATCAATAATCAATGATTACATGATGAAATATATATTTGATTGTAGGGGTGGGAGAAAAAATTGATTCACATAAGTATCACGATTTCTTGTTTAACAATTTTTAAATAGATTTTATGTAAAAAAAAAAATAAAAAAAAAACTTTTTTTTTTCATCAAATTTCAGAATAAATCTAAAAAACTGACTTACATGTGATGTGTATTTTGGGGGGAAATGTGGTTCCTGGAATAGTCAGTAGATCATCATAATTAATCTACTGTTTTACTAAAAATACAGACTAAAGATCGAGAAAACCAACACTATCGTAGAATCGCAATTTAAATCAAATCGGCAACCAAAAAATCATAAAAGATTTGAATTGGGAGAAAACCATATCGCCCCACCCCTATTTGATTGATAACATTAATACATTTGAATGAAATGCTGTGAATGAATCAAATACAATCAAATGTGTGTGTGCGTGCGTGCGTGCGTGCGTGCGTGCGTGCGTGCGTGCGTGCGTGCGTGCGTGAGGCCCTCAGGTTGTGGCAGACAGAGATATACTGAGCTGCTAAGTGAGCTGTTGGTCCTTCACCCTGGAGGACTGACACCTCCTCCTCAGGTGGTTGAAAATCTTTATGATGAAATTCCTGCTATTTGCATCTTTTTCATCTGATGAAAAACATTATATTTTTTAACATAGAGTAACATATTACATATCTCCTTTTGTCTTCCTTGGTTAAACAATGAGTATCATCCATTAATTATAACTGCATCAAGGTAGTCCCTCATTAGCACCCACATACAGCCTGGTAGTTACTCTACAAGTGTCCACCAGTTGCTCAAACCACCATCTTTATCTTGTTTGATCCACAGGTTAATCCACCCCGTTCTATTTCAGGTGCCCCTATAGTATTAATTGCTCCCAGCCATAGCATTTTAATGAAGGTCAAGAAGAGCACGGAGCACAGAGGCGAGATCACCTTGTTCAGCTCTCAGCCTCAGTCTTCACCACATCGCTGACAGGAGCTTTATGTGTCTTGGAAGTGGGAACACCATGGTTACCTTCTGCAGATAGGGAGTCGTTCGCTATAACTGCTTTGTGAAACACTCAAAGTCCTCCTTCAATTCCACTTCGCTATGGTAGCATAATGGGAAAGGTCTATCAGCTTTAAGTAATCTCAGGTCTGTTCAGGGGGAAAACGCCAAACATGAAATTTATTGTGGATAAAGAGGCATTTCGAGCAATTTCAGACAAAGATGCCCGCCAGCCACTTAGAAAGATCGCATTTACATTGTAAGTGCTTTCTTACAATGCTGTTATCTGGTGATATACAAAAAAGCAAGGCATTGGAAAAACAGATCACAATCATCCTTAGACTTTAGTTTAAAAATGCAGACCCGTTTCTGCTGCTTTCAGTGACCAACTTATATAATGAAAAAATGACTCAAACAGTAACTTTTCTATTTTTTGTGAGCTGTGGGATGTTCCAGAGAAAAAAAGAAATCTCCAGCTCAGAAAGCAGCTCCTCTAATGCTGCCGGTTTGGTTGCAAAAAGGAGAAGTATTCTTGAGCGTTACTTCAAGAGGGGTGGCACCCACAGAACAGAAAGTCAAATTTAATCAATAGAAAGAGAATAAAAGATGGAGAAAGTAGATTTTCATCCCCACCTGTTCTCACCCTTAGTTTTAGCTTGGGGCAAAAAGAAAGCTGTATGAGTGTGCGGGAGAAGATGTTGCTTTACTAATGGGGACGAGCTGCTGACTCCAAAAAAAAAAAAAGACTGAATGCCTCTTTAAGTCAGATCTTCCTTCACACAAGCGGTCAGACACATCATAGATTGTGCAGGTGGTCAAATAGGCTTTACGGGGATAGATACTACATACTAGACATACTACCATTTCATCAACCAAGACAGTAAAAGTTTGAGTCAAATTTTTTGAACATACGATTTGTGTTTTGCAACATCTTTAGAAAGCTGAAACCAAGGCTGTATGACATCAGAAAAAAAATGGGGGAAAATAAGAATTTGTACTGGAAAGATCATGTAATTTGAGGCACATAACTACAATTAACATTCAACAGTTATACTTCAATTAAAGCTCCATTTACACAGGATTAGTATCATCCAAGGACCTCTTGTATTTTTTTTAATTATTGCAGAGGATATCTGTGTTTTTAATCCTGTGTGAACGGACCATGTCTGCAATCTCTCACCTACCATTTTAGAAACATGCAGAGGTCCACAGACAATATTAATCCAGTCCATATCAACATCTCAGTAATTTGGGATGTTGTTTTCTATCTTCAGCTTTTCCTGCCCATCCTCATCTAAAAAGATGAACCACTCAGGCACTATGGAGACCCATTTTTGCAGAGAGGCCAAACTAAAAGATGCAGATGTTGAAGAGTGATGAGATGGATGACATGCTTTGCTTAAGGAGCATTTTTTATCTTTCCAATAAGGGTAATTGCCTAATAATGTTTAAATACTATGCACATACAAAGGCAATATCGCATGCAAAAAGAAAGGCGGTGCACCATGTTGCCTTTTTGTGTAGAATAAGAAGAGTGTATTACTTTATTTATTGCTTGACAACCACTAAAGTAAATATGAAGAAACATTTACATCAATATCTTAGCAGACAGCTGATTACTGAACCACCCAAAACCAACAGTGGCGCTGCATCTTTGTTCCCTAATGGCACGGAATAACTTAGGGATCTGACTATAGAGTAATGAGATCAGTGCTTGAGTTTTCTTGATACAGGGCCAGTGCAATGCATATAACTTACACTGTTTGTTTTGTCATTTTAATGCCAGCTTTCAATGTATTTTGTGGCTTGTGTTTTGAGTTGTGAATCGGATTGGATGCTGTACACCAAGTCTCTATTTTCCCAGAAGACTGGTCTTTTCAAGCTTGCAAAGGGGTAGCAGAGGAAGCAGCGAGAGAAGGCAGGCTGATAGAGTTAAAATAAAGTGCCCATTTTGATGGATGGGGATCAGCAGAGCTGCCAAATGATATGGGCTGACTTTAAGGTCATGTACTGTAAAGGGCTGAGATTGACTACTGTGACCTGTTTGAACTGTGCTCAGTACCACCTGAGGTCCCTAGGTAAGACTAATATACCTGTCCTACTTCTGCCACTTTTTTCAGCCTTTGGTTAAAATCTTCAACACAAGGACAGAAAAATAAAGAGAAAACATCAGCTTTAAAAAAATGTGAAAATAGGAAGACAACAGAACAACAACCATTAACTTGACAAATCAACTTCTGGGTCACAGTCTTGTTACTTTCAAAGTTTATCTTTCTTTCACATTATAAACCCTGTGAGAGCAACTACAGTACTTAAACAAATAACTCACCATCTTGTTGTGCCTGTGGAAGTGCAAAATATCTGGGCTGCTAACAACATTACACGATGTTTGCACTGGTGGTGTGGCAACTGTTGGAGACAATCCCTTTTATATCTACTTTGTGAACTTAGATATATAAGGCCACAGTGTCACATTAGAAAAGTGGCTTTGCTTCACCAAAAGTTTGTCCCCATCATTTGTCCAACCTTTGCAGCTGCAGTTATTTATATATTCGTTTTGTGATAAGCTAATTGAAAGAGGAAGCTATAAGCGATCACACACGTGTACAATGAATGCTAACAAGCTAACAACTACCAGGCTAAAAAGTGAGAGACATCATTCAGAAATATAATCAAATACAAGCCTGAGTCATGGAGCTTTAACAGCACCGTGCCCAGGTTTTAGAGTCAACTCCAGGTTCAACAAACAGCTGCTTATGTACTACAGGGCCAAGGTTTTCCCCACTTTTTACTACACAAAATTATTAAATAGATACAATTCTAATCACTGTGGCAAAAAATCAAATGTCAATTCTGCCTAAAATATCATTTTTTTTTTTTCATTTTTGCTTGTGAAGCTTCCCCTCAAGCTTCACAAGCAAGGTTAGGTTGGAGACGATTCTTTACCAATCCTGTATTTTAGATCAGACGTTTTTATCTGTATATTTTCTGTCCAGAAGTAAAGTTATTATTATTATTATCATTATTATTACTATCATTATTATTACAACAACAACAATAATAATAATAATATTTTTTTTTTCATGAAATAATAACTATCAAAGTGTTTTTATTCATCTTTCATACTCAAATAAACATCTCATTCTGAACAAAACAGTAGAACCCAAAACATAAATCACAAATACAGGTCTAAACTAAAAACAAGACCATAACAAAACAGACCATTACCAGACAAAGACAAACCCACCACTTATGTTTTCCAGATATTCTGAAGTTAAAAATAAGTAAATAAATAGACATGACAGTAACAATGACAATAATGATGATAATAAAGAGGAGAGCAACAGAAGGAAATTTAAAATAAAAGGTGTTGCTCTCCGTGAGTAAAGTTTGATACGTTTTCAAGGTCACTGCATCAACAAGTATCGCAAGTGTGTCAGTAATAAAGACTAATAAATAAACAAGTCATTTTGTTTTACCAAGCAATGAATGCAATGTTTTACCTGAAATGAAGTAGATTTGCAATCAGGATAATATAACTTTAAGTTTGTAGTCCCCACTGTTTTCTGTTTGCTCTGGAGAGCTTTTTTTTTTTTCTTGGGGGCGACAAGCCAGACAGAACACAAAGTCGAGTCTCAACAAGAAGCTGAGCAGCCTGAACAGAGAGGCTGGTAATCCTCTGTATCCTCCTTCAGAAGCTGTTGCCATTGCTCCTCGGAGAATTTGAGATTCTTTAAAAACCTTGAGGTACAGCCAATGTATGCTGTGTGTAATCTATCACATATGAGTCCTGTCATGCCTATCTTGACCGTAATTCCCTCAATGACACTTCTGTCAGAGGAAGTCAATCCATTTTTTCAATGAATGGTTAGAGTCTTATTTTGTGAAACAAGCTATTCCGAGTTTAACTCCCCAATGAATCCAAGCAGCAGTGAAGGATTCAGCAGGAAGAGCAACAAACAAACCCCTAAGGCTACAGAGAACAGAAGCCAACCAACACACATCACCGAGAAATGGGACACACAGAACGAGCAAGGCAAGAGATGCCATCGCTGAGTATGGTAATGAGACGTAGACAAGAAGGCGCTGCGAGTGCAGAGGGAGAATCAGTGGGAACAGCAACAGACAGCCGTGTGTAATAGACAGAAGACACGGGCTGAAATTAGACTTAACAAGAACAAATGGCAACATAGGTGAGAGTAACAGACAGTTGCTGTCTTGTTAAAAAAAAAAAAAATCATTATGTGACTGGAAGGGTATCAGTGACGCTCCAGCGAGCATTTCAGAACAAAGGAGCATTTAAGTTAGTCCTGTGTTGGTGCATGTTGTATTGTTCAACAGTACTTCAATTTGAACTTAATATTATTATTATTCCTTAAATTAAGATATTGAACTGAAACTAAAATGACAAAAAAATAAATAAATGACCAAATCATCACCAGAGAGACAAACCAGTGCACTGATGTTCATTGTTTTGTAAAACTTTGCAAGACTTCAAACTTCAATCAAGGTGACATTCAATTCCCATCTGATACCAAGTTTACCTCTTTCAATACAAAAAGTAACAGTTAGTTAGTTATTTTTAATATAACCATAGACTGTATATAGAATGGATGCTGTCTGCCTCCTTGCTGGGTAAAGCCACCCGGAGAACAGCACCCTCTGGTGACAGGCTGCAGTATAGGTCATAAATTCCGCCTCCTCCAGCAATCCCTATGGAGCTGTGGACAAACTTTAGAAATTTATTACACAGAATATAAATGTTTCCCCCCTGCTTGCGATGTTGACATGTAGTTACAGTAAGACTGGTTTGTGCTCAAGTCCTTTTTTTTCTGCACAGCTCCATTTTTAAAAGTTCTTAGGGGGTTTAAGTTTTCTATGATTGACACTTGATACAGCCTATAGGCGTACGAAGATTGCATAGCTCACCCGGAGGATACGCTGTTTGAGCCGAGCGTCTCTAGGCAACTCTCCCGCCGAATGCGCAAGTGGGGAAGTGCGTACAACACAGTGCGCAATGTTGGTTTCAGGAAATGGAGAAAAATCGCGGAAATGCCGAGAGCTTTTTGGCTTCAAAAATGTATACTGGCGGAAGGCGGAACCAAGTTGAATAATCATGTGCAGCTTAAATAATGAGGCTTAACTATTTATGATTTCCTTTTATATCATGTAACACTTTGTTGTTTTTGTTTTGTATGAGTCAGTCAAGCAGCAGCAGTGGAAAAAAGCTCTCCTGCTCTATGAGGATATATGAGGTATGATACAGATTACTGTATTGTCTGGTTTCACTTTGAGTATACTTAATAGACACATACTGTATGATCAGGAGCTGAAGGTTTGTAAAGTAAGTCCAGTGAAACCCACAACCTGCAATAAAGAGATTATTTTAAACAGTGTTTTAAACAAAAGTTTTACTCTGTTCATAACAGCGCAGGCAAATCAAAATGCATCCGTAGAAAGATGTCTCTCTCTGTCTCTCTCTAAGGGGACTCAGAGGCCCACCTCACATCTGAAAACTTCTAATGAACAGTGACTCACAACACACCTGATCAGATAGTCATTGTAACACGGCTCCTCAATCTCTTGCTTTTCACATCTGCTCCCAGCTCAACGCTGCCTGGGAGTAATTTTGGTGATAAAAGCAGCCTGGGGGAGATGTGTATTATCAACAGGTGACTTGTACTTCTTCAACCTTTGAGGCGAATCATAACTTCGTATTTCATTTGAAAGGCTGCTTCACTAATTTGTGTTTTTTAAATGCACGCTGTGAGCTGTCTTTGAAGTCTCCCTCTGAAGGATGTTTGTGTCTGTCCTCTGTCACTGATCTCAGACTGTGAGAGAGCTGCTACAGCCTCTCCGCTGACGAACACAACGAACCGAGTTAACCGTGAAATCCTGAGCGGCATGCTGCAGATATCATTTGAGTTCACAGCAGGTGAGCAAACACAAGGATTGGTTTTGATGATTACTCGGGTCAGAAATGTACATGTTTTTTTTGACGTGTGGAATAATTAATGAAACCTAAAATTACCCTCAGGGTGTTAAATCCACAGCACAGCATGGGGTTTTTTAGTTTGTCATGACTCTTTTGTGAGCTTCAGTAGTCTGCGTGACATGTTGACAGAAGTGCCTGGGGATCAAACTGCCATTCTTTCAGTGGGAGGCTGCCCACTCTACCTATGAGCCACACCTGCACCAGTGACCCCCCACAGGGAGTACATTTTTCTGATGTTTTACTGAAAACTGGGAAATGTGTCAAAGGCATCAACAGCAACCTGTGCCTTCTACAACCCCAATTCTAAACAAGTTGGTTAGCTGTGTAAATGATGGTTAATGATGATAATGATGGTTTATTTTTATTGAAAGCACTGCATAGACAACATAGCTGATGTTGAAATTCTGAATTTGATGATAATGCATTATGCTCATTTTAAATTGATGCATACACAAAAGTTAGGACTGGAAAACCAAAATGCTGACAAGTTTGTGTAATGCTTAAAAAAAAAAACAGGAGGAACATTGCCTAACTAGCTCAAGAGATACTCCGGTGGAAAATTAACTTAGCGTCACTGTATCATTTCCTTGAAGTAATAATCACCATATTAATCATTTTGCACTGCAGACGTGGTAGTTCTCCTGCTTTAGCGTCTCGGTCTGATTGCATTTCAATGAAGTAATGATCATAAATGTTCTTCCTTGAGCTGCGTCACCCCGCCTCAGTCGATGACGGACTGGTCCGAGGTGTCGCTACAAACAAGCGGTTGCTGGAAGAGAGTGGGTGAGTTGTGTTTGGTCTCTTTGCTAAAGAAATCAGGCAAAGTTAAAAAGATGTTTGGTGGCTAGTACTATAGCTCGGACCCTATATGTACTGTTGATGAGGTTAGGTGCTGTTCTGAGCATTATTTGTGGCTATAGAGTGGCGTTTTGGTTGAGGTTTGTTGATGGCTCCTCAGACTGCTGTGTATTGCTATCCTGCAGTCGTTACTGAAGTTGGTATAACTAGAGAAGCAAACGGTCGGCACCATTCATCTCTCGAGGGGGTGTCAACTAGGTGTTACAGTGTGTTTGACCCTAAATTAATTTTACGCCTGAATATCCCTTTAAGTTAATATGCAACAAGTCAGCAGAAGGAAAAAAAAGAGCATTTTAGAGAGGCTGAGGGCTCTATCATACAACCAGCACCGAGTGTCTTTGTTATTTTCCACCCAGAATGAGTAGCAAGTGAACTAGGTGACATACATTTGTTTGTTAAGTATCAGTGGCAGTCATTGTGTTGATAATGCTGACTCAACCTAACTTTTGGTCGATCTGAGGTAGGCCTTTAGCCTCTTCGCGACTAGCTACAGCGTGTCAGCCAAGTCAGCCCTGCCTCTGATTTGCCAATCTTAAAACTTGAGTATTCTCAGGTGGCTTATTTTTTTTTTGGCTCAGTGTGTATTTAGTTTCCAGTGCCTCTGCAAGCAGCCTCTAGTGGGCACTCAAAGAACTGCAGTTTTTCGCACTTCTGCGTAGGCTTTATTTCTCAAAACCAGAGGTTGCTTAATGGTCTGCGCCAGTGGCTGTGTTGATCTGAAAGAGAAGTGTAATCAGGCACAAAAGTGGTGCAATGTCTGTGACTATGAGCAGCAAAAACCTGGTCTGAAGTCAAGAGTCAGTGGTGCAATGCTTTCATGATATTTAAAGGGCATGTTAGTCTGACAGCATGAAGAGCATGAAAAGCTTTCAAGAATCAAGCCGCAGGGGTAATCAAATTAAACTTTCTCTAGCCTGGCAAGGATATATTTCCAGTAAAAAGCAAAAGATAGAAAAATATTGTATAATTTATGGAACGTCACTAAAGAAAAGTTTGTGATGATGTAACCGAATCATAATAAAGTTTTGGTGTCAGGCCCCCAGCCAGAATAGAGGAAGCAGAGGGCAGAACAGGGAAGATTATGGGGTACATGGTGGAAATAGTCAGACAGGCAGAGGTTAAGATGAGGCCGGAAATGCAGAGCTCCCAATCTAGTGAGGAAAAATGGAGGCACAGACAAGATACATCTGGTCAGGGTGACAATAAAAATATACATTACTGCTGGTAGATAGCATTAAAACGTATTATTGTGACTGTTAAGATTATTTGATATGATCCAAATCGCTAAACCCCAGCCATTGCAAAAGTCTCGGGTAGTTTTTCTCTTCCATGGGATTTACATCCAGATGCTGAGAGACCTTCACACTTGAGGAGAAGATTGAAATTCTCGACAAGACAAGAGGCCACCAGCTTTAACATACTATCTGCTTCTTTTCTGATGTTATGTATTTGTCATCAGCCGAAATACATTACAGAAGAACCAGAACATGATGTAGCAATACTGACACAACACTAGATCTATATTCCAAAAAAACAAAAGTACTTTGCAAAACTGTAAATGTACAGTGATAATCACCTTGATAATCATGGTTTCACAACTGAAGCAAAGATCAAAATCACTACATTCATGGTTTAAAACTCACTTGTGGAGGGGGAAACACTGTCTGATTATATCAAGAGATAAATGTTTCAGTAGAGTCACCGTTGCCCTTCAGGTTGCCGTACAAATGCAGTTTTGATTTATGAAAAAGAAAGTAATTCGGCACACAACACCTTGAAGAGGGAAAGGAAAAAAATGCAGCACCTACTATCTGTCAACCCCAGCCATCTTGAACAGTGTCAGTCATAGGAATTGGCCAAACATTACGTGACATTACAGCCACCAAATGGTATTTAGATGGGAATAATCTGGATTTCACAGACTCAAACCTTTGTTGAACCCTCTGATCAAGGGGCCTAAAACATGAGGTTCACCCTGGACTGCTGCAGTACCTGGGAAATCGCCTGGTGGCATTTGTATTTGCAAGAGATGGCACACCAGTGATGCTCAGTGCAAAATCCTGAGTGGCATACCAAAATATCACAACCTGGAGCCATCTAAATCTCAGACTGGAGCTGCAGCTTGTTAAAACTGCCAGGAAGTTGGAATGCTGTCTTCTTGGACAGAGAAACCAGAGGCAGCTTTCTATGTGTGGGCCAGAGTACCACCAGTGTAACCAGAATAGTGTTTTTCCAGGAATAGTATGTGTGGTACTCTGGCTTTACCACAAACAATTTAAAAGTACGAGTGGACTTTCATGGAAGGATGTCAAGCAAATCCAGGACTCACAATGAGGGGGGAAATGTATAATGACTAAAAACAAGGCTTCAAGATTAAACTGTATAAAACATAGATGTAGTCTCTGTCACATCTCCCGTTTATTTCATGTCATGAAGTCCAAAGATGTGGAAAATGTTGACTCTAATCAGGGTTGAAAGTAACATATCATGTTTACTCAAGTTAATCTTCTTGAGTGACAAAGTGATTAACTTTACTTTCCCAAAGCCATCTCATGTTGTCCACAGCAACAACTCTTGATTCGTATGACATTTGACTGCTTGAAAAATCTAAATGAATTTCTTGTAAAAAAAAAAAAAAAAAGAATTTAAAAAATAAATAAATAAATAAATAAAAGAAATACAGATTAAAAAAAAAAAAAAACATGACAAAAGATAATAATAATTAAAGCCTGGGTAGGTGTGTCAAAAGTATCCTTTCACACATTTGTAGTTGGTTATGCTTAATCAGAAAATAATTTGGGGGTCATATCTTACTGTTTAACCCCTCCTCACTGCCCATCCCCTGAGTTAAATGAAAGTACTCACTCAGTAAAGGAAAGTTTTAGACTAAGAACTTTTTACTTGTTCTCAAGAGGATACACAGACTGGTAGTTTAAAATTTCTTCACAGTAATTGAACTTTTACCAGTGTAGAATATTATAGCGGCTAGCTCCAAGCTAATAAAGCAACCAAAAAAAGAGATGGCTTTAGTGCCATGGCCTTGTAGCCTGGCAAACAGCATGTCCACCTATCAAGTAGATCAGCCATGTCCTGCAATTGCAATCAAAATGAATGACTGAAAAGCAAAAAAAAAATAACCCCTGACTAGTTGTCAAAGATTTTTCAAAATGGCATTGACACCAAAAAACATGCAGCAGACTGTAAATTTGTTCAAATATGCTGCAAAAAGGCCATGCTAAAGTAGACTCCAATAGGATGTTACACAGATGATACACAGATGATAACCCCTGGCAGATGCAGTAAAGCTGGTCCATGGCTTTGTCTCCTCTAGACTAGACTACTGTAATACACTCCTTATTGGGATCCTAATGAGAGTGCGCAAACATGATCACATCACCCCCATCCTGAAACCCCTACACTGGCTCCCTGTCTCAATCAGAACTGAGTACAAGGTCTCCCTTCTCACCCACCAGTGCATTCACAGACGTGCCCCCCTTAATCTCCTTTCCCCCCAGGCCTCCTCACATACTCCCCCGTTCTAAAACCAAAAGCACCCTCCAAGCCCCCAGAACCAAACTCCGCACCATGGGGGATCGGGCCTTTTCCTCTGCTGCCCCGGAGACTGCAGAGTGCCCTCCCTGACCACCTGAGGACCCTACAGTCTACAAGTGCTTTTAAAAAAGCCTTTTGCTAAACATCTTATATAGGTTCTCCTTTTTAATTATCTATTTAATGTGACTCTTTTTAATTGCCTATTTTAATTGCATTACTTTTAATTGTTTTTATATTACCCTGTAGCACTTGAAGATTGCCAAAATGTGAAGTGCGATACCAATTAATTTCTTTATTTCTATAATTATTATTTGTCCTATTTCGGTTTTGGTTTTAATTGTAAACTTGTAATTAGACATTATGTTTGTATAGGAGAGTGAACAAATTGCAAGATGCATTATGTTTTCAAGTACAATTAAAATTACTAAATTATTCCTACAAAACATTTGTCTATTGTAGTTAGAAAACAAAGTAATGGCTGAAGTACAAGCCGAAGTCATGATCATATTAATTTGGTTTATAATATCCAACACGACCACTACATTTCTAAGCCTCATGTAATCCCCACAGCACTCTTCATAATTTCAGTTTCTGGGAGAATGCATTACTTTCTTGACTTACATTTATCAGAAACGGGCAAAGCAACTGGATTACTTGAACATAAGCAATTGGAAAAAAAAAAAAAAAGGTATTTCCTGAAATAGCTACTCCAAATGTAAAATAATACAATGAACACTGAAGGAGAATGTCTATGCACTGTCAATAATGTAAAGGGTAGTAATTAGTGCTGAGCAGAGCAGGCTTACTTGGTCTTAACCGACAATTATGGGGCAGGGCCGTATGGATTTCTCCTCTGTCGTTGAAGGTGAGGTTCCAAGTCTCCGGCACACAGTTTGAGTCTAATTTTACAGCTCAAAAGCTAAATTTAAGGTTATTTCAGTTTCACTAGAGGACATCTGCTTAGTACACTGCCTTCGCCATAGATATTTATCAAGTGCTCTGAAGGCTGAGGCTTTGTCTGAAATCTTAATTTAAAAATGTCTGTCTTCCACTAACTGTATGGAGCAGAGCTGATGGTTGACGTTAAAAGTCTAAATTAGTATACAGTCAATAAGTCATTCTACATGATAAAATGTGTGATTACGGTAAACTTGGTTACACCTTACCAAATATGTTGATAGTTCCAATTACATTAAACATCTCCAGCCAGTAGCCTCTGCAGATACAATGGTACAAAAACACAAAGAGCATTTTACTGCCTCAAAATGTTAAAAAAATGCACACTCAACTTTATTTACTGTGGTTTCTTGCTGCATTATCAAGTGGCACCATTTTAAAAGGAAAGGGAAGTAAACAGGCTTTCCATCAATATAAGATGTTTTTATTTTGAGCAGCCAAAATGCATCAGCTGGTAAATGAGGAAGAGAGTGGTTGATGTGTGAAAAATAGTTTGTAAAATCTTGACAGACTAATTGTCCTCGAGGGCCACAGTCCCTTAACCGATGGAGGGTGGGGGTGAGGGTAGTGAGCAGGAGAGCGTTTCGATGTAGAGTCTGACCACTCCAAATCACTGTATGGTCCCATTTTCATGGCACTGTACCTTTAAAAGTCTTGAGAGATGACATTTTTTATGAATGATGGTTGAAAAAAAAAAAGACTGATTGATTTCCATAATAAGATTATCTAAAAACAACACACTTCCATAATTATTAGATGTTGGACTGGGGAAGTCAAGCTCATACAAGAAAATCTGTTACTGATAAAACGTATCCCTCGAAGTTTGGAACATGTGCGTTTTCCTTTAATTCCATTTTCAGACGTCCTAATATAGCTTTTTATATTTTCATCTGTGCACACCTGTAGCTTCTTTGCACCTGTTTTTAATCTGTTTATAGAAGTTAATTGTTTTATGTCTGATGCTTAAGTGAAAAGGGATCATTTGATTAAAAAAGTAAATGACATTCATAATATTGTGCTACGTAAATTGAATTATTTCTGCTAGGTTAAAAGAAGGATACAATTTCTGCTAATTTTGCTCCAGGTATGATTAATTGTAGTTATTTTCAACCAGATGAACCAGAATGAGGGGAAACCCGGGGCACAGTAATAGCATCATCTCTGCTCTGTGTTGATAACTGTCATTAACTTCAAAGCATAAACCCCCTGTACTCCAAATATAGCGCCAATTAAACCTCTGTCGGGAAGATTACACTGGAAGCTTTTTACAGCAGCTGAACTCCGGTGTGGTCATCACAGTCCCAAAAAGACATGTTGCATTCACATCCTGTAGCTTGGACTCTAAGCTGTCCCAGGTGTCACTCTATATCCCCAGTTAGGCCTTACAAAATGAAGCTCTTCACCAAGCGTTGGGAAAATACAGCCGCTGAGTGCTGCTAAGCAACAGGCTTGCGCCTTTCTCACTAAAATCACCTGAGAGAAATTGACACCACTTGCCCTGGTGTGCCCTCCTGCCTCTTTGCCAACAGATTTGTAACAGGCATATGTTTTATTGTAGTCACAAGGTCATCTAAAAATGATGTCTGAAGATGGAGACATGGGATGTGAGTCCTGGCAGGTCTGTGATTGTGTTGACCCCACAGCAGACAGGCAGCCTTCACTAATGGTCACGCAGTCGCCTCTTGGCTCCACACTGCAGCTCGTTTGTCACATGGCCTCTCAGGGCTGGAGACATCTAAACAGGATGAACTGGGAACCCTGTCATCCACACTGCATCATACTGTGGGTTTGTATATGATGCATGAAACTAGTTAAAGGTGGGGTAGGGAGGAATCTGTTAAAAGCATCTTTTTTTGTGGTGTATTTACAAAAAAGCTTTTAATATCAGTCAATATTAGTTATTGATGACATTTGTGAATATGACAATATCACTTTGCTCTCTTATCATGGATTTCCACTGCATCCGAAACGGCTCCGATCCGGAACGGCAGCGATTTGATGGCGGCTGTACGTCAATTCCTACTGGATCCGTCTGTGAATTTCCAGCACTGGTTAATCTGTGCTAAATTTATGCGGCATGCTCCGGCATCCGGAAAAAATACAACTCTTGCAATCAGCTGCCGAGTCCGGCGATCCACAGCAGAATGGAAAGAAGCTGGTGGAAATTGACACTTTAATGGTTACAATCAGCTACGATCGGTGGATACAGCCTTTTCATAGCCGTTACGGATGTGGTGGAAATTGCCAGTTGTGCCTGTTTAGTCAACCTTTCAAATTTTTGAGAGGGCCGCTCATTCTGACTGTAAACGAAGCCATTCTCCACCTCCCCGACCTGATTGGTTGTGAGGCGGACGCTGCTCCCCCATGTAGTAAGGCATGCTCCACGTCCTTGAATAATGTTCACAAGCCCAAACATAGTTAGCGTGCTACAATATCGGACAGTAAAAACCAACCAGAGAGTACAGAAAATTGTCTGAATCCTCCCACCAACACAAGCAAGAAAACGAAGTAAATACCAGAGACTCTGGTGGAATAATGGTGCTTAAAACGGAGATAGACCGGACAAGAGCTAAGAAGCTGGGTCAACATCAATGAAGCATAAACGATGGAGGACGCCTCAAGATCTTACGGACCCTGTAACCTTTCTGCTGGACAGGTAAACCGCTTTAACAAAGTAAGCCAAGTGTCTGTAACAGAAGTGATTCTTATAGCCACTTAGCTGTTTACCTCGGGTCCTGGACTATGTCACTTTATCCTGGTTGTAGAGGTCCTGCAAACATTGTATTTGCTGGTAGTCTGTTGGCATCTACAGTAGCACCAATCCTACCAATTGCCCAGCACCTAGCGTTGACTGGGCCCCATTTGTAATCATCTGAAGTATTTATCTGCATTATATCTGAATTTAATTGGAACGATACGAGCGAGCACGAGAGTCTGTTTGTGGGCGGGGCTTACTGGAGCAGAGAGGGAGGAGAGAGGAGGAGCTGAGGGGAAAACTGGTTGGGAGGGGTAGTGTTTACATTCAAGATTTCTCCCAAAAACTGGCACTTCCTCAGATCCTGCCTACCCCACCTTTAAGCTTTGTATTTACAAAAGTTGTCGTATGATGCTTTGCACAAAAAGGACACCTGTATGCATAACACTGCAGCAATCAACCAAGTGGGCAGCACTTCAGAGCACGCGTTGTATATCATGTTTCATGTTTATAATTCAGGAGCAGTTATATAACTCATATTTCATATATTAATAATCATACAATTAGTAAACAGAAGACTGAATGCCAACATGCAATAACAGCGATTCATGCCAACCAAAGGTGATGCTGTGAGAATTATAGCCCTCATTCTGCTCATTTATTTTCGTTTTTCATCCTGTGTAATTCCACCGTCACCGCGCTATCACACTCTTTGTTTTCCACCCTCCGGGGGAACCACATTTAGTATCAGAGACACTATTCGTGTATCAAAAAATGCTAGCGGACCACACACTGAGCACAAGCCACCGACGCTGATTTCATGCTGCTGTTCTGCGGCAATAACTCATACAGGAGACCACACACTCCCACTCTTTCTACGGATGGAATAAAGTGGTTGTGATAAGACCGTGTGGGAGTGCATTACAGTGCAGAGCTACAGAGAGAAGAAGATTGTCGGGGTCCAGCATGAGAGAATTAACAGCAGGTGGTTGTGATGGAGCAGCATCGGCTCATATGCGCTCTTTTTGTACCTGTTTGCAAATTACATGAAACACCCTGATGTTTTATGTGCAGGTTCTTCAGGAGACTAACGTGTCTGAAAGGACGATGTGCAGACTCAAGGTGCTCAGTGTAGGAAAATAACAATAAGATGAAATGCAAATCTGTGTTGTGCCAGAGCTGCAAGGAGGAACACCTAGCAGTTTGGCAGCTGGGTTGTGTGTCATGCTGACTCACAGCCTGGGGCGGCCAGAGTGGATCAAAATGCAAGTAGCAGCCAAAGAAGGACGTGACGTAAATGTCAGAACTTGTGTTGCTGTGCCAACTGGATCCTCTGTTAAACAGTGTTAAAGTGCTCAGATTCAGCAGTGTAAGAATAGATGTTCTCACATTGCAAGATATTTGAATTGTTTATACTGATACTTCCCTATTGTCGATAAAAACAGATTAGTTTATCTCTCTTTAGTGCTTTAAGACTTCCAGTCCAGTGCATTTGTTGCTACTAAAGACTTAAGGAATACTCTGACATTATGTTAAAAAGGTTTATTTAAATTCTTGCCAACAGTTTGACGACAAGGTCAGAACAACTCTCAGAGGGTCCATTAATACAGAAGCAAGAGGCAGGAGGCTTTTACCTTAGCTTAACATAAATAAATCTAACATTAACATACACAAACAGCAATATATTTTTCTTTTTAAGTAAAGGCTTTCACTTGCAGTGCATTACTCCTGGTGTTTTCATCCTATAAATAGCCATGATTGAAGTAGTAGGACAGCAAACTGGGCATTAAGGTATAAGACAAGTATTATAGCTGTAGAGTCATGAAATAATTTGATAAGTATGAGTGAATTTAGGGCGATAATATTTTCAAGAACATCATTTTGTTATTGTTAAAAATAGTTTTTAATGGGTTTTTCAACTCCTCAAAACTACTGCTAAAAGAGAATATAATAACTCTTTATATTGAGATAAAATTAGGCATAACTTTAGTTCAGGCGGGCCACAAGGTTGAGCTGGGCCCACAGTATACCTAACACCTTCTAATTGCTTTCTAAGCATCTAATGTCAAATGAGTATTCTGTTCAAAGTGCTTCAGCCTGCCCACTCTTGCTGCGTACTCTGCAAACCACTTTGCAACCCACCTCCACCCCAGCTTCTCCTTTTTATGCTGTGTCTGATTTCACTGCGTTTTGTGTGTATTGTCACTGATGCCTGCTATGCTCTGAGCTCTTTGCTGCTGCTCTCCCTGCCTTGTATGCATGAAACAGAGGGTAGGTGGTCTTCTGGTCCACCTCAGCTTGGTTTGGCTTTGGCAGTCCACATGCACACGTGAAAGAGCATGGGGCTCTCAGAACAGTCAAACTGCTTAATGCACGCCAGCAATTGTCTGTGTTCAAAGCATCCTTATGGCGTTTTCTTGACAGTGCGGTGTGGTCTTGGCAGAACCACAAAACAAGATTGACTGAACATATCTGTGAAAAAGGAAAGATAGTTCACTCTCGGTTATGGGAGCAGATTAAACACAGACGACCTTGCTCAGAGATTGGAAAACAGCAGCGAGATAGAGGTTTCCTTTCACCTCGATATTCATGGAAAACCAACACAGACACCGCTCTACCTCTGCTTATGTGCAGTTACGCTAAATTACACTAACCACATCGTTGCTTTCTGCTCCTTGGTGCACAGTGACTTGAGCTGTCCAGAAAAAACAAACAGAACAAAACAGTAGAATCATCCAGTTATTAAATTTAGAGGGAAAATGACAATGAGCTTTTCCAAAATAGGAAATAGTCGTGTGTTTGTTTTATGTCTGTAATTGGGCAGCTGGGCTGTGATTGGTTTTGTTTGCGATGTCATTGGCCAAAGACTTCATGCTTGTTGTCAAGGTTTCAAGTTGAATATTGAAGCTACAGTGTGTAGTATTCAGCAGAACAGACTTGGTAGAAATGGAATATTATTTCCATAAATACATTTAAATAAGTACATAACTACCTGAATACAAAAATAGTATTGTTTTTTTTTTTATAGGCCAGAAAGAGAATTTTATATCTAACTAGGAGCAGATTCCTTTCCACGGAGGCTGTCATCTTGCACTGTCATGTTTCTATGGTAAGAAACAGACATACTAGTAACATACTGTACATGTTTTTAATTCAGTCTTTGGCTGTGCAAAATCCAGCAGTTGGAAGACAAAGACATGAGAGTAAGCGCGCAGTTTTAGATGAAAAAAAATGGGGGGTCATGCTTATTATGCATTATAGAGGGCCACATTTACTTCATAAGCAGGAGGTGTGGAGAGTGGAGCATCTCAACCTGGACCCTGATCACTAGATACCACTCAACATTTCCATTTCTACACACTGTACCTTTAAGTCATTGATGTAGAGAAACAAAAGTCAATTTACAAGAACTAAGATCTAATTTTAGTCTTTATTTTTAAGGAGCTAGCTGCCTGTGCTGAAATGAGGAATGGGGCATCTTGTGAAGTAAAACTTCAGTGACCATATTTTCATTACAGCCAGGATGGGATATAAAAACAAGACGGTTGGTGACCCTATTTAACAAAAACTGTAAACTGTTCTCTATTTTTTGCACTTCAAAACAATAAGATGCTGACTTGCCACTCTGTTTCCGTTACTGATATTATGTCATTTCTGTACCACAGTAATGAACTTCTCTCGTTTCTCACTCATATGCATCAAGAGTCATCACATTTTTAAGGCGCTGATTCTTCTCACTTTGTAATTAATATAAAATACATTAAGCTTTCTTTCTCATAAATTAAACAACACTTGAATGGAGAATGCATGCAGTGAGTTCTCCCATCAATGTCTGAAAGGTACTGCATTAAAATGTTTGTATAATTAATAAGCAGGTCTCTGCATTAAGTGTCCATGTTATTTTTACTCACAGGAGAAGTCATGTAAGATACAGTCTGAAAATGAAAGAGAAGATCTCCCGTTAATTTCAGTTTTATTTTCTCGACCTGGGACACTGTTCCCTGAATGTCATTTTCTGTACATTATTATTAGGTGCCGTGAGTGCAAAGTGCAAAGACTTACTGTGCACATTTTTAATATCTGGTTATGTCACACTGACTAATAAGTCCTTAATTATTTTTTACAGTACAATTTAAAGAGTAACAATAAAAACTTTAAAAGGCAGGCATGAGGGCTGCTTTACCAACCTTGTCAACAGAACAGAGATATGTTAGAGAAAGGGGTAAGATATTTTTTTCTTAATAAATACATCCCAACAAACATTTCCTGGACAGGATTTCTCCCTTTGTCCCCATCTGTGCTGCCAGTCTCCGTCCCTTTTCACTCCCACTGTTCAGCCAACTTGGCTCCTCTCTGCCAGCTGCTTAAGAAGGACGCCACCTGGACCCAAGCCCCCCCTGACTACAAAGAGGTACTTCGGCTCATCAAGCAGCAGCTCGCCAACCTCACTTTCCTCTCAAACTGGTCCACTTGAGCCTGGATGAGCCCCCTGTGCTCGCCGCTCCACTCTGTTTCCTCCGTGCTGAAGTGGAACAGAAAGTCACTGCCACTCGAATCTTCTTAAAAACTTTGAGGGAAAGAGGAAACCTCTCCTCAAGCCTGTGGGCATTGTAACGAATTCATCTCTATGGTAATGGCTTCTCTTTTCACACAGATGAGAAGACATTCAACAGACGCTGGCAACATGCCACTGACAGTGCGGTGGATAAAATCAATGGCGAGTTCAAAGACAAAAACAACTCAGTAGATGAAGATGAGTTGTTAAAAAATGGCTCCTAATTTTACAGAAAACATTCAGATGATTTGATATAACATTTTTTGCTAGTTACATTTTCGCCCTGCGGATGCTGCTTACCGAGGCCTAAGGCTATTTGCTGTTTGAGGAAGTAACTCTTGGAAATGACTGACAGGTGTTGATGCTGGATTCACACTGACTGAAAGGGGGTATAGAAAGATTTATGAATGTATGTTCTGCCCAGGTGAAGATTAGGAGACAGCAGTTATGAGGGCTCTGGCTGCAGGTGAGATAAGTGGCCTATCACAGCTAATATGGACATCTCATTTTAGTTTTCAATGTAGCATTTGTATATAGAGGAGAGTGGGGTAAGTTGAGCCAAAGGGTAAGTTGAGCCATCCTCTGTTGCTTGGAAATGGTAAAAGAAATTGATCATGTGACCAAATATTTAAGAGATGGGCATCAATTCATGAAGTCTCTGAAGGTTAGAAGCACATGGGTGAAGGAGTTAGACATTTATTAAAAAAACCCAACATTTTTCACTCTTGAAAGTGAATTTAGTCTGTCATAAGTTTGATTAGAATTGTGTTTAGACCAAAAAAGATCATTTTAAATTTGTTTTATTCATCAGTTATGGTATCTATGAGCTACAATATGAGGTCAAAAACCTAGCATAAAAGTCCACCATTTTAGCTTAAAGGACTAATAAAGTCATAATAGTAGTTCTGGGGTAAGTTGAGCCATAAAGGAGTCTGATGAGAGGATCAGAGTTTCAGTTCAGATTGTTGAAATGTGTTACTTTTTCTTTTTTTTAGAGATACGGCTCATCTTACCCCGCTCCTATGGTCAACTTACCCCATACACGGGGTAAGTTGACCATAGGAGACCACTTTTTTTGGCATGCTATATTCTCAAGACAGTTATGTTTACACTCATTCTGTTGGTTTGCAGGGATGAACAACATCTTAAAATATATGCAGATACACTAGTTAGAGACAAAACTATGATTGCCTTGATGTAGTGATCCGAAATATTAAAAATGGCTCTCCCCCATCACAGTCTACCTTTTTCAGCAGAGCCTTATGAGACATTCTTGACACATTTTGTAATAATCATATATGAAAATGGACTCTGTAAGTGTTCGCTGACTGTGAAGCCCGGCTGGCTGCAGAAAAGGTCATAAACCTAATTTCCGTCCTGTTAACAGACAGACGCTGATAGAACTAGAAAATTAAAACACACAGCAAATAAATTCTTCTCAAACATGGTTCTTGTAATTAAAGTTAGTCCTTGGCATTTTTCTGAAGTTGAGTTTTAATTAGTGATGTGTTTTTGAAAACAGCAGATGTGACCGACAGCTTTTGTTCACAAAGCCCGGCTCCTGTAAGGATGTGGTCTGGATTAGCAAAGTAGCGAAAGAACAGCGAGAGAACACTAACACAAGCGTCATTTAATTTTCTATAGCAAAAAGAAGCCAGGTCGCTTCAGTGCGTGCCTCGGCAATATGTCAGCTTTTTGAGTCACCTCATTCATTCATGTTTTATGTCTTTTTTACAAGTTTTAAAACTGTTGCCATCATGTCAGGGTATTCAAGATTATGTCCTCTTTTTGAGGATTAAGCCACAGGGCCAAACCTTGTTGTGCCAAGGGACCTCATGTGCACAGTTTACCCTCTAAGAAGTGAAAATAGACCAGCTAGCCTCAGAGCCACTGACTCCCACTGAGAGCATCAGCACCACAGGAACCCATTTCCATCGATCTGTGTGGAGACCTCCATCAAGCTCCCAGTAGGACACTCCAGCAAAGTGAAAATAATCTACTGGCTACAAAGAGCAACTAGGGTGAACGGCTCAAATCAATCTTCAGCAAGAAGCAGTCAGACAATGTGATAACATCTGTTTTGGGGGGAAAAAGGGGCAGGGGGAAAATCTAGCATTTTAAGAAATCACAGCAAGCTGCCGAAACAGCAAGATGTTAATATACAGAAGAGAATCTAATTTATTAAATTAAAAATATGAATTATTACCTTCAGATAACCATATATAAAAAATAAATTAAAAATATATTTTAAAAAAGCTTAGCAAATCCTTGATGGATTTGTCTACATCCAGGTAATCAATGTTCTTCAAAAATAAAACCATGCAAGGCAGAACATCATTTAAAATTCCTGGTGAAAAAACATATTATGGACAAATAATTACTTATGACCAGTTTTATGGCTGAAATGAAAATCACATCTCTGTTCATTCTGAAGGACACCAGCTTCTTCAGACTGCAGCAAACACAGTCCTGAAGCACATAAGAATATCTAAACATATTACTATGAGACTCAAAACTGCTTCTTCACTGGATCCATGCTCAATACAGAAACCCTTTCAAAATCTAGTTATTAGTCCATAAAACGTTCAATGGTTCAGCCCCTGAGTGTATTCCTGATCAAACTAGACCCCAATCCACCCTTTAAGATGGAAGTCCTTCTCAGATAGTTGCAGATCAAATGCTGATGAAGGGGCTTTCAGTTACAGTGGTCCTCGTCTCTGGAACAACCTCAAGTTCATCACACCTGTCTCCACTTTTACGATAAACTTAACTCAAACTTTATTTTTAGTGCTGTGCTGTACAGATTAAAAGCAGCAGGGATGATAAAAGTGACCCATCAGCAATAAACAAAATGAATACTAAAATACATAAACACAGCGCTATAAAATGGAATAAAAATAAATAGTAATGAAATAAATTTAAACTAAGTTACATAAGGGAATGCTATTTGTGGATCTATTGTGTTTCATACCTAACGCCTAATTTTAACTCGCTAAAATAAACTTTGGATCAGTAAGCCTCATCCTAATATACTGACTGTTCCCATTATAACCATAAAACTGCAGAGATTTATGATATCTCAGATTAGCCTGACAAAGTGCATCCTATCGAAAACTGATTGTATTAAAGCTAAGATTGAAATAATTGATTAAAAGTCTTTATGTTCTGGTGGAAACCTACTAATATTCGATCAGTTTACTTTGTTGAGGCTTTATTCACTTACATTGGCTGATGACTACAGACTCCAACATCAGTTGTTACAGGTAAAATATCTAATCATAAGGTACCACACAGAAATATCAACATTATGCTAAAAAGTCAGTGACATTCAGACTAGTAAGCACATTTTAATATCAATCTTAAATAGTTTCAGTTTTGATGAACTTGCATAAATTCCAAGGTCACCTTGTTGGACAGCCCGCAATCACACAAATATCTTTCCCAGAGTTCTGTATACGCACTTATCTGAAGTGATTCCAGTGTATTTAGATACGTTTGTTTTTGAGAAATAAACAGAATGTGGAGTTAATGTTGACCTTGTGGGATACCTAATGAAGATCTGTCCTTACTCAACCTTTTTGTTGTATCAGCATAAAGTGAGTCAGCGGGAGTCTGGTGTTCATTCGCCAAAGTTTAGAACCAAGCACTGAAATGATGCACCAAACTCCTTTTACTTCCCTTGTATTTGGGTCAGATTCCTCAAAATGATCTGCATCACTTTATACCTCCGGGTACTGCAAGGGAATTTTTGCAACTTTTGCAGACTAATCCTTTGAGTATATTTTTTGAGGTATATGTTTTGGTATTATGCCTAGAAGCAAAATACGCCTCAATAATAAGACCGAGGAAGATTTAAAGATGCAAAGTAACCAAATCGGACGCTGTGTGTTTGTGAAAAGTCAACAGAAGTAATTGCTGAAGTTTGCTTTCGATAAAACATGCCAAATTTTTTAGAGGTCTTTAAAAGGCACCTCTACAAATTGTTCCCAAACTCTTAAAAAATCTTCCTGCCATTACAACACAAAAAGAAAAAAACAGATGTGTTGCAATTATATACACCTGTTATGAAACTCAGTATGATGCATTATGAATGAGCAGATCGCCTGGATTTAAAAAGTGCTCACCCACTTCTATTGACTGCTGCTTGAGAAAATAAGACATGAAATCCTTTGTCCTTGATGTTTTAGAGATTTACATAATCCATCTTAAGCAAAGGAAAACTTGAGGTCTTACCACCCAGTGTCAAGAAAATTCAGAGAAGTACGTTGCCTCACTGACCTTCCTGGTGGCTATTTCATGTTGGGAAGTTAAGCCTGAACAAAGAACATGACAAAGCTGGAGTCTTTGGAAATGAAGGAACTCTGCTGCCTGCCAGGAAAAGCTGAGGGGAAAATTGCCCTCATCCATAGTGGCATGGGACATAGAGCCCTACAATCAGCCCTTGTCAAGATGTAACATAGATGGGCAATCTGTGTGATCCCTTAAACCCATCCACCCTCCAGCCTGCTGCCTTCATGCTCACACTTACACACATACACTCACACACAGTCACACACACACCAATCAGTGTCCACATGCTTCACATCTTTAGGACTTCGCCAAACAATCCCAGTCAAGATTACAGGGTGTGTTATCACCCACAGGATGACAGCTGAGCAGAAGCAAAGTGCAGCTTTCAGCAGCCTTTGGCCTGTGTTGAGTGTAAGATAAAACACAGATTGCATTTATTGTATGCAAAGTGACCCTCGAAATCAACTTAATACTCCAATCCCAATATGCAGCATAAAATTTTCTTGCTTCAGCCAAAAATGTTTTCGATATCACAGTTAAATCATTATAAAATGCTTCCATAGGAGTCATTTGTTGATCAAGGTTATTCAAGGCTAAACAGCTATTTATTTCTACAGAATATATGAATATAAAATAAAGGCAACATAAATAAATATAGAGTTTCAATGCATTGTATTTATCCAACCATCTATCCATTCATCTTCTACTGCTCCTATGCACCCTCAAAGATCCTGTGGTGGGGAATGGAGCTGGTTCACAGTTCCATGACCAGCTGAGCCACAGCCGCCACATTGAGAATGATGTGATTGATTGATTGTTAATGGAAACCTATGATGTTTCATCACAAGCTACACAGATGTTGTCATAATCACTTGACATGCTTTCTGGCTTTTCCAAAATAGCCTGTTATAGTAAGTCTGCAATGATTGGTCTTGGTCTGAACCTGGGACCAGGCTGGGCCATCATATTAGGACTAAGTGGAGGGACACCCAGAGGCTTTTTCTATTAAAACTCAGTTTCACTGCTCCATTTTTCCTCCTCTGATTCAGTATGTCTCAGAAAGTTGATACCAACTGTTCTGTTGGCTCTGAAGGAAAGTCACAGTAATTTCCTTTTCCTAAAGATGAAGCAACATAAAACTGTGAGTTTTTTTATATTTTGGCAACAACCACAATGTGTCTGGTTGTGCTTGCTGCTTCACTGATGTTTGGTTTACTTATTTTTTTAAATAAGGGCTAGAACATGCTTTATTTTCATCTTAGCTGGGGCTGTAAGCTGTGACATACAACTGAGGGTAACTACAGCCTTCCCTATCCTTAAATGTGGAGCTACCACAGGTGGTTACCATAGACTGTATATACTATTAACACACTGGTTCCGCCTTCCACCAGTTTACGGATTTGAAGCCGAAAAGCTCTTGGTATTTCTGCAATTTTTCTTGATTTCCTAAAACTAACATTGCGCTGTAGCCTTGTATGCATTCGACGGGAGAGTCGCTGTGATGACGCTTGGCTCAAACAGCGTATCCCCTAGGTCAGGGGTCGGCAACCCGCGGCTCTGGAGCCGCATGCGGCTCTATCTTCCCTAAGCTGCGGCTCCCAATGGATTTGGAAAATAAATAATAAATACTTAATTGCATTTTATTTTATTTTATCATTATTATTATTATTATTATTTGTAATTCTAAATTCAAAGATTATAATGCTCTTGTAACATTAAATAAACTATTAAGGCTGCAACAACGAATCGATTGAGTAGATTCGTCGTGACGAAAAAATCCGTTGCCAACAAATTCTGTAATCGATTCGTCGGGTCTTTATATATGTCCATGGACACCGGCGTGTAAACATCAGCAGAATGCATGCACAGAAAAGAAACAGCCATGACCGAGGCAGCGGCTGAGAAAAACATGGACACAACCCAACCCAAATCCCGACCTAAAACATCAGTGGTGTGGGAAAACTTCACCAAGACTGAAAAGGAAGGCGTTCAGTGCAACATTTGCAAAGACCGTTTTGCATGGCTCGGGAGTACATCGATGATGCGTGAGCACAGGGCTCTCAAGTCTCACGCATTCAGCGTATGACACACGCATTCCCACTCGTTCACACGCTCACACACACCACACATTGTATTTCTCACGCATTTAAATGAACACGGTGATGTCCACCAAGTTGCACTTCTTCAACTATGGAACTGGGGGAAATCAACTGAGTTCCTCCGAGAGTTCAGAAGCTGCGTGCCACGCACAAGCCAATCAAATAAAGTATATCTACTGAACAGCCAATCAAAAAGCAGCATTGCTGTACCCGGGTAGATTTTGATATCTTGCGGTTTAACTACAGAAGACAGACACTCGCCGAAATAGTTCATTTATCTCATAAATGCAATTCGCTACAGTTTTTTATATACTTTGTATAAAGGTAAAAAAAAGATATATGCAATGTTATCTTCATTTTAGATGTCAAAGAGGTTTTGTGGCTCCCTGTGTTTTCTTTTCTGTGGGAAACTGGTCCAAGTGGCTCTTTGAGTGTTTAAGGTTGCCGACCCCTGCCCTAGGTGATCTATGCAATCTTTGTACAAACCAGTCTTACAATAACTACATGTCAACATTGCAAGCAGGGGGGAGAAACATTTATATTCTATGTAATAAATTTTTAAAGTTTGTCCACAGCCCCATAGGGATTGCTGGTGGAGGCGGGATTTATGACCTATACTGCAGCCCATCACCAGAGGGTGCTGTTCTCGGGTTGGCTTAACCCAGCGAGGAGGCAGACGCTGTTCATTCTATACACAGTCTATGGTATGAACGTATAACTTGTTTTCCATGACTATTAGGTGGTGTTATCAAATGGTACAGTCATTATGCACTCTCTCTTGGCGGATTCTTGATAAACTATGTGAGCGAGAAAAGACAATCCAGAAGGAAGGCGTGCAGCAAGTGGCTACAGCCGGGAGCATAATGGAAACTGTGACTGACACAACAGATTCAACAAAGACACAGAGTCTGACTCATCTCCATGAAACAGCTCCTATAAAGAGAACAGGTGATTCATTTATCAGTGAGGATAGGACCCTCTTCTGAAGCACAACAAAAGTGAAGTGTTTCATCTTGCTTCTGAAATAATCATGCACTGACTAATCTGAACTGTGGAGTTTAGATGCCAGAGAGGTAAGAATAAACAAAGAGGGGGGCAAGGAGAGGAGGTTAACACTGCAACTAAATATATCAGCTGTAAATTTATTGAAAAAGTCATTAATCTACATAAAAATAGTTGATACTTCCTTGCAAAACAATGTTAAATTTAATTAGGCATCTTTGCTTTGGCCTTAGAGTTGTTTTAACATATTCTGAGTTTACTTTTGTCAGCTCCAACTACTGCCAATGTACTAATATTCTCAAACATATGTCTGTAAAAATTATAATTACTTTTAATTCAAAGAGAACGTTTAATTTAAATTATTCTTGGATAAAAATGTGATTTCCTGGTTAAAAGCAATATGTTTTGGCTGCAATTTATCATGGCCTTTAATGCTGGTCTCTGTGATGTAATTTCATTTGTCTTGGTTTCCAGCTCTATAGATGTTTTAAGATGATGTTTCTTCACCAAGTCATTCAAGTGTTGAGCGCCCTTTGCTGCATACAGGATTCCCTGCTGTCCTAGAAAACAAGTTGACCAATTAGTACACAGAAAGTAAGTGTAAAAAGATAAATTTTATGGAAAATATTAGGTTGTCCTGGAAAATTATTTATCCTCCTAATTGTATGTCCCAAAATAGATGTCATTGTCATCTAATATTGTGAAGAAATTATGTTAAAAAGGCAAAAAGATCTCCAAACTCTCTGGATCAGATTATGGACTTGATTCAAAATTTGTCATTTAAAAAGAATAACCAAACTTTGATGTGTTGCAACAGTGAAGGAGGCATCTGGAGTTCTGGGTTTTAGAGCACTCCTGGGAGGGACTTTAAAGAGACCGAACACAGAGGCTGAAATATAAAATAGGTAAAAAGTATTATTTTATTTAGCTGAAAATCATCAGAGCTACAAAACAGTTTATGGACAAAAGTATTGAGAACAAGCTAAGCTACATGCTGTCAACACTTTGGGCTTTATTTTTGTGCCTCCCTGGCAGCGTGGCGGCAGCGCGGTGTAAGTACACTTGTATTTTGGTCAAAAATATCATTTTTTAAATCTTTTCTTTATCATTTCTTTGAAGTAATAATCACCATATTAATCATTTTGCACTGCAGATGCTGTAGTTCTTCTATCTTAGCGTCTCGGTCTGAATGCATTTCCAGGAAAATATGATCATAAATGTTCCTCCTTGAGCTGTGCCACCCCACAGCAGTCCATAATGGACTGGCCTGAGGTCTCGCTACAATCAAGTAGCTGCTGGAAGAGAGTAGGTGAGTTGTGTTTAGTCTCTTTGCTAAAGAAATCAGGCAAAGCTAAAAAGATGTTGGTGGCTAGTACTATAGCTCGGACCCTATACTGTACTGTTGATGAAGTTAGGTGCTGTTCTGAGCATTATCTGTGGCTATAGAGTGGCGTTTTGGTTGAGGTTTGATTGTGGCTCCTCAGAGCACTGTGTATTGCTATCGTGCGGTTGTTACTGAAGTTGGTATAACTAGAGAAGCAAGCAGTCAGCAACATACACCTCTCAAAGGGGTGTCTAACTCTGTGTTATGGTGTGTTTGACCCTAAATAAATTTTATGCCGGAATATCCCTTTAATGTCAATATTAAAGAAAAAGATCAGCCTTTAAAAAGCGGTCACTTGTCTTATTTCTAATGATCTTAAAGTATATGTTACTTTCAGGGATAAAGTGGAGATGGCTTTCACCCGTAAAGCCATGTCAGGTCCCTGCGCAACATTTCCACTGTTGGGAGTATAGGCTTAACTTCATGCTGCTGGTTCTTTCTCCCTCTGTGCACAGATGTGGTCAAAACACCTTAAGCTCAAGACATGCTGTCATCATTAAACAACATATTCAGTGCCATCAATCCCAGGAACATAAAGAGACAACTTACAGGGTCACTCTGGGTGGGAGAGAGGGGGCTTATGGCGATGCCCTCCTTTAACAGCTTGGCTGGCATGTGTGAACAAATCACAGCTGAGACTCAATTTCAGTCCCAGAGCCATTTTTGTATCTTGCTCAAACACTTTATGACAGCATGATGATGATAACAATGATGATGATAAGTATGTGATGGTAGGTACCACCAGATGTTCTGTGAAACTGCAGATAATGAGAGCTGATATGAATGAAGCACACTCAGGTGAGGCCTCCAGCTGTAGATAATAGAAGTTTTAATCTTTCATGAATGAGTAGCTGACTCAGAGTATAATTTGAAGTGGAGAATTGAGTCTTTTGCACACAGTGGCAGCTACTACTATTACTACCACAGTGTGTGACACAAAAACTGCTACTATTACAGCAATTCTATTAGAGTTACATCATTTTTGGTTTTTGTACATTTTGTCTGGTAATAGATCTGTCTGTGAGAGTTTCTGCATAACACACATTTACAGACGCAAATGTCTCCTGCTACTACCACTGTCTCTTGTAATGCTGGACTTAACAACCTCATTCAGCCTAAAAGGAGGCTGACATAATCCACATGAATGATTTGTCCTGCAATAATACCTCACCCACAAAGCCAAGCTTACTATATACACTGCCTCATTTTTTCATCACTTCTTTATTTTGCTTTAACAGGATTTTTTTTAGTTCATTATAAGCTGTTGCTGTTTGCCTTGTTCAGTTAGGCTGGCTATACACTAGACAACTTTTTTAACGTTGTGATCCTCCAAAAGCACACAATGGTTGACTCCATAAGACTGGTTGATCACAGACTTTCAGTTTGTGGTCACAAAAATAGACCCAAGGTCTCACAAATATTGTGGGACTAACATGGAGAATGCTCAACAGTGTCAGCCGGATGTTCTAACAAGCTCTTTTTTTGCTGCAAAAAACAAAAAATTAAAAGGTAGGGTAGGCAGGAATCCATTAAGGAAGCATCCTTTTTTGTGGTGTATATACAAAAAAGGTTTTCATATAAGTCAATAGCGATTAGCTATAGAATGACATTTGGTTCTATAACTATATAGCTGTGTTGTGTTAAGTCTGTGTAGTCAACATTTTAAATTTTTTGAGTGGCCCGCTCTTTCTGACTGTAAACAAAGTCATTCTCTGCGTCCCCCAACCTGGTTGGTTGTGAGGCGGACGCTGCTCCTTAGTGTTAATTGGTTGTAAGTCAGACGCTGCTTCCCCGTCTTGTGAGACACGCTCCACGTCCTTGAATAACGTTCTCGAGCCCAAAAAAAGTTAGCGTGCTACAATATCGGAAACCAACCGGAAAGTACAGAATATTGTATGAATCCTCCTTTAGCCACGACTGCCAACACAAGCAAGAAAACAAAGTAAATACTGGAGACTCTGGCGGAATAACGGGCGCTTAAAAAGGAGGTAGACCGGACAAAGGCTAAAAAGCCGGGTCAACATTAATGTAGCATTTGGGGGACGCTTTGAGACCCTGTAACCTTTCTGCTGGACAGGCAAACCGCTTTAACAAAATAAGCCAAGTGTCTGTAACAGAAGTGTTTCTTGTCAAATGGGACCTGCTGCGTGTTGTAGCTAAACTGTTAACCTCGGGTCCTGGACTATGTCACTTTATCCTAGTTGTAGAAGTCCTGCAAACATTGTGTTTGCTGGTAGTCTGTTGGCGTCTACAGTAGCACCAATGCTTTTTACTTTCACATTGACTGAGCCCCATTTGTAATTATCTGAAGTATTTATCTGCATTATATCTGAATTTAATTGAAACGATATGAGTGAGCACGAGCGTCTGTTTGTGGGCGGGGCTTGCTGGAGCAGAGAAGGAGGGGAGAGGAGGAGCTGAGGGGAAAACTGGTTGGGAGGGGTAGTGTTTACATTCAAGATTTCTCCGTAAAACTGGAACTTCCTCAGATCCTGCCTACCCTACCTTTAAGTATATAGATGAAATCTTCACTGATACGACATCGCGGGTGTGGCTAATACATTTTTTTTAAGTATCAAAGTTGTGTTTATGTTGGCTGAACACAGCCGATGACACTTCCTTGTCTGGTCCTCTTCCATATTCCACAGCTGCTATCATAATTTTGTTATAATTCCTGCTTCTTATTATTATTATTATTTTGGACAACTATTACTACTGCTTTCACTATTTTAACAATACAGCTGCTGCTATAACTTTAAATGCTTTTGCTGCCACACTTTGGCCAACTACATTTTCTCAATAGCCTTTGCTTCCTGTTGAAAAAATCCTTGGCCAGAAACTCCAAAAGCTCTGCCATCAGTGTATGAATGTTGCATGAATGGGTGAATGTGACAGGTAGTGTGAAACCACTTCGCTTGAGATCATTCAAACACTCTCAACACGACATTTTATATCAACCCACATTCAAATGGAAGTGCTGTTCATTTACCACAACTGTTTTCATCTATAATTAGTCCAAATCCTGGTACTACTAAAGCTGATAATACAGCTTCAAAAAATTATAGCTGCTTCATAACAAAAAATCACCAGTGCTTCTCTGATAACCACTTCTGACGCATCTATTATAGCTAATACAGCTATTACTGTGGATAGAGCTACAATTAAACGAGAGTCGATATTACTATTACTCTTTAATCTGCCAGCAGTGTTACTTCACAAAAGATACTTATATGACTGATTCCTCCCTATCACACCGCCTGAATTCCTACTCCAGTTATCAGACCAGTAAGGCCAAGATCAGCCCATAAATCCTAATTTTATATTGTGATGAATTTTTATCTTTATAAAAAACAATGTCTTCTTTATTTCTCATCTAGGATAGCAAGGGGAGTGTGGTGATGCAGGGGGGCGTTATTGACAGACAAGGTGTGAGAGTGAGGAGGTTGCTTAAAAGCCAACACTCAGATGCAATACTGTATGTACAGATAGATGGTAGAATAAAGGGGGAAAAAATCAACCTGAAGCAATTTGGTAACAGCTGACAGGCACTGTGAGGAGTTTTCATGTTATTTTGAACTTAACGATGAAGTCACCGTGACTTAATTGAGAAAGATTGGATCAGGAATTGGAAATACTAATTTCTGTGAAATCAAATGAGCTCCCTTTCAGTTACCTCAGATGTGGTTACTGTTTGAGGTCCATATGCCTGCGAAGCCTCTTTGAAGCTCAACACGACCTGCTGTCGTGGAGTATGAGGCTTTAAAGGGATTCTCCAGCGTAAAATTAATTGAGAGTCAAACACACTGTAACACTGAGTCAAGCATCCCATCAAGAGATGAATGTTGTCAACTGCTTGCCTCTCTAGTTTTACCAACTTTAGTAACAACCGCAGGAGAGCAAAACACAGTGGTCTGAGGAGCCATCAACAAACCTCAACCAAAACGCCACTCTATAGCCACAAATAATGCTCAGAACAGCACCTAACTTCATCAACAGTACATATAAGGTCCCAGCCACAACACTAGCCACCAAACATCTTTTTAGTTTTGCCTAATTTCTTTAGAAACTCACTTGCTCTCTTCTAGCAGCCGCTTGTTTGTAGCGACACCTCAGGCCAGTCCACTACGGACTACAGCGGAGTGACGCAGCTCAAGGAAGAACATTTATGATCATTTCTTCATGGAAATGCAATCAGACCGAGACGCTAAGACAGGAGAACTACCGTGTCTGCAGTGAAAAATGTTTAATATGGTGATTATTACTTCAAGGAAATGATTAAGTAATAATCATAAATGTTCTTCCTTGAGCTGCGTCACCCCGCTGTAGTCCGTAATGGACTGGTCTGAGGTCTTGCTACAAACAAGCGGCTGCTGGAAGAGAGTAGGTGAGTTGTGTTTAGTCTCTTTGCTCAAGAAATTAGGCAAAGCTAAAAAGATGTTTGGTGGCTAGTGCTGTGGCTAGGACCCTATATGTACTGTTGATGAAGTTAGGTGCTGTTCTGAGCATTATTTGCTGCTACAGAGTGGCGTTTTGGTTGAGGTTTGTTTATGGCTCCTCAGACCGCTGTGTATTGTTATCCCGTGGTTGTTACTAGTGTTGGTATAACTAGAGAAGCACGCAGTCAGCAACATTCATCTCTCAAGGGGGTGTCTAACTCTGTGTTACAGTGTGTTTGACTCTAAATTAATTTAACGCCGGAATATCCCTTTAATCACACTGGCCATCAGATGAAAACATCAAATATAAGTTCAGCTGTTTGTATTTGTCCTTAAGGGCTGATAAATGTGATTGTTACTCTGAGCCAAAGCATCAGTGGCTTTTAAAGCACCTCACCAAGCTGTAGAGTAACATTTCTCCTTTTTTCTGCTCTTAATGTACGAACACGATGAGTGTGTTGTAACATACACTGTATCTAAATAGGCATCTTCATTCCATTTTTACTTTCCCACACGATGACACTAAATTTAATTAGTTTCTACAAACTGCTCACAGTTGGCACAGTCCAAATTGTGTCCTTATCTGTGTAGCAGTTTCATTTTGCACAAAGGTTCTTTCAGTTCTTTCACTTTCTGTGTTTGAAATATTGTTTGAAATTCTATCAAAAGAGTGCAGATAATAAATATCGTTTCATTATTCCTAAAAGGGGATTCTCCTCTTAATATTAACAGGTGAGAGCATGAGGTCATAACTCTTATTCTCTCAGCTGAGCACTATATTTGAGCACAATCCTTCAGAGAACTCAAATCAAAACTCCACCGTCTTAAGACTTCAATTGTTAGGTCAAATATTACCTGAAAATAATAATAACTTTGGATTTAAACTTCTTGGAGTGCAAGATGAAATTGCTCTGCCATATGAGGTCTATGGTAGGGCAAATGACAAAAAAATTTCAGACTGACATTGAGACACTAGTAATTGTTTTCATTTCATGGTCTGAGGCGTCCAGAAAATTCCATCTTTCCAAACTTAAAGTAAAAAATCTCTAACTCCGTGCTGAACAGATACAATCTGATGACTTTTAAGTTTTTATCTAAAAAAGGTGAATGTATAAAATTTTCGGTCTCATCTTCTGTATGTTAACAGATATGGTCTGTTAACATGGAAAATTTCTCCACCTAGTCTTGGAGAAACTGTTGTACAAATGTGAACCATTTCATACAGCTGACCCCACACAGGAGTAAACCAACGTTTAAATGTTAGCTGGTCAAATTCTGCACCGGTGTTACCCTCAACAAATACTGTACTCAAATCCAAAAGCTAGCATTTTCCTTCTTCTTGTGACCTTAGCCCCAAAATAAATAAAAAAATGAAGAAACATGCTCAATCTGTCAGGCTTTTAAACAATCTGTCTATATGTAGCACCAATTCAAAACAAATGTTATCTCAAGGTGCTTCACAAACACAGCAGGTCTCAACCAAACCCTTGGATCTATTATTCAAAAGACAACATTAAGATAAGACTCACCTAGTGGGATAAGACCCACTCTTGTCCCATCTTAATCCCCTATGAGCAGAGCACTTTGCAGCATTTAGCAAGTTAGTTGTTTCCTTGTAATTGTCTGAAAGTGCACGGGCCACAACTACATGTTTTAATAATTTTTCGGGTCCCTCTTGTTCAAGGTCTCTTAGAGTCATCCTAGCTTTTCTACCAATCTGGCGCCCCTGAATACTGTAAGGACAGTAGATTTTTTAAAGTGTGTACAATTTAATGAGCCACAATGTTACTGTAAACAAGTTATAGTCTGACCTGTCGACTCAGGTCATCTGATACAGCCCTGAGAACTATCAAAACACAATTAAGCAGCAATTAGGCATTATTCCACCTGTGAAGGGAATAAACATTGTTTACTTAAGTTTAAAAGCTTTTCTGTTCTCATGTGCCTTTGAATAAACTCTACAAATTACACTTTCATTTTTACTGTATAATAATTTCAATTTCCTCTTATTGCATGGCACAACACATGAATATTTATGTCTCTTTTATTCGTTGTTATGACACTTTGAAAATTACTTGATTCTCTTTTAGTTTGGTATAATGTAATACTTCTAACGTGTTTTCATATGTCAGATTTGCTTTTGTGTATGAAGTGTGCAATATAATTGAATTTTGATTACTTTGCCAACTAATGTGTGCAGCATTGTACACTATGTAACATTATTTACAGACCTGTAACTGTGTAAAAAGTGAATTAAAATAGTGCCCCAGCTGGCTTTCTTGTTCAAGTTGACCAAATTTGAGAGAATAAGTTGAGATTTGTTTTTATTCATTTATTCAGAAAAACTTTTGCAGTCAAATTAATGTATTCATAATGCTTTCATTTCCCTAGTTTGTTGACAGCATTTCTTTTAACAATGATGACAGAACTGAGATGTGAACCAGAGACCCTTCTGTTATAGGAGGTGGTACACACTGCTATATGTTATCACTTTGTATAATATCATCCTAAATAGCCTATAAATCTGGGTTAACTTCATCATGAGTTATATCCTTTTGACTCACATTTTTAACTGAATCTCAAGATTGAGAATTTAATATTAGTTGAGGTTATTTAAACACTGAATACTGAGTTATCATAAAAATACTAACCTTTAATTGAATTTTAGATAAATCATTTTAAGTGCCAATGTCTACATAGTAGAAACTCCCTTTTAAAAAATACTTAAAAGAGCTCATGCAATGAAGTAGGCAAACTGTATAATATTGGGGCACAAATGCAGTCATTTCCACTGAAATTGATTTCTTGTAATCAGCAGGTTAAGTCATCTTCTCAGCCAGTTTTTTTTCTCTGCCTTTTGAATTCTGTTCAGGTCATTTTTAATCCAAACAAATGTTTGTCTACAGCTTTCAGGAAAAGTCTGCATGTCTGCCAGATTGTTTGTTCCGATCTCACCAGTACGATAGTGCATAAAAGCGCGTGTGTGTGTTGTGTTTCCTACAGAGGAGACTCGGGCCTGCAGTAGATGTAACCATTTCACACAACATGAATATTACAATGGCTCTTGTTGCAGTAGCCTGGAAACAACAGTGGATCCGCCTTCAGTGTTCTGTGCAGCCGTCCTTTTAAAGTGTTGCCTGGCAAACTGGAGGAGGACAGGCCTGGTGCATTAGTTTCCTCTAGCTAAAAGTCCTCACTGTCTCCTGAACAACACTATCTTACTCCCATAATGGAGGAGTGAGCTTCTTTGAGACCTCTGCAGGGAAGAGGAAGTTAATTTGATTATATTCCACATTTTGCATCATGAGAATATGTTTGCTGATTTAAAAAAAGAAGTTTGAACTTATCTTAAAGCAAATTAAATTTAAATGAATCCAGTGTTTTAATTGGATACTGGTGACTGATAAAAAGATTCATCAAAAACTCAGTGAAATGAGCAACATATCACTGCAAAGAATAAGCTTTATGATGGGAATGCATCATCAACAGTAGCGTCAAAATGAGGTGAATAAGGTTGTATTTGCTAAGGGGTATATGAAATGAATTATTCAGTGAAAACTGGATTGATGTGTCTTTGCAGGGGGTTTACCCTTTGTGGTAACACTTCCTCAGGCAAGCTTAACATACTTAAGAAATAAACACACAAATGTTTATATGAGCAGTATTTTAAAAAATTATAATAACTCAAGGATTTCCTTGTGCTGTTGCAAGCCTTAATCAAAACCTAGATACTACATACTCATGTGATGATCGGACCTGTAATACCCGTGCTGCAAGGTTGTCATCTTTAATGCTGATGTTGCCTAGCTTGCAGATGCTACACCGGCATGTTTCCTTCTTTTGTTTACTCCTACAGCTAAAACGAAGTGTTGCAGTGTTTCAGACAGAGGCTGAAATAATGATATTTTGATACACCACTTTGAGAGATTTGATCTTTTTTTGACCTAAAAAATCATGTAAAGCTAGAAAGGAAAAAATGGATAACACTTTACAATAACAATAATTTATAAATGGTAAATAGTTTATTAATGTTTAATCATCATTTAAAAACAGCATATAGACCAATTACAAATGGCAATTAGATAGTTTATTAATGTAAGTTAATAGTTACTTTACTATTAACAAGCAATGAAATTATGATTAATAGTTTTCATTAATTATTAATAGACTATTAATTAAAGTTTTATATAGGGTTTAAATATTGGTTGTAAAACATCTATATAAAAATGTGTGTAAGTAGAACTTTGTAAATTATTTGATTTTTTAACCATCTATAAACATTACTTAGATGGTTATTGTAAAGTTGCAACTGATGTTTGTAATACTTTGTTAATGATTGATAAGTGGTTTATAAACCATCTATAAACATTACTTAGATGTTATCTTAAAGTTAGGGTTAGGGTCAGGTATTGAAAATTGTAAAATTTACAATTTATTAATCGACTATATGCTATTTAGAAATGATGATTGAACATTAATAAACTATCTGCTTACCATTTATAAATGGTCTATTTTCCATGTATAAGCTATGGTCATGGTAAAGTGTTACCCTCTTTGTTATCATCAGCTCTGAATCACCTGTTGTAGTTGAGTTTAAGTGTTATGGCTGATTGACCACACGCCATTTGTTCGAGGCTAGGGACTCGTATAAATGTATGTTACAGTGAATTTTGAATATGGACATTAGTGAATGTAAAAATAGTGAATGGTGATCTGTAAAAGTGACGTCAGCTCTCCGAAGTGTACTCAGAGGAGCTGTCCTTTCAGCACCACAACGCAAACCCTGCCTCTTATCCAACTATTGCTCTCTCTATCCGAGCTTCTCCGTCCTCCTTCACAGCCACAGGTCTTCTTTTTAGCAGATTTTCGAATGCATTTCCATGTCTCTCACGCCACCAACTCCTAACGTTGCCTGACTCTATATGTCGACTACACACCGTCAAAGTTCAGTGACGATACTCTTTACAGCCGGACCAGACCAAGTGATGCAAATGTTGAACTACCCTCTGAACGCACCACGTCATTCCCTTGTTAAATCTTCCGTGGAAATAAAGTGCAACCCAAATATCACTGTGGTAATTGAGCGTGATGACAGACCGCTGTGAGCACCCAGCGCAGCTATCTTCTGACCAGTGAGTGAGTTCTGCAACATGTTGCTGAAAACTTTATCCCAACACCCACGGCACAATCGAGATGTTTGCGATCAGGTCGAATAGTTCGCAAAAGCTCTGAGTAGTAACATGTTGCTCCGCGTTATTGCTGTTTGGGAATATTAGATCCTGATGTCAATGTGTGGTCATGTTGCGCATCAGTGACAACACAGTGACATTAAGATACAGCTGTAATAATCATAATAGATCATTCATGCCGTTTTTAGGTACCTGGATCCACCAAAAGAGCTTAAAACTTACCTATGGTGGTAATAACCGTGATGGCAAAGTAGAATGACCCTGCGAATTTCCACTGCACCCCGGCTCTGTGGGGCTCAGCCTCCATGATGATGGTCTCTAGTTTGCGGTAATCATCCTCGCTGATATTATATTTCCCCTGGAGACGCTTCTCCTCAGCTTCCAGCTGCTCTTTTTCCCGCATCTCGAAATCGGACTCCAGGGCGTCAAAGACTGCGGCCCCGACCAGAAGGTATGTAAACGTGCAAATGATCAGGGACAAGGTCCGCACGTTTTGCCGCTTCATGGCCAACAGGAACCGGCGACCGAGGGGCTCATGTCCCCTCGGATTCCCCGGGAAGGCGTAGCGAGCGTAGGGAAAGCCGTGTGGGCAGTGCTTAGAGGCGGAGGCGCAGAAAGGTGCGCTCTGGTGACTGTGTCCGCGTTGGACGCAGGAGTTGGAGCAGCGGTGGAAACCCCCTGCCTTGCGGTGATCCCGGTGACAGAAACCTAGATCCTGCTCCTGGTTTGCAGAGAGACACAAAAGACTACTCGATCGCCTGGACCAGGAGTCCTGCAGCCGAAACACCCTGCGCAAGACCTGCCCAAACCAAGTCCTCCCGGTGCGCAGTGCCATCAACAAGCTGCTCCCAAGATCGCCTGTTGGTGTCTGTTCTCTACAAGTGAACTAAATTGATGTGATTTATTCTCGGGTCAATCTCTGACAGATCTTTTTCTGTCTTCCCTCGACGCCCCACTCTTACTTTGTCTGTGGTGTGGATTAAATTATCCTAAAACTGAGCATCCTTCCGCATGTCTCTAAGTTTCAGCTCAGCACCAACCTGTTCATTGTAATCTCATCGGCACGCCGGCTATTTTTAGCAGCCATTCCCCGTGTAAGAAAAAATCCACTTCCAGTGGAATCCGTATATCTCCCCTGCAAACAGATGACATCCTCATCTTCTCGAGAAATGTGCTGAGTCGTTGATAAGACGGGAGGGTTACAGAGTATCGCAGAGGTACAGCAAGTTGGGAAATGTTACTTAGACAGAGCACAGATCATCGCAGCAAACCTTTTCACAGCCTGGTTTTCCTTTTCAGCTGTTTTGTTGTTGTTGATGGATCAACGCACCACTTGTTTGAGAAATTTAAAAAAATATTCCAAGCACGCAACAAATTGTCGTCGCAGGTTCCATCGGGGAGAGGAATCTATCCAAATCTTAGTTTTGGATGCGTGTAAGGAAAGCGCACGAGACGAAAAAGAGACTTAAACCAGAAAGAAACACTAATTATGAGCTGTTAATGCGCGCTCCGTGACCACAGTGACACTCAGGCTCTGTTGCGCACATCCAAGCCTTCTCTCCTCCTCTCCCGCACAGCCTGCAGACCAGTGTCAGGTGAAAGTGAGGAGGGAAAAACGTGTTTCCATGTGTTTCCCTGCGTCGTGCGGGGGCCTCTGAGTTAACCATGCGTGTCACGAGCTGCTCCTATAATCTGAAGGCTCCACATTTTATGTCTCCACACACTCCAGACTCTAATCGATGGGCGTTGCTCCGCCTGTCTCGGCGTTTTTCCATTTCCAAGTGTCACAAATCCCCCAAATCACGGCCACACTTTCTAAACACTCCAGGAAGCCTTTTCATCAGGAAAAATCTGCTGGGACAAGAAAAGTGACAGCTGCTACCCCCGTCCCCATACCTCACGACCCCTCCCATTATGACCCCTCCTACTCATTATGGACACAGAAGGTTTACTTAGACTCACATGGTCACTTTAGTGCTTTTTACACTCCAGCAGCAGCAGCAGCAGCAGCAGCAGCAGCAGCAGCAGCGGGACATCAGCGCGCTCATCCCCACAGGCTGCTGCGCTGTCCAAGGTGCTGGAAGCTCACACACTGCTGCGCGCAATACTATCCAAGTTACCAGACACCATGAAAAGCAGAATCAAATGTCATATCAAAGGGAAGTTGGACTTAATTTTAGACAATCCACATAAAATAAAGTGGCTGGATTAATTTACCAGACAGCTGCTGGAGAAACCCAAATGGTCAAAAGGCTCCAAGTACCCTGGCAAGTCTTGTGAATAACAGTATTTGCCAATCTGAAGGCCTTTTTTTTCAGTTTATCCTCAAATAATGCTCAGTAATGCTCAACAATGTCTCTTGTGACACAACAAAACAAAAGAAATTGTATATTTTTTGATATTTCAGTATGAGTTGTGGTATTTTAAAGGTTACTTTTGGGACTTGAGTTGTTGTCTTGAATTAAAAAAAAAACTTTTAAGAGAAGATATTGAGTTTTTTTTGTACTTTACAAATCACTATTAAGTTTCAACTTGCAAGATAAGCATACGTTACAATAATCTGCAGGCTGGAAAGTGGAATAAGAGTGTGATGGTAACTTTTGTGAGTGTGCAAGAGGTAAGTTCAGCAGACAATAGTAGATGATGTGTTTATTTTGTTACTACTGATATCTTTGAGCCTATAGTGCTTACACCTCTATATTTTTACTACGGACAAAAAAAATTCAGCAAATGCAAAAAAACTTGTCACAAAATGTAAACTATTTTGTTAAATGCAAAAATATTTTACAGAGTGAATTTTTTTAAAAACAAAAATATTTAATTTTGACAAAAATCCAAAAAAACCTCACAGACCATGCTGTTGTTTGTCCACCACCTCACATAATGCTTTTTTTGTACACCTTTATTCATTTTTTCATGTTTAATGAAATACATTATGTGAAATGTTTTTGGTGATACGAGATGCTTGTGCCTTTGATCCTCAAGGGGTACAAAACATGTTCTCAACTTCCTTATTACTAATAATGTTATTATTTTTTCCCATAGCATTTTGCTCACACTGATGTCATTCCCACTTGCGTAAGCTTGTAACACTTTTCCACAGAAGACTTTTTTTTATATGAGGCTAAATTTAGCTTGAAATGAAACACTGCTTAATTGTCCATGTTCTCCATGCAAACCCACTCATGCACAACTAAAAACAAAAACAGGAAAAAAGCTCATCTCAATAAAAAGTTGAGTGCCTGCGGTAACCAGCAGATTGACCACATCGTTTCACAAATGCAACCATTGAAGGAGGGAGTAAGAGCTCCTCTGATCAGCAGTGTCTGGATCTGAAGTCACTCTATATTTAGATCTCTTTCTCACACCTCAAGTTCCCGTTCAGCCCTCCTCCAGAGTCTACAGAAGCTGAGAGAGAAAAGTTTATTAATGGAAACAGCTTGGATTAGTCTCCATGGTAATGACACTAAACTTACAGTATGGTTGCTCTGCTTATCATTAATGCAGGCGTTCTCTTTCACGTACAAACACACACGCATTGCACACCTACATTTGATAGAACAGTTCCTGTAAAACGAAGACCTTGTGAACGATGAACAAGAATAGCCTTTTTTGTGTGTACTTAACCTAAAATGAAGATGGTAAGCACAGAGTGGAGATAAATCTTAGTCTAAAATTGGTTTGTGCTGCTAAAGGTCACATATCATCCTCACATTAACATCTGCAGCACCAAGGTAGTATCTGTTTCATCTTATCTTACAGAAAACAAGGAAAATCAACAAATGTGATGCATGCAAATCAAGCATTAACTGCTGGGATACATATGATAGGATACAATAAACTTTGTAGTCCATGCGATACTGAGTGCATTATCGATTCTGCTTATCGATTCAATTCTTTAATGATTCCCTTATCAATGGCTTTCTTTGACTTTAAAAAAGCAGACTATAGGTTTTCACTGTTAACTCAGAATTTTATTGGGTCTCTGATGAAACAAACTGTACTGTACTGTTTGTACAGCATCTACTTGGGTCGGTATTAAGTCAAATTAGGGTGACCATATTCTGGATCCCCCAAAAGAGGACACCATTACGCGGGGAGGAGTCGCGCGCTAAATTCTGAGGGTTTTTCGGGTCGGTTCGAGTGTTTTTTACGCGCTTCTAACTCAGTTAATCCACGCTATACAAACTTTAAACTTCCAGACAAAACCGCGGACATTTTAAGGATTTTATAAACTCCCCCGGACAGGCCGGACAGCTTCAAAAAAGAGAGCATGTACAGGTAAAAGAGGAAGTTGTCAAATCTGGTACGCATTGTGCTTACCTTGACACAGGATATACTTACCTTCCATGACGACCGGCGGAGCGCGTCGAATTCACGTGACTCCTTATATTTGATGCCGTGCCCCGTCGACAAATGTTTAAGCGTGTTTTGCTGGTGTTTCCACCTTTGCGTGTTATCACTGCTCCGCAAACGTTGCACGTCGCTCTGTTGTCGTTTCTCTTGGTTAATGAAGCCACTCTGGTCTAGACAGTTTCTGCCAACTTTTCATACTGTCCGCCATGTTTTTTTTCCCTCCAAGTCTCTGTTCTCGTCCGCGTAGACTGGCTCTCGCGAGACAATTTTTCAAGGCACCCGGAAGAAAGGACGAGTAAAGGGACTCGTTAAAGGGATATTCCAGCATAAAATTAATTTAGGGTCAAACACTCCGTAACACCGAGTTAGACACCCCAACAGGTGAATGTTGCCGACCACTTGCTTCTCTAGTTATACCAATGTTAGTACGCATGATAGCAATACACAGCTGTCTGAGTTGCCATAAACAAACCTCAACCAAAACGCCACTTTATAGCCACAAATAAAGCTCAGAACAGCACCTAACTTCATCAACAGTACATATAGGGTCCCAGCCATAGTAGCTACTAGCCACCAAACATCTTTTTAGCTTTGCCTGATTTCTTTAGCAAAGAGACTAAACACAAATCACCTACTCTTTTACAACAGCCGCTTATTTGTAGCTAAGTTCCAAGGGGCCCAAACTGTGCCCAGAAAATATCCCCATATGATTACACCACCAACAACAACCTCAGCTTTTGATAGGAGGCAAGATGGATCCGTGCTTTCATGTTGTTAACGCCAAGTTTGAACTCTACCATCTGAATATTGTCGCTGAACACAGGGGCTGTGTTAAGAAACTGTTATTGTACTCCATGGACAAGTAGCTACCTTATGCAACTCCACTTAAAAATGAATGAATGCATAAATTTAAAAATCTAAAAATGCATCGTGGTAAATATTCTGACAAAGGAGGTTGATATGAAAGGTAAAAAGTCCCTTTTTCATTTCACAGAGACTTTAATTAGAAAGAAATAGTTACATAAGCTGCAGTCACATTTCAGACTTCAGTTTGGGTTTAATTCATATTTACCAGCTTGTGTGCTGTGGCTGATAGCGTATTAATTAAGCTGGAGCGTCACAGTGGATCAGTAAACACACAGAGGATGAGGATTCCTGCTTTTCTCTGCCAGGTTCTCTCCCTGCAGTGCTATAGGAGCGGGGATGAAAAGAGCAGCACAGGTGTCAACCACTCGTCTTTCTTCAGCACACACCTTAATCCGCTCAGAGCCCTTCATCACTCCACTACTGACATCATATCCATGTTAGGACTGTGCATATATTTAGATATCTATATATGAATGGACATGACTTAATACTACGCAGGAGGGGAAGAAAGAGATTGAATAGGATTGTGGAATCTCTGAGGTTAATTTGCATGAATGTTTTCACTAAGAGAGTGACGGCATAGCGTCTCCAGCAGAACTCCAGGGGATTTCTTTGCAACTAAATGAGAACCTCTTGTTTCCTCTCAAACAGCTCATTTTCCTCTCCATTGTAAATGCCTAATATCAGGGGGGCACAGATTGATGTCTGATTGTTGAGCTGATTTCGATCAGAATTGCAGGTTGGCTGCAAAGTAATGAAGGTGGGTGGCTAATAATGCACCGCCGATGTTCTGATAAGAAACCTCATTTAAACACAAGACGGGACGCTGAGTCTTGAGATGCCCTTAGTTGTTGGGAGGTCAGCTTAACATTTGGGAAAATGTCTGGAACATACTGATCCCCCCAAAGTTGGGCTATTTTTCCAATCATGAAGGTCGCACACATTCTAAAGCTGATAAAAGGTCAGATGTGGTACAGGGGCTGAACTTTTTTTAGGGATAAATATAAGTCTCAAAAGAAACATCTTAGATGGAAACTTTGTCATCTTTCAGAAATAACCCCCGATGATATTGCTAAAGTTAAATACAATTGGGATTAGAGACTGGATATTCATTAAATCTATAAAACAATAAAAAAAAAATCTTGCATCCAACAAGCAAATGTCTCATTGGTCAGACTAACATCTTTATGTCTTTAAGGGCATTAGGTACCACAAGCAGGCCTTTCTTCTGGGTGCGTGAGTCTCCAAAAGCAGTGCTAGGTAGGGCTCTCAGTTATCAGGTCCTTCTCTTAAGGCATCATCTGGGAGAAGACATTCCTCTCTAATTTTCAGAGATTACAAAAATTTTCCTTTTTCAAGAATCAATGCATGGTTTAAAGCTCAAAAAGGGGTCTCCCAGTTGGACCAGCTCTTTGCTATGCTGCTGCCTGGCTGTTAAGTGATGACTGTTAAGGTTTTCCTCACTGATTTTAACAGATTTGAGTCTTAAAATACTTAAATTAACCTTTCTGCTGATGTTCATGTAGATCTGACATTACCATTGACTTCACACTAAACAATCGGATCAGCCTATACTGCTTGGGAGCAGAAACATTGAGCTCCTGTCTTTCCCTCTAGCTCTCTCTTGAATACGTCACAAACTTTAAATCTTTATGTTCCTTTAAAGTCACTAAACACAGATCTTTCTGGGGATTCCTGAGGTCATTGTCTCAGACCTTTCAGGGCCCTGAGTAATATCAATCTCACTGTTATCATTGCTATTCTAATGCTAATGTAATTGTCAACTGCTAAAGCTGGTATTTTCATTCTTGCCCATATTATCATCATTATAGCTAAACACACAAATATCTGACATATGAAAAGAATAAAGTTCTGGTTCAGATGTTGAAGAGGTGTTTTCTTTCTCAAGGGCAGTTGTATGAGGTTAGGTTAGAGTTGACCGGTGTGCCTGTTGTTTGGCAGTTTCACAAAAGTAGATACAAGTGGCCAACTCCTGGAGCTATAACACTTACAATTAGTAGGTACCTCATACAACCTTGATTAAAAATGACCAAATTATCCCTTTAACTTTTATTCATATCAAGAACAGTCTATTATTAATAATTTGCAGCTGCTGTACGTAGCATACATACCTATATCATCATCATTGGTAGCGTAACCATGAGTCTGTATTGTTGTTGTTCTTTTCTCTCTGTCCTCATCTCGCTCTATCCCTCTTTCCAAGCCTGGCACGGTCTCAGCAGATGGCACTCTAACATGAGTCTGGTTCTTCTTGTGGTTTCTGTCTGTTGAAAGGAAGTTGTGACGTGCTTAATGTCGCACAGTGGTTTGCTAATGGAAGATAATGGAATGGATAAAATTAAATGTTGCCACGGTGTTGAGTCTTTGTCCCTTTTTCAATAATAGTCTTTTCATGGTATGCTTTTGATTTTATTTATCTTTTTTGGGGGGGAATTGTTCTGCAGAACCATAACTTACTTCTTGTTCTATCCTTGAAATATTGATTCACAAAAGACTCTTACCTTTTATTCATAAAAAAAGTTTTGCCAGCAGCCTCATACTTCAAAATATGACTATTGACAGAACCTAAAGCATCTGATTTTCATGTGCAGAATTGTGAAATATCCATACTAACTCAACTGACTTCAAGGATGTATTTTATCAATGTGTTAGACAATATCATCTCTGCATGAGGCTTAAGAGGAATATACAGCTCAGTACTGTGGTGCCTGGCTCATCAAACAACCTGCTGTTTTTGATGATCTGAAGTGAGAACTGACAGGCCTTTTTTTTTCATGCAGGGATGGTGTAAATGAAACATCCAGCTATGATGTGGAGAGAGTGTATGATTCAGTATTTCAAATGTTAGGCACATACAAGGGAAATGATGTTTAACTCATCCAAGCTACAAAAGATGTAAATAAACGTTCGTAATTTCTCATAATTAGATTTTGGAAAACGGTCTAATTTTCAGTATATGCATTATTGTACTGAAAGATTTTTCCTCTTCACAGAAACGTTTCTTGAGACCCAAGGATTCAACAAACAAGAAGAATCAAAGATGTCTAATTGCAGCCCACAAATTATGTTAGCGCAAATGATAAGCATATAAAGGGACAGAAAACATGCAGAGAGTATGTTTTTTAAGATGCAGCCTGAAGGAGCCACATTCACTTTAAGACGTGACAGAAAGCAGTTCTTTGGCAGCGTGCAGGAGTCTACACATTCAGCTGATTTTAATTTCTCACCATTTTACTATTCAAGAGCTGCTGCACACTCACTCTACCCTTAATCAAATAAATAAACAGATAAACAAATTAGTAAGTGTGGAGGGCATGACTTTGGCTTTGTTTGCATTATTTGCATAACCGATGAACCCTGTGGATTTGCTGATGTATTATTCACTGATGTAAACAAAACATTTACTGCATGTGGAAAAGCTGTTTGTCACCGATCTGTAAATGAAACCGTCTTTGGAAAATAAAGCTAGAATCACAAAAAAGAGACAGAGATCAAAGATGCGTCTTTTTTGGAAATTCTGAAAACTTTTGGGGAACAGAGACTGCTGTAAGTTTTTCATCTTATTATCAGTGTAAGGGATGATGTGTTGTGGGCGGGTAGACTAAGCGAAACAAGACCCAACACAATACATAATCCCACTCATTACACAGCTGTTTACCCCTTAGATTAATAACTTTACACCAAATACAGATTTTGAAATGACTTTATAAATCGTTCCTGGTTATATTTGTCACAGTTGTAACCTTTTTTGTTTTTTTTTTTCCAACAAAAGCCCTGGCAGCATACCACCCCCACTCTCTTCCACCTTCACTGACTTCCAATCAAATTCTGCATTGATTGGAAAATCCGCCTCCTCTCCTTCAAATCTATTCAGTCTTGTCCCCAAGTATCTGACTGACCTCCAAAACCACCACCATATTCAGCCTTGGTAGCTGCAGTCTTTGGACATGTGTCAGCCATCCATCCCCCGCATCTAACCCCAAACTTGTAGAAACATAGCCTTTGGTGTGGCAGCCCCCATCCCCTGCAGCTCTCTTTTATTTCTGGACAATATAAAGTAAAGTAAAATAAAATAAAATAAAATAAATTATAACCCACACATTTAACAAGTACAGTGGAGCATTAGTGCCACATTAAGAAAACATTTTCGACCTTGGAATTACTCACGAGAATAGAGTCGTATAATCATTACTTACGAGAATAAAGTCGTAATAAAATAATTTCTTACAAGAACAAAGTCGTAATAAAGTAATTACTAAAGAGAATAAATTCGTACTAAAATCATTACTTATGAGACTAAAGTCGTAATAAAGTCATTACTTACGAGAATTAAGTCGTAAAGTA